CCCTTCGCGTCCTTGCAGTCTCAGCCATCCATCCCCATCCAGTCCAGTCCAGTCCAGTCACTGCGCATCTTCCCTCCATTCCAACAGCCTGCGACATTTCGAAATAATTTTTCTACCAGCTGCCGAGTCCTTGCTTCCAAATTTTTGCTCCAATTCACGAACGAACACCATCAAACTATCACGAACGACACTCGCACGTTTTTGCTTCCTATCTCGCCCCCAAATAATCTATTCCAGGGTCCAACCCCGTCCGCCCAACAATAAGCTTCTTGTCTCGCGTGCATGCAGGTAGCTTGAGCTTCGCCGAAACCACCGCAGTTCTCCCAACATTGAGTCGAAAACACCTTCTCGCCCTCATATTGTAGCTTCGCTCAGAGCTTCGAGGATTGAGGGCCGTCTTTACACGAAATAATTCGTCCCGAAAATGGCCTCTTCAAAGGTATTCTTCCTAGCGCCAGGAACATATTTTTAGATCACTGCTGATCAAGTACAACAATAGGAAATCCAACATTCCTCGAGACCTCTGAGCCAACATCGTCTTTCAATGTCTGCAAATGCCGGCTCCCTCCCCAAATCCCACGCTCGAAATCATTCACATTCTGTATCCTCGGGTTCCCTGATACCAAGTCACAGAGTGACCCGCCGGAAGAGTGTATCTTCGAATGCTAGCAATGTCGCAGCCATGGTCGCCGCTGTGAGGGAGGCTGGAGATACTTCTTTGGGAATGCCTATTTCTGCTCGCCGGAACACAATGTCGAAGAGTGCTTCTGCTAGGTCAGCAGCCCTTGGCAGCCTACCTTCACCACCTGCGAGCTTGCTGGGACACAGAATCCGTTTGACATCGAGTGGTAAATCGGACCGCGGGGAGAGTGCAATTGATGACCAGATGGATGAGATGGACGACGAAGAAGAGACAGGATTTGAACAATCGCGTATGAGAAGAGCAAGTGAAGGATCACATCTTACCAAGGATGGCAAGAAGGCCAGTGGAGGAGACCTGAAGTGTGACAAGTGTGGAAAGGGATACAAGCACAGCAGCTGCTTGTCCAAGCATTTGTTCGTGCCCACCTTCCTTTCCTACATGCCCCATATGGGCCTTGTAGCGTGATTCTGTCTGATAGATTCACGTACCGGGCTCTTTGACAGGACAGTGGTTAACATTTGATTTCAGGTGGGAGCATACTCCGGAATGGTCTTATACTTCGAAACTACTTATTTCGAAGCATCAGCAAGTGCAGCTTTTGGAAGCAGCTTCGGTCCTGGTGACTATGAACCAAGATGGTCCAACACCACCAGAGTCTGCCAAGGACTTCCAAAGCGATCAAGAATCTGCATCCCCAACTGCATCTCCAACTGTCTCGGGCTCGGAACCAAATGATCGGGCAAGCTCTGCAGATACTACACCTCCACCACAAGCAGACAGCGTGTACAGTGGATCCTACATTGGCAGGCACAAGAGGTACAGCAGTGGGTATGGTTTCTCTCGCTCATACCAATCAGCACCATCTGTCAACTCAATCAACATTGGAAGTGTCCCGACAAGCTCCGGCTTCGGGCATCATCGTCAACCAAGTCACGAACGTCGTCCATTGTCTTCTGGTTTCAACCGCAATTCTGAGGATGAGGGTTTGGCCGCTGCTGTAGAGCTGCTTTCCTGCAGCTTTGGAAGTACTGGAACGCCGAGAATTGTTCCTGTCACACTCCCAGAAGATGCTCCACCTGTGCCGCATATTCCCGCACAATATCTCAGCCAAGGTTCGATCTCTAGTCACTCATTGACACCCAGTCAGCATCCCAGGCAAGCTGAAAGCTATACTCGCCACAGAATTCATGTCGCTGGAGATGTCAAGATGGAAGAAAGCGAAGAGAGCGTCGCTGATGATGATGATGACTATGACCAGCGTTCCCGTGGTCGCAGTGACGAAGATGATGATGGAGTATTTGGTCGCATGGAAGAATAATTTGAATCTTCTTATCGACTACCCCAGCCGAAGAAGAGCTCTTGACTGGAAGCGTATTTCATTTGTAGTAACTTATGTATACATGCCGGCGAAAGCATGTCTCCGCAGCCGACTTTCAGCACCGAAGAGTGGACCAGGCAGTTGTGCAAGTGTCCACGAGGTTAAAGTGATGGTCGTTCTCGAGCGTCGAGCAAACGCAAGCGCCAAGAAACTAAACTAGCATTTTTTTGTGAAATGAGGGGTTTATATTCTTTTCGATGGATTGGTGGGTATGTGATCAATGGATCGATGGAATTGGATATGTTATATAGCCACGACATTCGAAATGTATGAAGTGTTCTGATGAAGAGAAGCGTATCTCACCTGAGGTGGGTGGTGTGTTGCTCAACCACTACCAGCTTAGGTCATGATATGATATGCTGCATGAGAAAGTGTTGTTGAAATGATCGAAATGCGAGGTTGTATTAAGGTACCTTAGGTAGACTTTGCGCATCGAGATGATGAATACCATAAAGTGGGAAATATTGCAAATTTTATGGACGGCTGTGAAAATGCTGTAAAGTTTCGAAGGAGCAGGAGAAATATCAGGGAGCTAAAGTACCTAGGTACCTAGACAAAAGAAATTTAATTTTAGGCCTGGTTTTGCTCACCGCGACTATGACACTATGTACGTCACCGTTGCTATTTCGCGTGGAGGTAAACAAGGCCTCACGATCTATCCCATCCCCATCTTTGCACCTGCCACGCACATTAACACAGCACCAAAAATACCCTGCCTCTACGGCTCACGAAGTCACTATTCACAAATCATTGCACTTCTGCCATTATGAGCATGACACGCACTATCAAAGAGAAAGCCCTTGCGGTAGTCAAAGATGGAGAAGCGCCCGTTCGTTCCAGCAAACTGCCGCCTTTCGTACGCTTCCCACTGGTACTCCTACTTAGTCTCACACTCTCGAGCTTGCTTCATAGCCTGAGTGCGCCATATACGGGATTAGAGCTTGCGGCTGTGAGTAGGAAATTGGTGCGCTGGGAGGAAGTGGTGGGTTTAGTGGGGTGGAGGGGGTGAGTTGATTTTTCCCTTTTCTTTCTTTCTTGCTTCTTGTGGAATAGGACAGAATAGGACAACACGCTAATTGAGATGAGATAGAATCGAGCTTGCGCTGGGATGGTGGGGTGGTTATGATGGCTATGATCTTGCGGCGTTAAGTCTGCTTTCTCATGGTCCTCCTGTAAGTATATACATAATTGCGCCGAACAAGATGCTAATGGGAATAGATGTACCTGCTCAGCACATTCTACTCCATCCGCACCACTACAGTGCTGAACTCCCTCCTAATCGACGTCCTGACAACCTACATCCCCTTCCGCCTTCTGCGCTCCCTCTCGCCTGCTCACACCGCATCCTCCTACTCCAATTCATCTGTCCCCAACCGCGAACTCCTCACCGATACTACAGTTCAAGCCGTCACCACACTCCTCGCAGCTTCGATCTACAGCGTGACGCTCTACAGCGCGTACGTTACATTCCTGCCGCGTTATCTAGCTACGTATTTCGAGGGGATCCCGACGATTGAGAAAGCGTATACGGCGACGCCGTTTACATTATTGCCGTTATCGTTGGTGTTTGGGTTGGCAGCGAAGAGCTTTATTTTTACGCCTGCTGCTGTCATTGTGGATAAAAGGCCAAAGGAGTTTGAACCGAGCAAGGCGAGCTTGGGGGAGACGCTGAGGTGGAATGTTTGGGGGTATGGTGACAAGACGAAGGTGGTGATTGAGAGGTAAGTCACATTTACTTACAAAGTGCGAGGCCTTGATATTTGTGTGTCAAGAGCTCGACTCTCTGCTCCCCAGACTTATCAGAAAATGCGTATTAATGAGTTGTGTAGGACGGCTGCGCTGGTACTGGTTAGTGGTGTCAATACGTTTGTTCAGTCTTGGGTCACGATAGAGGGCGTTGAGGCGTTGGGGGCAGCGGCTTATGCAGGAATTTGGGTTGTTGCTCCTGCGATTTCTGGTGTTGCATTGGGGATTGTTGGAGCTGTATGAGATGATTGTGAGTGTATATCGGTTCTATTGTTTGGATTCAGATGGATTTGATTGAGGGGTACGAACAGGGGGGAAGGCGTAGCGTTTCGAGATGCGTGCATATATTCGGTGTTCTCATTGGTCAACTTGGAGTCTTAGGCTGAGCAGAAGCGGCAAAATATATCAAACCAAGTATGGGAGATTCTTGATATTCCCAGTTGAATGTTCGGGGGGTAAAAGGGCCGAAGGGGAGGTGGGAGGTGATACTTTTATGATGCGGTGAATCCTTCTCGAACGGTTATCTTATGTCCAACCTTGTTGTTGCTGTTGCTCTAGTCTCACGTTGCTTATGAAACAAAGACATCTGGAAAGCGCGACCTGATACAGTACATACCATACCTACTAAAAGAGCGTGACAACCCAGCTCAGGCTAAACAACATCGAGGTAATAATAAGCGCGACTTTCGTAAACATATCCAAAGTAGGAAGGGCATGTCTCCTGCGACTTTACACAGCTGCCACCTACCAACATACATCTTTTTTTACCTCACGCGCATCCACATTCTCCCCTTTGCGCGCGTGTCAAACGATGGCTATGAACATGGCGACAGATGGATCTCGCAGGTAAGCTTCCCCATACCCACCCATACCCTCCCCATCCCCATCTCCACTCTGCACGTGCGACCAGGCCGCGCCATATCCATTCAGCGGAGCCGCTTAGGCAGGGGCTTGGCCTGGACAGGGCAAGGCAAGGCAAGCGCTAGAAAGCGCGTTGCGTTGCCAACCTCGCGTCAGTATAGAAACGGAGTGCGAATGCGACTGTATCATTGGGGCAAGAATATCAGACTGACCAAGCTTGCTTGTGTGCGGATTTAGACGGCTCGATAGCAATATCATGAGCTGTCGCATCAAGCTACCCAACGACAACAACGCGCGCCCTCAATACGACACAGAACCCACCGACATGGACGTCCCACTACAGTCCACGAGCCCCAGCTCCCGGCGCAACAAGGGCAAGCTGGCCGAAGCTATGCAGAGCATGGCAAAGCTCAATCATAACATGGAGATCGATCTGCCTACCGATCCTGATGCCCAGGCTACCGTTACGGATTTCCTCGACTTCACGGAGTACCTGCCTTCCGACATGATCCGCTCCCTGACCCTCATCGGCAACCTCGATCAAACGTATACTAAGGCCTCCGCAGAGGTTCACGATCTCACGACGACATATGGACAGCTTCCTACACTACCTGCGGATTCAAAACCCGATGCTACCAAGTTGCGCTCTGAGATATCGCAGAATCTATCGGAAGCTGTAGTGGCGCGCACGGCTTCGTTCGCTGAGGCTTGTCGCATGGTCGAGAATGCCGAGCGTCATTATAATCGCATTAAGAATATACATGCTAAGCTAGTATCGATCGCTGAGACTTATCCTCCTACTCGAGAACCCAGCCCCGTCACTCAAAAAATCAAATCGCCGGTTGTGAGCCGCCCTCCAAAGATCACACTGCGAGTCGGCCCTTCCAGTTTGGACTCGAATGTTCCCAAGGTCCACAAACACCGAGCACCGAGGATTACAGTCCCTGGAGAAGTCCTTGCCCCATATGAGTTGGATTATGAGTCGTATGGCTCTGAGGTCTCGGAGTCCGAGGAAGAGCAGTTTGTTACACCGAGAGAAACACCTGCGCGCAATCTCGCTCCGGCACCGGGCAAAATTCGCTTGAAGATAAATAAGGAGAAGAAGGAGAGACTCCCCAAGCCACCCCGCGAGAGTCGACCTCCTGGATTTGGCACAAATGTTCACAGTCAGGTTGCTGGTATTTCTACAAGTAACGCGTTGAGGCTACTTGATCCCCCACCGGAGAATGCTCGGCCAGGGAGCAAGGATTTGCCATGGCTGGCGCTGAGTGAATACGAACTCGGTGTTCTTAGGAAGAAGATGAAGAAAAATGCAGTTTGGGTCCCAAGCGATACTATGATCAAGCGGGAGTTGAAAGAGAGGGGTCGGGGGATGGAGGCTTATTTAACTGCCAAACATATCGCTGAAGAGAAAGGCGAGACAATCACCGTCCCGGAGCAACTTATGGAAGGTGCTATGGATAACAAGGATGCTCCAGCTGCTCCGGGTACACTCAGTGTCGAGGCTGCGAATAAGGATTTGGGAGCAGAGGAGAACTTGGTTAATCGTGGTATGAAGCTGAACGAGGCTAAGAAGGCGAAGAAGCTCCAACTGGAGAAAGAACGAGAAAAGGAGATGGTGGAGGGAGAGGCTGCAGTGGTGGAAGCCACGCGTAGAGTCAATGCCTCCCTTTCAAAGGCGAATTTGGAAAATCTATTTACTCCCAACGACAAATCTGGCGTTAAGGAGGCAAAACCCACCGCAAAGACACCAACCAGAAAGCCGGCAGCTCGAAAGCGCAAAAGAGAATCAGAGGTACAAGCTTCAGTTGATACCGATCAGATATCTGGAACAGACACGGCGGCTAATCCACGGCCGCTACTGAAGAGGACCAAGACAGAGACCCCCGTCCCTGCCCCTCTCTCTATAGCCGCCAAACAGGCAACACCAGCATCGGAGAAATCCTCTATTGCTGGTGAGTCGGCTTCAGTCACAGCAAATAGTGTTGAGACACCTACGGGTACGGAGTCGCTAACTGTTCCTGTGCCAGTGGTATCTCCCAAGAAGTCCTCGACACCAATTCTACCGCCCCTTAGTTCGGCAAAGAGAGGAACCAGGAAAGACGTCAAAAAGCCAGAAACCCCTATTTCGGATCGACCTCGCCGGGGCTCAAAGGCGGCTACGCCTGCCCCGGCGCCTGTACAAGAACCCTTACCACCAAAACGGCCAACCTCATCCCGTAGCAAAGCGGCTAGCATCGAGCACGATGTCTCCACTGCAACAGCAACCATGGACCGTCCTCGACGCGCGAGCACAGCACGCAACACACCAGCGCCCGAGCCCCGACAACCGAGCAAACGGACTAAGCGTCCCGCACCCGGTGTTGTCACCAAGGGCTCCGAAGACTCCACTGCCGTCAGTGTTGGTAAGCGTAGTGCTGCGACGCGTAAGAAGGCTGGCACGAAGAAGGAGAAGAGGGAGGGGAGCGCGGTGCAGGAAATCTTTGATGAGATTGATGATGAGGGCAATATTATTGATCCGAACGAGCCGCGGTATTGCCTTTGCAATCGTGTTAGTTTCGGGACTATGATTGGGTGTGAGAATCCTGATGTGAGTGAAGAGTTTTTACTTTCTCTGCCAAGCCCTCCGGAAGTGCAGCTTTGGAGTACTGGTGAAGATGACAAAAAGGCTAACGTGCATGAAAAGTGCGAGAAAGAATGGTTCCATCTCGAATGCGTAGGTCTCTCGGATATCCCACCCCGTACTACGAAATGGTATTGTCCTGCATGTCGCGTTACTCTGGGGATTGGGGAGAAGGGCGAGGTGAATGCTAGGGGTAGGAAGAAGTAAGTGATTTTGTGGCGTTTGGCTGGAGGGGGTTGGTTGGCACTGACTTGGCTTGGCTTGGCTTGGCTTGGGATCGCAGGGCGGTATATTCGTTTTGCTTGGGATGGTATGGGAAGGGATGGGATGGGTTGGGTGTATCAGTATGTATATACAACATTGATATATATATATACCGAATAGCTTTAGACGGCGTGGGCGCTTTTGCTGTGTATTGTGTTTGCATGCATATAGTAGCTGCGCTGCATGTCTGTCGCTGAAATATGAGTTGCAGAATACAATTCAGATTTCACGTTAGACTAGGTGAGTTGAATTTAAGATATAGCCGAGTGTATTGCAATATGCCTCTCTTCCTAAGTAGGGATTTCTTTCCTTTTCATAAAGTGTTTAAAGAGGGTTTCTTTGAACTTTTTCTTGTTTCAATCAAGTAAGTGTTTATTTGATTAGTTGGAGTACATATTACCTCTGCTTTTCTTCTTCTGTATATCTAAGGATTGAAGTAGTAGTAGATATGATACGAGAAGTAATAATAGAAGCTAGGTGTATTGATGAGACCCGAGAAGAAGCGGGTTATCTTAGAGTATTATAGTATCTATGGTACAATATGAATTGTCCAATTTCGTTTACTTTTTGCCTCTATTGAGACTGCTGTTTCGCCGTTCTGCTGTAATTCAGTTTCAAGAGATTTATTAATTTGAAGAAAAGGTGTCAAGTTAATATTCATAGCTGGTTCTGATTTGAAAACATGATTTGCGAGCAGGGAAAGGATGAATTTAGTTCATGCCCTGTACCAAAAGGTCAGGCCTTCGCCTAACACATAGTTCGTCGTGTAGAAGCTGTGAACTTGCAATTAATCAGCCATTTGAATGGATTGAATGGAAGGACGTCAACTCCGCTAGCAGGCGGGAACAATGCCCGGTTTACTGTTAATGTGGTTGGCATTTTATAGAAAGAAGCAAGCTAGGTCAAGCCCTTGATAATCAATGAAACTTTACTCAAGTGTCTAGCCTAATAACCTATACTAAATTTGAATTGCAACACCACACGAACCTCTACAGGTAGTAGCAAAGCAGGTCGAGTGCGATCAGAATCGTGGATCCACAACCACAGTCATGTGTTGTTTGCCTCCCACGAACCATCTATTCATTCTGCCTGCCAGTTTAACACATCGACATGAAGCCATCACGCAATTCACAACCTGTTGGAAAACTCTGCCTTTTCAGAATGAATCATATTAGTTGTCCCGAACCCGACTCGACAGCGACATAGTGAATTTGAATCAGACGTGTGAATATGGGGTAATTCTACAGCCGATTATCCAGCAAGCAAGCAATTCTTTTCCTATAAGACCTTCCTTCTTGATTGTATGGTTGATCAATACAATACACCTCCTTCCTGCCTTTACTTGGATTACCAAAACAGTCAGTCATCCAGCTGTAGCTGAGCTGGTCAGTCAGCGCCGATTATCTACCTGCTATCCAACAAGGACTATCTAGTCACAGAACGTCGCTACTCATCACTGGTATTCCCACTCCCTTCCGCAACCACTTTCCAATACTTACAAAGCAAAAACAGAACCTTCCATACCTAAGGTAGCCTTCCATTACCTTCCCTTCTCACCATTGCCACCACCACTACCGGCCAAGAAAATGTCGGCCGAGACCTCCAAGCTCAACCCCCACGAACCGGTTCCCCGGGCCCGGTACTGGCAATGCCACAAATGCCTACACAGCAACTTCATCAAACTCGACGAGGACCGCATCTGGGTCGAGGAGCAGAAACTGGCGTGCGAGGGCCCGTGGTGTCCAGATGCGCATTGTAGGTGTAGGTATTGTAAGAATTTGGACAAGGAGTGTGATGCGATGAGTTATTGTGATGGGAGTAGTTTGACGCTGAATGAGAGGTTGGGGGTTTGGGGTGCATGATTATGGATATGGGAGTTGAATATGGATATGAAATGAAATGAATTTGGGAATGGGATGGAATTTTGGGGAGTTGGAGACGTGCGAGCGGGAAATGGGCGGAGTATGCTGGTGTGTTGTTATGCTTTGGATATATATCCGGGATATCTTGGCGAGGCCGGGCGGTAGTTGAGCAATGCACTTCCTCGCATGACAATGATCTGAATGCGAAGAATACACAAACATGACTCTTCTAGCAATGGTGCCGACTCTTGATGCTATATCAGATATGAAGCTACAAGAAAGAACGCCGGGAGATTTTGTTCAAGTGACTGTTAAAGGATCTTGTCCATACCCTATGTAAAGCAATCCCTTCTACTGCTATTTGCAAAGTAGCAAGTCTCCGCAGGCTGAGGGAGCTTTACTATCTTACAATAAGTTATGGCTCCCCAATTGCTTTTCTCCCTGTTCTGTGTTCTCGGCCCCCCCGCCCCTCCCCTCCCCTTTAATTCTGCCAGGCGGTGAAGCGGGCAAGCGAATGGTTTGAAACCTTACCTTACAAGTTCGTGCCTCAACTATTTTCCTTCCTCCACCGCCTTCCTTCCAAACAACACCAGAAGCTTGATGTACGACATTCAACATTCTCCGTCTCACAATACAATTTTATGGATTTAAGAATTCAAAGGCAAACGGATTAGGACAAGCTTCGACTTCTCGTATCCTGCCGGACTCTCCGCCCCGCGTCTACAATCTGCGATTGAAGCATCTTCATTAAATTACCTCGCAACGCGAAATACTATAATCTATTATGCCTTGCCATCGACTAGGGTAATTAACCGTCCTAGTTACAGGCCGCAAAAAGCCTTGGACACAGATCGCAGTTGGTGTCTGTAAGCTCGTATTGCTTCGCCACAGTGAGTCGCGATATAAAGAAATTACCTAGGCACTTCACGTAGGCTATGACTGTAGTAGACGCATTGCAATTTGTTCTCTCCTCGATTGAAACCGGCGAATGACTCAAAGCTCTGAACCTTTTTTTACTTAAGTGTTTTGTCTCATTCCTGTTGCGCAACATCAAAAGATTTCTTGATCGTGCCTGCGCGATCCTTTCCTTCGCATTAATTTCTTACAAAATCTTGGACAACTCAAGCATGGCGGGCTTATACGATTTAGATGCGTGCCTCTCCGCTACTTTCAAGGACTATTCTTCTTCTGAAATTCCACCTGCAGCGCTCTCATCGGCTGCCATTACAGTAAGGAAGTTCAACGAGCTTTCCGGGATTCTTAGACGAGGGCAGAGCAACGAGATTGTCCCGAAAACTTTGGAACATTCGAATGAGCTACAAAATCTGGAAAGACCAACGCGCAATTGTTACCTTCCCCGCATCGTGCTTATAAGATCAGACGCTCTTGCCCTTGAGCTACCCTCCTTCGCCGATGAGCCGCAAGATTGCGTCGCTTTTGGAAACGTTTCATCGGAGAACTATATCGATCTCTTCTGGGAGTCTGTCAAGGCACTGAACGTTGAGAATGTCTCGCCCAACGAAGCACACTCACAGTTGGAGGTTTACGAAGTATTACCGTCCTTGGGACCACGCATCTTACTGTCCTACAAAAACCAGCTGTTTCATCTGACTTACGTCCGATATGATAATGTGGTTAGAGAGTAAGTCCAATTTCCAGGAAGACAGATCATGAGCTGATGCTGGATTTATAGATACCCTGATATTCTCAGCACGCCTGAGACATTCTTTGATGACGAAGAAGACCATGCTGAAAGCCTCGTCAAAAGGTTACAGGCTGGTATCAAAGTTCGAGAGCGTCTTGATAATTCCCCGGAGATTCGAGACGCTTACAGCTACATCAAAAGATGGGTAGGTGTTTCTTCGTTAACGTCTCGGGAGGTTTAATTCGCAGACTACTTCTGAGATCCAGAATCTTTTCTTGGTCAAGCGATGCTGACCGCGAATTTATAGGCACTAGTGAGAGGACTCACCAAACTTCTATCTGACCAAACGATTTTCCAGCTTGTCATGAAATATCATTGCGATGTAGTTTTATCAGACAAGAAAGAACATCCAAGCCCAGCACGGTTGATTAGCGAGTTCTTCATGAAGGATGTACAGAACTTTGATCAACAGGCCATGCTTCCTAGAACCAAGGACGTAGAGCCTTGTGGTTTCGAGTCGTATGGGATGGAAGATTGGGAGAAGATGCTAGAGGTGCTCGATCAATTGCCTTTTCACCATAAAATGGCGAATTTTCAGAATTTTGTACGAGTGTTCGTTACCTATGCAGGACCATCGCGTCTGAAAGGAGGAGAGTGGATAACGATGGTAGAACGAAGGATAGGCAAGATGGAAGAACGTGAGTCCCTGTCATTTCTCATAATACCTGAGCATCTCCGTCGAGACCCTTACACTTAGGCTTCAAATCTCAAATATACCAAGCTGTCTAACATCAAACTCAGGTCTCCAAAAAGCTAGTAAAGGATCAACCATTCGTATGTGGCCAAAGCGACTCGCACGACCAGCCTCTGCCAAGGATGCCGTTTACGAAGGTTATTATATGATAGGAATTTCTTCCACACAAGAAACTCAAGAAGACATTGAGACTGCCCGAACGCTCGGGGAAAAACTAGAACAGCAGGTTATGGAAGACCGCCTTAGCTCCCAATTCAGCTGCTCTATTCAGGTCCTGTGCGAGGAGAACCCCCGAGTCATGGAGGGCCAAAGAGACGATCTCAAACTCTGTCTAACGAAGTGGCCACGGAAAACTCTCACTGGAGATGAGACATCAGACACGAGGCAAAAGCGCGACGGTATAGTGCCCGAGAAGCAGAAGAAGAAGAAAGCAGAGAAAGCGACAGTAGATGATCTCGCAGGACCAGCAGTACATGAGAAGGCCGAACGATTCCGCACAGCGGCAGAAGTCTATAGCCGTTTAAAGTTTGACGACGCCTACGACATTGACGAGTTCGTGCTTGGATATATTGACCGGCACAATGACAAGATTCTAGAAAAGGAAGTCGTGAATTGGGTACGGGAAACTACGGCAGAGGAGTTCATCCCTGAGCATAGGATCGAGTATTTCAGGCGTACGAATATGGGAGGTCCGCAGGTTGGAGAAGACTTCTATTGGCACAAAGCGAAACGGCTAGATCGGATTTTCAAGTAAAAAGGCTGCTACAGTAGCATTCTTGCATCAATACAATACCCTGTATGGTGAGTACCTACTTATACATGAAACTCTTACTTGAGCTGTCCTATCATTTGACGTGAGATTTTGGAAAGGGGGCTTGGAAATAGACCCGGCTCCTAGTGACCCCACTACAATACCCCGCTATGTACAGTACATGTAGCATCATTACAAAGCTTCCCCAAACTTCCACGTACAGTACAGTACTTGATTCCACAACATTTTCTCATCTCATCTCAATTTCCTTCCTACCTCTCCTCTCCTCTTCCATAGGAAAAAACAAAACAAAACAATACTTCGTATAATAGCAAACCAAGCAAAAATGCCACCACACACATATAAATCTGAATACCCACCCAGTTCCCAAATCGACGAAGGCATCAAGACCTTCTTTGAAGATTTCTACCGCACAAGCGACACGCCGACCCCGGACGCGCACGAGAAATACGCAGCTGCTTTTACGAAAGATGCGAAGCTTGTTATGATTAGTAAGGTTGCGAGGGGGTATGATGGTATGTTTCCCCCCGGTTCCCTTTTTCCTTTTTTGGCTGGTATGGCATGACATGGAATGTAACTGAGGGTTTTGGATATATAATGGGGATGTGGATGATGTGGATGATGTGGGATAGTGGGCTAATTCGATGGGGGTGGGGAATTGATAGAGATCTTGGAAGTTAGAAAGGGCATGTGGACAGCTGTTAATTCGAGGCTGCATACACCAGTGAAGATGTATCCGTTTGGGTCGGGTGCGGATGAGGTTATGTTGTATGGGACTGTTGGGTATGTGTTGAAGGATGGGAGGAAGACTGATGTGAGTTGAGTTGCTCTTTTCTTTTTTTCTTTCTTTCTTTCTTTCCTTCTTCTTGGGGCTTGATATTTTGGAATTGGGGTTTGATTTGAAAGTGTTTATTCTGATGCTGATGCTGATGAATGAGCGAATAGCTTGAGTTTGCTGCGAGAGCTAAGTTGGTGAAGGAAGGTGGGGAGTGGAAGATGAGTTTCTATCAGGTGTATCTTGGTGAGTGAAGTGAAGTCCTCTCTGTGTTCGGGCTGCAAAAGGCTGATGGAGGAAAGATTCTGCTGCTATAGCGAATGCGAAATGAAAATTGGGTGTAGAATAGAATAGAATAGCTACAGAAATGTACTTGGCATTGCTGGACTGCGGGGAGACAACCTTGCTACCGAGTATCGTGTGGATAGCTTCTCGTGGCATCATGCATCCATATCTATCATGAACAAAAGCATAATCCTGCCCGAACTCCATTTTTTCAAGATCCCAACGCCAGAATAGCATATCAATATGTGCCTTCTCCCACTCAATCCATATCCATCTCCTCCCCATCCTCTCCCGCATCAACCAACACCCGTCTCCTCTCCTTCATCTTCCCAAACAACTTCGCCTTCTCCTCCACCAACACCTCGCTCTCATCCACCACCTCCCCAGCCTCCTCCAGCCTCTTGCGCTCACTACCCCTCATCTTCGGCAGCAGGTGTTCATTCTCGGCCACCAGCTTCCGGTCAATGGCGCGCTGCCTCTCCGTATTGCTCTTCATGCGGTTCTTGTAATGCACGCGCTCCCTCTTATTCCGGATCTCCGTCTGCCGCTCAATCGCCTCCTTGGTCTTGGCCCACAGCGCTGGATCGTATCGCACAGGCACGTTGCGGCGCGCCGAGAGCGCGAGAGCACCGTCGACTACCATTTCTTTGCCAGAGGCTTTGCGGAAGGCTTTTGTCCAGGCTAGTTTGCGGGGGTTGCGCTTCATTTTGAACTGTGGTGCGCATGTCAGTGATTGGAATTGATATTTGCTTATGCTTAATTGTGCTTGATGAGACGGAGGGAGAGAGGGCAAAGGAAGGGAAGGGGAGACAAACGTTCTTATGGCATTTGCTCCTGCAAAATCGGAAAAGTCGTGCATCGTTACGAACGAAGGTTATGCCTTTACTGGGGTAACAAGGCCGCGAGCAGAAATAACATGTCTCAACCCTTTACAAATCATAACATTAGCAAACAATATTCCCGTTTTCTCTTTCTCGTAGAATAAATACCTCATTGTGACTGAACGTGTGTGTGTGTCTGTTGGTTCTCGTTGAAGATATTATCGCTATCTTTTCTCGAGACAAGACAAGAAAGCTTTATCGCAAGAAAAAGTTTCGGTGGATCGCATCGTTCGCTTAGTGCTGGTTGTCGGGCAAACTATCATCCGACGCTGGGCAAAAATTGTCTTGAATGTGATCGCTCTGCGCTAAACCACAGTTAACACTTCCACGAAACCACTTTCTTTGAGTACAGTTGCAGACAGGCCAAGACGCAAATACATACATACATACAGGAGAACGAGAATTTATAATGGCTTCAGTACTCGCAATAGGCGCCGGTGTTGCAGCAGCAGCCTTCATTGTATGTCCTTCGCATCTCCATCTCCACACCATCCGCCTCCCACTCGCTTTTGAGTACTCTCATCACTGACCCATTATCCCTTCTTCCCAGGGCCGCGCATCACTCCTCGCCTTCAAACGCTCCCGCGGCCAAGCTGGCTCATTAGGCAAGGCGTTTTACAAAGGAGGATTTGAGCCGAAGATGAACAGGCGGGAAGCAGCTTTGATACTCGAACTCAGGTACATAACATTCCATTATATACTCCCTCTCGCAATATATCCGGGCACAAGGGAGAGCACATAGAAGGATGTTAACAGAATATTGATTGGTTGCTATAACAGTGAACGAAATCTCACAAAAGAACGAATCCGCAAGAACCACCGCACGCTCATGATGTTGAACCATCCCGATCGAGGCGGGAGTCCTTATCTAGCGACGAAAGTCAACGAGGCCAAGGAGTTTTTGGAGAAGAATGGTCGATGAACAGGACAGCCGCTTACACCAACTACACTGGGCTGGTCTGTATAAAGAACGATAGATAGATAGGGGGGGGGGGGGGGGGTTGTAACTTGTACGATCTGTGATATTCTGATAAAAGCGTCGGCGTTTGGGAGAAGGTAAAACAAGGCAGATCTCGACTCTGGATGAATGCTTTCTAATGAAAGCAATGCAATGCTTTGTATATATGTATATGTATCTGGGGGAATTCACCGCGGAATCTAAATTGAATGCTTGTATAAAGTCTATGTTGTGGTTGTATAGATGGACCTCTGTACTTCTATCCTAGTGGAATACGAAAGCTTGGAATACGGAAGACACCAAGTTGGACTCTAAAGCCCTTTTTTGATAACAGTGCCTACTTGTGGGATTTTGTCCAATCTCGTAACTAATAGTGTTCAGTATGGCCCTTCTCTATAAAAGGTTGCTGCTACTTACGCTTTTTCTATCTGGCATAAAGAGCATGGGGCTTTTTATAGAAGGCCGTAAAACACTATAGGAATTGATTTTGTTGCATGATTCAGAAGGATATAATCTGTGTCTTGTTAGAAACTTCACACCATGGGATAACACTCAGTGCTTTCCCCCACAAGAAACTTATAGCTGATCTCCTATAGTGTTTTACGGCCGTCTCCACTAAAAGAAGAAGCCTCACCGAGGATAGGAAAAAGCGGCACTAATTCATCATGTACTAGGTGGCATGGGACATTTAAAAAGCTGGCAGGTACTGCCCTGAGAGCATTGTCTATCTACTGCTTTAACACCTATCAATCACCATCCTACAACTCCACTTCCATTTCCGAAAAATCACGTCAACGCCGCCCAATTGTGCACCTTTTCCAGATCCACCCAATGCAAACGCCGTACACAAGCTCTCCCTCAATCGAGATTGAGCAAAGCAGAAGTCGAACTTTGATCCTTGACCAACGCCAGTCCCTTCCCCTTAAACTTCGACGAGGACGACGCACCATCACTCCCCTTCCTCTGCTTCTGCTTCCCAAACGCCTCGACAATACCTGGGGAAGGAGTACGACCAAGTCTCCATCTCGGGTCAGGAGTCTCGGGCGGACCTGGTATAGGTTGTCCCCAGCCATCATAACGCTGCGGCTTCTCGCCAACCTTTACTGTCATCGACGGTAGCTCGAATTGGTTGTCTGCCCGTGGGTTATGCTCGTGCGGCTTGGGCTTCTGATCAGTGGCTTTCTTGTCGTCAACACCCAGTTGGCTCATCATGGCATTGAAATCTTGGCCTCTGCAAGCTTTGACGTTGAACTCCGGGCCTGTAACGGACAATCCCGGCTTCGGCTTCACTTTCTGGGTTCCTTCGAGCCAGGATTGTACTGACTGGTTGTTGCTTGGAGCTGAGACATCATTTGCTTGCGATGACTTACCGTGAGGAGAATCTGGCCCGCCTCCATCACTACCTTCAGAAGACCATCCTTCCTCTCTCTCAGTAGCCGTTGTCTCTGCATCCGCAACACTCCTAGAATATCTTAGCTTAGTAGATGATTCAAAGTGTGGGGAAACACACTCCTTGATTCTCTTTTGCTTCATAGCCTCCTTATCCTCATCCCGCTCAGAATGTTCCTTCAAATGCTTGGACGAAATACCAATCATAGCCCAAAGCGTATAAACGGCATCGTTGCCTGCATTGTGCAGGTTCCAGCCGACCAGGCCAAGTTCGGCGAGGATCATGGCTAGCTTTCTGGGGTTGTTATCTCGAGTCATGTATTTCCACATGTTCGCCGTATCGACGCATTCAAGCAGATTCGAAAGGTTGTAGACATCATAACCGAGCTTCTTGAGATAGTTGACGTCTTGGTTGAGATCATGACCGACGAGGATGATGCTTCGTTTCTCTTCGGGCTCGGTAGCATCACCTGGCTTTGAAAACGGATGCTTAAAACAGCTTGCTACAACGCGAGGGGCATCTTTCAGGCCGATGAACTCGCTGGTGCTATTTTATTTATCAATTTCATGGCCAAGTTGAAGTGAAAGGAGAACTCACCCATGCTCGAATCTATCAGCACAACCACTGACAAACTCAGTGTTATTAAGATGCTTGTACTCGTTGATGCGAAAGTGTCTCGCTCGAATAAGCTTCATCCAATTCGCACAACCCTCACCTGGAACAACACCAGCAAGATCATCCGTATCCAACGTAGCAATTCCAATCTCCGTAATCAAGTTGTTATTGCGTTCATAAGCTTCAATATCCACACAGACAAAGACGACTCGTCCCTCTTGTGGAAATGGAGCCAATATGTCAGGAGTGAAGCTTACAGTTGGAGTCTCAAGTGGAGCAGTCGATTTCAGTCTGTCCAAGGCTTCCCATGTCATACCTCGTCGATTAGTATACTTCGGTCTGGTGCTTGCTTCTCGGAGACCTAGATACCGTTGTGTGCGTTTGAGCGAAGCTTTCCAGGACTGTTGATTGAACAGCCGTTCCCTCTTCGATTTCTCCTTACTACCATTCTTTTTTCCTTTCTGCGCAGCATTCATAAGCTCGAGTTTCGCTTTGAACGCTGCTAGCGCTTGTGGGGTTGGGGTCACAGTAGACTTCGGCTCATTCTTCGGCTTGTAGTAAGCAGGAGGGATGTTGTTTCTGAGGGTTTCAGCGGCTTCCTTGTTGGCTGTTCGACCAAGGTAACGTGGTCGAGGCGTTCCATCATCTTCAAAGGATACCATGAAGGTACCATTTGCTCCACGGGCAGCCATGGCGAGACTGGTGTTGAGATCGCTGTTGATAAGTTCCAGGAAATCTTGGAGTTGCTTGGCTGGGACTAGGAGGATTGGGAGGAGGTTGAGATCGGACTTAAGTCGGTAGACATAGAAACTGAGAGGTGTTAAGATGCTCCAGTGAATATTAGACCTTGTGAATTGTGAAGGTGACTTACAGGTCCCAGGTGTGATTTGAGATCTTTCCTTGGTCAAAGTATGCTTCCGCGACCTGGAGGCAAGGTATGTCAGATGCTAGATACATACAGCGCGGGGAGTAGAAGTATAATAGTTAAGGAAGGTGCGAGTTCCAATCCAGCAAGATGAGAAGTGCAGAATATTTAGAGAATCGCGGGAGCTTGAACAAAGAATGAAGAACTTACCCTCTGTCGATTCCCAGTCCCAATATATGCATACGGATACTTCTTCACCGCCTGCCAAGGAACAAATGCCTCATCTTCAGGAGCAAGCTGTCCAAGCCAATAATCCGAATACTGCTCCAGATCATAAGACGTAGCATCAACTTCAAGCCAACACAACATCAGCCTCCGCTCATCATCAACCATACCACAACTTCAACCTGTCCACATACCATAAGGTGACGGGCCCGCAGCTTGACAATTAATTCCTGAGGAACGTCAGTCAGTGCTATGTTCTTTCCGCAAAGGAAGGAGAGAGAGGTTTCATTCAGGAAGTGACTACTAACCATTCTTCCCAGCACCACCACCACCAACACCAAGTCTCTGTTTCTGCACAGCACGATTCATCTGAGCCCCCGCACCGTCCTCGTCCGACGAACTTCCCTCATATAAATGCATCGCTTTAGGAAGTTGATGAGTCCACTCCTTCCCATCAGCACCCAAACTCGAACTCCCACCCAAACTCCCCAGCGCTTCCAACTTAGCAAGCCTATCCATGATTGCGATGTTCCGTAACCTTCATAACACACACACAAACAGAGGAAACCGTTGTCGTTGTTGCTTTTTTGCCGTTTGCTTGCTTGTGTGTGGAAGAAAAGTCGTGTTTGGATGGCTTTGGCTGAGAAAGTTAGTTCAATTTATTTTGCGCGGAGAGAAGAGGAAGTAGGATAGTTGCGGTGCCGAAACGGTTATATCGTGAAAACGAAACGAAAGAAAATTAAACAAACATTCACTGAAACCTTTTCCTTCATGCTCACTCCGTATTTTATTCATTCAATAATTACTATGTTTGAATACAAGACGTGCCGCTTTTACTCTAGATGATGGATAGGGTATCTCTTCTCCACTATGTCTTGTTATTAAAATAATATGTACCAATTGATGGATCCGTGGGGGTTTAATACCAGGCAAGACTATATAATGGCTTGATAGGTTTAGGCTTTATGTTTAGATGCACGGTGTTTTCGTTTTCAACCAAACACAAACTCCTCTCTCCCCTTTAGAATGACAGAGGGTTCGGTTCGTATGGGGCCTTCGGCGGGATTAACTGATTGTCCGTTATGTCACTGCTGTTTTAAGGAATGTACAATGCCGCTTTTGTCGAATATAGGGATCGATGATCTTAGCAAGTTCCTGGTGTAAAATAGTGACTGGGTAAGGAGCCCCTTAATAAAGCCCCTGGATATTGCCTTGCTAGATTAGAAAGAAGTTCGAGGTGAGGCTCCACCATATCCACAAGGTCCCAGGAAGTTGGTCCTATCTCACGAGCCCACACTCAATCACAGCTGTGCATATAGACAAACAGTAGATGATCTCAACCAGACCTGGCATTCAATTCATTCCGAATAGCACTCATGCGCCGAAAACGAAGCTTGCTAGCTACCTAGTTAAACCATCTCCATCCCTCCCTACTATGCACCTTGACCTCTCATACCATGTGTCACCACACAACTCATCCATCTCCTTATTCCATTCCGCCATCACTTCCAGTCGTCTCTCACTGGAAGCCAAAGATCAATTAAAATACATATGTGCAATAGAGCGAAGAATAATAAAACCTCAGCCAACATAGCTGTAAGGACAGAGCATTCATTCCGGATGATATCGAAGTTGTCGTAAAGTAGTTGTGTCGTGACTCGATGCCGGAAGAAGGCGGTCGCTGAAACGTAAAGTATGTGCAATGCAAAGGTATAACTTAAAAATAGACAGGCAAGGCACCGAGCGCACGAGAGTTTAGCACAGGCTCAAGGAACACCTTCCTCGACGAATAAAAAAAACCCCCCGAAAAGTGTACGCCGCGCCAATCCGAATAGGAAGTCCGGAAGGAATGCCCAAAGTCCCAGAACCATCGACGCTTCTGCTCGCTGTGCTGTTGAAAACCACCCAATCGATCGATGCACGCCGGCAGATCATAGCCCAAGTCCCGAACCTCTATGCACCCAACCAATTCCCAAACGCCGCCACACATATTATACAGATCCGAGTCGTAAAAGTGCCTCGATGGCCTCCCGCTCCTGAAAGTCGGAGGTCATGCCATAGGCAGAAGTATCAAAATTACTAGCTTGTTGAGTAGAAGGAAAAGCTGGCCGCAATGGCACTGATTTGGCCATTGTGGAGAGGGATGGCCCACCACCGCTGTGGGTTCCCCTCGGGTATAAATGAGAATTAGGGCCAGAGGCAGAATAGGAAGCAGACCGCAAAGCGGCTGCTCCGAGGGCTGCCCAGTCCTCGTCATCGGTAACATCGTCTGGATCATCGTCCATAGGTTCGTCGTCATCGTCTGTTGGAGCTTCAGACGACGAGCAAGATTCATCTCCATCCAGGGACATCTTATCTGCTTCATTCTCCAGCATCGTGAGGTCCATATCGTCGTCGTGAGAGAAGACGGCCGAATCGCCAGCCCAGCTGGAGCCCGGCGCTGTCAGCCGCGTTCTATCCCCGTTCCATCGAGTCTTCCCGGCGATCAGCATACCGCCGTGAGGATAGGAAGATGGTGCACTTGGTGGTGGCGAGTGCTGGGAGTTCCTGCTGTTCCGAGCATTTTGACCCTTCAATCTCGCGTCCCAACGTCCCCATCCTACCTTTTCGAACTTCACGTTGCCCTTTAAGCCACCGCCTTCTCCTCCGCTACCGCGTCCCTCGAGAGCACCTACTACTAGCCTCCTAGCCTTCGCGGGTGGAATGCCAGAGAATCCTGGGACGGAGGTGGTAAGATAGCCCATGATGTGGCGGATCGCCAAAGGACCGTGATCCAAGAGGATCTCAGGCAGATGGTGCTTGGACAGAAGAGCAGGCGTGATCGCGCCAGTAGTGTCGAATACAGGGGATCCGACACGGTGTCCTTCCTCTGAGAACGTATCCTTATCGCTCCCCGTATGGTTCTCCTGGAGATCCAAGTCGGATTCGACTTGTTCCAGGGTAACCTGGGTCACGGCAGAGCGTGTCCCATACGGCTTGCCATGGGGAGGCAAGTTGGGGGAGATGGAGTTTGGAGGAGTAGGAAGAGGATGGGTTTTCGTCGCCGGAACGCTCCTGGCCGCTACAGCAGCAAAGCTGTCTCGGCCAAAGGGCATGGGGATATCGCGAGCAGAAGATGCCATGGCTGCCATTTCGTAGCAAGTTGGGTTCGGACGTTTCCCTATAGTTACGCGACACCAAGTTAGTAGTTGTTCTTGAAATAAATGTGTTGTGATCTGTGTTGTAATAGTTAAGATGAGTGTGTATAGGGGCTGACTCACTCGACTTGCGAAAGAAACGTGGCGAGTTGGTCAAAGAACGCGATGATGAAGCTCAAGGCAGCAGACTGTCGTGTCGTGAGGTATCTAAAGACCTGGCACGAAATGTTATCGGGCAAGGTTATGAAGCTGCTTCGAAGGTCGAAAGCGACGAGCGATGGTGATGTTTACGAGGACGGTTTCCGGGGAAGTTGGCTGTAGAGATGGAAGTCTCTACAAAGGTGCGATTTCTTGAAAGCGGCGCGAGGAAAATAAGGCAACCTTTAACGTTGCAGGAAGCGACGAAATGCGAGTGATGGAATGTTTGCAAAATGGTTGTTGTTGTAGTCTTTGTTGTGTAATGGTTGTGTTGTTAAGGAAGGCCAGGGAAAGCACTCAGTTACTCACTCAGCATCGCTTCTACATACATCAGGCTGCGTCAGGCCTAGCCTTACAGTACAGCAGTAGCCCGTGCCGTGGTTCCTTCCGTGCGACCCACGAGATCCACTGGATTAGGATGCAACCGGGTCTGGGGGCTGCGACTGGCTGCCATTCTGATTGCTGCCAACTCCACTCCCGGGAACCTTCTATCCTTGTTCCGTAGGGAATTACAGTACATGTATCATCATATCATTATCACTACATGACTATAATACTATATCACTCATGGTCAAGGTCTCCGCATTTGTTTCACTACAATGTCAGTGAATAATGCATCGTCATGCCTGAAAGATTGAAACCTGCTTCCAAATAGAAGTAATTACCAAGTTTATCTCACGCATGCTTTCAAATCCCGCATTCCGCGATCGAAATACTGGGCTCTACCCTACCGTAACTAAGAAAGTCCGCTCCAGAGCACCGGAGAAGGAAGCGACGCTAGAACAAATGCGCATCTGCCCTGCCTCCTAGCCTAGTGGAGATCAGCCGACACACCAGTACCAAGAACCCATCTGACGAATAGGTCTGAAACGTGATTACACAGGATGCTATTATTACTTTCAAACTCATATTTTCTCCCTTCACCCATCCCCACGTGCGTGAATCCAGCCACGATAGCAATTCTTTGTAAACGTCTTTAACCCCGCCATGATGCACATAACTTGAACTACGGAGTATGCGCCGTGAATACCAAGTGCGGAGTCGATGCAAGCAAGACCCTATCCTGTCCGCTTGCCTCCGTACCCTCCCGAAGCCCTTGATTGCTCATCGTTCTGTTGGAATGGTGGTGGGAGTGGCTTGCCGACTATCGGCGAGCGTGGGGGAAGTGGAAGTGGATGTGGTGTGGTGGAGGGGAGGGGTAACAAGACGTGTACACGTATAGAATTGTAAGCTTGCATCACCCCTCGTGAATCACGAGCTTACCTACCTCAGCTACTTCGTATCCGACTATTTCGCTTGGAGAAATAAACCAAGAAATACACGCTTTGGAATGATTGGTCTTATCTTACTCTTATTAGGTCTCGGTTCTGGTCTTGACGTAGCTATATGTAACAATGTTAGTTCAAGCGGAAGCACATCCATCCATGCCATGTCATGAACATTCGGGTATCATAATTTATGTCATACTCGTCCTCATCCTCATCCTCATGCGCCGATACCCTGAACATATCTCCTACATGCCTAATAATCCCGTCAGTCTCCCTCTTTAAAAACGATTCATCCTAAACATCGGAAGAATGAAGATACGTACCGCTCTCAAAACATCCAGCCTCTCCGTAGATTGAACAAACACTCGCTTGTACTGCCTAATATTATTCTGCATCATATGTTGTCGCGTTATTCGGCCCTCACAGATATCTTTCATCTGTGACTCCATTTCTTTCCGTAGAAATGGTTTGCTAAGACTGGTGTCGAAACCCATTTGATCGTAGCCCGTCACCAATGCCACACCAAGAGTGGAGGGTATGAATTCCACCATTGCGTTTCCGCCTCTGCCGCCTCCGACAGGTCTCGTGAAGGCATAATTTCGTTCCTGGATTTTGGCGATATGTTCAGCCATTGTAGCGTCCGTACCTATGCCATTCGCATCCATCAAAGCGATAAGATCAGGTTCTGTAAGATATGAAGGCGGTCCTGTTTTTCCCTCCGTCATCAAAGCCTCCGTCGGTTCAAATCTCTCTCCAAGTGTGAATCTCGGTAGGATTGTGCTGCTGGTCCATTTATCGTAGGGATACACATCTAAATAGTTTCTCTCTAGAACGATCAACCCGTGAGCGCTGAAGATCTCGCTCCCGTATTCGAGTTCAACGACGGTCTGTTGGCCTTTGGCATCTTCTGAGCAGCAGGCTAGGAATCGGCGAGTGACAAATTCGTAGACTTTTCCTTCGTCGGCACTCAGTGCAGTAGGAGCGCAATACGTAACAGGGTGAATTGGTGGATGGGCTTTATCGTCGTTTCTTCCCTCTCGTGGTTGCTGAAATCCCCCATTGACCAAATTTTGAGCAAATGGTCCCCATCGACCGTCATGGGTCTGCTTCTCAACTAAAGCTCGGAGATTCATGCCCTTGTCGAACCGATCAGTCTCGGTTCTAGGATAGCTGATAAACCCTTTGTTGTAGAGATCTTCCGCAATCTTCATTGCACGTTGACTATCCATCCTCAAAAACCGACTGGCGTTCTTCTGGAGTTCAACTGTAGTTAGGGGCAGAGGTTTCCATTTCTTCGTCGGCTTTTCTTGAACCTTGATAACTTTCGCTACCTTCGCTGCAATGCACCTTTCGAACAGAATGGTCACTATTGCACGATCGAAAAGATGCACCTGTTTCCAAGAGAAATGAACATCGATGTTGTCCCGTCTATGGTTGACACTAATGCCCCAGAATGGCTCTGGGATAAAATTGACTACTCTGAAATAGCGGTCGACTACAAATCCCAGAGTTGGAAACTGACAGGGCCCTGTACGGAATTGGCATGGCGGCATTTTCAAATATACTGGGAGAAGCTTACCGTAGCTCACAATTCTCCTTTTTCCCTTTTCGTCAACGGCCAGAGTACCACCCAGAGACCGAACAGCAAGGGTCGTCATTCGTGTAAAGGCAGAGCCAATTCTTAAATCGAGCTCAATGCGGGCTGACACAGCATCTACCAGGCGATCGTCGAGATCAATAGGATTCTTGGCGGCGGTGATGACATGACTAGTGCAACTTAGAACGGATCAGTAGTCTGTGAGAATGGGCCTTACGCTCTCTCGATGTTGCTGAACCGAGCTCTCTTGACTTGAATATTGGCATTTCCTTCTAAAGCTTGAGACCGTGCTTCGGCGCCGATGTGCTCTCCTTCTCGATCACAGTCTGTCCAAATGAAAAGGGCACGAGCACCCCTCGCTTCCTTTTTGATGTTGGCTGCAATCTCTACTTTATCCTAGGCGGGGTGCTTAGTTAGTTGTCACTCTGTAGAGAAATTTCAGTTTACAGACTTTGTCAACTGTGGTGAAAACAGGGGCTGAAAAGAGAGCTTCAGCGGGAGGATAGTTCCAGTCCTGTCTATGCTCCTGGTCAAAGTCGGCACCGGTCAGATGGCCTACGACAGATGTCATAACCACATTGCAATTGCCCCATCGTCCTCCAAAGTTGAAATCAAAACAGTAGTTCTTGATGTATTGGTTGCCGGAGTTGCGCTGAAATTTTTAGCTAGGATCCTTTATACTTTGAGTTTGTTCCTCAGGTACTCACTACTTGAACTTGGCCTCCTGAGAGATGGTTTGCAACGGCCTTGGCAATAGAAGGCTTCTCTGCCACGCAAAGGATCTTGGAGACCATGTTTCTGTCATGTGAAGAAGCAGTTCATAGTCATAGTCATAGTCTTCGCGTGAATGCTGACTTGGTAAGCATCAACAGGCCGTCAAATTGATGAGGTGGTATCAGCAGCATAGCTAACGCGTCAAAAAGCATCAATTGCTTGTCTCGCAAAGTTTGTTGGACAGAAGACACGGGGTGAAGTTAGCTATTTTCTTGATATTCACAAGATTAAGCTAATTTTGTTAATTGATTTCAACATGGTCCGTGCACAACTTCTACGGTGGGGTATAGCGGAGCAGGCGGGCAGTGACTGCCGATGCAGTGAAACCTTGCCAGATCCTTGCAGATGCTAGCTAGCGCTCGTCATTGACTTTGAATGTAAATCCTTCATTAAGGGATTATATTTATATTTATATCTATATCAAGGCTCTTTCCCTCTACAAACGACACACCCTTTATTCTCTGCGAAAGCCCTCCTCGCCCGCCTTGTGCTACTCTACCTACCACCATGGCTCTTCCTGTGGTGAGAACCATCTCGGAATGCTCCGATTTGAAGAAGACAGTCCTCCCTTATTTACCTCAGCTGTACGACTTGCCCCAGCAGCTGCTACAATCCTACAACAACCCTACCGAGCTGCGAACTATCTACCTGGCTACGAATCCCCTCATTAGTGGCCTTGCATTATCCCTCTTCCTTGCACCCGTGTTCCTCCTCGTTTCAGAGATCAACAGGAATTACTCGCAGGTAGACCGGTGCTGGAGCATATTGCCTACCCTTTACAACGCCAATTATGTTATCTACGCCCACATGTCAGGTCTGCCAACTACTAGGCTTGACACTGTGATTGCTGTCAGTTCTGTTTGGAGTGTAAGTGATTGTCTGTCTCTTGCTGAGGTGTCCTAACTTTTCGATTAGCTGCGTTTAACTTTCAATTACTGGCGCAAAGGAGGATATAGTATTGGCTCGGAGGACTACAGATGGTACGTGTAAAACACCAGTGCGTGTAAATCCAGTACTGACAGATGATATTCAGGGACGTCCTCAAAGAACACATCAACCCAGGTCTCTTCTTCGTATTCAACGTTGCATTCATCTCCCTCGCCCAAAGCATACTTCTCTTCATTATCACGACCCCCACATACGTTATGCTACTGTCTGCTCGAATCGGAGTAGAGATGAACACTGGAGATATTGCATTTTCTAGAGCATTAATGGGGCTTATTCTTGTCGAGTTCTTCGCAGACGGGCAGCAGTGGAGTAGGTAGAAAGGAGCCCCAAATAAGATAAATCACTAACACCCACCAGGCTTCCAACAAGCAAAGAAATATTACCTGAAGACGGCCAAAGTTCCCCACAAGTTTGATCAAGAAGACCTGGACCGTGGATTTGTAGTCTCCGGCCTCTGGTCCTGGAGCAGACACCCTAACTTCGCCGCCGAGCAAGCAATTTGGGTCGTACTTCATCAGTGGGGATGCTGGAACACTGAAGTCTTCTACAACTGGACAGCTATCGGCGCTGCTTCGTATTTGATACTTTTCCAAGCTTCGACGTGGTTCACAGAACTCATTACAGCAAAGAAATACCCCGAATATGAGGAGTATCAGCAAAGAGTTGGAAAGTTCTTACCAAAGCTTTCAACGGACCTCCCTGGAGATTTTAGCGATAAGAAGGCTACCCCGAGAGTTGAGAAAGCTAAGGCTCTTGAGAAGGACAAGCCGAGGGGGGTATCCAGATAGGAAAGAAGTTTAGGAGACAGAGATGCTCGTTTGCTATATATTCCCCTTGTGGTCGGTATAGGCACCTTGTTCTGCGGGAGTTGTTTCTCAATCATTTCTATCTATGAATCAGTTTCAATGAAGCTAGCACTTTTTTTCAGGGCTCATTCGTGCATTGGTTGAGGCACTCATTTTGGTTCGAACCATTAATAACTACATCGGAATTCTTTGCCATGTCGACAGATTACACCCTAGCGCACAACTCCATTTTATTCCTTTCAATTCTTCGTGATATATGTACCAACCTAGTGATTTGACTTCGAAGGATGACAGGCCGTGCAACGAGATTTGGCTACGAGGCTGCTGACAAATCCCATATACAGTCCTCAAGGGCTTGAGGAAGTGAAAAAGAGACGAAGAAGGACTAAAAATGTGCTTGGTTTGTTGCGCAATTGTTGTGTTTCTGCAATATAATGTATGTCAATGAATGGGCAGATGCCGAACAAGTATTGGAATCCTTTCTCTGGCCTTCGGACTGGGAGAAATGTGGACGTTGTTTGTGGGAAGAAGTGGAAAAAGATTGGGCGGCCATTAATCAATTACTTGCTGCTCAGGATCCTCTGGATGATCTTGGAAGCGTTCTGCAGCTGGATAAATAACATGTAAGTACACTTCGACATGTCATTCTTTTAGCCTCTGGTACCTGATCGACATTAAGGGGGTGGCTCGCTAATCTGGCGCTAGGTACTGGACTTTACGGCAAGGCTGAATTATCTATCTACTGTAGTGTCGTCATGGACTATCTCTAATAATAACAATCGACAGTAATATATTCCAATTAGGCCTGCTTTACAAAACATACAACAAGAACAAATACAACCCAGTTATATACATGACTGGCTCGGAAGATGGCAAAAACGCGAGTTATATACTGGTTCCGAACCGACCTCCGACTCCACGACTCGCCAGCCTTGAGAGCAGCCTTGGACCTAAACGCCGAAGCCTTCTGGCCAATCTGGACATGGGACCCTCACTATGTATACAAAACGAGAGTCGGGGTGAACAGATGGCAATTCCTGTGTGTTCACACCCCTTCATACCTTCCTATATATTCTGACATTTCTCAGCATCGACTGTCAGAACGACCTCTCAAAATCAATAACAAGGCTGAACCCCAATTCAAAACTCTTCCTCATGAGAGAAGCACCCCAGACACTCTTCCCAAAACTCTTCAGAGCCTGGAAGATCACCCATCTGGTTTTTGAAAAAGACACGGATCCCTATGCACGGGCTCGAGACGCGGTTGTCATGGAAGCTGCGAAAGAGGCGGGCGTGGAAGTCATTGTTCGATATGGTCGAACATTATGGGACAGTGATGAGTTAGTGAAGAAAAATGGTAATAAGCCAACGATGAGTATAAAGCAAGTAGAAGCAGCTGGGCCAAAGATAGGACCAGTGCCGAAACCTATCCCAGCACCGAATTCTATGCCGGATCCTGGAGAAACGACACTAAATTTCGAGCGAGAAGTGCCGGAGCAACATCCAGATCTGAATGAAGGGTGTAGGGAAAAGAAGGACAAGTCATATGAGAAAATAGCTGGGCCCAACGGCGACTTTGCCGTCCCAACACTCGCCGAACTCGGCTTCCCACCCGCAACCACGCCCCACCGAGGCGGCGAAAGCATCGCGCTCTGCTCCTTGCACAAAACAACCTCGAACGCAACATACACTGCGACATTCCAGAAACCAAAGACGGCACCAACGGCATTCTCCCCCCAATCCACCACTCTACTCAGTCCACACCTGCATTTCGGTACGCTCTCCGTGCGGCAATTTTACTGGGATGTGCAGGATGTCCTCTCGTCGTACAAGGGAAAGGAAAAGGCCTCCACACCACCAACAAGTCTTATAGGCCAACTCTTATTCCGTGATATGTATTTCGGCGCTCAAGCCCATCTCGGGCACGCCTTCTCCTCCACGCTTCACAATCCGAAATGCCGCTTCATACCCTGGCAACTATCCAACGCCCCCACACCTACAACTACACCCCCCTCAAACCCAGCCTCCACCTCCACCTACACTATCGATTCCCCGCAAGCCGAAGCCTGGTTCCAGCGCTGGAAGTACGGGCGGACGGGGTTCCCATGGATCGACGCGCTGATGCGGCAGCTGCGGCAAGAAGGCTGGATACACCATCTCGGCCGCCACGCAGTCGCGTGTTTCCTGACGCGGGGCGGCTGTTACGTGAGCTGGGAGCGCGGGGCCGAGGTATTCGAAGAGTGGTTGATCGATCACGAGGAGGCGTGTAACATCGGGAACTGGCAGTGGTTGAGCTGCACTGCGTTTTTCGCGCAGTATTATCGCATATACAGCCCCGTGGCGTTTGGGAAGGGCTGGGATCAGCACGGTGCGTTTGTGAGGCGCTATGTGCCGGAGCTAGGGACGCTGGATGAGAAGTGGATTTATGAACCTTGGAAAGCTCCCGAGGAGGAGCTGAGGAGAGCGGGGGTTCGCATTGAGGGGGATGGGGCAAGTGGCAGCGGGGAGGAAGAGGGCGTGTATCCGCAGCCCATGTTTGATTTCGCGGAACGGAGGACTATATGTCTTGAGAAGATGAAGAAAGCGTATGCGGTGGGTTTGTATGGCGATGATCACCGGGTCCTCGACGGATCCTGGAAACATCTCTTTGACGAACCTTCAAATGAACACGAGGAAGAACAAGGCAGTGAAAACAACAGGAAACGGAAAGCAAAGGGGCAAGCGACACTAGACGGGCATTTCAAAAAGGCGAAAATATGAAGAAATGCAAATGAATCTTGAATAAGATCTCTATACCAAAACACCTGATCCCGAAACATAGTACTGTTGATACAGCCAGTGAGCAAGCAATCCCACGACACGCCTTCAATCTAACGTCCTATATTTCCCTCCAAATATAACGCCCGAAACCTATAATAGCTAACCGTTGTTTTCCATCTCATCTTTTATTCCTCTAATCATCCCATTCCTCATCCAGCTGGTCAATCAACCTATTTTCATCTTCTGGGCCCCGTCCATTGCTTCGCCCGCGGCTGCTGCTAGACACGGGGAGGGTCGAGTAGCCTTGGCGGTGGGGCATGAAGCGTGCGCAAGATGAGGTGGCGATTATAAAGACGTCCTGTTTTGAAAATTGTCAGTAAAGTGTTTGGACAAGACAAGGTTAGAGAGAGAAGAAACGTGTATGTGGGAATAAGCGACAGAAGAAAAACTCGATTTTTGGGCGTCGTAGGTACAGGATACTATGTCTATGCCATGCCATTCCATGCTGGGAAGATATTTGAATAGTATGAAAAGAAATATGCCGATTTTGTACAGGATGCCTGACTGTCGTTGACAATACAATGCAATATCCAAACCAGAAGATCCAAAAGAAGAAGAAAAGTTTCATGAGAGTGACTTCATGAGAGATGGGCAGCTTCCCAACTCCCTTTCGACCCCTTTTGCACCCGCTGATGATGATAGTTCGGCCTAACCTCCATCGTCGGCAAAAGACCATCCCTCACACCCGTCACCTTACGCCTCCAATGCACGAAATCTTGGCCTACCTTTACAAAACTGCCTATGCCGGCCCACATGCTGTAATTGGGTAGCTGTCTCCAGCCGCGCGCATGCGCTACATTCCGCTGGTAGAAGACGCCGCCGAGGAAGTAGACGAGGATGGCGATGACGCCGATGATGGCGAAGACTGCTGCGGGGCCGACGCCTTGTTTTGCGGGCTCCGAGCCAATGCAAGCGTTTTTGGAGAGGACTTCGAAGTGGTAGGAGCATTCGTCTGGGGAGGCGCCGACGAAGGTAAGGGAGGGTTGGGTAGCGAGGGGGTCTTTGTCGCAGTGGAAGGATATGAGGGTCGATTTGCGGCGGATGCTGTCTTTTTTGCTCTTCTTTTCGTCTTCGTCGTCGTCGTCGGAGGATCGTCTTTTGTCTGCGTGGCAAGGGGAGCCATTGGTGTATTGTAATACTAGCCGTCTTCCTCGGAGAGTTAGGTTTGTCGATTGCTGGCTGGGAAGTGGTCAGAAGAGCTATGTGGGGGGAGGGGAAAAGAGGGACTGACCCTATGGAATATATTTCACCCTTGGACTCATAATAGGCACTGACGTTCTGCGATAAATGCTTGTCGACCCCAATGGGACGGTCTATTTCTCCAATGACCGGGGCGCAGATGTTGAGGGTGAAATTCGCTGGGTAATCATATCCTTTCGCGTGCCAGTCATCCACTTTGTCGTTCTTGTTGGCCTTCTTTCCATCTTTGTGAGGCTGAATAGTGAGCTTCCTTAGATCATAGAATGATCCAGTGGATGAGGCGATTGTACACGGTTCCACGACCTTATCCTTCTCGTCGGCCGCAACACTCACCCCACTATGTATGGCGAGGGTTATGAGGAGGGCGCTCGGGAGGAATGATAAAAGCATGTCGAGGGATTGAGGGGGGAATGTAGCGCCTCCGGGGCGCAACAGATAGAGGGGCTGATGCTGATGTACTGTAGTTGGTTCTACCAGTATCTCGGCATGTAGCGGGACGGACACCTGTGAAGTTGTCGCCAGATCTGCAGGTACCGTGCAATAGTCATGTGATTCGGCGTTGCCTTGGAAAGAACATCACATCCTACAAAATCATAAATATATAAATACAACTACATAGTGTCAATGATAGCCTTGATAATGACTCGTATCAAGATGATGGAACTTCTGTGATGTTAGTCTGGACTAAGGTAAGGTAGGGTAAGGTATGTCTGTATGGGAAGGATCAATCCGCATATCTGCAGACAGTACCAGTGTACCAGTAAATCAAAGCGGCTATGAATGGTTACCTAGGTAGGTATGGAACAATAATAAATGTTTGCTTAGACTAGGTGGAAGAAGCAGCAATATTGCCTTCATCCATCTTGTATACACAGATTCGGGTCATCAACAACTTCACGATCCATCATTAAGCTTCCATGTGATTTCCTCATTCGGAGGTACGGTACCTTGTCTTGTCTTGGCATCGCATCACTGCACGGGCCGCGCCCTCTTCAAGCTAAACCGCAATAGCTCTTGAAGCCATCATCGGAAACTTTGAATCCGAGTAAGACAGAGTGAGACCATACGAAGATTTGAAGAACGGTAATCTCCCAGTTCTCGAAACTGCACCATAAACCTCATTCATGGACCGCCCCAGCTTCGACTTCTGATACTACTACCAATTGGCTTTGTTGCCCGAATATTAGAATGGCTCCTAAAGCTTCGAAAAGCGTTGCCGTCAAGCAGCCTACCTTTCATGGCTATGAGTTCCTCGGACCGTACGTCAAGTTTACTAATAGTTCTAATACCTTTACTAACTTTTTCACAGGCCAGGTGCTTTTGCTATCTCCTTTGGACTCCCATTTGCCTGCTACCTCTCGACATTCCTCTGCAACGACATTGCTGGCTGTCCAGTTCCCTCCCTTCTTTCACCGTCAACATTGACAATCGAGACCCTTAAACGCGAAGTAGGATGGCCTGCGAGTGGAATCCGTGGCCTGGCAAGTTGGGATGTCTCTGCAAAGGTCTTGGGCTATTATCTCCTTTCTGCCGTGCTCCACAAAGTCTTGCCAGGAGAAGAGGTTGAGGGTGGAGAGCTTTCCACCGGCGGCAGGCTTCACTATAAGTTTAATAGCATGTTCTTAAACTCCACAACAACATACAATTCTAACCTTTTTCAGCCTGGTCCTCTACAATGACCACTCTCGCGATCCTCGCAGCCGGTACAGTCCTCCAAGGCGCGGATTTCCCTGTCTGGACCTTCATCTACGACAACTATCTCCAAATCCTCACAACCAACATCATAATCGCATACATCCTCGCAACGTTTGTCTACGTTCGTAGCTTTGCTGTCAAACCCGGAAATGTAGAAAAGCGCGAGCTAGCAGCAGGAGGCATATCAGGAAACATGCTCTACGACTGGTTTATCGGCCGCGAACTGAACCCACGCATCACCATCCCCTTGCTGGGCGAAATCGACATTAAGGAGTTCTGTGAGCTGAGACCTGGTATGATGGGCTGGATCATTTTGAACTGCACATTCGTCGCACACCAATACAAGATATACGGCACCATCACCGACAGCATCCTGTTTGTCACCGCCTTCCAAACCCTATACGTGCTAGACTCATTCTGGATGGAGAGTGCAATCCTCACCACAATGGATATTACAACCGATGGTTTTGGCTTCATGCTCGCATTCGGTGATCTAGTCTGGGTTCCTTTCATTTACAGCATCCAAGCACGATACCTTGCCGTGTATCCCCTTTCCCTCGGCCTCTACGGCTCAGCCGGTGTCCTTGCATTCTTAGGAACAGGGTACTACATCTTCCGCAGCGCAAACAATGAGAAAAACCGCTTCAGGACCAACCCTGATGACCCCCGCGTTGCGCATCTGAAGTACATTGAAACAAAATCTGGGTCCCGCCTGCTGATTTCCGGGTGGTGGGGCACGGCACGCCATATCAATTATTTCGGGGACTGGATTCAAGCGTGGGCATATTGCTTGCCTACTGGACTTGCTGGGTATGTGGTTCAACACTCGTCGGTAGTTCCTAGCACAGGAATGAGTGCTGCGGATGGCAGTTTTGTCTACACTGGACCTACAGGCCTTACAGAGATTTTCCAAGGGGCTGCGAAGGGATGGGGGATGATATTCACGTACTTTTATCTGATATACTTTGCGATCCTGCTCGTTCATCGGGAGTTGAGGGATGAGGAGAAGTGTGAGAGGAAATACGGGAAGGATTGGGAGAGGTATTGTAAGGAGGTTCCGTCTCGGATTATTCCTGGTATCTATTGAGATATGAAGGTCTGCCGAGGTAAATATACTATGTATGATACAAATCGCTACAGGAAGCGTGGATGGGGCGAAGTAGCTCTTTGCAACATGGCTACATGGGACGGAATTATAGATAGATAATGCACCAGATGTATATGAGATGATGAGATGACATTTTGCGATAGAACGGAAGGGGCCCGGTTTGTTGGCACGAATTTGGAGGTCTTGATAACAGAGCAAGGACCCTTAGGGGATGAGGACCCGAACGCGAACCCGAAGATTCGGCGAAGACCCGGAAGTATTTGAGAGAGAGATATCGATCTGCTCTTATGGTGGGTGTCACTAGGAAAAGTCCCGACTCCCGACAACCAGGGGAGTTCTGTAGAATCCCAGTCCTATGACGTCGAGGACGTCCAGGTATGTTCTGTTTCCTTTCCGGCGTTTACTCGAGTACAGTATAGCCATTCCTGGAACTGGATCCAATCAAAACTACGCAACTTCATACTTCAAATTTAGCTCTGCAAAACACCCGCTTTCTCTTCCAGGTAATGTTTTGCAGACTACTAGTAGTAACGGTGCAGATCATGAATGGAGCCGCGTGCCCGCCCCGCCCCGCTCATTCATCTACAGGGTTAGCTCCAAAGAGGGGAAGCTCGTAAAGTATTTATGGAGTATATCTGGACCATGACGGTTGATCGTTATGCACTTTAGATTAATTGGCGTGGGCCAGACACTTAAATATGAGGGCGGTCCCTCCTCTGAATACTGCAAGCAAGCTTCTTGTATTCGTCCGCTCGTTGTTGGTTCAAGATGCATTCACTCGCCACTGCTGTTGCCGTGTTGGCCGCCTGTGTCACCAGCGCGACTGCACGTAATGATGTAAGTTCTCTTTTTTCTTCTTCTTCCCCCTTCCGGATTCACACCGAACGAAACAACGATACTTTAAGTCGAGTATCCTTTTCTTGCATACTATAACTGTATCACGGGACATTTGTCGAATACATTAATCGTATTGGATGCAAACGGACGAAACTGTACAACTGCAAACAAGCAGCTTTATTGACACAATCCCCAACTTCAAACCCGCATCTTCTCCTACAGGATGCGGCGTCTTTCAACTTTCACTCTCGAGCTGGCGGTCTGCCTCACGGGATTAGGTCTAACGTTATCACAGAGTCTTGCGACAAGCGATCCCTTTTATCCTACGCCGTGGATGACAGGACAGGGTGAGTGGAGTGATGCATATGCGAAGGCGACGGACTTTGTGCGCCAACTTACACTGTTGGAGAAAGTCAATTTGACGACGGGTGTTGGATGGGGTAAGTTTCGGCTCATTTTTTATTTATTGTATCTCCAAAATAAATACTCCTTCCAGTCTTGAATTTCCGAACTTCAAGTGGGATTGGATTTGGAGTTGGAGTTGGATGAGGAAATGACTAACCTCAGCAACAGAAGGAGAACAATGCGTAGGCCAAGTAGGCAGCATCCCGCGCCTCGGCTTTCGCTCCCTCTGCATGCAAGACTCGCCCGTCGGTATCCGAGACAGTGACTACAGCTCCGTCTTCTCGTCCGGACAATCCGTCGCTGCGACTTTTGACCGTCAGCTTTTCTATGCGAGGGGTTATGCTATGGGTGCTGAGCATAAGGCCAAGGGCGTAACCGTTCAACTTGGACCTGTTGCGGGACCTATGGGAAGAGCACCAGAGGGTGGTAGGAATTGGGAGGGTTTCTCACCGGATCCGTATTTGAGTATGTTTTTTATGACGAGATATGAGAATACGTAAGCAGAGGCTAATCGTGTTTAGCTGGTATCGCCATTGCCGAGACGATCAAGGGCACGCAGGATGCGGGTATTATTGCTTGTGCTAAACATTTCATTGGGAATGAGCAGGAGCATTTCCGTCAAGTTGGAGAGGCGAATGGTTTTGGTAAGTATATTATTGATTGTCCTCTCTTTGGGTGGGTCTGGGATTGGCATGTCGAGAACGCCAACGATGCCATACCCGTCAACTCCCCGCACTTCACAACTCATAAGTTTCCATACTAATCTCGCGATTCTAGGCTATGATATCACCGAAGCTCTCTCTTCAAATATTGACGATGTCACCATGCATGAACTTTACCTGTGGCCTTTTGCGGACGCCGTTAGAGCTGGAGTTGGAAGTATCATGTGCTCGTACAATCAAGTCAACAACTCGTACGCTTGCCAGAACTCGAAGATGCTTAACAATCTTTTGAAAGACGAACTCGGATTTCAAGGTATTCCCGGAAATGTCCTGCTTTCGATACTTCACTAAACTCATCTTTACAGGTTTCGTCATGAGTGATTGGCAAGCCCAGCACGCTGGTGCTCCATCCGCCCTAGCTGGTCTCGATATGGCCATGCCTGGTGACACGTTATTCAACACTGGCGACAGTTTCTGGGGTACCAACTTAACACTCGCTGTTCTCAATGGTACTGTTCCTGAATGGAAGATCGATGATATGGCTTTGCGTATCATGTCGGCGTATTTCAAAGTTGGACTTACACTTGATGAGCCTCCTATCAACTTTGATTCCTGGACTTCCGATACCTATGGACCCCTACATGCTGGAGTTGGCTTGGATTACCAGCAGGTCAACTGGCACGTGGATGTTCGAGGTGATCACGGTGATTTAATTCGGGAGATTGGTGCTAGGGTGAGTTTCCCATGGCGGCGTTCCGAGGAGGCAGTGCTAATTTACCACTAGTCTACGGTTCTTCTCAAGAACACCAATAATGCCCTTCCTCTTTCGAAACCAAAATTCATTGGAGTTTTCGGTGGAGATGCTGGCTCGAATATCTTGGGACCTAATGGCTGCTCTGACCGTGGATGCGACAACGGAACTTTGGCCATGGCATGGGGATCCGGATCTGCCAATTTCCCATACTTGAGTGAGTGGTTATCCCGATGAATATCGAGAACTACGCTAACTATTTAGTCACCCCCGACTCTGCTCTCCAAAGCCAAGCTATCGCCGACCACTCTAGATATGAGAGTGTTCTTGACAATTACGCTGACTCCCAGATTGAAGCGCTTGCATCAGCACCTGAAATAACTGCAATCGTATTTGTGAATGCTGATTCCGGAGAAGGATACATCAGTGTGGACGGAAATGAGGGTGACCGAAACAACCTCACACTTTGGCATTCTGGCGACGCCCTGATCAAGAATATTTCATCAATGTGTAACAATACTATTGTTGTTATCCATTCAACCGGTCCAACTCTCGTCTCGGAGTGGTATGATAGCCCAAACGTTACTGCTATCCTATGGGCTGGTATCCCAGGTCAAGAAAGCGGAAACAGTATCACCGATGTCTTGTACGGCAAAGTCAACCCCGCAGCCCGCACCCCTTTCACCTGGGGCAAGACCCGCGAAAGCTATGGCACAGACATCTTGTATGAGCCCAACAATGGCAAAGGCGCCCCCCAATCCGATTTTACGGAAGGAGTCTTCATCGACTACCGCGGCTTCGACAAGTCCAACTCTACCCCAGTCTACGAATTCGGTTATGGGCTTTCTTACACGACCTTCAACTACTCCAACCTAGTTATCAAGTCAGCCAACGCGGGTAACTACACCGCAAGTGTCGGCAAGACCGCTTTTGCGCCTGTGCTAGGCAACTTCTCGACGAATCTAGCGGATTACTTATTCCCTAATGGCTCGTTCCGCTACATCTCAGAGTACATATACCCGTATCTCAACACGACCGACGCGAAAGCCGCATCCGGTGACCCTTCCTACGGTCAAAATGCCTCTGAATTCCTCCCACCCCATGCCACAGACGGCTTCCCTCAACCTCTCCTCGCAGCAGGTGGTGGACCAGGTGGAAATCCGGCTCTCTGGGACGTATTATACACGGTCAATGCGACCATCACCAACACTGGCCCATTGGACGGCGAAGAGGTACCGCAGCTGTATATCAGTCTCGGTGGCCCCAACGACCCGAAAGTTCTGTTGCGTGGGTTTGAGAGATTGAGTATTGATGCGGGGGAAAGTGCCACTTTTACTGCCGATGTACTGAGGAGGGATATCAGTAATTGGGACACGGTGGCACAGAATTGGTTCATCTCGAGTTACCCCAAGATTGCTTACGTCGGTCCTAGTAGTAGGAAGTTTGTGCTTAGTGGGACTTTGCAGTAATTTTATGGTAATCATAGGCGAAGCGAAGGCAGACAAGGAGGGTCGGGAAAAGAACCCTCGAAGGCTCGATGGATCGGAGCCGGATTGAACTCGTCAGGAGGATAAACTGCCGCTTGTGGTACATTACATTGCAAAGCAAAACAATAGCTAATTTTAATTATGTTCTGGGAAAGCAAACTACCGATCCTCTGAATTTTTGTGACAGACTATATTGATACGAATATTGTAAGGTCCTAATTCTGCTGCTCGTGTAAGACGAAGACCCCTGAAATTCGGTCTCGATATATGTATCTACGCCACAACACATCCTGAGGGCGACTACACGACAAAGATTTTACAAGGGAAGTCACAGTGCATGGAATGGAGAATGAGTGCTGGATAGGATTGGAGGGAATATTGTTATTTTACCAGGTATGGGGAATAGTGATGGATGGATGGCGATGCGGTTACTGTAGGGATGGCTCAGCCGCTCAATTTGTGGCGACGAGAGGTATCCCGAGCTACTTACTGTATTGTATAGGTATATTCGATTACTATTGGGCTGCTGGAGAGGGTGGCGAAGAGGGTTGAAACCTGGGTTGGATGGATGTGTTATAAGACTGTAATTTAAGTGGCTGGCTGAGTTGGTAGGCACAGATGGCGTCCAGGAAAATGTTAATCGGTTTCCCGAATCTTACTGTACATGCAATTTTACAGTAGATTCTAGAAGTGTTTTATCATTCAGATAGTGGTGCTGCTCCACTGTATAACGTTCTTTTACTCGTAGCGGGGACGGTACGGTCCGCACCAATCGCGGGTCTTCCTGCAAGACGCTACCGCCTCCTCTTGTACCCCAACCGCAAATGGGTAGGCACTGTGCTGACCACGAACCTTCAATCCGAGTGAAGAATAGTTTTAATAATGTGCTGATGAGGTAAATAATTAGCTTGAGAGGATGCCCATTCTGTCCTAATTGCTTACATGAAAGAAGCTACCTAGTACACAAAACAAGAAGGATTCCGTCCGCATGAGCTGAAGCGTTCGGGACACCGATCGCCGAGGCCGTCAGCCTTACATTAGGTAGCTCAGCTTTCGGGGCTAGATAAGAAGATAGCTTGCGAATTATCGGCATATTCTACTAGTAATGATGCCAATTCAGGAATGCGTGAATTTAGGAGGGTTTTGTGCTTCGGTAGGTAAACTTTATGACTGTTGGATATTCCAGTATCGCTCCTGCATTCGGTGCTTGCTGCAAGTGGTGGCGGCTGACGGGACGGGATCGTTTTTGTTTCACGGTTCGGGGGTTCAACGTTCAAGGAGCATGGGAATCGGGATGCTATGGCGTTTGCGAGGTACGGCGCTCTTAAGTAAGATACCTCGGTCGGCCTTTTCTGACAATCAAGGCAAGCTGAAAGACAATTTAGCATGTGTGATTGATGCAGTCTCTCATAGACGCCCCTTGAGTATCATGCAGTCTTTTTCAGACAACTTTCTTATAATCGGATTTTGATAGAGCGCTATTTTTGAATTTATATAACCTGATTTTTACCTACCCTATGGATGATAAGTCTGGGGATCTATAGGCCTTGCGCGGTCTTGGGATATAAAGGTCGGTTGTAAAGAATATGATATGAATGAAATTGATTTTATGATTCCTGTTCTCTTAATACTGTGCCTTTAATCCTTGGTATTCAACATTGGCAGATCGGAAAATTTGAGAAGGTAATAGAAGAGATAGATGATATCTGCGTTTGAATATCAGATTTTCTGACTGCTTAACATTCTCTAAGCTAAGTTTTGCTAGGTAAAGGATGGTCAAGTAGCGGCTGCTAAGTTTTACAAAGTATACGTGCATGGAGAAGACGTAAGCTCCCACTAGCATTCCGCGTCTGATAGCAATCCATCCACGGACTCCGAACAACTCTGCATGTTGTCTATCATTTTCTGCAGGTCCTCAATTCTGTGCCGCACCGGAGTTCCATTGCCCCGGTCTATTCGAGCATCTTTGGTATTTCCTTCGACTGATATGCACTTTCAAGCAAAGTAGTCTCATTCCTATATAATGAGACTACGGCACATATGATTTGAAAGTCCCTCTTGCCTTTTGGTTTTGGAATGAAAAGGCCATTTGTTGCCATACCTATTTATTTCTCTCCCATATGTCTGCCGCCGGTGCCATTATGGATGAGGGACGGGTTCCCAACCCAACCGCTAGGTTGACCTTTATGGGTGTCGGTCTGTATGCAATTTGGAAAGGGGTATTGCCGCCGGTCTATGGGCTTTGGCTTTCCCTTCACACCCCTTTACGGATAGAAACGGCGATGTGGACCATACTTTACTACTTTCTCACTGGTGTTGGCGTTACTGCAGGTGGGAAGCCCAGATACTCATGTGCCTTGACTTGTTCACAAAAGAAATCTAGGCTACCACCGATTATGGTCTCACAAGTCTTACAATGCTGGAAGCCTTTTGCAGCTATATTTATTACTTGGTGGTGCGGCCGGTTTCCAAAAGTCGGCTCTATGGTGGGCTACCACCCACCGTGTTCATCATCGATACGTCGATACACCCGAAGACCCTCATTCTATTGAGCAAGGGATTTTCCACGCCCATATGGGATGGATTCTCTTCCCGCGACAAACCCCTTTACCAGCAGTAGACATCAAAGATCTCACCTCAAACCGCCTAGTCATGTGGCAGCACAACAACTACGAGGTCATTTCCCTGATAATGGGCATAGTATTCCCAACCGTTGTTGCCGGCTACGGATGGAATGATTGGTGGGGAGGCCTTGCCTACTCAGCTCTCCTCCGTATCTTCTTCTTCCAACAAGGAACATTCTGCATCAATTCTCTCGCGCATTGGCTCGGCGACACACCGTACGATGACAAACACTCACCCCGCGATCATCTTTTCACCGCAATTTTGACCCTAGGGGAAGGTTATCACAACTTCCATCACGAGTTTCCAACCGATTACCGCAACGGCGTCAAGTGGTGGCAATACGACCCCTCGAAATGGTTCATCTGGGTCTGCGAACAGACTGGTTTCGCAGATGATCTTAGCAGGAGCTCTGACAACGTCATCGGGAAAGGCGAATACCAGCAGCAAAACAAGAAGCTGGAGGTGTTTAAGTCGAGTCTGAAATGGGGAGTCCCCCCTGCACAGTTGCCGCAGATGACCTGGCAAGACTTTGAGGGTGCCGTTAAGGACGGTGGTCAATCATTGATTATTATCAATGGTATCGTACATGATATTGAACCTTTCTATAATGAGCACCCTGGTGGTAAAGGCATCATCAGCGCATATATTGGCAAGGATGCCACAGCTCAATTCAATGGAGAAGTCTATGAACGTAAGTTATGATGTTCCCTGAAAACCGGCAATTTTACTAATAGTAAAATCAGATTCAAACGCTGCTCATAATCTGCTCGACGACTTCCGGATTGCGGCGCTAGTTGGAGCAGACGAGCCGGAAAAAGAGAAATGATGGTGAAGGGGTGAAATGGCTCGCAAAATGATTGCCTAGGATTAATTTTCATAGTCTGGCTTGGACTTCCGGCTTTCACAATTCGTCAATTTTGTAAGGAGGGACTTGCTTCAACCATTCTTTCCATGAGTTTGATGAAGAGGGTAAAGATATCGAAGGTGGCAACATAAACATCACGTGGAGTGGACAGATTAGAAATTGTTGAAGGCAGGACCTTGAATATGACGGAAAGAAAAATGAAATTTGGCATTCTTCCAGTCTCTGATCTTAGCTCAAAAGCGTCCTTGTGCGGCAGGCTTGCAAATATCTCTTTTTTGGTGACGGGGTGCTGATAAAGAGCTCGTCTTCCTCTAAGTTTAGGATGTTTCCATAGTCTACGCTACTTACCTTCTATCCATAATCGTCGAAACCTTCTGGGCTAAATTACCGTAAACCTTGACAAGCTAGGTTCTGAAAGGTAACTCGGCGCCCTCCTCCCCCATATTCTTCTCTTAAAAAATAATAGATCAAACACTCACCCGAATAAAAAGAGAAAAAAGAGACTATTCCAAAATCCTCCTGGAGTCAAAATTCAACGCGACTTGCATGACTTCCTTCGCAATTCGTAATTCTTAGTAATAACGATAATGTTTGTTATAGCAGTCATTAATTAGCCAGCCCCGCAGGGGAAACATACTGTTTTACGGAAAGCTCTTTTAATTACAGTCATAAACCCCTTGTTTACATGTACCTTCCGCCTGTACACTCTACGCAAGTTCCGGTTACATAAGCTGACAAGGGACTTGCCAAGAAAAGCATAACTCCAGCAGCATCCTCCACTGTTCCAGGTCTGCCCACAGCGATGTCACTAGTATCCCTCCACTTCTTTGCATTTAAAGGGATTCCCGACATAATCTGTTGACCTCCAATCACAACTTTCTCATCTGGATCTGGAGGTTTAGTCATTCGAGTATCAATCCATCCATATGCCACAGTATTGCAACGAACACCATATCTAAGGTTCACATGAATCAGTACTGCATCTACGCTCGAAGTCGTGCTACTTACCGGCCCCACTCTGCTGCTACCGTCTTCGTGAGTCCTATGATTCCAGCTTTGGCGGTAGCATAGTTGATTTGGCCCATTGCTCCGTGAAGTCCGGAAGTCGAAGATATATTAATGATCGTCTTGGTCATTGCTCGATTTGCAGGGTCCATCCAATGCCCAGACAAAGCATGTATCATCCGATAAGGTGTATAGTTATGTATTTTCATGACAACATCGAATTTTTCTTCTGTCATTTTGTGGATTGCCGCATCGTTCAAAAACCCTGCACATATTTAGTGCCTACTCATATAGCCTTGCATTACTAGGGCGATTTTCATACCTGCACTGTTGACAAGTACATTGATTCGGCCGAATCTTTCCAAAACTGCTTTGATGAGTCGGGGCGGAAATTTGACATCCATCACATCTCCGCAATAGCAAAATGCTTCATGACCAGCTTTCTGTAAAGCTTCAACGGCTGCGTTGGCCCTTTCTTTGTCGAGATCGTTGATGGCAATTTTGGCCCCCTTTGAAGCGAGCAGCTCAGCCGTGGCTCTCCCAATCCCTGTGTCTCGCTGAGTTCAAAAATTCTCCTACAGGTCCTCTAAACGTACCTTGTGCTGCTCCGGTAATCAAAACGACCTGCCCATCGAGGCGAGTTGGATCAGAAGGCTGTGCCAAGTGGTTGCTGAGTTGAGCTAAACGGTCTGTCATTTTTGCAGCATCAGTACCTGTTGGAGAACAGCCCAAGCGAGTACCTGAGGTGAGACCACCAGGCTCTTGAAATAAAATGCCTTGGTGAGTTCCATCCAATTAGAAATGTGGAACCAATTTTCGGAATTGAGTTCCGAACATTCGGAAAGGGGGTTCGGTTCGTTGCCCAATCACGTTTATTCAATTATAGCAACTCCCCCCTCACGTTTATTCTTCAGCAAATCTAAACAACTTTGTAGGTAATGTTAGCTCAAAAATAATCTAACAGAGTCACACTGCACATCGAGAAAAATGCCGATGTTGAATGGGATATGTCTTATTACTGGGGCAGGTAATAATATTCCTTTCAATATTGTCCTTATATACACTTACTTTGGTGCAGGCTCTGGGATCGGGCAAGCGACAGCAGTTGCTTTTGTTCAAGAAGGATGCCAAAGATTAACAATTGCCGATATGAGTGCATCCGGGCTCGAGAAAACGACTCAACTGATAAAATCGCATGATGAAAAGGCTCAAGTCCTCGAATTGCTGGTGGATGTATCTAATCAAGATGCGGTGAATAAAATGGTCAAAAAGACGGTAGAAACATTCGGTCGACTCGATTATGGTAAGTGTCAGGAACATTTATCACCTATATCGTACAGAATCTGACTCTCCATACCCTCCAGCCGTCAATGTTGCTGGTGTAAGCACTCTTAACCTTTACTTTGAAGACCAATAATTTATGAATCATTCTAGGTAACATGCCGTGACAGATCGTTGGCGGCAGACTACGACATTGCTGAGTTCGACAGAATACATTCAGTCAACGCTCGTGGTCTCTTGTTTTGTACGCAGGCTGAGGCTCAAGCCATGCGAAGCCAGGATCCGAGGGTTACATGCGAGAGATCTGATCTCAGAAGAGGGCAACGAGGAAGTATAGTAAATATAGCATCCACCTGTGGCATTACCGCAATCCCAAACATCATGCCCTACGTGGTATCGAAACACGCAGTTGTGGGAATCACTCGGTCTTTCTCAGTTGATCATGGAAACGATAGGATTAGAATAAATGCTGTGTGTCCTGGGTTGGTGGACACGCCTATGCTTGTGCAGAGGAAGGAGATGGAGAGTAAATTTGGTACTGGGGAAGATCAGCGAAGCACGGTTGGTGAACCGCCTTTGGGAAGGAACGCATACTCAGAAGAGATAGCAGATACTTGTGTATTCTTGAGTAGTTCTAAGGCGAGCTACATCCATGGCAGTATGATCATGGTCGATGGCGGTAAAACTGCGCAGTATTAATGTTTGTCATTGACATGTCTGAGGAAGACATATTATATTCTCAAATTTATACATCGCAGTGGTCGATATATAAAAAGCTATCGCATTATGACTCTCTACCCTAAATCTATTTAGTGTGCCAATGGTCCATTGTGAACACGCATTTGCATTTAGAGTATTTCCATGCTAAACAGCTACCTAGCATCGCTAAAATGGGATCATTTCGGGCCTGGAAATGCTCGGAATGACATTCGGTAACCCCTAAATCACTATATTGACCCCACCCCCTTCGCTAAAGTACTGCCACCATAGCCTTGGCCTGCAGCATTTATATTTGTACTTGTACTTCTATCCCCGCAATGAGTTCAATTCATACTCACTCCAAAACAATCTCATTTTCCCTTCGACTCACAGGATGGCAGAAATTACTTCCTCCATTCCCTTCGCAGATCCAAGTTGGCACCAAGACAAAACAAACCCGTACTATAAAGACAGCCATCGAGCGTTACAGAAATTCATCCGCAATTATGTTGACACCCAAATAGCACCGAACGTCGCGCAGTGGGAACAGCAGGGGTTCGTTCCTGAGGAAAACTTCAAGAAACATGCCTCACTTGGATTCCTTGCCGCAGCTGTGTTTCCGCTGCCGATTGACCAATTGGCTGGAATAAAGCTCCCTGCTGGTATCAATGCAAGTGGTAATTACAAGTTCCCGAAGTTTGTATTTATGGCTGATAGGAACTGACGTTGAAACAGAATGGGACGAATTCCATGATTCCATAGTAAGTCATCCTTTAGTTTATTTCTATTGAAACTTGACCAACGGGGTCTTAGCTCATCGATGAAATGGCGAGATGCGGATATCTGGGAACTGTTTGGGGAATAAATGGAGGAGCTACAGTCGGCGGTGCCCCTCTCTCGGTGTACGGAAATCAACTACAAAAGCAAAAGTACCTCGCACCTTTGCTCCGAGGAACACAAAGGCATTGCTTGATGATTACGGAGCCTGATAGTCCGTATGCCCTGCAGCCCACTACAAAATCGTTGATTTGACATATTTTAGTTGGTTCTGATGTTGGTGGAATGACTACGACAGCAGATAAGTCAAAAGACGGAAAGCACTATGTTCTCAATGGCCAGAAGAAATGGGTCACGCAAGGTCAATGGGCAACTCATGCATTATGTGCTGCTAGAACGGGTGGTCCAGGACCCAAAGGAGTATCTGTGTTCATTGTGGATCTATCAACAAAGGGTATAGCCAGAACTAAGATGGAGAATTCGGGTGTAAAGTCCAGTGGCTCAACATTCGTAGATCTAGATGAAGTTTTGGTCCCAGTGGAGAATCTGCTAGGTGTGGAAAACAAAGGATTCGAGATCATTATGTCCAGTAAGCAACCATTATATCGTACACTTTGAGCTCAACTAATAGCCTCAGCTTTCACTCATGAGCGGTTGTGGGTGGGAATCACAGCACTCCGACTTTGCCGAGTTGCTCTGGAGGATAGTTACAAGCATGCCTTGAAGCGCGAGACGTTTGGGAAACCACTTTTTGAGAACCAAGTAATTCGCCAAAAGTTCTCCAAGATGGCCGGACTCATCGAACCCACCCAGTTCTTTATGGAAAGTTTGGTCCACCGTTCAGTTAGAACTTCGCCATTGGAATTTTCCCCCCTCGCAGCGCTTTTGAAAGTTCAGGCTGCTCATAATCTTGAGAAGATATCAAGGGAGACACAACAGGTATTTGGCGGGCTGGGTTATTCGAGGACAGGCGCAGGTGCGAGAGTTGAGCAGATTAGTCGGGATGTGAGGGTTTTGGTTGTGAGCGGTGGAAGTGAGGAGATACTGCAAGACATGATTACGAAGTCGCTGAAGAAGTTGGCGAAACTGTGATTTAGTTCCGTACTAAATATGACATTCTTCTAATCTAAAACTGAAACTAACGCATAATGTGCGGTAATCATCTATGTCTATCGCTGGTCTCTTTATTCAAGCATCCTGTTCCGAGTGACTTCCGAGCCTTGATGGATCTACTATAAAGGTATGGAACGATCGGACCCCATCGTTGTAGTAACTGCCTCGTAGGGTCGTCTTTGCAATCATGAGTAGTGATACACACCGTGTCTTACTGACAGGAGCCAACGGCTTCATTGGAAATCACATTCTTGCTGAACTTCTTTCTGCGGGCTTCTCTGTTCGAGCAGTTGTCAGATCGCAGGTACGTTGATCGACTGGAAATCTGGGAAACAATTATGCAAATGTCTCATTGAGGCATTCTATTAAATATATTCTAAGTTCGAGAATCTTAGGCTAAAGCAGACACAATCCTCCAAACTCACTCAAACGCAGGCCGAAAGCTCGACTTTTGTCTTGTTGCTGACATCACGGCCCACAATGCGTTCTCCCGCGCATTTGAGTCTAAGGAACCATTCGACACTGTCATACACACTGCATCGCCATTTTTGTACCGGGATGTAACCAGTAACGAAGATCTACTTGACCCCGCCGTTAGGGGAACAATGTCCATTCTCTATGGCGCTAGAGACCACAACACAGTGAAGAGAGTCATCATCCTAAGTAGTATTGCGGCTGTAATGGACTATTCGGAGGCTGCGCCCAAGGACGGTAGAATGTGGACGGCAAAAGACTGGAATCCAGTGACGAGAGATGAAGCAATTCGAGCAGCAAATTACTCAACGGTGTATCGAGCCAGCAAAACGTTCTCTGAGAAGTGCGGTAAGTACAATTCTTCCTCAGATAAGGGTGATGACTGATCGATCTAGCGTGGGAATTCATGGAAGAACAAAAGCCGCATTTTGATCTGGTTTCTTTGAATCCACCTATGGTATATGGCCCCCTCTTACACTCGATACGGGACATTTCCCAGTTGAATGAGTCAAATTTGCGGATTTGGAACTTGTTTCTCGATTCTTCAAAAGATTTGGAAATGCCACCAAATGGGGTGTACTGGTATGTTGATGTGAGAGTAAGTGATAAATATTTCCCTATTTTGGAGCGATGCTGAAGATTTAAAACCAACATATTATACTAACAGACTCAGGACCTGGCCCTAGCTCATATACGTGCTGTGACGAAGCCCGAGATTGGGAACAGAAGAATCATCATAGCAGCTGGGAGCGTGACCTCTCAAGAGATCGCGGATATACTCCGCTCTGCAATCACAACGCTGGCTGAAAGCACTCCCATTGGTAAACCGGGAGAAGACACTTTCCCTACAAATGGGTATTCGGTGGACACTGACACAGCGAGAAACGTCTTGGGATTAGCATTTCGAAACAAGGAGGAAACCTTTCTCCAACTGGCGAGGCAATTGTTAGAAATAGCTAAAAGGACTTAGAGTGAAGGAAAATAATAAATGAAGTTTTGATGAGAAATGCAAACAGGTTCATGATTTCAGAGCTAATTTTTAGAAAATCATTGATTCATTCTACTATCTAAGCCTTTACGTCGCCTGGGAATGCGGACAGAATTGTATCTTCCTGATCAAGATACCATCTAAAATTGTCAAGTCAGCACACGATTCAATGTGATATGGGGAGACGAGTAGTGCTTACGTTGGGTCCGCAGTGATATCGGTTTCCAATTCATGACCCAGGAAACCGTTATTGAACCAGGCATAATCCAACTCTGGTTCTGGACATCCACTCGTCCAATCAAAGTCCTCGTATCGATGGCGTCTCAATAACTCAAAGTAATGCAAGCGCGAGCCAGGATGGAAAGCATGAAGCGCTCCAGTGACTGTTCCATTCTTGAAAGAGCTCTGACAACTATCTCCCCAAACAGTCTTATCCAGCCACGCCATCATCTGGGATTGATATGCTTCCACTTTACCAGGCTTCAAGGTAAATGAGGTGTAGTTCTCTCTTTGGAGCTTGGTGACTATGTCGCAGATGTATAGAGTAATGCGCTCAATGGATGTTATGAGGGATCCATGGCCAACTGGAGAGCCCGGCCCAAGGTAAACGAAGTAGTTCGGCATGTCTTTGGCGATGGCTGACATATAGCAAGCCGGATCTTTTGCCCACTCTTTCTGAAGATCGACGCCGTTCCTGCCCACGATTGGCCAACGAGGGACGAACGACATGTCAAATCCCGTAGCAGCAATAATCACATCAAAGTCACGCTCTCTTCCATCTCCTGCAGACTTGATGCCAGTTTTGGTGAAGGATTCGAGTTCTCCCCACACCAATTCGGTGTTATCGGCACACAAAGCTTCGAGGTAGCCAGTGCCCGGGGTCGGCCGGCGACATCCAACAGCGAAGTCTGGCAAAAGCGTTGTCTGAAGCTCTGGCTTACCAGCTAGACGGGAAGTCATATCTTTGATGGTGAATTCCTTCGCCATGGCCTGCTGTGGTGTGTCTCGGATAAAGAGAGGGAACCTGAAATTAAGTTCCTTTTCGACCTCTTTCCGATACTCAAGATATTCCTTTGGGTTCTCAATCCATTTGTTCTTCTGTTCGCTGTCGAAGCAAAAATTCTTCTTTCCAGGCGGAATGAATCGTGAACCCATGTTCGACGTGACCCAAGTCGGATGTCGAATGAAAACGGTCATGTGAGCAGCAACCTTTTGAACAGCAGCGGTGACTTGAATCCCGCTGCTGCCGTTCCCAATGACGGCCACCCTCTTCCCACGAAGATCAATAGAAGGCTGGTAATCAGCGCTGTGGACCATAGTGCCTTGGTAGCTCTCCCGACCGGGGGTATTAGGCCATCGCCAGTTATTGAAAAATCCACTTGCGTTGATAAAGATGTCGCACTCTTCAATCAGATCCTCTCCCACTTCACCAGATGTGACACCATCTGCTGAAATAACATTCCTCCGTCCATCTGTTCGCCTACTCAGCACTTCCCACTTTTGTTTCTCTTCGACCCATTTTGCTCCAATAACCTTTCGTCTGGTCGTGATGTATTTAGTGAGATGAAACTTTTCGGCAACATCCTCAAGGTATTCAAGAATCTCCGGGGCAGAGACGTAAAATGAGGACCAATTGGGATTTGGGGCCCAGGTGAACTGAATGCTGTTAGAAGCTGAGAACAATGCGTTTGTATCGCAAATGCTTACCAAGTAGTTGTGAGCTGGTATATCACAGGCACATCCTGGGTATCTGTTCTCGTACCATGTGCCTCCCAGTCCGGCGTTTTTCTCCAGAATCTGAAGGTCGATGTTTTTTAACCCCCCTGTTTCGACCTGGTGGGCTAAGTCCAGAGCGCTACAACCTGCCCCAGCGACCACTATCTTGAGTCTTCTCGGGGTGTCGAAATACTGTTTCGAGAGGTCATATGCTACTGGATTCTTATTCTTATATGCTGCCGTTGCTTGGATGGGGTTCAGGGCAGGTTCCTCAGGGTGGCCATTGACAACGGAGTGAGCAACTTTGACTTCATTGCCAGGACCTTTCAAGCCATCGTTTGCAACCATGATGTAAGCTTTACGTTGGACTGATCAAAATTGAGTGGTGGGAATATAAAGTGAATGGTTTTTTGAATCAGGAACAACATAAAGTTTTCATTATCCTGCGTCGCGCGATTGCTCAAATAGAACAAATCCCATAACACCCGCGGCCGCCACATCGAGACTCCTCTTCGCGGATGTTGGATATGATCCATTGTTGTCGATCGCTTGAAGTCGGAGAAAGAGATTCGGAATCATCATCTCGATGTGTTCGGAACGAGAGATGGCTCCTCGGATATTCCTGTGTTGAGTCTTGGCGTTTCCGAGTCTCGCTTAATTTCCCTTTCCCCTTCCCCCTCCCCTTTTTCCTGAACCGAACTTCGCATCGGGGATCCGGAAGATAAAGAAACATTTTATGCGGCACTGTTTTCCTGGACAAACGATCTGTATTGTCGCCGTTGGGCCATTTTGTGCCTGAAATTATCTGCGTGTCTGACTCGAGCTGTAGAGAGGTTTGGAGTCTCGGTTGACGGAACACAAATTCGGGTAGACTTGCATTCGGAGTAAACATTTGTTAGTGCTATCTAACTAAGCCTACCTCTTAATAGATATCAAACCCATATTATTAAGTGAAGCTGCCCCGAGGAATCCTTTTTCAACCAGATTTGTATTCTGTTAACGAACATTGACATAACCACACCTCACCAAATTATCTTTCAATACCAACTAAAATCACTATGTCTTACAGTGATCTCAAAGGCAAGACCTATATTATCACAGGTGCAGCTTCAGGTCAAGGTCGTACCACAGCTCTATTTCTGGGTAAGTTATCTATCAGAAAGTGTCTCATATCCCAATTTTAGAAATGTGGGCCCCAAGTCTTCCACCCGCACTTATAGAAAGACATCACCGTCGCATATAATACTAAACTTATCATAGCCAGGCAAGGAGCCAATGTTGGCTTGTTGGACCTTCGAAAGCCAGATGACGTTTTAGAGGAAGTAACCCGAATCGGTGCTAAAGGTCTTGCTTTCGCCGTTGATGTCTCTAACTACGCACCTCTGGAAGCGGCGGTGAAAGAAGTTTCTGATACGTTTGGGGGTATTCACGGAGCAGCAAACATGGCCGGTACTATCGGGACCCAGGGATTCAAGGGCAAAGGCTATGCTCTTGAGACAATTGAGGACAAAGACTGGGATTGGATGATGGCTGTGAATCTTACGGGTGTCAAGAACAGCTTGAAAGCAGAATTGAAATATATTAAGGACAATGGATCAATCGTAAATGCTGCGAGTATCGCTGGTCAGCGTGGCACGCCATGGAATGCACCTTACGGTACCGCCAAATGGGGTGTTATTTCTTTGAGTAAATGCGCGGCACAGGAGTTTGGCCATCGCGGTGTCAGGGTCAATGCAATTGCACCGTACGTATATCAATCCAGGCTAAGAGACTCCGCTGACTGTCATCAGAGGGGTAATTGATACACCGTTAGCAAAGGCGCTCGGAACAGCTGAGCAAATCAACGATAGACTGCTCTCGAGGACGGCTCTCAAGCGTATTGCTCAACCGGAAGAGGTTTCCAAGGTCATTTTGTTCCTGTTGAGTGAAGTTTCTGGATATATCACATCTAGCGTAAGTGCACCGTACCACAGCGCGCGTAAAGCTAATTATACTAAATCATGTATCAGACGATCAATGTGGATGGAGGATTTCAATAATGGTGCAGACTACTAGCCTCTATTAAATACTTCTTCCAATATCAGTCATCATTCTAGTCTCATCTAATTGCTTGAATATTTATTGCGAAATTGTCTCTCTATACGACAAATAGGCATTAGAGTTCATCCAGCTCTCCAAGATGTAGAATATTACCGTTGAGGCCAATATAAATTCCTACTGCCCCATGGCAAGCTAAATAACATTATATGAGCACGTAACATGTGATCGTAAATGCCAATTGGTAGCTCAAGAAAATTGCAAGTCCATAGAGTAGTCTGTCACATCACCGCTAAACGGCTCACCATTTTGTTGCCCAAAGTTCTGAATACAGCCTAGATCTACATTGGTTTCCAGTGCTGGGTTTACCTCCGATGTCCAATTTCCGAACCCAAGTGGCATGAACTGTGGGAAGAAATCTGAAAAGTCGAAGTCATGAGGTCCCATATCGGGGTCGACCTCCATCTGCTCCATCTGATCCAGTATCCCAAAATCAGGAGTTACTCCTAGGGCTATTCCTGGTGTCTCCTGAACTACAGCACTATGACGTGCTTCTTGGAATGGCTCCTGATTCTGAGCCGCGGGAGCAACAGGAAGCGGCGAATCGTGTGGAACCTCCCCAACTATTAGTCGCGAGAGCTGCGGATTTCTACAGTGCTCTATCATTGACCTCAGTATGGCAAGATTTCGACCTGCGAGTGGCAGAGATAACGACATATCTTCCTGTATCTTGATGCATAATTGAAAATAGTTCTTCACGTTGCTTTTATCTTCATCCTGTGCACCCAATGCAATATCAGATAACAGGCTGAGAGAAACCGTCAAGGCAACAGGTGCTGACCATGAAAATATCCTTCTCAGTCCGAACTGCTGTTGAAATTGATTTAGCATCTTGACGATTCGGATTGAGTTCAAGGTGCAGATTGTCTGTGAGTCGGATGAGGTATACCCCTTGAGGCGGCGAGTAGAAGACTTCCCAGTTCCGGAATTAAGTACCGAGGCGGAAAATGGGCGATGGAGCAGAATTGTGGTGGTTAAGAATTGCATATGAAGAGCAAAGATGGCGGACGGGGATAGCGGGGCTTGTTTCGCGTTCCATTGAAGCCCAGTCGGCAATTCTTTCAGCCATCGAAGGAGTTTATCACTTGTATTAGAAAGCTTTGATATCGTAGCAGGGTCATCTAAAAGTTCATCGTCCCGGTTGATTACATTGATGATAGCATCCAGGATCCTAGCCAGATCAACCCATGCGGCAAGTATCTGGAATTGGCTGCCCACTGTCTGCTCAGAGGGAAGGGGCACGGAAATGTCATCTAGTTTGATTGACGTCGGGCGGCCCTGGAAACAACTATACAACCTGGGAAAGGTTTTAGCCACATGTATTACATCGAACAATGTAGTGTAAGAGTCTCATACTTGTCTATAATATAGCATGCCCATAATGTTGCATGTCGAACTTTTCTATCATTTTCTGTAATACTGCCGGTTTTCAACAGGTCTGAGCAATCCTGATGTAAACCAAGATCGTATATTAGACGAAACGCCATTCCTACAGGAGATGTAAGTGCAGTTCACAGGGCAAACGTGTGAAGATATATACCGGGATATAACCAACAGGATCGATCATTGCCCAAGCTACCCAGGTAGTGGCCAAAGATGCACAGAGCTTGTATGGTGGCTATAGTAGGGTTTTCAAGCTCATCAAGCAATTCGGCTTTGGCACGCCTCAAAAATACGACACCAAGTCCTGTTGCAGCTTTTCTATCACTGAGACGTAATGCTCTCAAGAGAATAGAGTAGAGCAGCAATGGCGAATAGTACTGAGATTTGGATTCTTTCCGGTAGTTTGCGTGGAAGGTCTCCTCGTCTAATATAGGCAGTGCAGGATGCTGATATGTGAAATAGAGACCAATAAGATGATCCTTCATTTCTTGCGAGTCCGAGAGTCGTTCCGTCTCGGCATCCGTTGTATCAGATGGTAATTCGGCCGCTATCGCTGAAATAGGGGATGTTGGTAGAAATGAGACGATTTGAAGGTTGGAAGAGTATCCAAAAAAATGTAATTGTCCATTTTCATCTTTGTTCAAGTTGCCGTTGCTAAATCGTCTCTGAGTGTTTGGTTTTCCAAGTCCAAAGTCTTTCGTTAAAGACTCCGTATTAAGTGGTACTCGATTGACGGCTCTAGGAAGGCCTCCGGAATGACACTCAAACCCAGCGTTTTCATCTATGGTCGAGACATTGCTTTGCTGCTTGTTGCTTAGCCGAACTGAGTCCAAGTCCAATTGACCCGAATGTACGCCATTCCCTAGAAATAGATTGGTAGATGTTCTGCTCTGCTCAAGTGCGGCAATTCGATCTTGCAGGGTTTGGATATACGCTTTTGATGTTGATCTAATATTAAATTTCAGCAGAATATTTTCTACCACCCACGCCGAGTTACGTACCTCTTCCGACGGTCATCAAATCGATACACACACGACCGATTAGATGTGCTACAATTCGAACATTGTTCGCCTCGTTTACCAGCGTCCCCGTCACACTATATAAATCAGAACTAAGATTAGATGAAATTGAAAGAGAAGATAAGTCTCATGGCTTACTTTGACTCTTCGATCCCTACAGGCTACGCAGGCAATCGAGGCTCGTCTCAACGTCTCCGATGCAGATCCAACCATGTTTAAATAATGTGGTATTGACTGTTGGATATTATGGATTATTGATCACTATAAATACTACAAGTAAAAAGAAGCCGGCTTGATCGGAGCGAAGAGATTGCAAAGATTTGGAAGATTACAGGGGGAGAAGTGCGGTCTGGGGTATGCGCAAGGACGCTCGGACGCTCGCCCGCGGTGCGGGGAAATATTACCCCAATTTTCTGAGATTGCTAGAGCTACAAGGGAATCATATTGAGAGCATGGTTCTACGGATTAAATCGATCGAAATAGGTATAAAATGTCGCAGTTTTTTGGTCTCTTAGTAATCTTATATTTAATCTCAATTAAGTAGTTCTGTTTTACGTTTTAAATTGTGTAGAAAGAAGTATGTTATATGACGAATATAACGAATACAAAGGTCATAATTACAGCGTACCGGATGCTGAACTACACTAAAACTCACCTATTGCTCTTTCAAGTACTATTTATGGCTCCCTCGATGTTTAACTCTCCCGAACCAAGCCGCGCGGGGCAAGATTCTTGGGTTTGGGCCTGGGCTTGTTACCGACAAAAACTGCCAGGCTCAAAAGTTTTGAACTAATGTACTTTGCCTTGATCATGCATTCTCAACTTTACCAAAGGCACGGGACATTATTAAACTAGGCTGCTTAAGGTATATCGGCATGCTCATAAACTCTTCACAGTCGCTTTCCTCTGACGAACACACTTTAATCTATATGCTTCTAACATGTGCTAGCGTTAAGCTATAACTCGATCAATCGCTGTACGAGTAACCTACTATTTTCATTCTAACAGATATGCCAGGAGAACCAGATCGGATGACGCGGGGAAATGTATTATTGGAAAAGGATATGCACTCACCCCAGGAGGTCGCTGGAAATGCTCGGTCCGGTGATTATAAAATGTGGCTTTTACGGACGGACCAATTGCTAGTGGTGAAACACCGGGGCACGCGGGGTACATCGCAGATCTCTTTTCTCTGCGACTAATTGGCCAGCCTGCAACTTAAATCTCCAGGTTATCTCCCTGTATCTTATTGTTTTCCTCGTTGATCACTGAGTGGAATCTTTAGTACCGAGACTTTTAATAATTCGAATTGCACGTTGATTGGAATCAGACAGTAAAGGATTCTCTTATTCAACCAGGACATTTTAATTGGCATGCTTGTGAAGCTCTAGGCTCTAGAGATGTGTGACCAAAGCCAAGCCTACAACAGCAACAACAACAATCGAGGGCGCCAAAAGGATGGCGGACAAAAACAGAAACGAAACAAATATATTACTAGAGCCTGGTGAATTACCCTCTAGTATGATGGAAAAGGAAGATTGCTAACCTTTGTTATCTTCTAGCCAGGACTGTCAGAGACGGAAGGTAAAGGTATGTTGTGTGAACTAGAGTCATGACAAACCTAATCAACCTAGTGCTCAGGGGAGGACGTGTGTGCTCACTGTCGTGCGAGGCGAGTCCAGTGCGAATACCTGCCAAAGGCTGATAATGATGGAAAACGAACACGGTTGCAAGACGCGTGCAATTCAAAGTGTGTAAATGCGTGCATAACTAGAAATTTTATACTTACAAATAACAGTGAGGACCCCGAACGCGCAGAGCCAGAACCAGATGACGAGAGATATGATAGTAGTGTTCACACTACGAATGACAGTATGTCAATCGAAGAAAGAATTGCACTTCTCCAGGAGGAGGTGAAACGCGTTGCGAAGCGAAGCACCCCAATGCTACCTCGGGAGTATGTACTATTTATCCTTATCGGCAACGATAGCATCATTGATATTATATAGAGGAGAACCCTCAATTCAGCGTAGAAGACTCACAGTTTCTTCTTCTGTGCAGTACGCTATCGACTTTTCTCATGGACTTGCTGAAGAAACGGACACATTCAACTTGAATCTGTCCCGCTGCAGGAATATATCCCTTTCTTCGCAACTTCTCGCACTGCATGAACTTGCAAGTCCGTCTCAGGACGATCCTCAGCCAAATTTGAAAAATGGACGAATTTTCACAATAGAATTACCGAAGCCATCTCGGCTAAGGCACTTGGTCACTGTGTACTTCGGGGAAATGGAGTCTTTTTTCCACGTTCTAGATCAGGATGACACCCGGAAACGCGTCTTTCAAGCTCTAGATGATTTAGACTACTCCGAGTACGAAACTATAATCGATGTAGATGCTCAAAATCATGCTATCATAGCTCTTCTATGTAACATGCTTGCGATAGGAGAGTCTATGGATTCAGCTAGTAGCGACAAGGAGGATCCGCGTCCAGGGTGGCCAACATACGTTCGAGGACGCAAACTACTTCAACAGTGTTCATCCTCAAATCAGATTGATCTTGATCTCATCAGATACCACACTTTGGGGGCATTATATATGTTGAACTGCGATTTGCTTCAGTCGGCGTCTCAAGCGATATCGATTACTGTTCAAATGTCCATGCTTGCTCGACTGAATGACCAAGGGTCTTGGGGAAAGTGTACTACACTGGAAAAGGAATTTCGACAAAAGCTCTGGTGGACTATCTATTACTTGGACCGTCGAATTACTCAACGGCTTGGAACACCCTATCTGATTAGAGACGCCGAGGTTGCAGTCGAAGACTTTGAAATTCAGGGAAATTCGACTGCGGAGGAATTCAATCAAGATCCAATGACAGCACCAATAACTATCTATTACCAGGTTCTTATAAACTTTAGTAGGCTATGGGGTCGAATTTGGGACACATTCTTTGCTGCGACAGCTCGAAAAAGTGGAAATCTAGAGGAGATCGAAATAACAGACACTCGAATTCTATATCTCAGAAAGATGCTGCCCCAGCACTTAATTTGGAATTCTGATAGAGCCAGTACATATGTTGGCAAAGGAGAAAAGGAACCACAGATACGTCAACGATTGACAATCTTCATAGTAAGAAAGCCCTTCACCCCGAAAATTCAAGTCAGTTTGTTGAGAAACCACAAAGAGAATCAACCTTTTACGGATGATCATCCGCCAAAATCCTCTTCTCTCGCATAGTTGTGATGAGGAAGGAAAGTCATTCTGTGCTCTTCTTGCCAAAGACACCATTGAGGCGATTTCGGCCTATGCAAATGTATGCCCCCAGATTCGGGCATCTGGGTACTTCCTCAGCACAGCATTAGTCGAATGCATCTATCATTTAGTATTCATTATCAAAAGCAACCGTACTCAGGTACAATATGTAGATGCGATTGGATCTTTTCGATGCGCATATCAACTTCTTGTGGATTACAGCGGCATTTGGACGACAGCTGAAAGAGCGCTGCAAGCTCTCGGGACAGCTGTCTTTGACGGGAAAAGCCTCGATGAATTTCTTCACACGCTTTCAAAGAACGCAGATTCCAGTATCCATGTGGCTAAATGTCCTTCCAATGGCGATAACGGACCCATGTCGCATAAACAGGGGGAATATCACGAACAAGATCCAATTCGGCATATGGCGCCTTCAAGAGCCCAAAACACAATGGCACTGGCATTCGGCCAAGACTCGCACCAGGGAGTGAACCAGCAGGTACCACAGATAGGGCAGCCTGGTGATAATGCCGAATTCATTCAAGATCTAGCAAACAGCTACGGAGAGTTGGATTTCGACATCCCGCGCCAATACTTTGGCAACTTGTAAATATTGAATCAAAATACGAGCGGTTGCTTCACCTTCTGGCAAAATATGACTTTAGCCGCACAACTGTTCATTTACAACTTCGCTAGTAAACCCCCTTTCTCGAACTTCTCCTGCTCAAGTCGTAAGACCCTTCTCAACACCTTCCCGGTAGGATTCTTAGGCAGGGAATCCACAAACACGACCCCTCCTTTCAATTGTTTATAACTTGAAACCTGACTCGACACGAAGTTCGATATCGATTGCGCGTGGACAACTTGAATATCTGGTGGGTGTGAAGCGCTTCCTCCTTTGAGAACTACATAGGCGCGAGACAGCTCAGTTGAATCTTTCTCGCTCCACACGCCACAAACTGCAGCTTCATCTACCACATCATGTTTAACCAATATTTCTTCGAGCTCTGTGGGCGATACTTGAAACCTTGAAGAAGGATATTAGCCAAGGTTGCGGAATTAGCGATTTTCTTACCCGTTGTATTTGATGATGTCTTTCAGGCGGTCGAAAATCACCAGAAATCCATTGTTGTCAATATAACCTAAGTCTCCTGTTCTATACCAATTCCCATCTAACATTGACTCCGCTGTGGCGTCTGAATTGTCCTTATATCCCCTTTTGAGATTTTATCAGTGAAAATTGTTAATACTGCTGTATGGAGAAAGACATACATCATTACATTAGGGCCCCGGACAGTAATTTCGCCCGGTCCTTGAGACCCAACATCAGCTCCATCCAGATCTACAAATCGCATCTCAGTGTTGGCAATTAATGTTCCTGCTGCAGAGAGTGGCAAGCTTGTATCACGAACGCCACTCTGAACACATGGACCTGACAGCTCTGTGCAACCATACGCTAGAATTCTCTTAGCTAACAATGACGTGAAATGGAATATGGGTTATTGAGTACGGACTTTGACACAAGGCGACACCTGGAAATACGGCTCTCAACTTCCCTGCTGTCTCTGCCTGTCAAGAGAATCAGTCCACTGTATCAAAACGTGTGATCAAACGACACTTACGTTCAACGGAGCTGCGGAACACGAAAAGTATTCTAGTGAAGGGTATTTGTATCTTTGCACAATGGGATTCTCAGCCAAAAGCTTTGCGATTGGCGGGACGAGCCTTGCCAAAGTTGCTTCTCGGTCTTGCAGCAGGCGGCAATAGACCTCCAGATCGAATCTTGGCATCAAGCAAACATATGCACCCAACCAGCATGCCCCAGTCATGCACACGTACAATGCATATACGTGTGATAGGGGCGGGAAAAAGATCTCCCTCTGACTGCCTCGCCAGTTGTCCGGATTATCGGCCCTCAGCTGCTGAATTGCGGATATGAGATTGCGATGTGATAGCATGACTGCTTTTGGTTTTCCAGTTGTCCCACTCGAAAGTAATATTGCACATGGAATTGTACCTGAGTTACGTCCTTGCAAGGAGAAGGCTTGCGACACCTCTAGAGATCCAGATGTTGAGCTCGAAGAAAACTGAATCCATTCATCGTGTGGTTTTCCGAGAGCTATGATTTGTAGCTCCGGAGGGCAATTCTGACATAATCGCAATGCTCGTGGAAGCGTTTCGAATAGAGAATCGTGGATCACAAGGTAGTCAGGCTGGATTAAATCCACAGCAAATGCTATCTCTTTCCGGTGCAAAGAGTTGTTGATAGGGCTCACAATTCCACCAATCCACCAAACTGCGTGGACGACCAAGATATAATCTATACAACTTGGAGCCATAATCGAAACTGTTTGGCCTGGCTTCACGCCTAACTCATGTCTCAACCAGCCGGCTGACTGCCGAACCTGGAGCCGAAACCCTCCATAAGTTGCAGTTTTTCCAGTGAGCGCATCCTCGTAGATAATCTTGTCGTCTGGGGTATTCGAAACATTATCGTTCATTAACTCGGAGATAGATATATTGCTGGGGATGTCTACCCACTTGGAGGAGCGAAGAATATTGTGAGCTGCCATTATCACATGAACAGCAAGTTGAAACGCGCGATCTTTTTATTGCAAAAATCAAAATGAGACAAGACTACTTACTGAGACCAACTTACTGATTATCGAGAATACTTTCAGGCAATGCGCTGCTTTCCCTTTCCTTAGCTATTCGACCTCAAGTTTGATTCTTCATGGTCGAGCATATGTTCCGACGTTGGGTTCCGTAGAAGAAGCCGAATCTAAAGTTACGTTTCCGAGATTGATTCCGAACTAAAAATATTTCGGAACCTCAATAGTTTGCCTCTAGCACTGCCGCATTGTTACTGAAACTTATCCCTACCCCGCATTTTCACTTGTCGCGGCAGCTATTAGTGAGACCTTGAGTATTAAGAAACTGTAGACACATCTCGGTAAGCGGGTTCCCACATGAAGACAAAATAGGTATACTTACGACTGGGTGGTTGTTTATCGCGGGGTAGTCACGGTTATTTCAGGTCATACTAGCCGCGGCTTATGCAAAGTAAGGCAACGAGTAGCTGTGTCGACTTGTCTTAAATCGTGTTCTTCTTCTGAAGAAGGTAGTTAGTATAGACTAGATTTTTGGGGGTTTTCACCTTTAGTAACAATATGAGTTGGCTGGTAGAATTTGCGAGGCTATGTAGCACCCATTGGGTTCTTGCTGCAGCGGCACTTCTTCTAATACACCTTCTTCTGAATCGATACAGGCATGGAATCTCAAAGATTCCAGGCCCATTTCTAGCATCTTTGAGTGATGCATGGCTGTTTGTTCATTATCTTCGACGACGCGGCACAGAAGAATACGATATGCACCAGAGATACGGGTCTCCATTACTTCGTGTTGGTCCAAATACAATATCGGTGTCTGATTCGGAAGCACTCCGAGTGATCTATGGCTGGAAGCCAGTTTTCAAGAAGGTAAGCTCAAAATATTCTGCCATCGTGAAAAAACTAATTGGATCCTATTCAGGCCCGCCTGTACATATCTCAATACGTCACTACGACTGATGGCTCGGTACTTGAGAACATGTCTTCGACCAGAGACGAAGATGTGCATAGTAAATTGAGGCGACCAGTAGCACATACGTATTCACTGGGTACGCTCATCGAATATGAGCCACTTGTGGACTCAACATCAATGGTTTTCATAAGTCAAATGGAAGAGCGGTTTGTAAGAACAGGGGAGGAATGCAAGTTGTCCAGGTGGCTACAGATGTATGCCTTCGACATCATGTAAGCAGTTGGAAAAGTTTCAAATCCAACAAGCACTCACCAATGACAGTGGAGAACTTACCTTCAGTAATCGATTTGGCTTTTTAGAGTCCGGCAAGGACCTTGGTGACATGATGTACCACACGGGAAAGGCAATGGATTATATCGGGATAGTAAGGACTGACTCAATACCCTTATAGCTCGTAGCTAATGAAACAAAGGTTGGCCAAATTCCTACGGTCGACGAATACCTCAGACTCAAGGGGTTCGGCAATCTTCTTCGCAAAATTCGACCCACAGGACCTTTGATGAAATTCACTGCCAAGCGGATCAGAGAACACACCTCATTGGAAAACCATTCGAGACCTGACTTTCTAACTCGCTTCATCAAGGCACGAGAAAAGTTCCCCGAGCTCATGACGGATGGCCGGCTTGCCGCATATACCAATACCAATGTTAGTGCGGGATCGGATACTACTGCAATTGCGCTTCGGGAAGTGACTTGGAGAATTCTCACTCACCCTAAATGCTATGAGCAAGTGATGGACGAGATCAAGAACGCATTAAAGTTTAGAGCCACTGCTGACGAGGAGGTTGAGCATCCAATCACTTGGGCCGAAAGCCAGCGGATGGTGTACTTTCAAGCCGTCGTTAAGGAATCTCTTCGAATCCATCCTGCCCTCGGACAAATCATCCCCCGGGAGGTACCCGATGGCGGTGTAGAGATTTGTGGGACATTCATTCCAGGAGGAACAACAGTCGGTTGTAATGCGTGGACTGTTCATCGAGACAAGACACTTTATGGGGAAGATGCTGCACAATTCAAACCAGAGCGCTGGCTAGACGAAGACAAAGAAAAGGTCAGGAACATGGAGAACCTTAGCTTTGCGTTTGGAGGAGGTCCAAGAGTGTGCTTGGGCCGAAACATTGCAATGCTGGAGATTTCAAAATTTGTTCCGGAGTTCTTCAGACGAATGGAGATCACATTGGTTGATCCGAAGAGATATAAACTCATCCCAGGGTGGCTGGTGCTACAAACCGGCTTGGATGTGACTTTAAGGCGAAGGGATCCAGCATCGCTTCGTGCTTAGAAGAAGCTTATGTTCTAAAAGGCTTTATCATTGTATAGCTTAGCTTTACGACATAGTAAGTTTCGTAGGAAAGAAAGAATACCCCGCTCCGTAACACTTTCTATAAAAAACGGTGAACACAACAATAGGACTCTCTATCTATTGCTTTATTGGATTCTGAAGGAATGTTTGGCTAAAAATAACAAAGGCAACTAAGTCATCCACCATATCCATCAAATGAGTAATTGGTTTTCATCTGTGTTCTATTTCTAATCAACTCAAAGAGCCCCCTTTCTCTAGCGGGTCATACCCTACCATCCACGGGCATGGCTTCTATTCGCTAAATGTCATTGATCTCTGAGACATCTGTAAATTTGTTTGTGTACTCTTGATGATATGATTCTACCCCGCGTACAGTTGATTGTGTGAAAGTTCGGCCCAGGACTTAGAAGCTTCGGTCTTGGGGGCAGCATCCGTCTTAGATTGTTCAGATTTGGGTACATCTTCAACCTCCTCAATTTCTCCTCCGTTTTCTACCTTCTCTGTAATCGCCTCATCAAGCAAGTCCAATGGAATGGAGGCGAGTTGCAGTTCTCGTTGATAAACAACCACTGTATCTTCATCGCCAAACATAGCGGCAATCTCCTCGAGAGGCTTGTGGAGGGTATCCTTGAACGTAAAAAAAACAACGACTGCTCCGAGAACGGGAATGCAGATAAAGAACAGATAGAACTTCCACGCAATGGCTGTGAAAGCGTGAGGAGCTGCTTGAAGCCACATCAAATTTGTCACACTGAGGGTGGCCATCGCTAGAGCAAAGCCTTGAGACCGGACGTGAGACGGCCAGATTTCCGCGATATAAAAGTAAGTTGGTCCGTCGAGGAACATGGAGAAGGTGGCCTGGAAGAGGAAAATAAAAAATGCACATGCAATCAAGCCACCGCGATCCACGGTACCAATGTAATATCTCTGTAAGGCGGCTTCGATACTCATGCACGCCGCACAAGCAATGAAACCAGTGGCGATGAGCGTGGGCCTTTTGATTTTGTCCACGAAAAGCATTGCCACGATGTTGAAAACAAACCCGGTAAGCTGAAACCCGCCCTGGAAGTTCAGAATTTGAACAGTGTTGAAGCCAAGATTTTTCCAGATGATGGATCCATAGTCTATAACGGTTAGCGAAGGAACGTTGAGTAGTATATGGAATAACTTACTGAGAATAACTAAAACTCCAGAGCTCATCAAACAGAACTCCAGAAATATTGTCATTAATGCTCGCTTCCTCAGAGAAGGCTGTTTGAAAATCCCTAAGTACGAAGTCTCGAAGGTAACATCCAATTCGATCTGTTTTCGCATCTGATAAAATTCCCTCTTAGCGAATTCATCGGTTGGATCGTTGACATTGGAGTGCATCCTATGAATGATTTTCCATGCCTGGTCTGTTCTTCCTTTGGATAGCAGAAAGCGGGGTGACTCGGGCATCCAATAAAGTCCACAGAGAATGACGGTGGGAAAAGCCATCTGAAGAGCAATAGGTCCACGCCATTGATTTGTTCCACTAACAAAATAGAACCCAAGGCCAACATAACATGCAATTGTGTATCCCACCATCATTCCCACAGCATGAACATCGGTTAAAATACCTCTAATGCTGGGAGGTGCAAGTTCAGCTACCCAGAGAGGAACACTTGCTAGGATTATGAAAGATCTATATCGATTTAGCGAATTTTGGCTATTAATAAAGACAAAGCTAGTGTATTTACCCGAAACCACTTAGGAATCTAAACGCAATGAACATTCCAGGGTTGACAGAGGCGGTAAGAAGAGCGCCTGAGAGCAACACCAAGAAATTTCCCAGCGCAGCCGAAAACTTCCTGCCATACTTGTTGCTCGACCATCCGGCGAAAAAGGAACCAAAGACACCCCCAGCATAATACAGAGCATTCATTGCTCCTATTAACGCTTCTGCATTGGGTATCTCATCCAATTTCATGTGCTTGGTGAACGATGGTTGAGTCAAAGTCGTTGCAATTACTGATCCTGCATAGCCGTATGCTGCAGAACTCAAAGTGATGAAGCCGATAACTAGCAAGCTGTAAAGATTGATGTGCTGTTGGCGAGTGAACCGCACTGAAGGGTTGGTCTGTGTCGTCTGAACGGTTGTTAAGTCCGCCATCTTAAAGAGACCGTTTGGATATTGAAGTTCTTCTTGTGAAAGGTGGCCCACTAAGAAATAAGAAAAGTATCTTGTGAAATGAAATATATTGCCCTGAAGGACATGGTTAATTTATATAATGCATAGGAGAAGGTGCCAAATGTGGGGTCTCCACAGATTGGCACAATGTGCTCGGACGCGGGATGCGAGGATGACAGCGCCACCAGGTTAAGGTTGCTGTACCCCGCGAGCTAGTTTCGTACCCGATAAAAGTGATGTTGGAGATATTTTGAATCACAATACCAAGAATTGAGGGCTAAGTACCAGGGACGAGCTATGGGCTAGTGACTTGAATGTTGTTACAGTATCCCCATAGGGTAAAATCATAAGAGCCGAAGCATTTGCCGTCTTCTGAACAACTATCAGACTTTGCTCTGGGGGGGCGGGGGCTGGCTGGGGCTGTCTGTACGTGAAGATACAGTACAGACCATCATCCATGTCTAGCCTTTCCCAGCAGAGTGGGTGCGCTGTCCCGAAGTCTCTCAATCCCAGTCCCGAAAAGTCATTCCGAAACACCTCGAAATCATGTGACTATAACTACAAATACCTAGTTGATCAATTTGATTATATATAACCATACGGACAGAGGTATAAAGACCATTTTGTCGCAAGTGTTCATTCCCAGCTGGTCGGCTTTGTTATTGTATTTCTGAAGTCAGCCTGATCTCCATGATGCCAAATTTCAACATCAAAGTGAAATCGGCGACGCCTCTCCTCCTCGACGCGAGAGAGGCAACCATGAAAAATGTAGAAGCAATGTGTCGTGGGCAGCCGGCATGGTACTCCCTTTCATCCGTAGCAGAGTATCGCCAAAAACGAGCGGAAGGCCTAGATGGATTTGTGTCACCCGCTCTATACTCTGGCGCCAAGACAGTCTATATCGCAGCTCGGGATGGGCATCAGATCGAATTACGAATCATCCAGCCATCTAAGGAGTCTAAGGGGGTGCTTCTCCACTTCCATGCGGGTTCGTAAACGTTTCGGTGAGACAAGAGAGATGGCTGACATGTAGAAGGCGGATTTGTGATCGGTTCCTGCAAATCCTACGATAACTACCTCCTACACCTAGCCAATGCACTTCAGATTACAGCAGTCTCTGTAGAATATCGTTTAGCTCCCGAGAACCCATATCCAGCAGCTCATCATGACGCTCTAGACGCGGCACGCTTTGCACTAAGCCCCGAAGGTGAACGCATTCTTGGCTCTCCGCTGAAAATTCTTGCCGGGGAGTCTGCAGGAGGCTCCCTAGCAACATGGGTTGTATTGGCTCTCCGAGATCAAGGAGTTGATGTCCGTTCAAAAATAGCGTGTATCATGTCTTCATATCCCATCTATGACATGACATATACACCTTCGTTGTTGCGTCACAAGAGAGAGGCTGTTCTGAGTAGCGAAGGAATGATAAAGTTTGTTGATACCGCATTTCCACACTTGAGTCTGGAAGAAAGGAAAGATGGGAATGTCAGTAGTCTTTATGCTGAGCTAAGCGGGATGCCGCCTGCGCTTTTCCTCTGCGGAATGGAGGATCCACTGCTTGATGACAGTGTTTTCATGGGAAGCAAATGGGCAATTGCGGGAAATGAAAGCGAGGTCATTCTAGTTCCCGGTGCGTGGCATGCTTTCACGTTGATTCCAGCAGGCGAGATCACAGATGAAGGGCTAGGAGATTTGGTCCAATTTGCGAGCAAGCATTTGAAATAGTTGAGCTACAGATGGATAAATTCTTTCGTCAAAAGTTCAAGAATTCTCACCATATTGTCCTCCAAAAGCCATTGAATCAATCGCAATTATCCAAGCTCCAAAGAGCCAAGTGGCGTAGCGCTACTGATCAACCTTTCATGGAGGCTTATGGCGCTCGCAAATGTGAAGTAAAAATGGGATACAAACATGTGTCTATGTCTCAACCGTTCCGAACAGCTTATTGAGACCTTTCGGTTTAAGGGAACGGACACCCTGCCGACCACTATTCTTGGATCAAATGTGAATGTTCGGAAAGACACCAGACCCAGGAACAAACACCAAGCGTAAATACGCATTGCCGAAACTTGGAGTTGTGTTCCGAACAGAACCGAGCACTCGTTCCGTTTAAAGATGTTCCTGGGGCGTGAAGTGATACCACCTCCGAGAGAGACTATGATCTCCGTGACTAGGCATCTGTGAAACCGAATATCTGCTGTTTGATGCATCGTGAATCTGGCCGCGGTTGTTTAAAGTCATGCGAAAACGTGTGAGGTTGACTATATCGACTTCGACTTAGGTGCTATGTTGGTAGTGTGGATTGAGTATTCCTGTTAATTTAGCTTATAGTTTGACGTGATCACCTTGTTTGTATAACGGTGTAAAACTTGATACCTTTTACTTTGGCATATTTTCAGATCCCAACTATGGCTTTCCCACAAGCTGTTACAGAAGCCATTCAAAGGCTCGAAACGCTCTCATCCTTCCCGTCGGAACCAGGACCTGGCATTGCAACCGAAGCGTACAAAAGCACCTCCCCTCTGGCTTACACTTTATCGCAAGTACCTCTGGGCACTGCGCGTCCTCTGAAAATAATCTGCATTGGTGCGGGGTTCAGTGGACTTGCCTTTGCAAGAGAAGTCGAGACGAACCAGCTCCAGAACATCAATCTAACAGTCTATGAGAAGAACTCAGAGGTTGGTGGAACGTGGTGGGAGAACCGATACCCAGGGTAAGACTCTGATTGCTCGAGCAAATAGCAACCAAGAGCTGATACATAGAGAATAGATGTGCCTGCGACATCCCTATCCACAACTACCAGGTAATGCTAAAACCACATCTAAAACATCATGGCTAAGCACTAATATACCAAGTACTCATGGGCTCCATACCCACACTTTCCATCCTACTATGCCGCTCAGAAGGACATTCATGCTTACATGACTCTCGTCGCTGATCAACATAATTTACGGCAATATGTTCGCACGTCCCACAAAGTCTTAGGAGCCAAATGGATTGCCGAAAGGCAAAAGTGGCAGATCCAGGTTGTCTGTACAGATGGACGCGAGCTTATGACTTCAAACCGTCACTCTCGAGAAGGCGAAAGTGGAGAGCCATTCATAGAAGAATGCGACGTTCTAATAAATGGTTCCGGTTGCTTCAATGACTGGAAATGGCCCAACATCACGAACAGAGAAGTCTTTCAGGGAGAGTTGCTCCATTCAGCTATCTGGCCGAGGAATGCAAACCTGAAAAGCAAGAGAGTGGCATTGATAGGCAACGGGAGTACGGGAGTGCAAATCCTTCCCGCAATCTTGGACGAGGTGGAGAGTGTGAAAGTCTATATTAGAAGCAGAACATGGGTAACTGCGGGTTTCGCTCAAAGGTTTGCTGGACCAAACGGGACAAATGTGGTAATTTCCGATGAACAAAAGAAGGCGTGGCAGGAGAACCCCGAAGAGTATCTTAAGTATCGAAAGGACGTCGAGTCAGAACTGAACTCGAGGTTCAGGTTGTATCTGAAGTACTCGCAGGAGCAAAAAGACGCCAGAGCCTTCTCAATCGACCAGATGACGGCAAAGCTAGGTGGGAAGCCTGAGATTGTGGATAAACTGCTGCCCGATTTTTCTGTTGGGTAAATTATTTCTATTCAATGTGACCAAAGCTCGGTGCTGACTATGAGAAGTTGTAGAAGAGCCACTCCCGGAAACGGATATCTCGAGGCACTATGCTCTCCCAAAGTTGAGATAGTATGGGGCGAAATCGACTCATTCGACGACAAGGGAATCAAGTCCGCGACAGGCGAATATAACGAATTTGACACAATAATATGTGCGACCGGGTTTAACATGTCCTTCTCTCCACGTTTCCCCATCATCGGAGAAAAAGGAATAGACCTACAAAAGAAATGGGACAAAAACCCCGAGTGCTATCTCAGTGTAACGGCAGCTAACATGCCTAATTACTTCATGTATTTAGGGCCAGGGAGTCCGCTTGGACATGGCAGTGTGGTGTCAAGTCTAGAGAGGGTGACCGAATATATGAGTAAGATGATTTCCAAATTGCAGAAAGAGAATTACAGCTCCGTGGTTCCAAAACCGCACATTCCACGCGCATACCAGAAACAAGCACTTGCATGGCTCGAGAAGACGGCTTGGAGTTCGAATTGTGTCTCCACATACAAAAACGGAGATCCAAATGGCCCTCTCATTTCATTACATCCTGGCTCAAGGCTACATTTCTTTGAACTTCTCAAGAATCCAAGGTCCGAAGATTTTGACTGGCAAAGTCTTTGCGACGACCAAGACTTGACATTTGCATGGATGGCGAATGGGTTCACGGTTGACGAGGAAAATAAAGAGAATAAAAAGGACTTGACGTAAGTGGGCAAGCTACATCCAAGAATTCATCTTACTGACTTCAACATAGCTGGTTCTTGCCGTCAGTTGAGAAATCGAAATTCATACAAAAGCCAGAGACCAATGGTTTGGAAGTACGTACAGAAAAGGTTGAAGAAGCACAAGTTTTCGTCAAAGAGGATCTAGGTATAACAGGTTAGTATAAAAGAAAGACGGGCATACTTTCTGTGTTGAACTTATGTGGTTGCAATGTTGTCTGTATTATGGAGGTGAAATGTCAACTACGCTCGTTACAGTACGAAATCAAGTTCACCAGGCTTTGATTACCTTCTGACTAATCCAATACAAACTCCTCTAAATTCCTATATAACGTGACTGTCTCATCCTCGCTAAAAGATTCGTATAACTCACTCTTCTATCTTCAGCATGTATTTCACGTCTTTCTAGATCCTCTCTACCCTTCTGTATAAAGTGAATGACTCATCAATAGATATGTGCCTAGATTTAGATAATGTAGGGTGTGGGAACTCAATTAGTGATATCTGTTAAATTATATACTTGTATATATAGTGCTGTCGCTTACTACTTTAGATAGTAGGGAGTAGTACTAGTACTAAGAGAGATAAGCGGATAAAGGAGAGATATAAGCAGAGCTTCCTCTCTCTTTTATTCCTTTCTCTCTTTAATCAATTCATGCCCTCTTTACTTCCACTGCTTGGTTCCACATTCTAATAATATCAACAATTACTTGGTAGCACTTTTCCAGGACAGAATTCTCGACGATTTATGATTTCCTAAACTATGGTCTGTGTATAATTGTCTGAGTTGACACATCCAAAGCATTAAGAAATCTCTCTAAACAAATAAAGATCATGGGAAGGCAACATTCAACCCTAAGCTTTTTCCAACCCAGTAACCAACAGCCTCTCTCACAATATTATTGCTACTCCAATTCCTGCTCGGATGCACCCGATTCGCGAAATGTAACCAGAAGCTATTCGTCCCTCTATCAATCACCAGCGTAGTTCCCGTATAACCCGTATGGCTAGCCGTCAACAAACTGGCCATTGGCCCAGCTGTATAATACTGATTCAATTCAAACCCCAAGCCGTGTTCCTCGCCTGGGAACGCCGTGTTGAAGTTGTAGAAAATCAAGTCTACAACGTCCTGAGACAGAATGCGGATGCCTCCGTAGGTTCCATTGTTGAGAATCATCTGGCAGAAGATGGCCGTGTCGCTCACAGTGGAGAATAATCCCGCGTGTCCAGAAACACCGCCCAGAGCCCACGCGTTCTCATCATGCACGGTTCCACGAATAGGCTGAGGACGCTGCGGTTCCGCGGGGCCTAGGACGGCGATTTGGAACTCTTGGGTAGCCATGGAGCCGTAGAATGGGAAAGCTGGTCCCTCGATATTTCCACGGTTGAAAAATGTGGATTTCATGCCTAGAGGAATTGTGTACTCGTAAATGAGTGCATCGAGCGGCTGTCCCGTAATATGTTCGAGGATGAGCATCATGCTCATGAAATTGAGATCTGAGTACAGGAATGTGCTTCCTGGCGGGTTGATAATCTTCTGTTGAATAATGGCGTTGATTCTTTCCGTATAGGTTGTGTAGTTGGACGAGAAGAGTGAGGGTGACGGGTCTGCATCGAAACCGCTCGTATGAGTGAAGAGTTGAAGGATTGTGATAGCCTCCTTGCCGTTGACTGCAAATTGTGGAATGTAGGAAGCTACAGTGCTATTCAGGTTGAGCTTTCCGGCATCAATTTGACGCAGTCCGGCAATCGTGGTGAACAGCTTCGTCAAGCTTGCCATGTCGTAAATAGTGTCAACCGTAGCATCTTCTTGCAGATGATCTGGGAGAAGGGTCCCATTCACATCTGCGTAGAGATCCCGTTTTCCCACTGCCACTTCTGAGACGATGACAGAGTTATGCCCGATGATTGTGACGGAGCCCGGCTCAACTGGGTGGACGATGTAGTGTGTGGCCGAACCGTAATTTGCTGCATGTGTGTATGCGGTCAAATTTGCAACCATGTCATTGAGCGGAGTTGAAAGCATTCCGACCGATTCCGCAGAACCATAGCGAAGGGTGTCCCCATGGCTGAGATCGGTTGGTGGGGTTATTGGTGAGGCGGCTGTGAAAAATGACAACATGCACACAGACAAAGCAGAATACAACATCTTGAAAATACTGGTCAAAGATATCGAGACTAATCAAAGCAGCATTTAGGTATACATAATACATACCTAAATATCTCGTACTGAACAATAAATTACTAATGCGAACTATCCAATAGATAACGATGCCACGTCTCAATGCTGGACGGCATCTAGAAATGACTACGAAATCGCGCTAAGTCGGCTTCAATACCCAGACCATCCGTTTCTAAGCCGGTGCGCTGACTGTCTCCTTCTTTTCGTGGCGATAGTCATCTAGCTCTCTACAACCACGTTATAATCAATTCGGCGCGGAAGTCACCTCGTTTTCGCGCTGGATATTCCTGTTGGTAACATGTTGTGCCGAGACAGTAGAAGACTATTGGCTGACTGTATTGCAAGAAGAACGTTGTGAGCTAGATTTACTGAGATTTAACCTAAACCCCAAAACTGGTCTGTGAACTCTGGGGCTGTCCTTTTAGACTGTTCCGTTATAGCGCGCCAAGCGATTTAGATGCAAAGAGAAAATGGGGGTGGGGGGCAATGGAGAGAATGAATGGAAGGGAAAGGTGGTCTATGCGTCTCCGCTCCTGTCGTGTCATGAGAATTTATGTTTCAAGTACGAACCGATAGACAGAGTTTCAAATCTGTAGATAGTAGAGATAACGTTCACGTCCAGAGGCAGCTTTTGAAGACCTTTTTACTCGGACTTTCCTTGAATTTTAAATAGACGTCAAGTAAGTAGACTTGTAGGGCCGAAAGGTTCTCATTAACTACCTAGGTACTGCATAGAGGGAAGCTCTTTTATAACTTCAAAATTGACATCGCAACAAGTTCTATTAAACCTATTATGGAGGGAACAACACAATCGCGAGCTCTAGGCTAGGATCTGACTTTCAGTATCATCATATTAACATTATATATAAAACCTCATACTGTTTAAAGTGTGTGTGGAAGATGTAGTGCTAAAATATAGCAGAAGCCTCAATTTATAAAGGCTGTCATGGCAAAGTTGCAGCCTAAATTCACATGAATCTCGTCCCTCTATAGCCCCACCACACTATATGGTAGCAGGATGTCGGTATTGTAGAAGGTAGATTGTCAATTACACTGGAAATCTAGTGACTGCCTGCTGACTAATCCAATATCTAACAATTTTCTGGGACCATATCTGAAGCCAGACTACTTGCCCCAACTACTCGGACTCTTTCTGGGCAGGTTCAATAACCTCTGGCTCTGACACGAGCGTTGTTACGCTGACTGTCCACACTGTAGGTAGCACAATCAGAAGCGCTCCCATAGATAACCCCCAGTTCATCGCGAGCTGCGACATAGGAGCTACTTTCAGAGCATTGATTCTCCACGCCATCGCGCCACCAGTCGCTTGGAAGGTCTTGTAAGCTCCAACTAGTACAGCTAGAGTCTCAGTCAGTCGATGTTCATGGATAGAAAGTGTATAATCATCGCAACACTCGGAGATATTTACCTGCACGTGTAGTGGAATTTGACTCCGTGCCAATCAGCCAGTAACAGAAACCCTGCCATAAGGCATCGTAAGCACCATAAAAGATATACAAGAACATCGGTCCAGCAGCCAATGAGCCCGTCATGTAATCAATGTCCTGTTTGTGACCGGACTTAATACGATGAGTCTGCCATTTCTGAAATGCGTAGCCACCACCCCAGATGGCCATGCCAGTCACAACCAAAACAGCCCAGCCGATCTTCGCTCTTGTTGTCCTGCTAAGAAATGGAAGATCCAGGATAACTCCAATCAAGAGACCGCCGAACATCTGCGCCATCCAGTACAACGCACCATTGAGCGAGCGAGTCCGAATGTTAAAAGTCTGACCGTTGACTTGGTTTTGTTGGTAGGAATAGAAGACATTGGCAGCGAAGAAAAGTGGTAGCATGCAAGCTACGCGCCAAGTACACATGACTTGAATTGCATTTTTGATGGAACCCTTGAAAGAGAACTTCTCATGTTCGACAGCGGCATGTAGCTGGGCAAGCTTGATTCGGCGGGGGGCGCAAATGAACATACCAAGGACCCAACCTACGAGCATGACTACCATCAGTGCGATATAAGTTGAATTTGTGATCGTTCCACTCTTAGAGTGGAAGTTGAGACCGAATGCAGCGAGAGATCCGACACCTCCTCCGAGGTTGAAAATGATCCAGAACACGGCGATGGCACGACCCTTTTGAGATTCATCAACGTAGGTTGTCATTATGGCGCCTTGAACAACCCATAGCAACGAGGCTCCAATTCCAAGAATGGCTCCAGACGCGATAACAAACGGACCATTCTTTGTATCTATCCCGGGTCAGTATGAAGCCGGATAATATGACATATGGACTGACGATTGAAGTTCAAGAGACTGCCACTGTACAGAGCATAGGTCCATCCTCCAAGTAAAAAAGTGATACGGGGCCCCAACCACGCGAACAGAGGGCCAACAACAAAGAGGGCAGTTGCAGCAGTGGCTATAAATTCAATGTCAGCCCAAGAATGATGATCATGGATCTGGGGAACTCGCCCGAAAGAAGAGCAACGGTCGCGTTCGCTGCTACAGTAGAGTCAACTTGACCTGAGCCTCCTAGCCCACCCAGCGCATTGTACATCTGTTGTATTATTAGTTCACTTATTGCAAATTTTGCACAGATCGAGTAAAGCTTACCCCAGGGCAGCAGAAGCAAATGAAGCTTATGAGGAGTATTTGAGTCCACGAGGAAGCGTAGATCTCTTTCAGCTTGTTTTGTTCTCGAACACCACCAGATTCGACGTCTGTCCTGTTCACCTCCCCACCAACTTCGGCGATGGGCGTGTCTTGCTTTGACATTTTGAGATGTACAATAAATTGAGTGAGTGCAATGATTGATTTACTTCAAGTAGTGGGTAGTGCTAGCTTTTGTATAAAGCTAGCACACACGAGGCATAGAAGTTGTTGGATCCACTGATAAGCTTTGACTCGTTACCAGGCCACCGACGCATCCAGCGCACCCCAGACGATGATTGATAAATTACTATTGATTTGTTGAAGAGATAGTCTAGAAAGCATGGTCAGGAAGTTGGGAGCTTACAGCAGTTCTGATGGTTCGCATCCCACTTTCGCTATCGTTTATTGGCCAGATCAGCACGGCCTAAAAAAAGACACTAGTAACGTGGGATGAAACGTGGTAGGAAACCATTTAATCTTGTGAGAATTAAACCTTTAGGGTCATTCTGGAATTTCTGGGCTTATCATCGATTGATACCCCAGGTCCAGAATAAGGTGAGCGCTAGATGTGCTAGCAACGTGAACATGTGCCGTGCATGCTAGGTAACACAAGATTCTCGCCTTCCTCAAATCATCTACGATATCTATCCATTGCCGTCCTCACCTAACACCAATGCATACTTTCGAAGCTAGAATCATCAAGGATGCCATCGATACAGCTAGGAGGACTACAGACGGAGAGAAGGAACTCCAATAGTAAAGACATCGATCAAGTTAGTACGACACAACTTTGCCGGATCATCAATAATGAGGATGCCAGTGTCGCGGCAGCTGTTGAGAAGTGCATTCCAACTATCGCAGCCGCAATCGACGCTTTGGCAGTGCGGGGACGATTGGGAGGAAGAGTGATATATGTTGGAGCTGGGACAAGCGGAAGGTTCGATGGGTGTTCATGTTGAACTTTAACATTGCTGACACTTTTCAGATTGGGGGTTTTGGATGCCTCCGAGATCCCGCCAACGTTCTCGGCGTCAAGCGAGCAATTTGTTGCCCTCATTGCCGGGGGTGATGCTGCTCTTCGATACGCCCAGGAAGGGGCTGAAGACGATACGATTGCAGCCGATAATGACCTGAACGCTTTGCATATCAATGGCGAGATCGATTCTTTAATCGGAATTGCTGCTTCCGGGCGAACACCCTACGTTCTGAGGTGCTTATCAATTGCGAAATCGCTTGGATGCATTACCATCGGCGTTGCATGCTGTGAGCCGTCTGCGATGGCCAAAGAACGAAATGTAGATCATATGATCAGTATCGTTACTGGACCAGAAGTCGTGACTGGGAGCACGAGACTAAAAGCTGGAACCGGAACTAAATTGGCTTTGAATATGTTGAGCACCGGAGTGATGATAAAATTGGGGAAGACCTACGGAAATATGGTAAGCAATGAAAAGTAGTCAGGTTGGTATTCTGCTCATGCTTCTAGATGATTGACTTGAAAGCAACAAACAGAAAGCTGGAACAACGATCTAGAGATATTATGCGCACTATTTGCGGTCCCTTCTGTCCCCAAAAAGACGAAGACCTGGATATCCTACTGGCATATTGCGATGGAAGTGTAAAAGTCGCTGTAGCAAGCATTCTGGTTGGAACTTCTGTTGAAAATGCCAAGGAGCGGTTGAGTGACGCCGGCGGTGTCCTCGCAAAGGTACTCAGAGTCGCAAACGAAGACCTGCCTCCAAAAACCAATGGCAACGTTGCGGATTTGGGGGATTTTGTCCTATGTGTGGATGGGGGTGGAAGTAAATGCGCCGCGGTCTTGCTGGGGAACGAGGGTCGGATTGGAAGGGGAGAGGCCGGGCAATGTAACGTGTAATACTACCAGCTCATAAAAGACAAATCAAAGACTGATAATTGAGCAGAACAAGTGTTGGGGTTGAGGTTGCAATGACCACGATATCTCTTGCGATTCAACGAGCGGTGGATTCGTGTCTAGGCACCCAGAAAAGGCCATTTCAGACAATACGCTTCCGAAAAGTTTGGATAGGACTTGCAGGCTATGATCGACCGAGTGTTATCGCTCAGGTTGATCCTTTGATATCGACGCTGCTAAACCTTCAGCTAGGGAAGGAGCTCAGGGTCTCGACCGACATTGAGCTTCTCGTAAGTACAATTGCGAACAAAGATCAGCTTGATTCAGTGGTCGTTCTCGTAGCCGGAACGGGATCGATTGCAATGAGCTATGAACGAGATGGTGATCATTTTAAACGAACAGGACGCTCTGGGGGCTGGGGACACCTCCTTGGAGATGATGGTTCCGGATACAACGTTGGTCGGGAGGGACTGAGGTTAGCACTGCAAGCAGCAGATGAGATGGCCCTTAAAAGTAATGGCGTTTCACCGTTGATTGCTGCTGCTGATCCTCTCATCGCAAAGGTCTTTGAACATTTTGGCATTTCGATCACAGGTGGTCCAGGAACTCCAGGCCCAGCAGCCCTGCTCGACCAAGTCTACTCTACGGAAGCTAGCGGGAATCTACCGATGGCGCGAAAGATAGCCGAAGTGGCTAGAGTGGTGCTCGACATGGCTTCGTCGAGTAATGCAGCCAACGCTATCATCGAGACAGCAAGTCGAAGTCTACTCGACACCTTGACCTCCTTGATAAAGACATGTAGAATAGACCCATCAAGCTCGTCACTTGTTCTTGCTGGAGGTCTGATACAGAACAATACCTACCAGAAGCTCTTCCTTGAGATGTTATCGTCCAACAGCATCAAGTTCAGCCATATCGAAGCTGTTGACGATCCTGCAATGATAGCAGCAAAGCACCTTTTCGGGGAAGTATAACAGTCACCTACCTAGATACGAATTAGATACTATGAGATTTCGCTTGTCAATCTTCGAATAGCATTCAATCACATGATGTCAGCTCGGCAGGAGAGAATGGGCGAGATAGACGCAGAAGCTTCAGGGAAACTTCCTACAATTGCTTACCCGTGACGTTTGCTTACCCGACTGTAAGCGAAGAAGGAAGGACCGACTATTATATAGAATCGCCCACGACTATACACCATCATGCGACAAGGCACCTACCTCCGCAGCCGCTCCAATCTTTGACTCAAAGCCCCTCAATTTCACACAACATTCAATTGTCAGCGTTTTTGCTTGACAAGGTCTGTTTCGTCCAAAATGGCAACGAGCTGTTACCTACCACTAAAGGAACCAGACGAGATAAGAATTCTTACGCTTCTGCCCTACGAGCAAGATGCGGATGAACCAATCCAATGCCGTTTTGAACACGTCAGACTTGCTCAAAGACCCCAATACGAAGCCCTCTCATACACATGGGGAGACCAGACAAATCAGCACCCCGTCGGCATTGATACAGCTGGGAATGTAGTGCATGTTGGACAGAACTGCCTCTTAGCGCTCCGCAAGCTTCGCAAAGCAGAGGTACCTCGTCTTCTTTGGGTGGACGCGCTGTGCATCAACCAGTCAGACCAAGATGAGAAGGCTTCTCAGATCCCCATCATTGGCGACGTGTACAAATGTGCCACTCAAACGATTATATTCTTGCAGTACTGCGGCCCGGACAAAGCCTTCCACAGCAAAGGTGCTGGGCCTGAGCTGCAGCGTAGCTGGGACTCTAGACTACTTGAACAGGAGAGCAGCTCACCGGTGCTGGACGAAGCAGCAAGGAAAGAGCTGTTCAACGTCACCAACTATGCCTGGTTTCATCGCGCATGGATCATTCAGGAGACTCTACTTAGCTTTTCCATAACGGTTGTTTGTCCGCCATTCACATGGTCCTGGGAAGAGTTTGCATCCCTGACGACGGACGACCTCAGGAAACCAGATGTCATGCGATTGAATGACGATTACTGGATCAACAAGTCGAACAGCGGCGGATGGAACCATGTCTGGGATGGAGAGCTGGGACAAAGGAACGCGGGTGATATGCTGCCGAGTCAGGCTCTCGCGTATCTTATCGACACACGCGAGTTCCAGTGCAGCGTGTACAACGACAGGGTGTATAGTATTTTGTCCTTGTTCAATCCTCCACTTCCCGTTGTGGTTGATTACAAACATAGCAAAGAACAAGTCCATGACTGTTTGACTGGTGCACTCATCGAGACGGGCGAGTCACGCTTTTTGTACGCCACAAATCGCCAGTCGTGGAGGGTGGACTGGGACCATGCTCCGAATGAGCTGGTCGGTAACGATGTTCGATGTTTGGCCACGATGAGGTCCATGTTTGCCACAAGGATGGAAACCGAATGGTCTCGAATTGCGTACATTCCCGGGCCTGATAGTCAGCCCGGCGTGATTCGATCACTAAGTTTCAAGATTGGCGAGGTGACCAGAATCAGCCAGACCAGACTCAGTCGAGACGACAACGACAACATGCGACAGCGCTGGACAGATATAATGGCCGAACTCGGCCTACCCTGTGATAAAACAGAGAGTGGCAAGTATCCTGCTATTCATGTGCAGAAAAGGAACCGTGCCAATGTCCCCTGGTATCATGATTGGGTTGGAGAAGTAAGGGGTGGTGGCGCCGCGGACGAGCACGATGGACAGGAAGTTGTTCATGGCGCCAGCGCTGCCTTTTTTCACGATAGGCCTGCGTTTTTCTGCGAAAATGAAGGCATCGTTGGCATCGGTACACAAGGGCTGAGCATCGGAGACGAGATCTGGTATGTCTGTGGTTTGAACGTTCCGGTATGCGCCTTGAGACACGCGTACAAACTAGAATTGGAGAATGCGCCCGGCCTACAAGCTGAAGAAGCGTCAATGGTAGGCTTGTGCTTCTTGGGTCTCAATGATGACATGGGCGCAATGTCACCCCAGGAGAAGGTATTTCCTTGTGGTGGCCCTACGCTTGTCTTTATTGTATAACCATAATCTCTTATGTAGACAGGCAAATACAGCACTATACTATACTCATCAGACGAATTCACAGGTTTCCAACCAGGCAACGAAAGCGCCAGTGAAGAGCCGAATGATTCCGCGCCAATTGAACCACTTTGGGAGGTAGTGTCTACTAATGTTTCAAGGTGAAATTAATAACATAATCAATGATCTTCTGAACTGAAGCCGATTCCGAATTTTAACCGTTAATTGATTATGAACAGACATTCTCAGGAGTACCCTGTTATTGAAACACCAGGAGCAGCTTCTGCTGCCTGTCGTGAGCACTCGGGGCTATACCTCCACCCGTTGGAAGCTGGATAGAAAATAATTTCAATATTTTAAACGGATGTGACGAAATAAATTAATTTATAGGAGAGGGCTGACAAATAAAACGAAGCCCACTATAAATCTAAAATTATCTTACTACTCCGCCAAGTGCTGATATCAAGTGCATTGGCGACAGGCATGGCTCAGCCTTAAAATATCAGCCGTGCTAATTGGGCCACAAGCACAAGGTTCAGCATCTGGGTAAAAGGCTCACATCAGATTACAGTACGGGTATTCAGTTGGTACGTACTAAAAGTCTCCCCTCCCTCCTACCGCGCGTTTGTCCCCTCCAACATGCATGTGAGTTCGTTTGCCATCTCTTCCAACTCACATCAACATCGTTGCAATTCATCGTAAAAGCATCGTCGCCATGTCCAAGAGAACCACTTTCACCACCATTACCCCGCTGCCCGCGGGAGTCTCGCGAGAAACAGCACTCGAAACACTGCACGATCACCTGGAGATGATCGACCTCAACCCGGCGCATACCGAACGACATCCGATTGCGTCACCCGCAGAAGCCACACCGGAGGAATACCACTGCGCATGGTACTCCATCACCGACCAGATCTCGTACTTTCCAGGATACAAGGGGAAAATCTCCTTCAAAGCCTGTTTCCACGATCTCGGATTGGGGGTACAGATCCACGTCTATGCGCCCATGGGACTAGATATCAAGGAGAAATGGTCCATAGGAGGAAACACCCCAGACGAACCCATCCAACCCGCAGAGATCGGAATCGGCGCGCCAGTCTCTGGATTATACCTCCGAGAAGACGTTGAGATCCGCTGCAATTTCATGCTCACCCGATTCGTGCGCAAGCAATTGAAAGATGCCCTGTCAACATTGGTGGCGCGGTTGATGGTCAAGGCACAGTTGCAAGAGGCGACAGAGACGAACAGGAGATTGACATACACCACGAACCAATCCTTCTCTCGCCGATCGCAAGCTTCGTTCTCACCTCCTCCTTCAAACGCATCATTCTCCCCACCCAATTCCCCGCCAATGCACTCCCAGCCCATGATGTTGCGCCCCAACGCTCCTCCACTCGGCTCCCCTCCTCTCTCCCCTCCCTACACCGGCCAATTCCCTCCCTCAGAATACGCGCCCCCACCCCTCGAGTGCCCTCCTAGATGGTCGGAACAACATTCGCAGGTGGCGTATAAACCGGAGAGGGAATCGTATCAGAATCCAATGTATGACGAGAAGCCAGCGCACTCGAATTATCCGGTGTATAATGAAATGGATTCGAATCAGAAGCCGAAACCGATGGCTCCGATTGAGCTTCCATAGTTAAAAAGATGAATCTTTTGCTTAAACGTACGGCGGGGCTTTATTTATTGAAATACTTGTAGATGGAGATAAGATCTTGGGCGCAATACTCTTGGGGCTTCTGGATTGCACGAGTGCAAATGTTTAAAAAAGGAGTTATGATGGTTTATTGATATCATGGCTATTTCGGCAAGGGGCGTTCATTCTATGCTAGGGAACATGGCGGTAGTACGATTGATGATAAGGAGAGTGATTTTGTATAGGAAGGGGATTCCAAATTACCAGTTTTTGAAGAAAATATACCTTCTAATTAATGTCATACCGCAGTATAATAATGGCCAAGTAGCCAAAGGCATTCCTCTGACACACTTGCCTCTCACCCAACCCGTTCTTTTACCCGTTCTTTCAGTGTTTACTCATCCATAGCAGATACCGTTGCGCTGGTATGTCTTGAATTCCAGATTGTATTTTCAAAGCAATCCTTTATATGGCACGGTTGCTACCTACTTATTGGAAAAGTATCAAGTCAGAGTTTGACAATATCCTTCGCTATGAAAGAGAGTCTCTTGTGTGATATATTTCTTCATAAAGTAGGGTCATTCTAAAATTAATTCAGACCGGAGGGGTCCATATTATAAATTACCCATCTTATGTTTAATAATACTTTAGATAAAGTAGGTTCTTGGCTACAACGAACACTTGATGATTCGCTTGGTGGTCTTCCTCGGATTCTTTAAAGCTTAGGTGAATGTCTGCTAGTAATGACTTGAAAGAATTGAATCGTCTTCCTCATTCACAATCTCAACTTGCTTTGTTACGGAGCATTCATTTTTGATTTGCAAGAAAACTTAGAGCACACCTATTCCGCATATAAAGCTCCACGACTTGGAAAAGAATCCTTAAAATAAGCCTATCCAGCAACGCACACATAACCATGTCTCTTCCTAGAAAGCATAAAGACGCTGAACAGTCCAAGCGACTCGACAGACCCCCAAACCCATTCATCACCAACCTCAGAACCGTGCCTCTTCCTGAAAAACATAAAGCAGTCAAACGGTCCACACGACCCTCCATACCCCCCAGACCCTCCAGTCCTCCCGGCTACACCGGACAGATATACCACCTCCCGCTCCCCGACCCCACACGATTCCGTCGCCTATCATGCTGTCTCCTGCAATACCTTCAAGCACCCAACATCGCCGACCCACCTGAAACGTTCTTTGACAACTGCCCGTTTGAGAAAACCATCTACAGCACTGCTATTTCCCGCTACTGGTCGCACACCGTCGCTGATTTTGGCCTTCTCAAGTGCCAAAATATCACCGGTATCAACATCGTCTTCACGGCTCAAAAACAATATACCAATTCCCCCGAGCTCGGCTACCACCCCACCTACCTCCTCGAAGTCCGCGCTACGTGCCGGAATCCCAATGGTGGAATAGCGCGGGAGGATGAGGAGGAGTTGATGGTGAAGATTTGTTATAGCGTGACAGTGTTGGGGAATAACGAGGCGAGGTGGGATGGTATTGACTTTGGACAGGTCTTGAACTGTTTGAGGAGGACGGGGAAGTGCAAGTATAATAGGTTTGGGGAGCCGAGGCTAGAAGAGGAGGTTGTGAGGATGGCGGCGAGTATTAAAAGTCCGGTTATTGGGACGAACGTTACGATTTCACCACCTAGTTGATTGTTTTGGGGGACTTCGGGTGGTGTTGGGTTATGCAAGCGGGATAGAATATCTTGCATTCTTTAGGTTATGACTACCTACTTATGAAAGTAAAGAATTTACCAAAGGCATGATAACATGTTTGACATACGGCTAGACGTGACGGAACAATTATGGGAAGATATAACGTGGTGGGGCCTGTTGATGTGTTTGAGAATACTTATAAGAGCTACTGTTATAGCCTGTAAGTGGCAAGTGGCAAAGCTTATAAAGCCTGTGGCGAAGCTTAGAAATAGCTATTTCTAAGCAGGTGGCAAAGCTTAGAAATAGGGCTTGAAGAGCCCTATATATACAGCATACTTCCCACTGTAGAACAGTAGTCAATTCAAGTTATTACCCCTAGAAACAACAGCTACCTTAGGTATGATTATGTCAGACAAGGTTTCTTTGATTAAACATTCAGAAAGACGATTTTTAGATATAACAGTCAGAGGAGATCGGGAATATAAAGATCTGGTAGTTGCAACTGCGAAGTTTTGTTGCGCGTTAGTAAAAGCCAACTAATTTCCCCTGAATTAAGCGAGAAGAGATCATGCCATGACATTGAACCTGGAGGTCAGAATATGGGTTTCGGCCCCTGGCGTACATCAATTAAGACACAAAGTGATAAAGATATGGTCTGCATTCAGAGGGGAGGGTTCAGACTCAAGTCCAAATCCGGAGGCTTTTGACAGGAAGCCGGAATACGTGTTGAGCAGTTCGGGCGTTAGCAGTCTGGTTGTGTATTTTCTTATGCAGAGTTAAGATTGAACTTAGACAGAAAGCTGTTCTTTACTAGGACTCTGAGATCTTAAACGCAATTTCTTATCAATAGATGCCGATTGATAGAAAAACTCAAATGAACCCAACTTGGACCTCATATCTTTAATTCTGTAAAGGTTACGTTCTAGTCTTACTACCATACAAGTTGGAGGAAAGACACTTCAAACGTTCATAAGATAGGCAGTATTAGAATGCGCAGGTCACAGAGAGGATCGGATAGAGCGTCACGCTATCATAAGAAGCGATAGTCCTAGCGATATATGTTGTGTGTATAGAGAAGCTAGAACGGAGAGGAGTTCCATGGTCATAGTACGATTATGTAAGTAGCTAACTCTAGTCCATACGTCACGTGTCGTGGTGGGGCAGAATGTGCCCCTCCAATCCGCGACAATTCAATGCGCATTGAAACCTTGGACACGTCAACAAGAACATATAATCCTCTCTTTTCTCCCTCTAGCAGATCTCTGTAAAGCTACAAGATGGAATACGATACGAAAACCCGTAAGCATGGCATTCTATGAAGCCTTCCAGTCTAATATCAATAGCGCTGTACTCAACGTCCGACAAAACTTCCTTCGCATACATCTCAGCAAGAGACCGTTGGCCTATCATAATTGTACGCCGTACCAAATCGTTACATGAAGCCTGCTGACCAGTTAGACTGGTGCAATCGACGACGTACACAGAGCAGTATCAGAAACAACAGACGAGAGCAAACGGGTAGAAGGAAAGAAGATTGTTGAGGATCTAGCGAAGCTCAAATACGAACTGCAGCACGACAGAAAGCTGACACCTCTACTCGATGATGGAAACCCAGATATTTCAGGATATAATAAAGAACTCGAGCAATTAGGAACCCCATCATGGTTTAATGTCCCATGGCTTTACGCAGAATGCTATCTTTACCGGTTTGTACCCAGTTCCCCATTTTGAACGGCTCTAATTAACTCAAGTCAGACGTTTAGCAACATCCTTCTCCCTCTCAAATCAATGGAAATCCTACGATGTTTTTGCCCGCCAAAAGATATCCACGTTCCGCTCTTCTCGCCCTGCTGTCCTCGAACTCGCCGGCAGGTACCACGAACTTATATCACAGTTAGGGAAGCAGAGCGAAAAGTCAGAACAGGAAGTTGATGAGGCGGAGAAGATTTTGTTTATGGAAATGTGTGAGATCTGCCTCTGGGGAAATGCTACGGACCTTTCGCTCCTTACTTCTTTGACGTATGAGGATATCCAAAAGCTGCAAGGATCCGAGGCACGCAAAGCTTCCGAGAAGAACATCATTATCAATGATCTAGGAGCTGCATATGATGTTTTGAAAAAGGCAAAGAATGAGGGGAAGAAGGAAAGGAGGGTTGACATTGTCTTGGACAATGCTGGGTTTGAACTTTACGTGGATCTCATACTTTCTGGATTCCTACTGTCCGCCGGTCTGGCTACGAATGTTATCCTGCACCCAAAATCTATCCCCTGGTTTGTATCGGACGTCGTTCCTGCGGACTTTGCTGCGCTTCTAAATGCACTGGCTTCGCCCCAAGCGTTCTACTCAAACCCCTCGGATGAAGAGAAAAATGACGACAAGACTCCCGAACCACTATCTCAGAAAGAAGTTGATGAGTTATCGTTTTTGTTCCAGAACTGGACTGGGTTGTATGCAGAGGGGCAGTTGATGCTTCGTTCCAATGGATTCTGGACTGAGGGAGGAAGCTATTGGAGATTGCCAACTTCTGACTCCAGGCTCCACGAAGATTTAAAAGAGAGCGAGCTCGTGATTTTCAAGGGAGATTTGAATTACCGGAAGTTGACAGGAGATGTAAGTCACTCATTCTAGTATAAGATCTGACTAATATTCGCAGGCCAATTGGGATCCAACGACACCTTTCACCAAAGCGATCGGCCCTATGGGTCCCGGTTCCAGCGTCAACGTTCTGGCATTGCGAACTTGCAAAGCAGATGTTGTAGTTGGTCTTAAGAAGGGCGAAGACGAGAAACTGAGAGCTACGGAAGGGCGTGGTGGAGATAGCGGGGCTCGAAAGTGGGCATGGAGCGGGAAATGGGCTGTCGTCTCGTTCTCTGCTGGGAATTAATAGGTGCGTAGACCATGATATTGCACAAGATAAAAGATATGTTGTAGATTTCTATAGATCTATTGAAAAGATGAGGCAGCTCCCAGTGGATTATTATATAGAAGTCTAGCGTCGTGTAGATTCTGATGCTTCGTTTACCATCATAGTTGTAGTTCAACGCTTGTCTTGCACTTTCCATTTCAACCAACAGACGAAACTCAAGACCACACGTCAACTGCATTTATCTTCTCTAGACTCCATTCAAGGTAGCAACCCTAGATCTTTCTACCCCCGAATTATTTACCATCACTCCTCGCATCATCCGCAAATCTTACCTTTTTCTCAGGCGATGACGCCCTGGCTGGCTGCTCAGTACTGCTCTTCGGCGGTGACTGAGGTGAATTGGAGCTGTCTCCCGGACCTGCAAATGTGTCACCTGCCGCTCCTTGACCATCACCGGCGTTCGGCTCAGAGTGGGCATGCGCTGGCGGGTTGGGAGGAGCAGGTGATGCCTTTGCATCGCGACTAGCTGAAGCATCTGGACGAGACACGTCGCCCAGCCCGAGTCCTGGAGGCAAACTACCGGAATCTACTCTCAAAATTAGTCATTCCCCTCTCTCTTCTATAAAGACTCAATACTTGATTGCAAAAAAGTAGTGATACAAACGTCGTCGCGATGCCTTTGCCGGGTTAAGAAAATATACAACCGGTACTAGGTGAATGTCACGCTCTTTAAATCACAGAAAACAAAAATCACGAACCAAACCCAAATCCAGGATTGAAGCCTCTCCCTACCCCCGATGGACTGTTGAAATGATAATTTGTCACGGGCCTCAATACACCACCGATCAGCTCGTACCTCACTTCGCTCGGTGTGCCGGCTGGTACTGGAAGCGGTGTTGTGTTGCTGGCTTGGTATCCGATGACTGGCCGGAATGGGATTGGTGGTACGAAGATGGGTGCGGCGGCGTAGAAAGGTACTGGAGCAGCGTAGATTTCTTGCGGGTAGGTGTAGGTGAGCTGGGGGACGGTGCCGGGTCGGTAGCCGTAGTAGCGCCAGTCGGGACGGGGGTGGGAGAATGGTGGAGGGATGGGTTGGGGTTGGGGCATTGTGTAGAATGGGATGGTGTACATTTTGAAGATTGGCTTGAGAAGGGGTGGAGTCGTTCGGCGTGTAGTTTGTTTTGTTAGGGTGTTGTCGGTTTTGAAGTATGTTGAGGATGTGTTGTGGAGATGCCTAGTGGCGTGGGGAAGGAATAGACAAGAATGCGTGAGTCGAGAGAGGAATGTTGTGAATCACGGGAGAAATGACTGTGGACAGTTACGGATACGATGTATTTGGTGCCAGTCGCACGCTTCACACTTTGGAAGCTACCCAGTGAGTCAAGTTCACGGTGGTGGAACCCTTTTTCAAGTATTACTCGCACTCTTCCTGTTATTGCCACTTTTTCAAATTCCTCATATATGTCATATTATATTTACCGGGTAAGATTATTGGATCCGTAATGTCAAACTAGGTCTAGGTCCCAGTACAGAGAACGGCCTAGTTTGACCCCCTATCTAGAGTTTCAAAGTTAAGCGAATCTCTCTTTTAAAGGAGGAGAAGCTAATATCCACAAACTGCGAGATCTTAACCTGCTTTGATTGCCCTGCTCGATGAACCCCCCCTGGTCACTGATCTGAGAGCATAATATTGTTCGTTGATCATCAAAAATGTCACGATGCTTTCCTTGAAATACGTTGGGGAGCAGAAGGAAAGCGATTCCATTCATTAGCCTTTACAACGTATTTCCGACCATGTTTCAACGTCCACCAAATTGACACAAGACCAGGACCTCTAGAAAGGGTTATCCAAAACCGCAGCATCGGGCTTTGAGGTACCAGCTACCCCTTTTTACCCCTTTACCCCGTGACACCACATATCTGTCAGCTACAACAGCGCCCCGCAAGTCTGTAGCAAAGACTTCCATCATAGACCTCATCATAACCGACAGGGCTCCCCATAACTGGCTCCAGAATGGCCCGTATCTCCTTCAACTCCAGAAGCAGCTCGACTGGTAACGCGAGTAGGCTCTGCAGGTAGGTCTCTTTCTTCTGAACAAAAGCAATCGACCCTGAATACGGGCGCGGAAGTTCGGGAAGACGAACTACTTGGGAATCTCGTGTTCTGCGTTCTAGTCGCTCGTGCAGGAAGAGTAAGCTTGAATTCGGAACGTATATCGCCCAGGTGGACTGGTCCCTCGCGGTGATTCTGAAACTCGATTCTGTCCTCCCGTCACTGACCGCTGTTCCCCCAGCGGCTAATTGCGTAAAGTAGTGTTGGCAAAGGAGGGTCATTCCTGGACACTCGGAGGATTCTTGGAGAATGTAGTAGCAAATCTCTGCATCCGTTGGCTTTGCATCCAGGAAAGCTTTCCCCAAGTTCTCTAGTAGTAAGTCGCGAATCTTGGGCATAGCTTCTTCGAGATTCGTTATGTGGGTTGCTTCCTTTTCCCCCTTCATTTGTTGCCTGACAGCTTTTCTCACAATGGCTTCAAGCTTGTGTGCTTGAGACAACGCATCCCCATTGTCTGAAACGAAACATACTCTCTTGGCTGTTGAAGATGTTACGGTGGAGTCACTGCTCGAAGCTAATTCCTCCTCGAAAGCCTCAGGGTCTTGAGTATCCATTTGCCAAAAGGACTCTTCGTCACTTTCAGTATCCTCGAAGATCTCTTGATAGAAGTCTCCCAGTTGCGGATGTGCTGATGTGTTGAGGGTGTCGGCATCGGGTCTTTTAAGTATCATTTCGATGCGTGCGATGTGGATATTGCCCTTTGGCTTATGCTGTAGTGTCCAAGCTGCCATATTATCATTTGCCATGTCAACAATCAGTTCAAAGTCTGCCACTTTCAAGTTTTGAACTTCGATTTGAGTTTCCCCAACCGGGCCATCTAGAAACTTTTATAACAAGGTCCACGATCGAAGCATGTGTTGTCCTTGGGCGAGGCGACATACATATAATGTTACACCATTGCTGTGTGACATGGCTGGACCAATCCACTGCATTTGCCCGGCACGGTGTGCAACCCCAAGGCTGTCAAAAGGGTAGTCTTCCCCGCAACTAAAGATGACCATGTGATATGGAGGGTGAGATCTTCGACGTTGACACTTGCAGGTGATATCAACCATCACGGGAGCGACATGGACGCCCGGATATTGTCCACGGTGTTGCACGAAACTTACTCCCCCCGCCTCCCTCGAAATTTCATCATCAGTAACCCCAGCCTTCAGAGTCTTCAGATAAGCGTCCAACCTTTCCCCCACTTCGATCGTGTGCTTGAACGATATCCTACGCTTCTTGTACCTTGCTACTTGCGAATCTGTCATTCATTCATGATTTGCCAGCTGTTTCCACATTGTCCCGCTTGATAGTTTCGACTCGGTTGAGGAAATTGGCCCAGATATGGTGCTTTGATTTCGACGTGAAGTGTGGTTTCATAGATTTTGTCTGTCACTGTTCAGTGGATACCCAGATTAACGTTTCATTCAAGATGGATGATTTGATGACCATTGAATCTTTGCACGAGGAAGTATAAAGATTCTTCTAAAAGCAATCTTACCATTAGTAACGTGCTGTTGTACATCTCGCTAGTAACAGGTATAACTTAGTTCAATTCAACAGAGTAGTCCAGCCTTATATAGAGTAAATGCAGTGCGGTTTAGAGCGCGACTAAGGAGTCTGACTGCTTTGATATCCTGATCTCTGTTCTGGAGGGGCTCCCTTGAGTATATATGGACATCAATGCATAGGTCGTGAGTCGGCAATTCGGCAGTGAGATATCATGGCTAAAGGTGTTTTCGGGGGGTTTCGAGAAAATGAGAGCCCAATGTCGTAAATCTCTCGTTAGCTTACCGGCTACTCCGTCTATCGAATTGCCATAGACTACTCCGAATAATTTGACCATCAGGCTTTATCAGGAGCGTCAACCCCCTTGGGCGGTCAGAGCGGGAGCGCAACATCGCGCAACGGCTTGTCGTAGAGTGTCGGAATCCTTGCTGTCGTTTTTGATGCAAAGCTTGGATCAAAAAGTCTCAGTAGCCCGTATAATAGTATATATAATATAAAGATATCCAATGTTTTGATCAGTAATGATGTTGGATTGATGTGGATTTAGGGTTCCTCTCCAAATGGATAGTTGAACTTTAGCAACCCATTCAAACCTCCAACCCATCCATCGTCACCTTCATACTTTGTCCCTCTCATAATACAAGGAACCCCACCGGTCCATTCCCTCCCTTTTGTGATAAACTCCCCATTGACCCTAACTTCCATCCCAACACCAATTCCACGACTTCGCCTCCTGCCATCGATACTAACTTCCAATTCTCTTCCCCTGTTCTTCTCGCTCATCTTCAACGTAATCGGGGTATTCGAAGGTAGCACTAAGGGTCTGAACGACAAACTTCGCGGGCAGATAGGCGTCATCAAAAGACTGCTGACCAGAGGGTGAACAATATTTCCACCCGAGCTCAAACTGTAAGCCGTACTTCCAGACGGTGTAGCGATAATCATTCCATCCGCTACAGCTTCCGTCAAGAACCGCCCGCCAACAAAAACCTCTATAATGGCAAGATGCGCTTCCTTGCCCCTATGAATGATGACCTCGTTCATGGCGTGCACATCACCCTCGGCACTCTCAGCTGTATTGTCTCCAATAACCCTATGTCCATCTCCGTCAAAAAGCCCGACTTTTAATCGATTGCGCAGTAGGACTTTCGAACTCCGTGTTGGTCCCATCGACTTCCCTCGAACGCTGGACCAGCCTGTCACGATGTTTTCCGTCTCTTCTTGTATTACATGTGGATGCTTCTGGTCTTGGAATAAAGGCGACCCGGCGCCAGCTCCAGACATATAAACTTCCCTAAATGCCCGCTTGAATTCCTCAAACTTCCATTCTCCTAAGAATCCTAGCGTACCCATGCTGAACGAAAGTATAGGTGGTACGTGAAGTGTTGTGCTGAAGAGCGAAGATGCGTGTAAGATTGTCCCATCTCCACCCAATGTCGTAGTCATATCGACTTTCAAAGGTAGAGCTCCAGCTGAGGTGGTCGTGTAGATGGGGAATGGGAACAACTTGTGTATTTGTGTTGCGACTTTCGGTTCGAATATAAGGGAGACATTATCATAATTTGAATGTATATGTTTTGCATATTCAACCACACACTCCGTGACATTCGGAGCGCCGTGTTTCTTTATCACGAGGATATTTCGAGGCGGTGAGGGCCATTGTAAGGAGAGGAGGTCGCTGGTCTTGCTTTCTGAGTAGTGTCAACAATGAACGCGTCTTGCAATTAAGCTTGGCTGATTGGCTGATTGGTACCTTGATATCTTGGGATGATCCTGTCTGGCAGGTTCTCCACATCGAGGATCTCTCTTCTTGCAGCTGTACTGCAGAATCCTCTTCCCCAGATCCTTCTTGGCAGCGTCCTCAAAATCATCGTCAAGTGGTGTTGGTGTTGTACAAAATGGGAGATATGTCGGCCTGTCTGGATTTAGCCGGAGGTGTTGTAGGTACCGTATTTGAGCTTTCGCAGCGCATTATTATAAATATTGACCGTCCGCATAAATAAAGTACACACTCTTGAAGTCATTCCCAGATTACGGCAGCTGAATCATGTCGTCGTTAGATCAAGCTTGTGCTGCTAGGTTCAGAGCAGAGCAGCTCACTTCAACCGCGATAAGATCAGTACTACTGAGTACGATAAGGCTTTTTCACATGCGGTCGAGGCGGGCGCTTCTCAAGGCATACAGTATTTCTGACGTAGCCTTCCGCATACAATACAGCACAGCACAGCAAAGCCTTACATATCTACCTACCTACCCACCTATCGTTGGAAAATAGCCTTGTTGTCCAAATGGCCTCAAGAGTCATGCAATTCAGCACTATGTTGGGTTCATAGTCATCCATCGCGAGTCATCTACAATATATCCTCTCTAAAGCGGTGAAGATAGCCACGCGACCACACACACACCACACAGTCAACTAGTCAGTCAGCCACAAAGGAAAGTGGTACTAGGTAAGCTCCTGAGACATCTCTCTAGGCCTCTCCTCTTGAGCAACATATGAGCAGCAAGAGCTGATTATGTTGCAGTACAACAAGTACAATAAACATGACGGAATCTAGCATCAGACAAAGAAAAAAGAGCACAGCGGCGCCGAACGGTGTTGCCGGCACGCCGGAAGAGCACCCAGGAGGAGATATTAGACATGGAGGCATTATACAAGCCATACGATTCTTCCTGTTCATAACCTGGTTCTTGTGCGGAAGCTGCACGTAGGATCTCTGCCCTTCATCCAAAGCTATGCTAATAGGTTTAGGATATGTGTGACGCAGTGGATCGGGATTCCGTTATACTGGATCAACAAGGACCTCTACTATGCCTACATGGCTCTTACGAAACAGTCTTTCGGCATAATGATTACAACGGCGATACAATGGTGGTCTCCCATATTGATGAGGGTGAGCGGGGATGAGTCTGTGGCGGGGCAGTTGCGAAAGACTGCGGATGGGAGGATCGAATGCGATTTCCCCGAGAGAATGATTATGGTGGCGAATCACCAGGTACGTGGCATACTAGACTGGTGGAATAATGCTGACTTTCATAGCTGTATACGGAATGGCAATATCTGTGGTGGGTGGCGTATACGAATAAACCCCAAATGCACGGCCACATATACATCATGCTGAAGGAATCCTTGAAGTACATCCCAATTATCGGATGGGGTATGCTCTTTTACGGATTCATCTTCATGTCCCGGAAAATGGAGACTGACCGGCCGCGAATTGCCCACCGGCTTAATAAGTTGAAGGCAGTACATTCCGGGCCGTTGTCAGGCACCTCAGGACTCGATCCGATGTGGCTCTTGATCTTTCCAGAAGGCACTAATCTAAGTGAGAATACGAGCAAGAAAAGTAAAAAATGGGCAGATAAAATTGGAGTCAAGAATATGGAACATACACTTCTTCCTCGTAGCACGGGTTCATTCTTCATTTTGAATGAACTCAAGGGGACTGTGGAATATGTTTACGACTGTACGATGGCTTATGAGGGCGTGCCGTAAGTGCTTCCCTCAACATGTGAGGATAATGCTAATCGAAATAGACGAGGAAAATTCGGTGAAACTTACTACACTCTCCGATCCATGACTCTACGGGGCCAAGTACCACCATCCGTCAATATGTACTGGCGACGATTCGCCATCAAAGACATGCCACTCGACAATGCCGAAGAATTCGACGCGTGGCTGCGAGAGCGGTGGTACGAGAAAGATGCTCTGATTGAGCAGTACCTTACAACTGGAAGGTTTCCCGGAAGCCAGCAAGTGACCAACGACGCTACTACAGGCGAGGAGAAAGAAAAGCACATCGAGGTTCAAGTCAAGTTGGGGCATTGGTACGAAGTGGCCAATATTTTCGTCGTGGTGGCTACGGCTGCACTGATTGCGAGTTCGTTGGCGAGGGTATGGAACGGGATGTTTTACGGGAAGGACATGGCTTAACAAGATTGATATACATTAGAAACAATGGCGTGCATGGGCGAGCGATGGTTTTGTGTTTTAGGGTTGATTGGATGGATGGGAGGATATACCATGTACGTACGTACACTATTGGGGGTTTAGGTAGCGTGATGGGGGAGGAGCAGTTTGACTTGAATGATAGACATATTCATATACCCAGGACATCGGGCGTACGCAAAGCAAGGCTATCCCAAACATGCGCTAGGAAGACAGCGCCTGATATATGGTGAACAAATGCTGTAGTCTCCTGTTGAAGTCAACATGTCGCTATTGTCCCGATGCGAGGTGCTGATGAGTCCCAAGACCTCGCCCAGTGGCGCATCTACAAGAACATTCAATTCCCACCCAACATTCCTGTTTTCCTTGTTGATGAAGGCATTCAACTCGCGGTAGTGTAGAAGTTGGGCTTTAGTCTGGAGTTAAAAATATGATGATGCTTTTACTCGGTAGCTTTAAGAATATTATCAAGCAAGGCCCGTACAAGATCGCAGACATTGATACTATTCCCACACGGCATTTGGAATATTTATCGCGTCGTTTAAACTAGTACGATGATAATTCACATAACCATTTGTTCACTTCACTTCACTTCAGCTTCTCAAGCACCTCCGACCAATCTTCACTCTTAACATACTCTTCCCAGCTGGTCAGCGGACAGTCAACACCAAGCTATATGTGTCAGTATTAATCTCACAATGTTATTCATTCCCGGCTAGGGCAGAACTCACATCGCCAGGCAGCACAACGCTAGGATCACCGCCATCATACCCAAAATCTCTTGCAAAAAGCATCATCTCCCCAATCTCCCGACCGAGACCAGGGATAGGGATGAATTTCTCAAACTGCTCCAGTGTAATTTCGTGCAATCCACCATGCTTCAACCCGTTCAGCGCGCACCAGCTCGCGAATTGTTCGGTCCAGGACATGCAGAAACTAGCGGCGAGGATGTTCTTGCCCGGTGCAACTTGTAGAGCTGCGTGCACGATACGGCCTAGGTCCTGTGGTACGTTGGTTTGAGGCCGTTCCTGTGTTCCTGTTCCTTGAATCACGCTTAAATAAACAGCTCCATCTTGTCCCTATAGGAATACAATTCGTCAATTTCATTTCCCAATTTCAAGTCCCCCATTGCGAGTTTGTCTCCTCGGGACACAAAAAAACATACCTTCCAAATCCCCAGATTCCCCTGCCAGTTGCTCAAATAATTCCCCACTTGCACCACGCTCATCTTCGCCGCCAATTCCGGATACACATCCCTCACGTACCTTACCGCGCGCGCTTTCGCATCGAAATGAAACACTCCCGTATACAGCCCCCCACTCCACTCGCTCGCATCACACAAACTACTTACCACTAATCTCTGCAGCCCCTCTGTCGTCGCCGCAGCATCGGCTACATTCTTCCCCTGCGTGAGCTCCTGCTCATAGCAATATTCGTTGATGCTTTGGCCGTCTTTGAGCAGGGCCCGCGTGTGGGGATCGTATAAGGGCGTGTAGAAATCGGTGGTGCTGAAGATGGTATGGGCGCCGGCGAAGGCGAGGGTGAGGGAGCTGGGGTCATTGAGGTTGGCGGTCATGAGGGGGATTCCGCGGGTTGTGAGGGAGCATGCGGTGGGGGAGGTGGGGGAGCGGGTTATGCCGCGGATGGTCCAGTCGGGGAGGGTGGAGAAGTGGGAGGCGACGGATCCGCCCTAGGTTTGTTAGAAATTAGAAGGAAGATGGGAAGGAAGGAGGAGAGAAGTACTTGGACGCCGGTTATGCCGATTATCACTATGAGTTTTGACATTATTTGGAAGTGATGGAGGTGTCAACGAAATTAAAATCAAATGGAACGGCTCAGTAAAGTTCTTTGGGAGGAGAAGTAGCTGGGAGGATTGAGGAGTAACTTTTGAAGGGAGGAAAGAGGCTTTATATACTTCTAGGTTTCCCCTTATAGTACACATCTCTTGTTCGTAGTGGTACCTCGAATAGTAGAACAAAGCTTGTATTCAGCTAAATACCAGGAACAAAATACCGAAGGAGTCAACATGCAATGCGATAAGAAATTCGTGCCACAACATTCTAGTTGAGAATAACCTCCGTGCCAAACAATCGCATCTCGGGGGGTGAAAGAGCTCCGAAGGTGAAAATGCGATAAGAAATACTGGAATCTTGAGTGTTCGACCCGAAATTGACAAAACGAAAGAAGTGAGAACGTTTATGCGAAGGTTGCTACTTTTTGTATATAGATGATAGTAGATTACATATAAGAAATACTGTTGTCAAATCTATGATTTGATGGAACACATTTCGAGGGGGAGAGAAGGACGGACAGCCACAGCCACAGCCACCCCCACCAAGGGCCTTAAAGTGGGTCTTGATTTAAGCTTAAATGTTTTAATAGCCGCAGCAAAATCAGAATTTCCAACAACGACCTGAGTCCACCTTCATCCACCACCCGCCACTCTCCGAAAACCAACCAGAAAATCCCTCCCACAAGAACACAGACCGCAGACTATCCGCAAACATGCCTGTCTCCAAGAAGATGAAGGCAAGTTCTCATTCCCACGTATCTGCAATATAAGCCTGCTAATCTCTTATCACAGATCCAACGCGACCACAAGAAGGCAGAGGCAGCAGGAACTCGCGCCCCCGTCAAGGCCAACGGTCTACCCGTCAAAGCCAAGAAGCCAACATCCATCGTACGTCCCCAATATCTCATCGTCATCTCAATACATTCTAAACCCGAAGCCCTCATCAAATTCTGACTGCCCTTCTTCCTTCCCCTCCCTCCTTATCATCGACGAAAGAAAAACGCTAACCAGTCTATCCACCACAGTGCGCCAACTGCCGCAAAGAAATCGTCAACACGAACATCAAGCAACTGGAAGTCCACGCCGAAACCCACGACCAGAAGCTGTGGCCCAAGGAGAAGTGCTGGCCCAAGGACTTTCCCTCCACTACTGCCGAGTGAGGGGTGCGATGCGGGGAGTTGGTGGTGATGGGGAGGAGAAGGGAAGGGAAGGCGCATAATTTGATCGGATATGGATGGAGCGTACTTCTTTGACTAGCGTTGCGTTGGTACGTACTAGAGGCTGCGCTGGATGTCTCTCATAGATTGAGACAATGGGAATGCGTTACTTCTTTTACTACGTGCACTGACTTGATGAAATTGAGATGTCATGATGCTGTTGAGGCGGGAGTGCTGTGTTACAGTCTAGATCCTGCTTTTGAATGTCTCGCAAGTGATGAGATGATTTTACATTGGCGTTGGTACTTCTGGGTTGGCTGAATGGAGCAAGAGTTTTTATTCCTGCGTCGTTTTCATTACTGCTTTCAGGCTAGGCTGGTGCGATGATCAGAAGCTGCTTGGATGTCTCACAAGTAATGGGATAATGATGCACCTCAAATGGTTCTTAGGCCTTGGCTGATCAAAGCTCACGTCTTCATTTCTACTCTTAACGTTGTGCCAAACCAAACGAATGCGATCTAAATTTGAGACTATGATTGTGTACTATCGAGACAATGGGTTTATGTACGACTTTAGCATTTTGAAATTGTATCAATGAATTGCTACAAGCCTAGGTGAAAGATTCACACAACGTTATACCAGCTCTCTGATTGAAAGTCGCCCTTTCGTAAGATTCCCCATTTAGATCTAAATTCGAAGGTTAGTTGCAAGAATAGTGCCTAGTGTCAAGGGCATCGAACGTCCAGAACGGCCGGACACCTCTGAATGGATAGTGCTGCCAAAGCATCTGCCGATGATTTATGGGTTCAGATGCTTCTTGTAGCATGTTACAGCAAGCTGATCAGCGCTCGAATTCATGTGTTGTATCGTGCTCTGGAGTATATTATATCTTCGAATCTGACAAAATCAATTGAGCAGCATTTGCGTCCATCAAAAATATAGTACTTTGATGTCCCGGATACAATCTCGTATCCCATGATCAACAACTACGTGCTCTTGTCTCTGTAGCATGATCGAGAGACTGTTTTTGGTGCTAAGCAATGATTTCCGCTGGATGAAAGGGTTTGGGTTCAAGTGACTTTCGCTGTTTTTGTCCAAGTTTGTTAGCCCGGGTTATGTCGACGCTTTACTTGTAAAGTTTACTTGTAAAGAGATGACAGGATCAAGGACGAGTGAGACATACAAAATGGATCTATTAGAATATTTAAAATAAGCTGCGTTTTCCCTTGCAATAGCACATTCTGTTTACGATGAGAAGTGCAAGTGGCGGCGTTGCGATTACGGCAGAACAAACCCAATTCTTCTGTACAGAACATACAAATTTCTGTTGCAATCATGAAACAGCACCGAACATTTTAAACCTTCGTAGGCCATGTGTATAGAATAGAAGGCTGTGGACGCGTTGCCATCTAAAGGGTGCGTACGATAGGGGGTTTTGAGTCACGTGTATGTATATATAGCTGAGCAGCCTTTCTAACTCGAGGCTTGGCGAAGTTCTGTCACTGTCTTATAATATGGGCATTTGCAGTGAAGGGGGAAATATTAGCTGCCTTGATCGATCTGAAAGCGGTCTAATCGCAAAGGAGTCGTATCGCGTTGATTTTTGGCCCTTTCAGGGGTAGCGAGACATGGCTCGCTTAATCTCTCTGTGAGTTCCAACACTTGAAATTGCCTCCATTATAGCTTGTTTGCTTCGAAGTAATAATCTGATTCGTTGTCTAGTTCTGTGATCCGGAAGTTATGACCCATGCCATGCCATAATATTTACCAGATTGGAAATGAAACTTAGTCGCTCATTCAATACATACACATGACCTTTTAGTTGTGGATCGATCGATGGAAAATAATATATTGAATGTCTAATAGGAGTCACTACCGCTAAAACCTTCCGCCTGACTTCTATATAGGCAGCCGTAAAGACTGCGACGACAAATCTCTTTCTCCATCCCCCATCTTCGACAGCAAACGACAGATTACGAAATCTCTTCCCGCGTCGTAAAGACTACACCCGGATTACTAAACTTCATGCATCCTTGGCCTTACTTTTCGCTTCTAGAACAGATACCGCAACTCTCTCTTTTTCAGCTCCGCGGCTTCAGAAGAAGACTTCTCAAACACTAACCTAACCAAGAACGACCATACTGTCTGTCATACTGTAACAAACGCAACCTTTCTTCGTCTTCTTCTCTGCCAACAAACTCTACATGTTCCCCGACCCCAAGGCTGGTTCGTATCAGCCTAGTACACGACTGAATAATTTAGCTATAGGCCGCTCTAGATCTGAGAGATATATAGCTAGACCTGCACCATCGGGACAACCACTGCGACCTCCACAGCCATCATTACAAGAGCAATCTAATGAAGAATATACCCATGCCAACAGACATCAAAGGTATAACCAAGCTGTGTCCGAATCTCAAGAGACTTCTTGGACCCACGCACGGCGAGCTGCTATCGATCGCAACTCGGAATATCTAGGATACAGCCGTCAACCTGAGCTCGAGAATGAACGTTTGACAAGAGATCAAGGACGAGGTAAAAGACCTATCCACCATGGTTACAATTCGAGTTTCGGGCCATTACCAGAAAGTTGTTTCGGTATGCAAACTCAAGATGCGTGGGGTGCTACGGTTGGGGGGACTGGTGGTATATTAAGCCGTCAAGATGATGGCCCATTCCACCCACCATTGCAGCCTTCTCACATGGGTGCTATGGACGCAGCTCGTGCACCACATGGAGCATCTTTTCATCCACCTTAGCAGTTCCCTTCTCGGTTATAGCAACCGACTGAGCAGCGTCCATCCTTGCCCTGGTCCCGGCATACGGATCGTGAACGGCAGAGAGCAGATGAAGAAATGGCAGCGATGGCTTTGAAAACTCATGCTACTTATAGGAGTATGTTGGGAGAGAACGAGTATCATCGACATTTGACAGCTCCGAGAGAAGAAAGGGCTGACATGAGAAGAAGCGATAGGGGGAATTCTCCGTCGTTTTATCAAGAAGATCATGGCGGCGCGATGCCAAGTCAACAGCAAAGACATGGTATGCAGCATCAGCCCTCTCATATGAACAGTAACGATCGAACGGCACCATCACAATCTCAACAACTAAGCCACGGCACGCAACAGGAACAACAAAGTTCTTACGAGAATAATTCTTCTGCAGATCCTTTCCTGCTCAGATACGAAACCGTGTCTTTCGAGCCACTTCTGGCAGATGGTGCAGAACAGACAGATCTATTGCACCGACAAGCGCATGCGCATAATAATCCCCACGCCCGCGGTCTGGAACCTCAACACCACAACCCCACATATCTCTGGGAGCCTTTCCCACGGCCTCAGGCGCCTGCTTGGACGGAGGGAGAGGGAGGCTCGAGCTGGGGTAGGAGAAGAAGGGCAGAAGAAGTAGGGCAATTGCAAGGGAAGGATCAAAGAAGCGAGCGCCAGAGAACACAAACACGGCTACCTCCTAGACGACATCGGTGCCTTGCTTGTATGGAACAGAGGAACGGGGGATTAGATGGCTCATCTGGAATGTAGACATAGTTACTATGGAGAGTATTTCGGACGTAAGGTTGCTTTCAAAAAGCATCATCCATCCATTCCTTCCTTCCTTCCTTCCCCACGGAATCCGCAGACGGGCCAGGAAACGCAGGAGGCCTTGGATCGTAGGAGTGATGCTCTGAAAGAGCAGGAGGAGGAGAGCGAGCGCGCTGCGCTGGATCTCGCGTTTGCGAGTGGGTGGACCAAGTGTCCGGACTGCGGGCATTTGATCGAGAGGGTTGAGGGGTGTCGGGTCATGACGTGTAGATTTGGAGCCGTGTTCAACTATAGAGGTAGCGTGTGGGCTGGTTGAGGGCATCTGGTTTATGGCATGAGATATTACTTGGGGATAGGTTGGCTGGAGTGGGTCGGAACACTATCTGTACAACGGAATATCCTTCATAAGTTAGATTTCTTCGGCAGGTGTATTATGATTAATCAACCGATAAATGTGACAATGAGATATAGAAATAGACAAGCTAACGCCGGTGGGGGAGACGTATTATAAGTAAGTTATCTACGTTTGACAGGCTATTGTTAGGATGGGATGGCACGGTTGGAGCTGAGATTGTGGGGTTTTATAGCATGACCCTGCTACGCGCTAGGCTTGATTTGATGCGACAACACCAAGTACAGGGTAATTTCGATCTCTCAAATTCTCTAGTGCTTTGCAAGGAAGGCATCAGCCATGATCGCACCCTCCTTCCCACCCCATCTCCTTCCCACCCCATCTCATCCCAACCCTAAGCTAAATCCCACCCCCCCTCCACAGCCCTCAGCACCGGACTCTCGAAAACGCCCACCACGTGCCGCGCCCTCTCCTCCCCTAAAACGTCCCTCCATTTCCCGCCCTGCTTCATCAGCACGCCTGCTGCGATGACTTGGCAACCGATTGCGGGGGACGTGAGGAAGTTCCAGATGGCGTTTAGGGTTTTCCCTGGGGTCTTTTTGTTAGTATAATTATATAATATAGGAAAGTATATAGAGTAAAGTAACCCATTCCTCCTTGTTCCCTTTGCACGAATAAAAGCTGCCCGTAAAGTAATGTTTAGGCGAGCATCATCTGTTGGTGCGGTAGATAGAAGGAGAGAAATAGGACTGGGGCTTTATCGAAAGGGATGGATGGATGGATGGATGGATGGAGGAAGTAAAAGTTGAGCTTAAGGAGCAAACATACCAGAACTAACAGCATCATCCACAATAACGACCTTCTTCCCCCTGACCAGCTCCAGCAGATTCGGATCCAAGTAAACGCGTTTTTGGCCATCGGGGGACGTGATAGAGGATATGAGCGTCGAGAGCTTGTCGTCGTACCAGAACTTTCGGGAGTAGCCGAGGGGGATATACCGATCTATATTATAGCGCGTTAATCAAGGGAAGATTTTTCCCGTTCATACTCCGTATAGCATTAGGAAGAAAGGAAGAAAGACAAAAAGCAAATGGAAATTCAAAGACATAAATTTAATCGGAAACCTGATTCTGAATGTAATTGAAATTCAAAAGCAAAAGCAACTTGCAAACAAGAAGGACTCCAACAACGATTAACCAAAGAGTGCAATACACAAACGGGGATACAGTACGGACGGAGTAAAAGTCACATAACAACGTACCAAGCCCCAACCCCCTGGCCACCGCAGCCGCAGGACCCAACCCCAACGTTGGCAGTCCAATCACAACCTCCACCTCCACCTCCCGCCCTCCCTCTCCCTCCTTCCCCTCCACTCTAACCCCCCCAGCAGCTCCACCAGACATTTTTCCAGCGAAGCAGAGACAGCGAATGAAGCATGTGAGATGAGCAGGGAGGCTACTGCGCACTGTGGTTGTACTTGGGCCTGGGGTGTTTCTGTGCTTATTCTCGAGTCTGTTCCTATTTCTATTCTAGGCAAAGGAAGCGAACGTATAGGCAGGTCTAAAACCTGCCCCGTAGGTAGGAGCACTGGGTATGTATGCGTATACGGCGGTTCATGATCAGATCTAGCTGTGCCTGTACCGGGCGGGAGGAGGGATTGCCTAGGTATTCCTTCCGGTTAGTATACCACCATACCACATCATACCATGTGATATGATATGGTATGTCGAGAAGATAGGAGTTATAAAACTGACCAGGAATATGTAGTTGGGCTTGTGAAATGCGTGTGAGTGTTGGAGGCCATGGGTGATTGATGGATGAGATGGAATGGGAGGAGAGGGGAGGGGTACACGTCATGTGATGGTGTGAAGAAGAAAGAAGGAAGGAAAGTCTTTAGATTTCAAGTTGACCTTAACTGTTGTACGATGTTGTACAAGGAAAGTGGGGGACTAGCGATAAGAGCAAGCGCTTGGGCTAATGCGGGGTAAGGTAATGGAGAATAAATGGAATTTTCTCAACATTTAGAATTATATAACAAGTGCTTTTATTTTAAAATAAGTGAAGCAAGCAAGACAGTATAGGTACTCTACTTTACCGCAATGTTCCCAGGGTATCGCGGCTTATCCCAATTAACAGTGAATGTAAGTCTCAAGCTTATCTCTTATCCAATGCATATTAACAGCCCATTCTCAAAACTCCAGACGGAATGGCAATGCGCCATATATAATACAGCCCAAACTAAACAAGTATTTATCCACACCTACATACTTGATACCGTATGCATCTTACACATTGCTAGGCCTTCTGGACCCAGCAGGTGTCCTATGTGTCGGAGTACCAGCCCCTCGGACCCCAACACCACTATTTTTCCTGCTAGCAGTCGGGGTCCGCTTCGCTCCCCCAACATAGCTGTTCTGTCGGGATCCAAGATTTTGTCTAATCGAAACATTCTGGGCGGATCGTGCGAAGGAGTTGGCACGGGAGCCCATGGGTACACGAGATTCGCGACGCTCGCTGTGTTCGTTGCGTGCAGCTTCGAGTTGCTGAGCAAAGGGAGATCGGTGACGGAGGACGGGACCTTTCCAGTAGATTACATAGACGGCCATCACGAGGACGAAGGAGATACAGAAGAGGATGGTAGATGCGTAGGCGAGGGGGTTAGAGCCAATGTCTGGGAGAAATGTTAGTATGGACCAAAATGTGGACAATCAATAAGCTTACTGCTAAAGAAAGGAGTAGCAGGAACAGTCAGTACACCAGCGAGGAAATCTCTCGACCATCCATTACCACCGGTTGCAGAAGCCGAGTAGGGACCATAGGCGCAGATCATGTAATCAATCGTTGCCATGTAGATGGCATAATTTGCGATACCGACAATGGCTGCGAAGATCATGGATCCTATCCAGTGAATTGGTGGGCCTGTGCATGTCCAAGCAAAACCAATTAGGCCGATTGGGAGACAAGGTGCCGTGTAGAGCAGCCACCAGAGACGGGACTCGTATTGAGCTCTCTCGTCGTCGGGCTTTGCCTTGCGTTCGGCGATGTTGCGCCTGATGGCTGGGATGAAAGAAATCCAGCTGATAGTGTAGCCCACACCGATGGCGATAAAGGTAAGACCAATCTCGACGGTTCCGAAGCCCCATTGCTTGTAAACGATGGCGAAGGATTGAATGAACATGAAGATGAGGGCATCGGAGAAACCAGAGAGAAGGGACAAAGTCAGGACAATGGGCTCGGTAAGGAACATCTTGAACGGTCGGATCCATGTGATCAGGATCTCCTTGGCGGAGAAGCGATCCCAGAACGGAACAAGCTCATTAGGTCCCCAGATGTTGGCATCTACATTATTCTTGCGTCTCTTCTTGGCAATATTGTCCATCATGATCGTACTCCTAGTTTCAGGTACGAGGACCATATGTAGAACCTGGACGAATCCTCCAAAGATGAGTTGGATCCAGATACTCCATCTCCAGTCCAGGAACTCTTGACTGAAACCACCAATGATTGGGCCAAAAATCGATCCACCGACGGAAGAGAAAACGACAAATGCAACGGCGTATTGCTGATGGTCAGGCTCCCACATGTCTGCAATCATACCGAGAGTGACGGAACCACCAGCAGAAGAGAGTCCACCTAAAGCTCTGCCGACCATGACGGTAGCAAAGTTGGGTGCGAGTGCAACTGGGATTTGCCAAATGTTGACCAACAACAGACTGAGCTGTAGGATTGGTTTTCGGCCCAACTCTTCACTCCAAGGAGCCCATAACTCGCAACCGAAAGCGTACAGAATCAAGAAGATCACCGCACCGCATCGAGCTGCCTGTTCACTGACACCAAATTGTTTTGAAATACCGATATGTTCGGGGTGGTTGGTGGAGCCCGAGATGGCGTTGGAGTAGAGGGAGGTGTTGAAGTTCATGGAGACTTGGACGAGGAAGATGACGCTGAGAATCATCCATTTCCTCCATTCTGGGAAGCCGAATCCTAGCTCGTCGTAGCAGTCGTCTTCGGTAAGCTCAATCTTGTCATATGTGCCGGCCTTTTCCACGGGTGGCATATCCTGGACATCATTCGGCTCCACCACTCTATTTTCGCCCCAATGGGTATGAGCGTGAGGTTGGGCGGGTGCTCTTTCTGCGTCTTCGGTTTTGGTGGCCGACGACGATTCGGAATCATGGATGTTCTTCTCGTTCATCGTATCTCCGTTGAGGACGGGGGTGATTGGCGCCTGGCCCGTCTTTTCGTTTGGTGTAGACATGTTGATGAGGCAAGTGAGGACTCAATTGGAATTATGCGCAGTTTTCAATGGATGCGAAAATGTAATACTTGTCAACTATTGATGTTGATGTTGATGACGGGATCCAAAGGTTGTCGTCATGCAACCCTGATAAACAAGGAATGTATAGAAGGGTGGGTGTCTCACAAAGGGGCGGGGTTGGGGATGAGGGCCACAAAGTGATTGATGAGAAGTGGGAAAAGCAACTTACATATACCTCGTACTATTCGTACTATACCTTACTTGCCATCACGATAAAAGATTAGCCCCGCCCTCAAGGATTCTGCAATCCTCGAGACCACGAGACCTTGTTGGGGGTACTGGAGTTGGGTTTTGTGGAACCCACGATCCATGCCACCACGACGCTAGTGAGACTACGTCATTACATAAGGATACAACTAGCCCGCCATACATGCATAATTTTGTACTAGCTCGCGATTATTACTCAAGTAGCTCGTCAGATAGTGGAGCCCACGACTATAATCAGTCCATTCTGGTGCAAGAATCCACAAATTGGCCGTACGGAGATAGTACTTTCAAGTAAGCCTGGTGGAAAAGGCTTCGTTCTCATCTCATCTTTGTGCTGCCTTAGAGAAGAAGCGGAATGGCCGACTGCTAACGTGAGAAGATTGGCATTGGAATGCGCGCGCATCCATCTGGCATATTCTACTATACGAGACTATTCTAAACCAAACGTACACTCCGTCATGATCTGGTATCACCTGGCCAGGCTGACCGGGTATCCTGCCGGGTATCCTGGCTTGAAACCTGGGGTAGAGTACCCTCCCTATACCTCCGTAGAGATCCGTAGAGAGAAGGGAAGGAAATGTGGGAAGGAAGTGCGCGAAGGAGGAAGGATTTGAAAGGAAAAAAGCAAGCATTCAAGCAGTCAAGCACCAATCAATAACAATGTCGGATGCTAGTGACGTCACACGCTAGCAAGTATTTCTTTTTGTACTGTACAGTAAGAAACGAACGACAAAATTCAACATTGATCCATAATAATAACTCTCCGCGTTGCAATTCCACTTCCCCACCTCCCACTTATGGGATCACTTATGAAGAGGAAATACTCTCTACCTGAGAGGAGAAGATTGGGGGGCAATCGTCTCACGATGGTTGCATCCAACATCCATGATCGGTGGCGCTTGAGCCTCACCGCCCACCTCCACCTCCACTTACACTTACCTACTTGCTCTAGCCACACAAGGGTGATCTCCAGCCTGGCAAACCAAGTTCGAAACAAGCAATCGCTTCTCCCCCGCCAAGAGACGGCACGGCATGGCCCACGCACCACAAGCCATCAGAACCAAGAAAAAGGTCAAGGTCTACCTCTGTTGCCTGGCCTAGATTTGCCTAAGAAGATCGACTTGCGCGACATTCTTTTTTAGAAGCACTTCAAAGTAATACGTCGGATGATCTGAGACATTATTATTTACAGTACTCTACTTCGTAATTTACTAATTGAAACATGCCTCTACTCCTACGCTAGAATCTTCTTCGATCCTTCATTGCAGACTTTTCCAAAAAAAGATGGGGAATGTGCGTGCGGCGTGACATTGCATCAGGGGCTCTTGGCGAAAGACCTGCATTTTATATCTCCAGTTCGAGCAAAGAATTACACAACAAATCCCTCAAATCTTCCTTCTCCCTTTTCCAGATACGGGGGCCCCGAAAGGAGTCTCCAGATTCCCCAGATCTGGAAAGACAATCTCCAATTCAGTGTTTCTATCATTAATCCTGGTTGAGTCTTACTTCCCAATATCACGTGCTTTTACGTTTCCAGTCATGTGCCGTTGGAAACTTGCCAAACCAAAGCCTTATTAAGCCAAGCGGGGTCGTTGGAGAAATAATCCTCTTCAGGCAACCGGTCGGGAGACCATCTCATATCTCATTTTCTTCTTCAACAGTGTATCATCAGCAGCACCAATGAATGATCGCCAGGGAGACTAAGAATGCCAGAACGGCTTTGTGAGCATTATCTCGGGTGGGACAACAGATGCATTTGCAAGTTACGGTCATTTCTGGCAAGTGCTTGGAGTATATATCATTATGATTTGTATCGAATATCGAATAATAAATTCGGTTTTTTTCTCATTCTTGAATTGCAATTGGTACCAGCTTCCTTCTTGCTCTTTTCCTCGAGCACAAAATCTCTCTCTAAAATGGCAGCAGGGCCTGCCATCCACGACCCCGGCGTAACAGCCCTAATCCCCTTTATAACAATCGCAATCTTCCTCATCGGCACGTTCCTCGAGAACATCGCAGCCCGCTTAAATGGCACTCTTCTAATATCCAGCATGATCTCTGGCGAGATTTTCTACTTAGACCCCCAGTCCACACTCCTCACCCTTCACACCTTCAACTCCTCGCCAAACCTACAACCCAGCTCAGAAGAAACCGCATACGGCAGCAACAACGTAGCCGGAGCGCTGGTCGAAGACCCCAACACCCCAGATATATTCTACATATTTTCCGGCACCCACGGCAAAGCAGGAACATGGTCCATCCACCGCCTCGATCTCCGCGCTTTCAACCCATCATCCCATCCCACCATCTCTGTTCAAAGCTCGCAAACGTCTCACATGCGCTCTGGCTTAACGGTGGCACCATGCTTCCATCCGGTATCCTCCTCATGGCTGAGTCCAGACTCGGACAAGTAGTCGCCTACAACCTTCATACAAACACTGTTTCCATCTGGCTCCAACACCCACTTCTAGGCAAAGTAACCACGCTCCCAGAATGGCCCGCCATCAACGGTATTCAACACAACACTTCCGAGGCGCAGTCAAACAGTGCCCCTTTAGCTAGAAATATAGGCCATACTCGGGCGTGGATTCCCTCTTAGCTAGCTAGAGCTTTCATGCTAAACGAGGATACTCGTACATTAATGAAGAGAAATATGCACACTTCTGCGTTTAAACATTGTCTTTCTAAACTCCTTTCTTGTGATACTAGCTGTAGTCACTACCAAAGTCTAGAATACTATAGCGACTGCACGGATTTAAAGCGGGCCCACCCAAACCCCACAATCCATGGGGAAACCTCGGCGCTACTATACAATAAATCGATAAATCGTCAAAGTGGGATTTCGTCTCCTCTCTCTTTAACTAGCGGTGTACTACATCACGAATAATTGCATCTACATCCACAACAATGAGTAACGGCAATCTAGGCCTCTCAATTGTCAATCCGGGATGGCGCAATTCATAGTGCAAGATTATTCCGCGCCGCGATTCCAGGGTTTTGCTGCTTACCCTTCTGCATTCCTGGAGGTGGATGTGGAGGTGGAGGAAGGCGGGGTTAGTGTGGGTGGAGGTTGTAAGAGGGTTTGGGTACGTGACCTTGAAAATTTATATCCTCATATATCTTCATTCTTTCAAACCGAAACTGATGATTATGAAATTTAGGATCCAGTAAATGCCCGATTCGAACCTTGTGCCCTACCACTCATCTCAGCAATCCCCGCAGCCATCACCCTATGCATCCTCCTTGGCTTCGTGCTCCAACTCCTGCCAACGCGCAAAGTGACACCAAAATGGCTCCGAGTTTTCATCCACGAGATCCCCGAGCAGCAAGAAGAGCTTCTCCCTAAGAAGAAGCGGCATTTTACTTTTCTGTCAGGAACCCTGCTTCTTGCGTCTCTGGTGGGATTCATCTTGCAAACGGTCTCGGTATTTCGTCCCAAGCTTCGGCTGGTGGCAATATACCCAGCTGCATCATGGGCAATTGCATGCCTTATTGTTACTCTCCAGCGTCCGGCAAAGACGCCAAAAGCATTGCTCGTTTTGTATACCAGCATTTTTGCTACTCAGGCAATAGTCCTTATCGACAAATTCTTCTCTACCTCCCGCGAAGACATCCCCGCTATCCTAGCACTCATCACCTCCCTCATCGCCATCTTAGTAGTTTTGCACATGCCCTTGCGCGACCCATCTCTGCCTCGCGCTACTATCAGCCCCACGTTCGGTCCACCCACAGACAAGCTGCGCAGTCCGGAAGATGATCTGACGCTTTGGCAGTTCATGTCCGTCTCATGGATGAAACCGCTGATCGATCTGGGGAACGCTCGACAGCTCAATGACGAAGATGTATGGTCGCTCAGCTACGAATTCCAGCATCGCATCTTGCATGATCGGTTCCGGGAGTTGAAAGGCTCGGTGTTGAGGCGGCTGGTTGAGGCTAATGGGTTGGATTTAGTTATTATCTCGGTTCTTAGCATCCTTGAGCTTTTTGCAAGTACGAAAAACTTTCCTATCTGAGTGAACAAGTGGGACTTTGGTTTGCTGATGCAGAAATAGATTTCTCCGCACCGGTACTATTGCAGAAAATTCTGCAGAGTATGGAGGATCATCGGGCGCCGAAACGCGCTGCGTTGACATATGCGCTGTTTTCGCTCGTTCTGAGGTTTGTTGGGAGCCAATCTTCTGTCTTCAGTCTTTGGTATGGGAGACGGGCGTATGAGAGGTCGAGGGGGGAGATGATTACGATGTTGTATGAGAAAACGCTGTCGCGGAAGGTGGTTAGTGTCAGTAGCAAACCTGAAGAGCACAATTCTACGAATGGGACAAATGGCTCGGTCAAAATTGTGCGTCGATCGAGATGGGGAAAAGCGGTGGAATATCTCAAGAAACCTTTTCAGTCCAAGAAAAAAACGCCGGTGCTGGAAAGTGTGCCGGAGAAATCCCCTGAACTGGCTTCTATGGGGAAGATCATGAATCTCATGCGGTAAGTCTTCAGGCCCATAATCGGAGTCAAACACTAACACAATTCCCACCAGCTTCGACGCTTATGAAGTCTCTCAACGGTTTGTTATCTCCTCTAAAATCCAACCATGATACTTTTGCTGACTCCCTCAGCTTCTGGGAATTCTCGTCCCTCGTGTCCCAACCTCTGGGCTTGGTCTTCTCCGTCGTTCTAATCTGGCGACTAATCGGATGGCCCTGCCTAATCGGCGTCGTAACAGTCTTTATAGCCCAAGCCATCAATGCTTTAATCGCACGCGCCCTCTTAAGCTGGGAGAAAGACCGCCGCATAGCAACAGACAACAAACTCCACAAGATCGGGCAGCTAGTTGAAGCTATCCGGCATCTACGCTACTACGGCTGGCAAGATGTTTGGCTAGCTCGTATCATGGAAGCTAGACAGCACGAGTTGACGTTGAGAATCATCACTGCGCTGTGGCGCATTCTCATTGCGTTTACGAATTCGTTTGCTAGTGGCATGTTCCCAGTGGTTGCGTTTTATGCGTATACTGTTTGGGCGGGCCAGCCATTGACAGTCGATGTTGCGTTCCCGGCATTGCAGCTATTCAGTATGATGGAGACCAGTCTTCGCGAAGTACCGAATCTAATTACCGTATTGTTGAATGCCAAGGTCTCTGTTACTCGACTGGAAGAATTCATGAGTGAACCTGAAAAGGAAAATGCGGACACTGGGCAGGGTTTGAATACCAAACTTGAAATGAAGGATGCTTCGTTTGCGTGGCCAGGGGCGACTGAACCTGTTCTTAGCAACATTACCCTCTCCTTCCCAACAGGACTGACGGTCATCTACGGAGAGGTTGGTGCGGGGAAAACTGCCTTACTCCAAGCATTACTTGGTGAGCTTGACCGGTTGAGTGGCGAATACGATCGAGCAAATGACCCAGTTGGATACTGTGCTCAAACCCCCTGGCTACAGTCCATGAGTATCCGAGAAAACATTCTCTTCTCTTCCCCATACGAAGAATTACGCTACAAACAAGTCCTCGAGGCATGCGCGCTGATTCCAGACATGGCGAATTTCAAACACGGTGATCTGTCTCTTGTAGGCGAGAACGGCGTTGGTCTTTCAGGCGGGCAAAAGGCTCGTCTCTCTCTTGCTAGAGCTGTATATTCCAGAGCCAATATCCTACTACTCGATGATCCACTTTCGGCACTGGACCACCACACAGCGGAATCCATTGTCCGGAAGTGTCTCTCTGGTCCATTGTTGAAAGACAGGACCGCGATACTTGTTACGCACCGTACGGAACTCTGCCTCGGGTTGGCGGACCAGATCGTTCACATGGTGGATGGTGAAGCCCGCGTTATTGAGGCGGAATCGATTGCTTCAGAGGACTTACATGGAGCTACTCCAGAAGAGCCTGTCACTGAAGAGGACTCTACAGATGAGGTACAACAACTTGCGGCTCCTGATAAATTCATGGAAGATGAACATCGAGCTCACGGTGGCGTCAAAGCTTCCATTTACTGGGAATATATCAAAGCGGGAAAGCTCAGGTGGTGGTTTGTCCTTATCATTGTCCTTGCTTTATATCGAGTTATTGATGTTGGAGAGACTTGGTTCCTCAAACAATGGGGTGAAGCCTATGGTGATCGAGATGAGAGAGCCACTTCTGGTCCGTTTGGAAACCTGCCCAACCCAGAAACGAACATTCGGCCCTGGCTCATTGGATTCTTTCTCATTGCCGCCGCTCAGTCTATTACATATCTAATATCTCAAGCATTTATGTTGGTCATAATCTACCAGGCAGGGAAGAATATGTTTGAAAGGGTCATGACCCGAGTTACCCACGCCACATTCCGCTTCTACGATGTCACACCTGTTGGCCGTTTGATGAACCGCCTCACGTCTGATATCAACACCATAGATGGTAACATCAGCAATCAGTTCCAGAATGTGGCTGTTCTATCTATTTCTTGGATATCATCCATCGTGGTTATTGGATCAGTAACCCCGCCGTTCCTCATATTCGCCATTGCTCTCACCATAGCATTTGTCGTCATATTCATGCACTTCCTCCCTACATCTCAAAGTCTCCGCCGCTTGGAAATGGTTTCCTTGAGCCCTCTCATTTCCAATTTCGGAGAACTCGCTACAGGTCTTACCAGCATCCGAGCCTTCAAAGTCTCGCACCTCTTCCAAGCTAGAGTCATAACCGTGACGGACAAATTCCAAAAAATGGATCACTTCTACTGGAGTCTCCAAGCATGGCTAATGTACCGCTTCGACAACCTCTCCGCCATCTCCACCTTCCTCATGACAACCATGGCCCTCTATACCGGCGTCTCCCCCGGCCTAACCGCCTTCCTCCTAACCGCCGCCGGCAAATTCGTCCTCGGCACTCACCTCCTCTGCAAACAATATGGCCAACTACAAATGGACTTCGTCTCAGTAGAACGCGTCGTCGAACTGCTCCACCTCCCCCAAGAACCCCCCGGTCAAATTGACCCGCCCGCCTACTGGCCCCGCCTCAATGGCGACATCGTCTTCGAAAACGTCACCATCCACTACGCGCCACACCTCGACCCAGCCCTTTCAGACATCTCCCTCACGATCGCGGGCGGCAGCACCACCGCGCTCACCGGCCGCACCGGCTCCGGCAAAAGCACCCTCGCGCTCTCCCTACTCGCCACAACTCTCCCGTCCTCCGGACGCATAATCATCGACGGGATAGACATAGCGACCATCAACACGCAAGCGTTGCGCAAACGCATCACCTTCCTCGCGCAAGACCCCATCCTCTTCCCCGGCAGCATGCGCGCGAACCTCGACCCGCTGGACGAATTCTCCAACTCGGAATGCGCCACTGTGCTCGCCAAAGTAGCGGGCAAGCACGGCTGGACGCTCGCCACGCATGTCGATACCGGGGGCCGGAACCTGAGCCAGGGGCAGAGGCAGCTGGTAGGTCTGGCTAGGGCGCTGCTGCGCAGGAGTGCGGTGGTGGTTATGGATGAGGCGACGGCGAGTATTGATGGGGAGACGGCGGGGAGGATCTTGGGGCTGTTGAGGGAGGAATTGGGTGGGAGTACGGTGCTTGTTGTTGCCCATCGTTTGGAGGCTGTTAGGGGCGCTGATGGGTGTGTTGTGCTTGGACGGGGGAGGGTGCTGGAGGTAAGGAGGGGGGTTGATGGCGTTATGGAGTGAGTGTGTGGAGGGAGGGAAGGGGGAAAACTTGTGTATATGTATGTGTTGTCTAAAAAAGTTGCGGGGAAGGTTGAAATTCAAGGTGTTCATAGTAGGATGGAATTCAACTACGCCCGAGATAGAGTTATTTCCAGCAAATCCTAGAATCTTTGCTTGCTTGCTTGCTACAATACCCACCAAAAGTCACTCTAAACATGTTTTGAAAAGCTCAAGTGAAGTCCCCTAAAATCCATCCCGATTCACCATGTCACTATTCGTCCGTTCCCTAGTCCGCGCAAGATATGGACCGGCGATTGAGTATGTATTGAAGTATTCTCCTGCTTAGTTGACTTGCAAGGTTCTTCAATCCCTTCCACATCGCAATTTTCTCGAGACGGAGCCCAGATAGATACTCGTGAACGCCAAGCCGATCCATCCATCCATGATGAAGTCTCGAGCTCCAGCTAGAGACACACCTTCTGAATCATCATCCGAGGGAGAGGAAGTCAGTACTTCTCCACCAGTCGCGACGGACATGAGCAATCGAAGTCTACATCCAGCGCGTTTGATTTACCGTTGTTTGTAAAACTGCGAGAACCCAATTGCAAGCCTGAGGTACGAATCACTAGATACCTCGCAGCCATCTCTGCTGACCGAGTAGGACGAACCCTTCAATCCATTCGATACCAGCCGTCTACCACATAAAAATACATGTAGAAATCGCTGCTGCAAGATGCACGACTACTGCGCGATGGAGTGGATTCTAGAGTTGGTGCGTAAAGCGAAGTAGTTCTCCGACCACGCGCGTTATAGTGCCCCGTGGGGTGCCTGTTTGCATTTCATTTTGTTCGCTCTCAAATACCAGACATCGTACAGGTTGAGAGAGTAGTACATACCTAGTTACCTGGTGTGAACGTTGGAGACCGAGACAAGTTTTACATTTGGCAGTGACGGGTTCCCATTGGCTTCAGAGCCGCCAGCAAGATGTAATCTTGTAAGAGGCGAGGCATCGATTGCAAGGAAGGATGCTGAGAGCACAACATCTGGATCTCCGTGCCGGCATATAGGCTTGCGTTACGGGACACTCGGTAATCTTGTAGGCTTGTAGTAGGTATGACCGACCCATGGTGCCATGCCACCGCCCATGATGGACAGTGCCACCACCTTTTGTCGCTCAGATTTATTCTTCTCAACTCGTACACAAACTGTGCTGCGAAATCCCGTTATTGTGTTGCGTGATTTGAAACTCATATATGCAATTCTTGTAATCTTAGACTTACAGTATCAAATTGCGTTTTAATGGATCGTGCAAGCACATTGTTGTATGTCTGGGAGGTCCTGTCTGTACATGACCACACTGGATTTTTGAGCTGGCGAGTTGAGTTTGACGGCTATTTTCTGGCAAGAGCGAATGTGTGCAAAAGCGACGATTCAAGTTTAAGTCGTTTGCATTTATTTGTAGATTTGGTACAAATTGACTATCCAACTCCTGTATAGTTGCTTATAGGTTTTGAATCTTGAATACGACCATTGTAATAGGTGGGCCAATTGAGGAAAACTATGGCGGAATTGTACTACTATCCACCAGGATCTGTAGATAACCGTCTTGTGGCAGAGAATTAATGAAAGCAGGAGCCGAACATTGGATGAGTGCATCTCTGGAAGTGGAGCTCCGTTGCCGAAGTACGTAGATTTGGTGTTCTGTGTCCTATTCCACACTCAAGTTGGCCTCTTTCATCTTTATTACTCATATTTCTTTGGTTCAAAACAGTTGGTATGATTTTCTAGAGCGGTACGTTGCATTTATTCTTTCACGGAAGCAGGTTCGTTGCATTAGACTTCAATCGAGAGATAACAGCCCGTCTCTAGACCATAATATACCAATGAACGAAGATTATCATATCTTCCCGTTGGTCAAGATCCAGACAATTGAAAAGCACGACATCTAAGCTGCTTTGATCGTCAAGGAGCAGATTTACCTTGGCATCGACGAGGAATAGAGTATCCGACTGTGTATAAGTATGGCATCCCGTCCCTAGATTTTGTTCATCAGGATCGAGATCTCACTTCACAACATCAACACAACCCAGTCCAAGAACATCACCAAAATGTACTTCAGCCGTATCTTGGCCGTCTTGGCCACCAGTGTCTTAGTCTCCGCCGCTCCAATGGGCGATAGCGAGGGAACGATGACTACCCCTGATTCCCAGATGAAGCATGGGCACAACACAGACGGCATGATGCCCTCAATCATCGATAGACACCCCCCTCCCCCTCCATGGAAGGTTCGATCCGACACCACGATGATTGCCGATGGCATGATGGACTGCCAGCGGGCTGATGGCTGTCGGGGCATGGCTGCAACAGACATGAATGCGGATGCTGAGTTGGCTCAGGATATGAGAGGGGGGCGATGAGAATACGGGTGGCTCCGATCACACTCACGGCTTCTGCATTCAGACAAGTAAGAAACATTCGAAAAAGTCCTCAAGAACCCGTTGCTAATGACCACTTAGTAATGCTCAGAGCTTAAGAGTGGGAGCCTACCTCAAAAGTACAGCCCTACCACATCTGAGTAGCCGGAATTCTTAGGCTCTGTGGGCTGGTATATCTTTATGTCCACTCAAGGCCTCTTCACAATTGCAATGGAGCATGTTGTCCCTGCTGAATATTGGAATGTTAGCTTTCGTTACTTGGCTTTGCCAGGAGATTGAGTTTCTTTGCAGTACTGTGTTTCAACTTACCTAGTCAGAAAGCAAGGGCATGTAGCTTTAGCTGACTAGAAAGCACAATACATGGTCGTTTTCTGAAACCTGAAATCTGAACTTCTGGGAAAAGGGGGCCCCTTTTTCTCGTGACCTCCTCGCTACAGTATCGGCTAAATGCCGGCAGATGCCCAACAACCTCAAGCTTGAACCCCGCCTGCCTGTAACCATTTTCTTTCCTCCTATCAGCATCACACTGTCAATCAAGTCAGTCGCGATTGCGTAGCATTCTGTTAGGTATATTTTAGTCTCAGTGGACCTCGTGTTGTACATTAGGTCAAATGTCAACACGAAAACGCGTCTCGCAAGCCTGCAGGTCAGTCAATCTCATAGAGTTGAGCAATACCCAGCCAGGTCCTGACGTATAGTTCGTTTGTAGATACTGCAGTAAGAAAAAGATCAAGGTCTGGTATCGACTACTCCCTACCATACAAGCTCTAACCCCAAGCACAGTGTGATGGGGCTTTCCCACGATGTAGCACGTGTCAGGATAAGAACGAGGAATGCTCGTATGGGATATCTAAGAGGAGGTCTGTCTATGCCGGTCAAGCCACAGAACGCTGCCTGACAATTTTAATGCCAGGGGTCCGAGTAGAAGACTCGAATCCAATGGGTTGATGGGCACTCCTCAGGGTCTGAATGCAAGTTCCCCCAAAATATCAACATCGGATAATGCGCATCACACACCTGTAATTCGTACCCACAAGTCCCCCCACCCTCCGCAGTCACAAGATCTATCAGTAATACCTTCCGCGACCTCCAAAAGGTTATTTCAAACGTACTTCGACTGCATACATCCAATATGGCCTCTCCTTTACAAGCCTTTATTTGTTTCATCAGACTACACCTATCCTTCCCCGAGAATACCAGCTGCCTTGGTTTTAGCAATATTCGCAATTGCTTCATGTGTGGACAATGACTATGTGGCCAACACTGAAAACACCACCCAGGAGAGTAGAAATTGCCCCGAACCACGGGTTTTCTTCAAGGAAGCGCTCGATACTCTTCAGCGTGGAACCGATGATGATAATGCCCAACAATCAATGAATGTATTTGTCCCATCGATCACCAACTGCCAAGTTCTTGTACTACTAGCACTTCAACAACATGGTGTTGCTGAATATGCCCGAGCAGCAATTCTAGGTGGAGTGGCAGCAGCAATGGCGACTGAGTTGCGGCTTCATCGCGCGTATGAGCCCAACGACCTCGTAGAACGGGAGATTCGCTCGCGGCTTTGGTGGAATCTATATATACTTGACAAAATGATGTCCGGAGAAATGGGCCGACCTGTTATCTTAAGGGCTGAGGAAACAGACACTCCGTGGCCTTCGATATCCGAGTCAGATGAGTTTGAATTGATGTCCCAGCAATTGCACATTTCTGGAGCACAAGCTAGAAATAAATCCACAAAAATGCTCACAATGTCTGCTCTTCATACAACCATCAGCTTATCGATAACTATGGAACGTATTTATCGGCAAATATATGGTATCGCGGCTAGAAAAGCGATTCGCGAAGATCAAATTGCTGGGGATCGTCTGAGGATGCAATTGTGGATTGAATTGCAAGACTGGGAGAAACGTGTAGATGCATCACCATTGAGACTAGACCTAAGCGATGAGTTGACTTCAGTCCCTCCAACGATCACGAATAGGGTGGTAAGCCTCCAGTTTCATTGACGTATATACAAAGTATGTTACTTACCTCTATTTAGGTCATGTTGACAGGCACAATCATGCTCCATCGCCCGTTCATTGAGCGCTGGCGACCTGAGCTAGCCTTCGCCGAACCTACATCAAATCCGCACGAGATCTGTCTCGTAGCAGCTAACAGAATCTGTGTTATACTAGAAAGATATTTGGAACGTCTCCTGGGAGGACCATGCGATATGGTCTTCACTATATTTACTGCAGCAAGTATATTGTTGCACTGTTCCAAGAAAGTGGAAGCAGCTGCCGCTGTCGATGTACGTCGCCGTCTCACGCAATGCATTCATTGGCTTTCTGTCCTGGGAAAGAGTTGGAAAACTGCAGGTACCCACCATCAATTGCTTAATGATTGTAAGCCTTCTTTTCTTACATATACTCGAGATCCAACTGACTCTACTTAGTATTTGACTTGCCACAAGCATTGCAAGAACCAAAGCTTGAAGAGATACCGGTGCCTCAAACGAACGTTGCCCAGCAGTCATTACAGCCGGGGGGATCTTTGGCAAATATGTTAAATCCGGCCACCATCCCTTTCTCACTGGCCCAGCCCCCACCGACTTTCACGGACGACTGGTCGTTTCTTAAAGATTTTGGGGACTCGACAGACCAGTTTTACTCCTGGGATGTGGAACTTCGGGATCTACTGGATGGAGGGTTCGTATTGGATGGAGGACAGGACTATGTTTGATCAGCACAACTCGTTGTTTGTTATTATAACAAGAACAGACCCAGTGAGACGGCATCGGCTCTAGATCTCTTCGAATCGAAATCCGCCCTTGTCATCAATATACACTACTCCTACACACCCCAGATCTTCAACCTATCTATCTGTACCCCTTAACATGAAGTACCACGTAATTTCTCCACCGAAACAAAGCGAAGAACCTCGCTCCAACGCCAACCACCCCACCATGACCACGATCTTGTACACCTAGAAACTTGCCAAAAGCGCTTACCAACACGTGGCACCAAAACAAAATTATCTTGATGGCTGGCTAAGAAATACCGTAAATGGTATTTTACGATCCAGTAAGTAATGTTGAACCTTCCTTCTTTGTCATAAACCAGTGGACGTGCTTGACTTACGAGTCATATTTTTATGAAGGACTATGGCGAATAGTAGGGAACTTCTGGAGTACTCCGTCGGCAACCGAAGTTTTTCTACTAGTGTTATTCGTAGCAACTACACATGAGCATTTCTTATTGTATTTGAAAAGTCAAAATCTATGGACATATTCTATGTTTTGGCACGTGATAGTCGTCAGTCTTAACTTGATTTCTATCAAAAAGGGCTTCGCTCACAGAGATACAGCATCTTAAGGATACAGTATCTGTCTTCTAATACATGTAGTACAAGTGACAGTTGAAAGAAAAAGGATAACAAGGGGGTTTCGGATAAACTTCCGGGTATCTGATATCGGCTGTCAAGTGGCGACTTCACTTAGCCGGCTGAAATCTTTTATGTATGATTGGCTGCTCTTGTACTTTCCTGATTGAGACTATAATCGTACCCCACAATCTGCAATCAGGACCGCGTCTTTCATGTCACAGTTTAGTTTCCAAAAGCTTTTCTTTGCACTAGGTTTGAGGGGAAAAGATAAAAGGTAGTGCCTCTCCTTCATCAAGCTCGGCTTTCAAATATCTCTTGACAAGTATCGAGGAAGTTCCTCAAAATCTCGTCATGGCATCCCTTCAGCACTTGCAAATATCTCAATCCCGCCCTCATCCTCTCACACAACTCTCCGTCACAGAAGCAAATATCGCTCGCGATGTAATTCTTCAATTACACGACAAATCTGTCCTTGATTTCCGCACAATATCACTTGAAGAGCCGCCGAAAGCTCAGTTACAACCGTTCCTCGACGCCGAGGCCGCAGGAAGTCTTGCAGCCAACCTTGCGAGGCCTGATCGCCTGGCTCGTGTAGCTTACGATGTCGTGAGCGAGAACAAACTCTTTCAATTCTACGAGTCTCTCGTTGATGTGAGCACTGGAAAGCTAGTTGGACAGGAATTGATTGACCCAAAGCATCAAGCACCCCTGACACTGTCCGTAAAACCCTTCTCTCCTCCTAGAACATCTACTAATATTTTACAGAGGCGAATTCGACCATCTCGTAAAGGTGGTATGGAGATCCCCCCTCTTCAAAGCAGCGATCGCAGAGTTCCATCTCCCAGAAGGATTTGAAGTGATTGTTGAACCCTGGCCTTACGGAGGACCAGATCCAGATGAAGAGAGTACAAGGTACTTCCAAGGCCTATGCTTTGCCCAAGACACCCGTAATGAAAACCCGGACTCGAATTTCTATGCTTATCCCCTCCCTTTGATCCCTGTCATGGACTGCAAGACCCGGGAAGTCGTTCGCATCGATCGTCTTGCCACAGGTGGAAAAGAGGATGGACTTGCAAAAGGAACACATCTAAGTAAGGTTCTCGAGCATTGCAAAGGTGCTGAGTATGTGCCCGAACTTCTGGAGAACGGAACAAGAAAGGATTTGAAGGCCCTGAATGTTTCGCAGCCTGATGGGCCGAGTTTTACGGTCACGGATGAGAGTCTGATCGAGTGGCAGAAGTGGAGATTCAGGGTAGGGTTTAATCATAGGGAGGGTGCGACGATTCATGACGTTAGGTATGATGGAAGGAGTGTCATGTACCGGTTGAGTATAAGCGAGATGGTAAGTGACCCCCACCCCCCGAATGCACCAAACAGCAGCTAATGTGATAGACTGTTCCATACGCAGATGCTCGTGCACCATTCCAACGGAAGCAAGCCTTCGACTTTGGAGACGGAGGCGCCGGTACTTGTGCCAACAACTTAGAGCTTGGATGTGACTGCTTAGGCCATATCAAGGTAAATCAAAAGTAAATATTCAAGAGATTCAAACAATACTAACCCATATCCAGTACTTTGACTCAACGAACACCACATCCGACGGCACAACATCCGTAAGCAGCAACGTCATCTGCCTGCACGAAGAAGACAACGGCATCGGCTGGAAACACACAAACTGGCGCACTGGCCGAGCAGTGGTGACTCGAAATCGCGAGCTTGTCGTTCAGTTCATCATCACCCTCGCCAACTACGAATACATATTCGCCTATAAATTCGACCAAGCCGGCGGCATAACCATCGAGACACGCGCCACAGGAATCGTCTCCGTAGTCAACATCGACCCCGGCAAAACCTCCGACTACGGCAACGTCGTCTCACCGGGTGCTCTCGCGCAAAACCACCAACACATCTTCGCTGTGCGCATAGATCCTGCCGTCGATGGCCCCAACAATACCGTGATAGTAGAAGAGTCACATCCAGTCCCCTTCTCGCCCGAACGTAACCCAGCAGGCAATTTCTACGAGATCCAACAAACACCCATCTTAACCTCGCAAGGACTAGACGCGGCGCCCCACCACAACCGCGTTGTCAAGATCGTAAACAGAGCCCAGCGGAATCCTATCAGCGGCAAACCAGTGGGGTACAAATTCATCCCATCGCCTACGCAAAAGCTCCTCGCTCAGTCGGGCAGTATCCAAGCCCGAAGAGCACAATTTACCAACCATCATGTGTGGGTGACGAAGTACAAAGATGGCGAATTGTTCGCGGGTGGCAGATATACGCTTCAGAGCCGAGACGAGGTGGACGGGGTCGCAGATGCGGCGAAGCGGGGTGACGCTGTGGAGGATACGGATGTGGTTGTTTGGAACGTGTTTGGCTTGACTCACAATCCTAGAGTAGAGGATTGGCCGGTTATGTGAGTTGAGCTTTTTGTCAAGGATGACGAGTAAATGCTAACAACGTGACAATAGGCCGGTGGAGATCCACCAGCTGCATATTAAGCCTGCTGATTTCTTTTCGGCGAATCCGGCAATTGATGTTCCTTCCAACAAGAACCTTTCTTCTAAACTTGTCGAAAAGGAGTCTTGCTGTCAAGAACAAACACATTAAACAAATGTTAAAAATAAAAATGATACGAAAAGGCGGATGAGAACTGTTCCTTGACATGGCTCCTTCAATTCCAAGATCTTTGTATATTGGAGTGTTTAGAAAAACGATTCATTATCTCCGTAATCCTGCGGGTCAAACTTTACCCTCCTAAACTCGAATGTCACACCGGCGAATATTCAAGCCGATAGCCCCAACAAACATGCACCTCATTCCTCACGCTCCCCCGTCTATTTCTTAGCAAAGAATGCAGCCTCAACCGCCTTCCTCTCCTCCACCACACGACTCGTAGCCTGCCGACTAGTAATCCTCTTCAACCAAGCACTCAAGTGCGGAAACTCCTTCTCTTCATCATATCTCTCAGCCGTGACTGCCTTGATGCCCATCTGCCAGGAGATGAAAGCTAGGTCTGCATAGGTACACTTGTCGCCGACGAGATACTCCCGGTCTTTGAGATGATCGTCCAGGACGCCCGAGACGCGCTTTACCTCTTTCACATAACGTTCAATAGCCGAAGGAATTTTCTCAGGGTGGTGTCTTGCAAACCAGCTATGAGTGAAGACGGACGACTTGTTAATTTCTAGGACCTTTGAAGAAAGGGAGGGGGTTTGGCACTTACCTAGCTTGGCCGTAATATGGACCCTGTCCGCTCATCTGGAAATGAAGCCACTGCTTGCACTGGAAATCCAGGTCGCTTCCAGCCTCATAGCTGAGCAGGTGATCCTTGTCGTACTTTGCAATGACATACTCGATGATCGCTCCTGATTCCCATAGGGTAAAGTCGCCATTGTTGGGATCAACGAGGGTGGGAAGGCGTCCGTTTGGGTTGAGCTTTAGGTATTCTGGGGTCTTGAGCTTGTCGAAGCGTAGGTACTCGGATTCGAAGGCCAGGGAGAGCTCGGTGAGGATGATGGATACCTTGGATGGATTTGGACCACCGACACCACCCCATAGAATAAAGGGTTTCAGAGGCATCGTTATTATTAATGAACAGATGGGTGATCGAACTCTAGATTTGATTGCTGGAAAAAAATCAAGATAATCTGCGTTGAAGAAAGTGCAAAGTCCAGCGGCACCATCGCTATATATACTTTCCACAAATATTTATGAAGCTAGGTGCAAATACCAGTTCTGCAGCTACCCTAGCCAAATATTTGGAGTGACACTTTTATCAAGACTTTTTTACGAACCAGCCAGTGGCAGGCATTGAATATGGCTTTAGCCGGTTTCAAATGGCATAATCAAAGAAGTTAGGCAAATAACAACGTCCGTATGAAATCTATTATCAAACTAGGAAGGATTTTAATTAGTCTCCCTTCTTTCGAAGTGGGAAATTCTAGCGTTTTTGCTCGGAATGAAACGAACTATTTAGACCGCCGAAACGGCCATACTGTGCCGTATTACCAAGCAAACGGAGACTTATTTTCGGAGACTTTCCTGGATTGTCTATTGTGCTCAAATATCGAGGATATTTGAAGAGAAACTGAAGATGCACTGATAAATTCGCAATCACAGGGAAGTTCCATCATTCCCGTTGATGAAGCAAGTGGCATGGTTATTAACGATTGCTTCATGACAAATTTTTATACACAATTATACGACTCCTCTCATTGTTGACAACATCAGCACTCGCTCCAGATGTCTTGTTCACGATGAATATGTTTGGATCTCTCTCTCGATCTCGACAATATGCACCAAGAAATGCAAAGTATTCTTCTGGACGCCGAAACTGTCATATTTGTGGCCATACGGAGTAAAGGCCGTGCAGAAGCTCAATAATTCTGTACATGAAATTGGAAGAAACAAAAACCACATGAAATAATTGAAAGCGCAAAAAGCAGAACGTTGGGGGGAGATAACAGAATTTAAACTCTCAGATGGTGAGTAACATTTTGGTCCTTTCTTCGCAGACAATTGATGCTCTCTCGGTATTCAGTTTCCATGCCAGCAAACACAGAAAAGCAGCGGACTCTCAAGTATCATGTCACAAGTTCTCCACTCTCTTCAGATCTCGATTAAGTCCATCGAACTTGCCAGGCATGCTCCAGTCAACCAACCAGCTCTGCATCAGGAAAGCCATTGCTCCCGAGAACTCTTCCTTGTGCACAAACGTAGTTCCGCCTTCAGCAACTTTACTCTGCTCAAAAGAAAAGGTATGGAGGCCAGAGATTCCCACCACGGGCGGGCCTTGCCATTGAAACATTGTAAGAGAGTTTTGCTTTTGAGGTTGTTATTAGCTGGTCAATGTAAGGCCGGGGAAATGCTAACAGTTATGATGGCATCAAATGTGAGATCCAACATTTAACAATGCACTTTGTTGCCCACTGCAAAAACCAGACAACGGTTTGTTTTCTTTCACCATGCCTTGGTGCCATTCTTGGTAAGACGATTAGTCAAGAAACTAATTCATGTGCATGAGGATCTGTTAGCTGTGGTTGGTTGAAAGTAACTACTCACAACTTTCCTCACGAGTTCCGGAGCATGGTTGATTTCTATGGTTGTGTGAATCATCTTGAACGAATGTTGAAATTGATGTTGCTTTCATACAGACCAGAGCAGAACAGAATGTAAAAATACTGGTAAATGCGCGCTGCTGGGGGCACGTTAAGCACTAGATTTATATGTCGCCTGATATATAAATAGACTTATCCCGAGATAAGTCATTGGATGGTGCGTTCCGATATTACGAGTTTGCAAAGTAACAGGGCTGCGGCACGGCACAGGCTTTGTCACACCGAACAACTCTGTTTAAACAACACCGCGCATCCATCAGTACAACCCATACGGGACGCCGATCCAGCCACTTCCTATGCACAGCTTTTGCCAACCCTTGGTCAAAATCGCATGATGCTGAGATTTTGGAGACCTGCGGATGGGTAATGCTGGTGGAGGAAGGGGTTTGCACACAGGATGGGCGTACCGATGGGATTGCGTCGTGAAATCTTCGACTGGCTGCCCAACGAGCAATTCGAAGATTCGAGGCCGAAATTTGCTGCCACCAGGTTCAGACATACATATTGGCTGTTGGTATTGGGGAAAGCGGTTCGAAGTCGAGTAGCAGCTATCTTGCATTGAGCGTCGCATGCAAAATGTAGTCGTGTTCCTCCAAGGTGAGAACTTCACAGGCGGAGCCCAAATTGTCGTCTATCGTTCCTGCCGTCGTGTGCCTTTTTGTGCCGTCTAGTCTTCCCAAGAGGGTCGATTCTGTTCACATATTAGTTTCGTTTGGGGAAGCTGAACGTGAAGCAGTCTTGATAGCTACCTTACCTTTCGGCATTCTCTGTACGACATGCTGCAGGGCCTTAGTCAATGATCGCCCACCAAACAAACCCAATAAGAAGTTTTGGGTGATGTCAAGAGAAGTGAAGAATCAAACTCTCGCGAAACCAGCAACCTTTCACAGCCCGGTAGCATCCCAGCTTATCTTGTGTCCCTACCGGATAGCAAAGATCATAAACTCCCGCAGGAGTCCACCGAGAGGCCGTCTGACAGTATGCTTCTTGTGTGATCGATGGTCACCTTGCCCTGGCAAGCTTCGCTGGGAGCTAGAGGGGGAACAGGATGGGATCGAACTCTTGTGAGAGGGGGTGGCGTGCATGTGTTGTGGAGATGCAGGAAGAATCGAAGAGAGTCGAGGAAGAGGAATGGAAGGACCGTAGAAATTTCAAGTTGGGGCGCGAAAATGGGAATAGGAAGGCACGCTGATGTAAAATGCGAGATTTGGAAGAAGGGGAAGCAACAAGGAAGTAACGAGGGAGTCAAAATTCGAGAGAAGATGCGGCACATGCTAAAGCCACCTTACGGTAAGAAGCATTGAAGATCTTAAAATTTCGTGGTGCAATCACCAAAGTGCCTTGTGTACGCATAGCAACTTAAGTACAAGAGCTTTCATGAGAAGCGTCACTGTCTTTTGCTGGAGAAGAGCGTAATATGAGCCTGGGAGTGGTGGGCAACCACTTCAGCTATGACATAGATAGTATCTCCCAAAACTTCTCTTTGGTATCTGACTGATGCCTTTGGGCATTTATCAATATTGTCACATTCCCCATGCCAGTCAGTGCCTGGAATGGGACCAAACCGCATTCCACGCCAAATTCGAACTCGAAAACGCTTCAATTTCGTGATCAAAAGAGCTCTCAAATTTCCATTCCGGACACTTCACGATGGCCCAACCAAATCCCGCAAAACGACCATCTCACGGGCAATCACCACGCGCAAAGCGTCGGAAATTTCACCAGGCTCCGTCTGGTCTCGTCGCGAAATATACACACCCTACAGATGGCATACAGAAACTCCTACGGAATTAGCTCGATAAAAGCGGGATCACCCCTTTGGACGGAGGGCCTTTCACTACATTTGAGGAACTAGACGAATGGACTGCTCTAGAAAAGTATCAGCGGTGTCGCTTCCTTAGTACGCCAAACGACACAACCTTCCTCGGGAGACAAAGCTGACGCACGGGTTCAGGGATCACGATTTGGATGATTTCAGGGGTCTCCTCAATCTAGCATATGAACAGAATCCGCAGATACATACTCGCTACGCTAGCGGAGAACACCTGTACCACTTCAGCCGAAGGCTTTTCGACTGTTGTTTGTATGCTATTTATAAAGAGAGAAAAGGTTTAAGGTCTGTTTATATGATTTATCAAGAATTCTCCTCCTGTTTCAGATAGCTGACTGAAATAGATACGGCCCAGAAGGTATCATTCGAGTTGACGAGTCACTTATGCAGAACCGATATAAAAACGCTATTGTCATAAATTGATAAACACCAGTGATGAAGTTTGAACCTTCTCTTAGATTTGAAGGTGAGATAGGTGCGTAAGGAACAGGAAGCAAAGGATTGAAGACAAATGACTTGATGTTCAAAGGTCAGGAGGGAAATCAAACCTGCACCTCTGTCTAGATTTGGACGGTTGATAGAGCCTGTTAAGAGAAGCAACCATTGATAACCAGGGAATCGTTCATAACTTATCGCATATGATATTGAGGAATAAAGGCAGGAATCCAATTAGCACCCATATGATAGACCCGTCCAACAATCTTGAACGTAGGGGATGCTTTTTTGATCTAGAGATACCCAATTGAAGGAACAGATAAAAGGAGGTTCGGAGGAAGCAATGCGCTAAGACAAAATATCCCTGTATGTCAATCACGTGAGTATGACCCCCTGCAAATGAGCCCTCCCCTCCGCGCGTGCCAAGCAAACATGCTTCATCCTTTCAACGCGATCAGGAACATTGCACTCTCATGTCTAACAGTATATCGTCCGTGCCAGTGTCGGACTACATGCAAAATCGACATCGGTATATGCGGCATTCTTTGAACTCCGAGCTAAAATTCTAACGCCGTACGGAATAGGCACTTGTATACAAAATGCGCGTCATCCAACCTTTTATATTGTGGCATCTACCAGACTTCTTTCCAACTTGAAACAGCGTATTGTGAGATGAATTATTCATAATGTTACCTCTTATTACGCTTGAAGAGCATTTCATATCTACGAAAGTTCGTTCTGGGAAGGATGACCACTATAACGACTTTCCTCCTTCCTTCACTTTGAAGTTCGAGAGTCTTGGGGACGAGCGAATACAGGACATGAACAATGGATCTGTGTCCCTCCAAGTACTCTCTCATGCACCTCTGGACGCATCTCCATCAGCATGTTCAGATATAAACAATGAACTGGCTCTAGCAATTTCCAAAAACCCGGACCGCTTCGCCGGCTTTGCTACGTTGCCTATGGAAGATTCGAAGGCAGCTGCAGAGGAGCTTTCTCGTTGTGTAACAAAGCTCGGTTTCCTCGGTGCCCTCATCAACAATCATCTCAACGGACAATTCTATGACGATGGACGATTCTGGCCGGTTTTCGAGAAAGCTCAGGAGTTGGATGTGCCAATATACATCCATCCCACGTACCCATCCGAGTCGATGCTGGAACCTTACAAGGGAAACTATGATGACCGGATTGCAAGTCAATTGAGTGCATATGGTTGGGGCTGGCATTCTGATACCGGGCTTCACATCCTACGACTTTTTGCCAGTGGATTTTTTGACCGGTTTCCGGAAATCAAGATCATCATCGGTCATATGGGTGAACTGTTGCCCTTTCAACTGGATCGAATAGCTGGAATCTCTCAGGTGTGGGGGGAAAAGAAGCGGGATCTGATGGAGGTATGGAAATGCAATATCTGGATCACAACGAGTGGGATGTTCTCGCTGGCCCCACTAGCTTGCTTGCTCCAGACAACGACTATAGATCATGTGATGTATAGCGTCGATTATCCGTTTTCGTCAAATGAGAAGGGGAAGAGCTTTATCGAGGAGATCCAAAAGAGTGGGATCATGAGCGCGGAAGACTTGGAGAAGTTCGCGTATCGAAATGCGGAGATTTTGTTGAGAGTCAAGGCGAAGACCTCGAAGTAGCGAAGGAACTTGACTTGAAAATCCACTTTTAGCTTTCTCTGAGGCCGAGAATTCACTTCCAATTCGCAGTTTTCCAACATCAAACAGTGGACTCGTTTCTCTTTCAATGACTCCCCATGTTCCCTTTTTCCATCATCTTCTTTCCAGCTCTGCATCTTGAGTCCCTATTTCTAGGAGGTAATGCAAGCAAACATCTTTGATACTCGAGCTTCTCTGACTCCTCTTCGGCATTTGCACATCTGCGAATCCTCGAAGGTATTGAGCATCGTCAGGTTTTCAGTCTTCCCAAGTATCGATTTCTGCCTATCCTCTATGAAGGCCTAATCAACACCCTCTCACCAAGTAAGTCATTGAACTCTCCTCATCTCAAAAGTCGATGTGGCACTTCTCAAGTCCATTGAGACACTTTGCCGGATTGCCTTCACTTCAAGGCTTTCTCTCGGCTTTTTCGATTCACTTTCAATTTACGTCCCTGAGTCATCAAAAGATCACACCCAGCTCTCCTCCATTTCAAACACTTTACATCCTCCGGTAGTTCAATGACACAGGCTGACCTTATCAATAGCTGCCTACTACTCGATACTATTTACTGAAATTAGCTACAGACAAATATTCATTCACAAACACCGCGAAATTCGTTCCGGACGAAGTATCATGACACCTGCCAAGAAACACAATGTACCTATTGAAGACCACGAATACCAAGAGTATCAACCAGAGTCTCAACAACGGAAGAGAAGAATGATCAACTCTACTGGAATGGACTCTGGTCGTAACATTCAAAAGGTCATGGCACAGAATATAAAGGCGGCTGGGGCATATCAGTCTTCACCAGGCACACAGGGTACGGACACATTCTACTCCATACAACAGAAAACAAAGAATGTGATGGTCGGGCATCTTTTTATTGACAATCTTTGCATAGTAGTCCAGGGGCGAGGAAAGCAAATCAAGCAGCCTCCAACTCCTCCGACCCCTCCGAGAGAAATCATTGATCTGTCGGAAGAGGAGCCAAGCGTGCAGGACCAGGACCAAGGGCTTATGAAGCGTGAGCCAGCAACAACCAAAAAGCTAACCAAGCCCTGCAATGGCTTTCCACGGTTTGACAAAGAAGATGTCTCTATTATGCTCTCGGCGCTGGCCCCAACGAAATTCAGCTATCAGCTCAACAGTGCCATACTATCCCAACATTCCCAGTGGTTTCGAGAAACGTTAAGTCATGAAGTTGAGGAGTATGAACTGGATAAGGTTGAGCACGTGAAGAAGGTCACTGGCTTGGTCCACATGTATGAACTGCAATTCAATCCCGATACCAAATTCTGGCTTTTGGTCAAGACGGTTAGTTCATATTCCTCCCCATCCCAAAGAGCTTTTCAGGCAATTCACAGGGTTCGGTCTGACCACTATGGTAGTGCATCACAATTCCACAAAGTGTAAGAGACTCCATCGATGCTGCCGTTCTATACGAGGTTCAAGCCAATGCAAAGGCCTGTGCAAATGCCTATGCGAACCGTTATAGTCCCACTCGGTCAGCGCCGGAAGCTACACAATCAACACCATCTCCAGCCAGGACAACTGACAGTCTTGCCATCAGCTCCCCTGAAGCTGCCCCAAATGGTGAGCCAGATGCACCAGGTCCGAGCCCAAATACTCAGGACGAGAAAACAGCAACGAGTGCGGAGCGAGGAAACGTGGATGTAGCAGAGGTTGAGGAGCAAGAGAACAAGGAGATGAAGGAACCTATCAACAAGCCCGAAGTATCTGAACAGCCGAACGAGAACGAAGAAAGCAGCAGGCCATCTACAGATACTACTATCAACAAAACCGCCAGCAATATCATTACCAAAATATCCACACATGAAACAATTATCCAGGAGCCCACCAAGCTCGAAGTCTGCGAGGCTTACAACAACCTATTCCTTACCTATCACTCCAAAACCCCCGAGATAAACACAACCAACATCCAAAATGCCCTCTCCCAATCAGAACTCCTCCTCAACATCGCATCTTACTACCGCTCCCTGCCCACCGTCCGCCTGCACGTTAACAACATCCTGACCCAATACGGCCGCGAGCTCTACCAAGCCATCCGCCAAAACCCGCCTCGCTGGCTCTTCCTATCCATATACCTAGAATCAGGGCCTATTTTCAAAGAATCCCTCATTCACATCATTGGAAACTATCCCAGTTGGCCATGGAAGACAGTTCCACAGAGCAAGCTTACGCCTGAAGTACTCGCTATCATCAGAACCAAGGTCGATGAACTACAATCTGTAAGAGCCAAAGTCAATGAAGCACTCTTTATGAGCACGCTCAGCGTTGCAGGCAAGGAAGTGGCGCTGGGTGTAGATAATAAAGATGTGCTTGATACATGGTGCACGGTACAGCTATGGCGGGATTGGTTCTGCCGCGCTCTCAACCAAGCGAAAGCCTCTCATCCCACCACCACAACCACATTCTTCGATTTCGACGCAGCCATGTACCGTACGATGGCTAAGGGCGGTGATGCATATTTGCCTCTTGCTAATGTCAAGCATTGGCGCGAGGAGTACGGCGTGACGCGGTTGGACTGTGCGAAGTGGACGGCTGAGGATTTGGAGGAGGATTTGGCGATTATGAAGAGGTATGCGCAGGGAGTGGTGCAACCGCTGCTGGAGAATCGGAGCATGCTGTCGGTGGAGGAGGATGGGATTGGATATTTCACTTGCACGAAAGTGGGGAATGATGAGCTGCCTTGGGCGAAGAAGGCGAGTTCCCTCACTACCCCGTCTCTACCTTGAAACATCGATACTTACGCATGGCTCTGCTTCGTGCGTGGTCACAGAAGGGGGGTATCACCTCTTGATATCTCAAATTGCGTGCTGGTGTTAGGTCATCGGTGTTCGTTTGCAGACACGCTTTTTTTATATGGGATTATAGCGGAGGAACATATAGATGAGATTTGTCACCAAGCATATTCATTTTGGGACAGGACAGAATTTTCCTTACTTTCTTCGGAAACCGCGAAGAAGCACGACGAGTTGAGGCATCTCTTTACATACTTGCCCCCTGACCATCATTAGCTTTCACTCTTTTTCTCTGTATTACCCACAGAACACAACTAGTTAAGAAGAAGAACAAGCACTTGATTGAACCGAGATATATTAGAGACTCTTTGCTCGAAAACGCCTCCTATATGCATATTGTGTCCCAGACGCCGCGCTAAATGTACATCACCAGCCTTAAAACTGTTACTTCTGGATAGTCGGGCCAAAGAGATCATGTCCCTCCTTCGCAGACTGTTCCCGTTCCAGTTTCCGCTTCTTGACAACCCTCTCGTCATCCTCCCCATCCCCTTCCCTTTTCGCCCTTTGCAAGCTCACCAAGTCGATTTTTTCTGGGTTCCGACACTTCCTAAGTTTCTTCGCCAGTGCGCCTAGTTCCTTCTTCTCCGCAATGCTCTGCTCATTCCCCGGATCCATACTCTGCAACATCTCTGCGCATTTGTCTAGAGCTTCCATGAGTTTTGCAGATATCGCGGAGTTCGCGGAGCCAGGAGGTAATTTCGAGCCGAGGTATAGGGATATGAGTTGTCGATCCGCGATGAGAAGGGAAGCCATCATGATCTGAGAGGGAGTGTAGTGGAAATATACATCCGTTAAGAGCGCACTCGTCTTCAGATACTCCCTGGCCTTCCCATGTGCTTCTTTAACCCTCCTGCTCATACCCCGCAGCTTATCTCCGACGCTTGGGGTTTGGCCGTTCGCCATAGCTTGTAGCTCCATCACCGCTCCTTCCAGAGCACGAAAGGGATGCCGTACATCGAATGTAAAGCGTAGGCCTTGCGTGAGTAGGAATTCGGAGGCCAGGATCTCTTCCGGTTTCGTAGCAGTGATGGCTTCTGCGAATTTGGTGAGACGGAAGTAATGGTTTTCTGTCTTTGTGGCGAAAAAGAGGGCAGTTTTAAGGAGGGTCTTGGGGTCGTAGGTCATGCAAGAATTCGTAATATAGAAACGTTTTATATATTGGACTGCTGTCGCCTGCGGCTCCATTAGCATTTGTTCCAACGTCCCACTCCTTGAAATGAATATAAATGGGTCAAGTGCTTACCTTGACATCTGTAGGCACCTGCAAATGATCCCCAAGCTGTAACGTCTGCCGACAAAAATGTGTTACGAGCTTCAATTCCTCCTCCACGCTCAAGCAATCCACCTCCCCCTCTGGCACCGCGCTCACGGCTCTACTGTTTCCTCCATCTGCCTCGCTCGTATTTCCAGATGACGTAGCAGCGCGCGCTTCTCGTACGCGTCGTACAGCATCCCGTACGCGATTTGCTGCGTTGCGGTTGGTAGTCGTGCGGAGCTCGAGTAGAGAGGTAGGCGTGAAGGACCAGAGTCGATATTGTGTTGAGGTCCTATAGCGCTCGTCTTCCGAAACGGACGATGGAGCCATTATGGTGTGAAGGGTTGGTGAGCGGGTATGGTTTGGAGGGGGGAGAATACCTATGATTTGAGAAGTTCGAGTCGCGCTAGCGCGCTTCACCTCGTGTTTTCGCGTCGAGGACTTCATCTCTCCTCCACACATTCCCAAAATCTTTCAGTGCTCATCCGCATAAAAGTTATATGTTTTATTTCTCTCTTCTTTATAATGAATAAACTATCTGATATTCCGCAAGCTTCGCCTTGGCAGTTGCTCGAGATATATAAGCCACATTCTTGTGGCAATGGTGAAGCACCTGCAGAAACCATCTCATGGCGTCAAAGTCATGATAGTCCAAAACTTTATTCCTATTATAATGTTGCGTTTGCTTTATATAGCGCTTTTCTTATTCGAACCCTTGATTGGCCGGTTTATCTATTCAAGTCCCCATCAGCCTCTTTGCTACTTTACACAATTTATAGTGTGTCAGGAATCTCACTATCAAAGGATTAAATGTCATGGTTTCTCCCAAAGGAAATCTTACCCATCCAACTGTTTGAAGTGCAACAACCTGCATCATATGGATCTGTTACTTTGGAAGGCAGTGAGTGCAATGCGGAGAAATTCCAATGGTGCTGGTTCATGATGAGCAGCAAATACTTGTCAAAGGATCGTGATATGGCACAGAAACTGCCTGTCGGTGCACTTGATTTGGTTAGAAGCAGATGGGCTCATGTACGAGGACACTTATCACCGCTGGCAAGTGCCACAACTCTGACTACTGAGTTTAGTGAACGCATCCTGGAACAATCGGAGGTGGAAACTTTGAAGTTCATATCGCAGGAGACAGCTCCGGCTCTTATCTACTAGGGGCCGAGTCAACGTTGTCAGATCAGGCATTAATGTGCAAACTTTGCTTCTGCCTCGGCAGTGTATATACAGGGCAGGAGAAATTGGGAAGTCTCCGAGATTCTTCACTTAGCGGGAGAGGATATTCGCAATTGAGGCTTCCTTGCCTTCACTCCGAATATATGGTAATCCTTGAACATAAGGATGAACTGCTGGGGAAATGAACACATGAGAGCATGTGGAAAGCCCTATTACTATTAAGATTTTAGGATTACGCTCCACCACGATAGAAGTCCTCCCTAATCTGGGCGTCAAAAGCTTTCAAGTACCTCTAATCTTTCCAGCTCTTTACAACGAAATTGGGCCTTGGCACACATCGATCAGTCCCAAATAATGATTATGCGCCTCCCCATCAATTGGCACCAGCCCTGTACCAGCATTACATCCCTCATCCCCCACGCCTTCACATACAACAACATCCTGTGCGCCATAATCCTCCGTTGTATCATTTCCCGAACTCAGCCAGTATTCCGGGCTCGTATGCTGATAGCCAACCCAAGTAGGGGGTAGCTGAGGCACAGGGTCATTCACATGCGTCATTCTAAAATTGCTTCCTTGGGCAGGGGCTTGGGAAGTTACAAAATCCGCAAACGCTTCATTCCCAACTCGTGGGGATCCATAAGTATAGATATCCACACTATAATTCAAGCTCCTCAGCTCAACAGCAGCTAGGGTCCCTACTGCGGCTCCAATACTATGGCCAGTGACTACAATGGAGTAGTCGGAGTGGGCAAGGATCGCAGTGGAAACGGCAGCTAGGACAACTGAACGCCGTTCTGACCATCCAGTGGCAAATCCCGAGTGAACCCAGCAGGCATTGCAATCCGTGTAGGGTATTTCAACGAAAGCGAAGTCCGAGAGGTAGTTGCGGATTGTGTTTCCGGAGCCGGCGAATGCTACTACAATCAACGAGCGAACGGGATCAAGGGCGACGTAACCTTTGATGTCGGATACTGTGGTGTCATTTCTATTTCGAAGAATTAGAGAATCCGAAGATAGCGTAGAAAACACTTACTCGCCGCCGAATTCTACGACCGAAGTAACATTGTCTGCTTCTACTAGAGGGCAGGCGGTCCCCGAGTAGGTTATTGGTGAGCCGACGGTGGAGTTCTCATTGCTTGGGCAGTAAGAGGCTGACGTGAAATTTGCGAACAGTTTGAAATTATCAAGCAAAGCTTCGGTTATCCCAGTTGTGGTATTATCTGTAAGGAGGGTAGGGTAAATAGAAAATCAAGTAATCAAGAGCTCATGTGCTGACCTCTTGGATGAAGAACATTTCGGGTCGTCTGAAGTGGAATGGCTTTTGTGTGGAATACCACAACACCCAATATAAACAAAATTACTTGAAGATGCATTATTGATTTGGATAAAGAGAAGTATCGCCCTAATTACCGAGGCGAACAGCGAAGACTTTGCGAGGAAAATGCCTCACGCAAGATGAAAGTCCGTCTTCGATTAATCACCAAGCAAAGCGCGCACAGTTAAACCCACAAAGATTGAAACTTTTCGATTACGAAATGGAAAATCAAGACAGGAAGGCAAGGAGGCAAGGAGGCAAAGGGCGAAGAAGTAGAAAAATACGGAGATTGTCATGTGATTACGGCCATATATCCCAAAACGGAAGGAAATATATGATCAGCGCTCAATCGGGTTGACATGATCTGCCGAGTCCTATAAAACGAAAAACATAAGACTGACCGAACCTCAATTACGTTCATGGGATTTATATTTCCCTCCCATAAGTTCTTACCTTGTTTTTAGTCTTGAACCTCAAGGTTGTACAGATTGGGAATCGATTTATCTCCCATAAAATTAAATAAAATTAACAATTAAAATCGACCGGGCATCAAGCCGTCGCGTAGTCCCTCCTCCGTACCAGTACCTGAGGTCATGCTTTTCGCTATCTGGGGAGAAGATGTCGTCTGCGCTCCTCACTCAATTGGCTCGTCACATCCGCATCCTGTTCAGAAATTGCTTTCGGGTATTTTGCCCACGAAAGCTAACTCCAGTTGCGGTCCCTTTTATGCTGCTGCGGCGATCTCGCCCTGTCAAGACAATATTCTCGACGCCAACTTCTTCTTTTCCTAGCAACTTAGATATATGTTCTTCTTGTTGTTGCTCCTCCTCCTCCTCATCCTCCATGTCACTCCTGACATCCTCGGCGTTGTTACCTTGAAGGACTCGTATAACAATTCGGATGATGGAAACAGACCACATGATCTGCAAGACTTGGATGAAGAGAAGAAAACATAGGAAGCCGAACATCATGTTGTTGTTAAAGCAGACGGTGCCCGCAAGATCACCGAAAGGTTCAAGCAGGTGAGACCAGCCAGTGAGTAGAGGAAGTGGGCCTTCAAGTTGGTCCGCCGTACCCTTGTAGCAGGCTGGAATTATCAGTCGAGGCAAATCAGAATAGACGCTCCAACAGGTCAATAAGTAGAACACATGGCGAGTGAAGAGCCATGAGACCACAAATACCCCAAACACGATATCGCAGAGGGTGGTGAAGCCAAGATATTTGAGGCATTTAGCAAGCTGTTCAGTTGATTAGCAAACTGATAGGTCTTTAAATATCCCCTGACTTACTGGAAGTACCAAATCAACGAAGTCCATCAGCATCAAAATCAGGTGGCCGACCCGAGTTTGGTGGTAGGCGTATGACACGTAGATGAGCCCAACTGTGACCACGTGGTGGCCCATCATCTCCCAGTAATCCTTTCGGCGGCCCTGTATATGTAGAACGATGATTTCTTTCACGTAGTACGCGCCTTCTGCAAGTATATACACCTTCATGAGACCATTGAGTTCTCTCTGGGGCCAATTGGTCCACAACTCCTCCATATTGAGAAAATATGGCGACTTGTAGTATATATACTAGGAATGATTAGTCGCATATCACTGGTGATTAAACTTCTACATACCATGCCCAGGGGACAGAAGATGGTGTAGTATGTGAAGATCCATCCTTGTTCCGAGAATTTAGTCACGTTCTTTCTCGTAGCTGTTCCGAACACTCTTGCAAGCGGGACCAGGACATATTTCATGAAAGCTGCACGGATGCCAGCGAAGAGCACAATACAAAAGCTTATAAAGAACAAGTCATCATGACCGGCAGCGTATTTCCCGGTGTATGAGTTGTAGTATGACAGATTGAAAAACCTAGATGTATAAGGTCGGGCTCTGGCCAAACAGATATGCGTGACGAAGAGGACGGCGATAAGGCCGAATGAGATTCCTGCTCGTTGTCAGCAAGAGTTTCGATTCTACGGAAGCAAGATGCACGCATGGCATGATCAATGGCCATGTTACTAGTGGGTGCCTACCGATCTGATTGTCGAATATCCAGCGAGCCAGGTTTTTTCGAAGACTTCCGCCTTTCTGCGGCCCCTTCCTAGTGCTCTGACTGGACAGCCGCCAATTCTGGCTGGGGTCTACTTTTGTCATTTTGAGCTTCTTGCGATTATGGTCTTTAGCGAAATCTTGCTGCAAGAATTACTGTACGGAGCTCGAACAGTAAAGCTATAATTCAACACATACAGTACTGGCATTTGCCGTTGAGATATCTGGCTCGGAAATCATACGACATTATTAGATTCCGGGATTCCGAGATGGTCCGTGCTGAATAGGGGGGTGGTCAGTTGGATGTCAGTGGGCCTGGAACTCTAAACATGCAAATATTATATTAGAAGTCCTAACCCTGAGAAGGGGATAAACACTTGAAATTAAATATAGTTGGCCGTTTCTATGATTCCGGTTTCCTATTATTATACGGAAGAATCGTCGTTAAATCTCAAAAGCGGGCCCAACATGGAAATTACAAACCCTCCAAAATGCCGATTATACTATTAAAATAGAAAACAAACTATACGCAAGAAAATTAAGTTCACGATTTCTTTTATTTCTCCCGTTCATCGACCTTTACTTTTGTGTTTTTCTTCCAAACCAAAATACCAGGCAAACTCGAGTCCGGACGCTCTTACTCCAGTCCTATCAGACCTTTGATCTACAACAAATCTCGGCGCACTTCCATTTAACACCATCAATGTCTCTCTACAGCCCGTCACGCCGGAAAAACAGGCAGCAGAAGTCATCCAAGAAGTCTTCAAGGCCCAGAAACCCTCATTTCATCATGCGCAGATGTAGACTCTGCGCTATGAAGCACACCTGGATAGTTCCCCTAGTTCTCTTGCTTGCTATGCTCTTCCTATATGTCATCAACCCAACAGAGTCCAACATAATGTCTCATCTCATCTTCCTCTCCTACAAGGTTTCTCTCGAGGCTGATGCCCGTCCCGGCAGGCCTGTACAATATGGCAAGGGCCCCTGGGACTTCGCATTCGTCTTCTTTTACACCATTGTCCTGTCATTCACGCGCGAGCTCATCATGCAAGAGCTTCTACGTCCTTTGGCCCTTCACTATGGGATCAAGTCACGCAATAGACAGGCACGCTTTATGGAGCAAATGTATACGGCAATGTACTTCTCGGTTCTTGGGCTGGCTGGATTATATGTCATGAGTCGGACACCAGTATGGTACTTCAACACCCGTGGCATGTATGAATCTTTCCCGCACAAGACCCACGAAGCGGTCTTCAAGTTTTACTACCTCTTTCAGGCTGCATACTGGGTCCAACAAGCCTTGGTGCTGTTACTGGCTATGGAGAAGCCAAGAAAAGACGTTAAGGAACTCGTGGGGCATCATATCGTCACTATAGCACTTATTAGTCTAAGCTACAAGTGTCATTTCACGTACATGGGTATTGCCATCTATTTGTCCCATGATATCAGTGACTTCTTCCTTGCCGTAAGTTGAAGTGTCATTGGCATTCTTTGGCGACTTCACTAATGAACTTCACAGACATCCAAATCCCTCAACTATGTCGACAGCCCCTTGCAAGGACCATATTTTGGTATCTGTATATCTGCATGGATATATCTGCGTCATTATCTGAGTCTGCGTATCATTCTCTCGCTTTTCAACGAGTTCAAAACTATTGGACCCTATAAACTTGACTGGGAAGCAGAACAGTTCAAATCTCCACTCTCTAACGTTATTGCCCTCGTTCTGTTATCCGCGCTCCAGGCTCTGAACCTCTTTTGGCTCTTCTGCCTTCTTCGGAGTGCGTACCGGTTGGTTGTGTATCGAATCGCGAAAGATGATAGATCTGAGGTTGAGGAGTCGGAGCTTGAGGAGCCTTCATTAAAGAGGTTTGGATTAGCCAACGGAAGTGTGAATGGGCTCGTCAAAGCGACCAGGAACGACACTATGGTACCACGGCCTACAAAAAGGGCAGACGCTCTTCAAAGAACAAGGTTTCTCGGACATTAGAATGGTTGTGCTGGGGATCTCTCGGATGTTGTGGGGTAAACCTGGGGAAAGGATATGTAATATCGCAATGTAATACGAGAACGTGCTACTTTGTGGGATAATGGATGGAAATATGTTAGCTCGGCAGTAGCGAATAAGGTTATATTCTTATGTTATTTTGAAAAAAAAAAAAATTTTGACCGAAGTAAGAGCAACAGTCAAATCTACTTCTATCGCTTTTTAGGACACTGAAAGTGCAGCTCTCGATTGTTTTATGGAGCAACGCTTCTGTCAAGATTTTATCTTAATGCTGTAAGAATCTATAGCTAGTACACAGGTGGTATCCAAAGGCTACCGCTCAAGGCAAGGGAATATTCACCCATTATCATGGGCGACAAAAATCTTCTGTTTTCAACCTTATTTTGATTGTCGTATTCAGGGGCTCAAGGGGATTTCGCGTAGAGGTGATGGCTGAGTCAGCAGTGAGATCCATTTCTTTAAAATTGGCGGCCGACGCTATCTCCATCAAAATCTTTTGAATATATAAATTATATCGTCGCGTTGCACCCAAATCCATCCCTTCTACCTCAGTTAGCATGGAGGTCATCATTATTCACTAGTCTCTGGTCTAAACTCTCGCAACAGAGTACGGACTTTGGAAGACTGGCCACAGGAAACGCAGAGACCCGATAGTGCCGAGCTCAGCTCTGCGGACTTTAACTTACGTTTAACCATTTAAGATCGTTTCAGATTGCATCTATTTTGCACCCTAGCTCTGTTGTATTCAACGCCCAACTTTGAGGATGATGGACCCCCACGACGATGTTGAACTGAGCGATCTGGAAGATGATGCCTTCATACCAGATAGAACCACAGGGAATCTCAAAGGCAAATCGCCCAACAGGTTTCTAAGATGGATCCCTACCCGGATGAGGACCTTTCTAGAAAATATGTCAAGAATAAGGGTAAGGCTTCGAACAGTCACTTTTTGGACATCCAAACTGATGTGTCACGTGGCTAGCTCGTGATCCTCACCGTTATTGTGTTTATCCTTCTTCTTGTATTTATATCATATTGGAATGGTAGACTTAAAGACGTGTCGATACCTGAGCAGTCCATTGCCCTATCAAAAGAATTGGCGAAAAACCTTTCCCATACAGCTATTCCAGGATATGTACTTACATACGGTTCGTCGTCCGCCCCAATTCATCGCAATTCTAATCATGGATACAGCACCTTTAGTGTTCTTGGATATTGGAGAAGAATTCTATCCGAGTGATATGGCGGCTCACGTTTCAAATACTCATCCAACAATAGACTTCACCCCTGTCAAGGATGCTCCGGAAGGTCTGACCCTCGACAATCTGAATGATCTAAACGACCTTGGAGGTGACAAAATATATCTGACATCAACAACTCTACTCACCAAACTTCCCAATTACTTACACGGCCAAAAACCAGACAAGAAGACATTGCAGACGGAAAATGCGGTCAGCTGCGTGATTGCCGTGGCTAATAAAGATGGCGGAATTCTTGATGCATTCTACATCTACTTCTATACTTTCAATGACGGTCCCACAGCACTAGGACATAAAGTGGGGAACCATTTGGGAGATTGGTGTGTATCAGGCTTCGAGTTTGCATTTGAATATGTCGCTGATCAGGTATCCAAGGGAGCACAATATGATCCGGTTCAAAAATGGTGAACCACAAGCGATCTGGTATTCTCAACACGAGTACGGTGAAGCGTTCACCTATGATGCCGTCAACAAGATTGGGAAGAGGCCCATTGGCTTCAGCGCCAAAGGCTCGCATGCCAATTATGCTGTTTCAGGCGCACACGATCTTCATGAGCTCGGTACGCATCTTCGTCCTTAGCCGTTAATCACAAAACTGACAATACAGACGAGGAAATTCCCGCCCATATTGCTTTCGATCATACATCTCAAGGTCTACTCTGGGATCCTACTCTATCAGCTTACTACTATTCGTATTCAGATGATAAATTTTCGCCGGCCACCGACAAAACGCCGGTTAATTACCTCTACTTTGAAGGCCAATGGGGAGATCAGCAATATTTGGACAGTGTTGTGGGCCAGGAAGAATTCCATGGCTTTCATAAATGGAATAGCGGCCCACAGGGTCCAATTTTCAAGCACTTGGATAGAAAAAGTGTCTGCTTACCAAGAGATGGTGGCTGTATTATTAAAGAGTCGCTCTGATTCGTGTGTGTGTATATACAGAAGCTAAAGTCAATCGACACTTCTCTTTTTCAAGCTCTCGCGATGAGGGGCCACGGTTGATTGTCTGATTTGGAACATTCCCGTGTCAAGTGAAAAAGTCTCCCATGATTTTGAATCACCAAGGACTGCGAATGATGCGAGTGGGAAAATTCTGCTTTGTATCTGTTGCTTTCACATGTACACTCGCAACATATCTCCGCGACTTCTCAGAATATACTTGTCAAATTCAGACCGACTTCCCCGCAATAAGTGCTGCGACAGTCTCAGACAAACCCTGTTTCGGGAGTCCCAGCTTCTCATTGTCGAGACTTGCATCTTTCGTAAAGTCAGATCCGTATCCCTCACCCAGCATAATTGTTTTCAACAGCAGCAGCAAGCCGGAGAAGTCACCCTTGCTGAACAGCTCTTGACCTTCCTTTGCTGCAGCTTCGGTGGTAGACTCTGTCACGGTCCACTTTTTAACTGTCGCCTTTTCAAGCTCAGCGAGAATTTGGTTTTGTGTGGCAGTGAAGGAATCGACGTAGATGAATTGGTTTGCGGTTTCAACGGGCTTGGAGAGAACTGCGACAACTGCATTCCCGATCTGACTGAGATTTGTGGCGGAAAATGGCCGGTTGCCGCGTCCATGATCGTGGCTTCGTGGGTATTGATGTTGAAGCCGACGAGACCCATTTGAAGACCCTATACCAATTAGCCCCCCTTCAAAGTTAATGTGTTGCGGGAACATGAAGACGAACAAAGTCAAACGCGGGGCCGGTTTCAATAGCAGTCCAGCTCAACCCTTTCGATTCCAGCTTCTTCAAATGCTCGATAACGGTCACCTTGAACCCAAAGGCAGGAACCAAATTCGTCGCTTTCTCGTTCTGGGTGTTGCTTCCATACTCGCTAGGCAAGTATCGCTTCACGCCAGCTTTGACTGCCGCGCCGATGATCTTGATCTGCTCGCCCATACCGGCAGCACCTAGCGCAGACACAACGGCATCTTGTCCCTCGAATGCCTCTGCCAAGCTAGTTTCAGAGTAGTCGGACTTGAAGACTCTGATACTGGGATGGTATTCGGCTGTGGATTCTGGACGGGTGAGGACGGAGACGTTGAATTTGGACGAGTCGACGAGCGCCTTGAAGATTGAGGCGCCAATGGTTCCACTTGCCTATAATAAGAAAATATTAGTTCAAAGCGATGGAAACGTTCTTTCAGGACTACCTACACCAATTATTATTACATTCTTGATCGGAGCCATGATGCTTGGTAGTTTGAGTAAAGAGTACTCGTCGATTACCTTAGATGACTTGTTTGTATGGTTGAAAAGTATGTCAGTTTTGCTTCTTCTATACTAAGCTTCAATAATAGGTCATGCCATGATACTTAAACAAAAGCATGAAGGAACTCCTCGGCAACATCTCTCATAATCGAGTGCCCCTTTTGACACTTCATTACGAATCAAGTAATTGGATATAACATCAGAGCGGAATTAAAACTCTGGTGTGGATTGATTGCAGGCTAAGAAGGCTGATAAATGAAAATAGCTTCATGGTGCATAGGTAGTAAGTAAGATGTAGATGTAGTAGACCTGCCAGGGGCTGATTACATAATGCACGGTCCCTGACGGAACAACTCCGCTGCTTACACTGATGAATCATCATCAGTGATAATGGATTTTCGCATTTTAGTGATAATGAGTATTTTACTGCCCGATTGATTGACAGTACTACATACTTGAGAAATCGATTATATCTGAGTATGTGCATCCATTATTAGTTCCTTTAGTATAAGCTGTAAGCAGTCACGTTCTAGTCATGTGTACTACCTCTTTTCTTTCATCCAGTTTGAATGATATTTCTTGTAAGCAAGGCTGCCAAAGAACTTCTGAACATTTTGCACCCAAAGCTCGGACTGATTAACGGCTGGGAACCGCCTTCATCATGTAACCGCAAAACCCCTCATTTCATCCTTTCCTCCCAAAAACATATAACCATGACTCTAGAAGTCATCTACCTAACCCGCCATGGCGTAAGCTTCCCTCCCCTTTATTACCCCTCGACAATTGTCTAACAACCTCCCAGTTCCGTTCCAACTGGGTAGTCGACCCCAAAACAGGCACCTACAGCGCCTCCATCCCCTCCCCCACAGGAATCCCCTCCGACCCAGCTCTCGCTGGCTATGGCGTCGCCCAATCCCACGAACTCGCCGCGCACCTCAAGACCCTATCGCCGCCAATCGAGCGTATCTACTCCTCGCCCTTCTACCGCTGCATCCAAACCATCACACCAACCCTCGACGCATTGTCCTCCTCCCACTCCCTGAAAGTCCGCGGCGAAAACGGCATCGGCGAATGGTACGGCCTAGCACGCTTCGACCACCCATCCCCCGCCGAACCAGCCCTTCTGAAGACCCTATTCCCCCACTACGACGAGACCTACACGCCGGTTATAAAACCGAGTGTTAATGGCGAGAATATAGAGGAATTGCATAACAGGACTGCATACGCACTTCACCGGATAATAGAGCAGAGCGACAGGGAAGGCGTGAAAGCCATCGTCATCTGCACGCATGCGGCTACATTAATAGCGATTGGGAGGGTGTTGACAGGCCGCATGCCAGATGATATCGCAGAGGAGGATTTCCGGCCTTTCACGTGTGGCCTGAGTACCTTTGTGCGGGAAGGAAAGGAGGTGCAGGCCGGGGTGGAAGAGTGGAAGGGGCCGGAAAGTAGGATCCCGAGCGTGGACTGGAGGGGTGGGAAAGGGGTAGGGGGAGGGTGGAAGCTGGAGGGCAGTGGGGAGTGTGGGTTTTTGAGTGGTGGGGAGGAGAGGGGTTGGCGGTTCTCGGGAGATGAGAGTTTTGTTGCGCAGCCGGGACAGGCGCCCGCATTGGATGCTGGGTCTGGACTTGGTGTTGTTGTTGAGGGAAATAAGGGGAGTGGACCGTCGAGGTTATGAGATGGCTTAAGCTGGGCGAAGGTCAGAATCCCTGGGATACATATCCCACATATTAGAATGCAAGTGGATACAGCTGTCCTACTGCTAGTTTTAGAGTCTACTGTTATAGCTATAAAGGAAGTGCTAGACTGGCACCTTTAGATGAAGATGCTTTCTTTTCTGACTTGAAGGTTAGTATGTCTTGTGTATTGAGATAATATGCTTGGTAAGTAGGGTCTGGAAACCGGATTCAACGTTGGATCCTGAATTTGACTTGCCACAACCCTCATTCGTCCTTGTCATGCAATATTATGGTGGAAACGCACTAGACATGAGCTCGTTTCTATTGGCATATTGACTTGTTCCCTTTCATTAAATCATTCAGGTCTTTCGTTACGACAGTAATTTACATGAAAGAGGCTCTTGTACAAGTCTTAGACTGCCGCCCATTTGACGCCATCATGCCTCCTCCCCCAATCCCCGGATGACGCCTGGCCTTTTCATATTAGGTTTCATAACCAATACACGAAGTCGAAACGCGATCTAATGATCCGTATGGTCATTTACCCCGTTGAGGAGTTGATGGATCTCAGGTTCTGACATAGAACCTCTGTGAGGGCTCCCACCATTGATCGATTTCGTTCTGTCCGAGCGCGGTGGCGTAAATCCATTCGCCTGCTCATGGCGCTCGGGCTGTTCATGCCCAGATGATGACGGAGATGCCCGATGAAAAGGTAATAGATGAGTCAAGCCCTGTTTCCTACACAGCTCTTCATAATCGGCTTCATGGGGATAGACCGGTACGAGTTCTCGTCTTGGAACTCGCCGGTCGATCGAAGGAGGTTCGTGTGATAGTTTTGTCATAGGTGTGTCTTGCTGCCTAATGCATTGCCCGTTCAAATATATCTTTGGTTGAGGAGCGAATTGCTGGTTGGGGTCGGTATCCGGATCTTGTTTCCATTTGGAAGGTGGTGGAGGAAGTTTGAAGCTGGTATCCAGTTCTCGGTAATTAACGAACATCTCTATGCCACGAAGATGTGGAAAGTTCGGTACTATGAACATAAACTCGGAGACCTGTGCACATCTTAGAATTGATGGATAGGGCAGTTAGAATAGTAATTACCTTGACAAAAAATAAGTCTAGGCCGAGAAAGAGTGTTTTGTTTTCCTCCACAATCATGTGAGGCGGTTCACCATTCGACGGAAATGTTCTGGCAAAGGCGGCCAGTCTAGGCTCGCGAAGCGTAAAGTCTCCATTTTTGGTCTTCCATACCACCTTCTTCGCAGGTTCCGATAGAGGAATGCGTTCCCAAGCAGTGTCTAGATGTATTTAGTATTGAAAGTAAGAAAGCTTTAATAGACACTTACATCTTGACAGTTGAAGATCCTTTTCTCCGAGTAGTATCGCAGCATGAGCATTGAGCATCCATTGTTCCCGAGCATTCGGTTGCCCTGTCGCTTCCGGTCGAATTGTATCGTAGCGGTAACCATCTATACCTCTGAACAAAGATGCGATTTCTTGGGTTTTCGGGTCGTCAAATAGATCAAACCATCGAAGAAGAAGTGGAAGCCTTGAAAGTCTCTCTACTCTTTTCTCTTCTTCAATCCTCGCTCTTTCAGCTGCTTGCTGCTTAAGTAAAAGGGCCCGCCGACGTTCTTGCTCCTCACGCTTGAGTCTTTCCTGCTCGACATAAAGAGCTCTCTGATCCTCCATAGCCCGGGCGTGTGCTGCCGCGTCTTCGGCCTTCTGCCGTTCTTTTCGCTCGGCCTCTTCTTGCAGGCGCTTTGCGTCTTCCTCTCGCTGTGCTTCTTCCCGAGCAATTCGCGCCAGTCTTGCTTTCTCGATACGCTCATCTTCCAACTTCTCCTCGAGCGCTTTTCGTCGAGTAGCTTCAAGTTCCTCCTCGCGACGAGCCTCGGCCTTCCTAGCTTTTTCTTCCTTCAGTTTAGTAGCCTTCATAGCGTCCTCCTCTGAATGGTCGGATGGGCCTTCACTAGCTGACTTGCGTTTAGTGGAGTTGGAATCAAGACTATGGCTGGAACTCTGTTTCGATGACTTGGCTCTCTTTTCTCCTGAGCTCAAATGCCTGTTTGATTCATCCGAAGTTGTACCTGCTTTTTGAGAGGGCTTCGTTTTCGGATGCAATCGAGATCTTTCGCCACTAGACTCATTTGAATTGGTGATTTTGGCTTTCGTAGTCTTGATATCCGGAGGCGAGCTTGATGTACTATCTGCCTTGTGTCCTGTCGAAGTGTCCCCTTCCAGCTTTCTCCTTTTCTGTGGGCCGCCTCCAATACCGAAATTATTCGTGACTTCTTGCATACCAGAACGCGGCGGAGTAGCGCTTTTCCGGGGTCTCTTGACAGGGCTATCCCCACGGATTGCCGAAAGCCTATCCTTGGAGTCATCACGCTTTAGAGAGCGCGCTCTGTCCTTATCAGAAGATTTTTCTGATGTGATATCACTTTCAAGTTGATTAGAGCTCGGGGGTTTGGAAATCCGTGGTACGCTAGGGCTAACTCGACCGTCGGACTTTTCCCGCTTTGATTCACCGGGCCCGCGCTTGTCTTTGACAGAAGCACTAGAAGCGTTCGACGCAACACTTGTTCTTCTCTGTTTTTGAAGCTCAAGCTCTCGTTCGCCTCGCAAATCTTTACCGGACACAAGTTTCCGTCGGGGTTTTGAGAAGGCGTCATTCTCAGACGCACCAGCCTCGGACTCGGATCGTTTGATGTGAGATTTCTGCTTGGGGGGGCCGAGAGGAGTAGTGTCTCGATCGGATAGAATAGCAGAAGATGTGCTTTCTTCCTTTCGTGGTCGTCCTGGTCCTCTCTTAAGACCATCTTTGGACTGATTGCTCGAAAGGTTATCCCTCTGGTTCCCTTTACTCGATTCTGGACCTCTTGGCTTTGGGCTTGAAGCAGTACGCTTGTGCAACGAGGTTTGTTGTTCGTCTCTCCGGGCAAGCTTCCGTGCATCGCGATCGCCTTCCCTTCCGTCACGCCGAAGTCCTGGAGATCGAGGTTTGCCAGACGACTTGCGATTAGTCTCGTACTTTTCGAAAGCATCCTTGAGTAATTTCTCTTCTTCTTGACTTCTGGGTCCCGCTCGTTCCCTTGCAATCTCGTAGTATGCTTCCCCTTCAATACGCCGAGTGGGATCAAACGCGTCCTGGCTAAGTAAGAGTTCAAGAACTTTCAAGTGAGCATCTCGGCCGATAGCAGCTAAAATAGGTGTTGAAGACTCTATACCCTTTAAAGGTGTGGGATCCGGGTCAAAACCGCCTATAGCAAAAAGAATATTTATTACATCGGAGTGACCTCCTTTCGCTGCGAGGTAGAGTGACTCGGTATCTTTCAAGGTAGGATTTACCTCCAACACTCGAGCAGCAACTTCGACATTGCCCTCCATCGCAGCCTTCCGTAACTCGTTTGGACCAAGATCCTGGTAGAGATAGTCGTTGCCGGTCTTATAAGAACGCGCTGTCCGAACTCTTGACCTTGCCGACCCCTGTACTTCGTGGGAAAATACTGGTGGGCTTTGAGGGCTTTCTTTGTGCCGAGAAGAATGATTATCCGCCTTGTCATGGAGCTGTTCATCTTCTGATGAGCGCTGGACGCCTCGATTGTTCTGCTTAGCTGAGATAATGGCTGCTCGGAGTTCAGCTGCTTCGTCTCCTTCATAAGATTCATCCTCTTCATTCAGTGCTACAAGATCAAGTGGCTCATCACCGCGGCGATTGGGCTTGTTTGGATTGGCCCCGGCCCCAAGTAGCAACTTGACAACTTCTACATGTCCATTCTCAATAGCATCGTGCAATGGCGTGTCCTTCGAATCATTAACCGAATCAACGATGCAATGCTTGTCCAAGAGGAATTTGACCACATTTGCATGGCCTCTAATACTAGCCATATGAAGGGGCGTGTTGAGAGCATGATCTGGCTCATTCAAATCCTGCGGTCTCTCCTCGAGCCTCTGCTTAGCAATATCTAACGCACCCTTCTGACACGCTCGAGCAAGAAGGGTCTGGCCAGAAGAGTTGACGTGTTTTTTATGTGGAGGCATCTTGGCTGGTGATGTGGCGGACTCGCCCGTAGTTGGCGCCGCGAGACTGCGTAAGCGAGAGCTACGAGGGTGTGAGCTCCCACTCGCTGAAGATTCATCAGAGTGATACTCTGTGGATTGCAGAGGTGCAGGAATGCGCTTTTTCTTGTGGCTTAAGCCGTGTGAAGAGGAAGACTTGGATGGAAACTGAGTCGAGATACTGCGCCTGTGGCCTCGTGGGTGCGGGGATGTCGATCTCGTTCGTTTTCGGGGGTTTGAATCGAGACGAGATTTCGACGAAGACCGCTTTGCTGGATATAATCTTTGGTCGGTGTCTGGACTTCGCAATCGATTAAACCGCGGCGCTCCTCCTTCCTCGTCTTCGCCAGATGCTGAAGCGTATTGTTTACGCCGCGAGAGAGCTGTGTCAACAGACTTGGCTTTGTCCCTCACAACGGAACGCGAATGGGGTGGTGGAGATGGAGAGCGCGAATTACCAGACTCGGACGCTGCAGGTTTGGATAGAGACGAGCGCGTTGTGGGAACGGGAGAAGTTGGCACAGAACTAAGGCCGCTCGAATTGCCCATATGTGTCGCATCTCGATCGCGGTCGTCGAGGATATTTCCATTTCCATGTTTGGCGCGTTTTCTCTTTCCCAGCATGGAAGTCGCGATGGTCTCGCTCGCCTTCCCTCCCGTTTTCGAGTGCGAGGCTGTTTCTTCACTATTCCTGTTCTCACGATGCACATCCCCTGCTTTTTTATGTTCAGCAATGCTCACAGCCGGCGCATCCTTCATTTCGTCGTCCTCACTTTGATCCTCGTGTTTTATCGACTTTCGCTTTTTTGACGGTGAGTACCCATCTTTTCCTGGAAGTACAATTGTTTCTGCTTCGGAATCACTCTTCGCATCGTCAACCGCTCTAGGAATATCATTCGTAGGTTCAACATCCATAGCTACATTTGATGCCAATTGGGGAGGCGATGATCTGATACCATTTGGAGGGCTTCGCGACGCACTCGTCGCGCCATTTGTGCCAAGGCCATGGGGCGACGCAGATTGTCTGGAGGCGACATCTTTCACATTATCTTGTGCATCCATAGATTCTAACGCAGGTGCCGTCTTTTCCGATACATCTTCGTCGACCTGCTGGTTAGGAGACACTTTGGAGGTGTCTGTGTGGAAGGACAGGGAGGATCATCCGAGTCCTTTTCCTGTGATGTCTGCAATAACAAAGCGCAAGGCTAGCCGTGTGTTGCAACCGAAAATAACAGCGAGTAACAAAGGGGTTTATGCAGGTTCGACAATACAGGAGTCGTAGCTAACGATTAGAATTTGGGGCTCGCGCGTGGCGTGTTTTGTAGAGAGGTCGAGGTCTTGAAGCTGAAGATGCGGTTGTTGTCTGACTCCCAGATTGGGATCAGTTTGCCTGCTACGGTGACCATCACATTCTGCACTTTGGTGGGATTGCCGGTTCACTGGCCAGTAAGATGAAGGCTGAGCGTGTACAAGGTTGAGGGTGGCTCCGCATCCGAGAAAAAGGGGGGTGGGGTGCAAATGCCGGCGGGATACTTTGTACAGTAGAGGTGTCAAGTGGATCTGGAATTAGGTTGATAATGATAACAAAAAAAAGGAAAGAAACAAACGGGTGCAAAGAACGTACCGTCTCTAAACAACTGGCCCTGGGAATTAGATGAAACAAGAAGGGAGGGATGTTTTCAATGGAGCTCCATGTTTATCCCTAGCTAAGTATTTTGCGCGGATCAGATCTCAGACCACTCCAACCACTGGTATGATCGCAAGCTTCTCTGGAACCCTCCTGAATGTTCACGGCATTGAAGTACAGCAACATCCTTATATTCTTGAACGTAAATTCTCCAAAGACGAGAGGCAACTCACTTCCAAGATCAATCATGCTGATTGGCAGCTTCGCGAAAACCAATATTGTGCAGTTCCATAGCGAAGGCGGAACTCGTTCCACTATTACAGTACTCTCCAACCCCCAAAATCACAACTGACAGCCATGGCCATCTCCTCTCTCGATGAGGCAAGAGTCCAAAACCTTCCATCTAGTGCCTACTACATCGCAGATTTCATCACCAAGGAAGAAGAGCAGGTCCTTCTGGGCAAGGTCAGTCCTCGACCTCTCTCGCAGTTCGTCTGCTGAGATTTCAAGATCGCAGCAGCCCCAAAGCCTCGTTGGAAACAGCTCACCCATCGCCGCCTCCAAACCTGGCCGTCAGACCTGACCAAAAGCAATACCCTTCTCGACAGCCCCCTCCCAAGCTGGCTCGTAGAGCCTATTATGCGCCGACTTCTCTCCTACCCTCTCTCCGTAGTAGATCCGCAAACCCATATATTTTCCGATAGTCCACACAAAGAACCAAACCACGTCCTTATAAATGAATACAAACCCGGGGAAGGGATTATGCCTCATAAAGATGGAGCTGCGTATCACCCGGTTGTTTGTACGATCAGCTTGGGCTCGAGCTTGACATTGGGTATATATGGCAAAACCGAGGAGGGGACTACGGACACTGAACCTACGTGGAGGATTCTACAGGAACCTAGGAGTCTACTCGTTACTACGGATACGCTATACAAGGACTATCTACACGGCATTGCAGAAATCACAGAGGATGTGGATCTTAGCCCAACTACAGTCTCGAATTGGGACCTCCTCAGATCACCAGAAGACTTCACAAGGGGACGATACGAGCGAAGTACACGAACGAGTCTTACATACCGGGACGTGATCAAAGTCTCTAAACTTGGGAACAAGTTTGGTATGTTTGGAAAATGAAATCATGGATATCAATCAATACAAGTATGGTATCATCCTGCAACGACCCTCCACATTCTCCGCCCCAAATTTCTCCCCATACCACTTCTTCGTCGAATCCGCTGTAACTCCTAGATTCGTAACCACAAACCCCAGTCCCGCAAGAACAGTCTTGTTCAGAGCTTGTCCTGGAGGAGCGGATATGATTGCCAGCGAAACATAGATCAAACATTCTGCCATGTAGTGAGGGCATACTATCTGTTTGAATGGACCACGTTGGGGAAGACTGTACTTCTTGAGGCTGGCAAGGTGTTTGTGGCAGTCGTTTTGGAGAGCTGAGGCGGAAATGAAGAGGGGGACGCCGATGGCAGTTTTTAGAGATGGTTTTGAGAATTCCAGGAGACTTGTAATGGGCCTTGGGTCGGATAATACAGCTAGGATGGTTAGTATAGGTAGGTAATAACTATAATGTACTTACCACTGCCTTCAACCCAAACCGAGATTCCCATGAAAATGTAATAAGCAATTCCACTTGCATTTCGAGTCAGTAAGTACTCTGCGTAACAATGGTTGCTTCAAGTTGCCAAAGGAAGAGGAAGAAAAGAACATCATCACATACATCAACCACAATCCAACCCACATCTTACTCTTGCTCGCCTTCGTCAAGGTCACACTCTCATACAGCCTCCTCCCTCCCTGCGCGCCCATCGAAGCCCAAGCCAAAACCACCTGATTGGCAGTCATACCACTCCTCCCCCCCGCTCTCGCCGCTAGAGCCTTCACAATAGCCCCACCCGTAAAGATCTGATATCCCCAAAAGGCGGATGATGCTACAGAGACTAGGTAATAGTGCGTGAACCAGGGGTGAGGGACTTGGTATAATGCTAGTTTTTCTATGGTTTTTGTGAGGGTGCTTTGGTTTGTGTTTGGGGGCTCCTTGAGATCCGACGGCTTACAGCTTGAATCTTTGGAGCCCCGAGAACCGTAGTTCATTATGTTTTCCCTGAAGCTGGGAAGGAGGATACCCCCTAGGTCGACGGCGGTGCCGACTGCGAAGAATGCTTTACAGAGCGTGGCGGGATCCATTGTGTATAATGCGAAGTTGATTAGCATACAGGATGCTGAGAGCAGTAAAGAGAAGTAAGATTTAAAAGCTTCTAGGTGGTTTCACAAAGAGGTGATATAGCATAGCTTTATAAAAGCCCGGATTAACTCGCTCCGCTTTCCGAACAATTCTGGATTTTAAAAAAACCTTACCCCACGTTGTTTCTCGACACTCACTCCGCGCTTGCCTTACTCTTATTGAATTTTCATGTCCCTGCTACCTGGCACATTAGAAATGTGTGCAGCTTTTTTTTCTGCCTACCAGGACGCTTCTCCGTTTTGTCAAGACGGCCGTACAACGCTATAGGAGTTAATAGCAAGAATCTCAAGCAAGAATCTCAAGCAAGCATGCTTCCCATCTATACGAACACATATTATCACGGAGTCTGTCTCTCTAAAACACCACAATTATGTCGACTACCGTGGATAAGGTACGAGTTGAACTGTGCCAGAAAGGAAACACAGAAGAAGGCTCCTGGTGGACAGAAAAGGAGCGGCACACAATTTATAATGTGCTAGGTAGCGTGGACATTTTTTAAAGTTGATGAAAGTAAGTGCCGCTTTTTGTGTCCAGCATAGGAGAGCATAATGAGGAGCCCAAGAAGTCATAATTGCTAAAGTACTCATGCCTGCTGACAATCGAGGTCGCGCTGGACCAGTGGCTCTGCGCTTCAAGCTTTCCGTAGGATCTTGATTTCTATAGGATGCTCCTTTCCGATCCAAGATTTCGAGATGAGAATGATCGTTGCTTCCTCCCTTCTGCTGTAAATCCTATTTTGGTTAGTTCCAGAGGAAGTGCAGGTGGTAGATCTCCTTCTTCTCTTACTTTCCTTTCATTTTGCTTTTCCTCTTCGCCTACAATCCAACCCACGACCTGTGAGTAGCCCATCACTCCCTCTCCCGCAGCCACAAGAGCACACGTTCTATATTGCGTTATTCCATGGCATGACTGGACAAGCATCGATGGGTTGCTTCCGAAAGCGAGTTGCTGTAAGTTATTACCTGTGTTGTTTTTCACTATGTTAACATTGCGATAGGATGAAATCATATAATCCCGAAATCGAGAAGGAGGAGGCCGCGAAGAAAGCAGCAGAGCAGAAGCTTATGGTCGTGCGTCACATGACCTCTCTATGATTGGACTATGCTAACGCTGTGCTAGCTGCTAGAGAAGTTTGAGTTGCTAGAGAAGCTTGGTATGGCTCAGGGTGTGGCGGAGATGAGAAAGGCCAAAGAATTGCGCAAGTAGGTGGGGGTTACGTTCGGGGTGTCTTGTACTTGAGCAGCAATTAGCTCCTACAGTGTTTTACGGCCTTCCTCACCAGAGGACTATTATGGCAGATTCAATAAATGCCATTCCGCAGCGTAGTTACTCGACTTGGGGAGTTGGTTAGAAACCCGTAGCTACAATGATGAATGCGTTTACCACAAAAGCAATCCGTTTCCAGCTTTCCACTGTCTCGAATGAAAGAGGAATTATCACGCGGGGTACGTACTCGTGTTCAGCCCTACACAGGTACATAGTAATGAAGGCATTGATCAGGATGTGATAACTTCTGCACTGTCATTGTCTCTCAATGGAGAAACTACGACCCAATATACAATGACACGCCTTCTACACGCCACGATGTACTATACAAACAAATATTGGAAGGAAAATGGCACTGAGCCACTTGGCTTGATCTATACACTCCTGCCCAGATACAGATGCAAATTTGAGGATCTTGATGGAAGGTACCAAGAGCAAAAGGAGGCTTTTACAACTACAGTGCTTTACGGCCGTCTCCACAAGAAGCCCTATGTCCCTTATGCTGGAAAGGAAAAAGCGGCACCCAATATCATTGACTTTTAGTGTTCCACACCACGCGGCACATTATAAATTGGTGCCGCTTTTTGTATTCATCGCAAAGGCTTCTTCTTTTATGCAAACGGCCGTAAAACAGTACAGGAGTTAACAACAAGATGAGTTACCGGCTAACTTTCCGCTCACAACATGCAATGCTAACGAGTATTAGGAATTTTTGGTAGTCTGAGGTCAAGCTTTTTCGGGGTACCTATAGCTATAGCTCCGGATTTTCTTAATTCCGGATTGCAAAAATTCACCCCGCCAGCCCGATTACATACTCCCCCACAACCAATTTCTCACATCCACCTCGACCGCAGCTTTCAAGGACAACGTCAAGAAGCTCCGAGTCTGCAATTAGAAATCCGCAATCATGTCGACTACCGTGGATAAGGTAAGAGCTGAATGCGCCCAGAGGATAGCAACCATTGCTAACAGTTCCCTATAGATCAAAGACATTGAGGCCGAGGTCAGTAACTATTCTCGAAGGAACTCCTATCTCTTGTATTCAATAGCTAACATTTGTTAGATGGCCAAAACCCAAAAGAACAAAGCAAGTAAGGGGGAATTATCTGCTGTGAGACTCCAATGCTAATTTCTTCATAGCATCGTTCCATCTCGGCATGCTAAAAGCCAAACTTGCCAAACTAAAACGCGAACTTCTAACCCCTACAACATCCGGCGGCGGTGGCGGTTCCGGTTTCGACGTTGCGCGTACAGGTGTAGCCAGTGTAGGCTTTATCGGTTTCCCTTCCGTGGGCAAGAGTACGCTTATGAGCAAGCTTACGGGACAGCATAGTGAGGTTGCGGCGTATGAGTTTACGACTTTGACAACAGTGCCGGGGCAGGTGCTTGTCAATGGAGCGAAGATCCAGATGTTGGATTTGCCGGGAATTATTGAGGGCGCGAAGGATGGTAAGGGTAGAGGTAGGCAGGTTATTGCTGTGGCGAAGACTTGTCATTTGATCTTTATTGTGTTGGATGTTAATAAGCCACTTACGGATAAAAAGGCAGGTCATTCAAGATCCATTTCCAAGGAATTATGCTGACTGGTGAAACTCAGGTCATCGAAGCTGAATTAGAAGGTTTTGGCATCCGGATCAACAAGTCTCCACCAAATATTGTCTTCAGAAAGAAAGACAAGGGAGGCGTCAGCATTACAAACACCGTCCCACTCTCACATATCGACCATGATGAGATCAAAGCTGTCATGAACGAGTATAAGATTTCGTCTGCGGATATTGCGATCCGGTGCGACGCCACAATCGACGATCTCATCGATGTTTTGGAAGCAAAAAGCAGGAGCTATATTCCAGTCATTTACGCCCTGAACAAGATTGATGCTATTTCAATAGAGGAGCTCGACTTACTCTACAGGATTCCCAACGCATGTCCAATTTCATCTGAGCATGGCTGGAACATCGATGAGTTACTGGACCAAATGTTCGTATTTCCTTTCAGTATCACTGCATTCGTTCAAACTTATTCCACGTTTTTACCGCGCCATTCTAATATGGTCGCACATTCGAAGACCGTGGAAACTTTGATATATGAAGGCGTGTTCATTCTCTGGATCTCTCCCGCTAACTGTCACTAGGTGGGAAAAGCTCAACCTTGTGAGAGTGTACACAAAGCCTAAAGGAAAATTACCCGACTACACCCAGCCAGTTGTGCTCCGTTCCACGAAATGCACAGTTGAAGATTTCGTAAGTGGCTGGGTTCCAGCCTTGCTTCTTGTCATTTGTTTTATCGTCGCTGACTATCAATAAAGTGTAATGCTATACACAAGACTATTGTAGAGGATTTCCGACAAGCAGTTGTTTATGGAAAGTCTGTCAAGCATCAACCCCAACGAGTTGGGCTAAGCCACGAGCTTGCCGATGAAGATATTAGTAAGTCGCTAGATACCCCAACCAATCCTTCCTTTGCGGCCTCCTTTCTAACCGTTGTTTCAGTCACCATCATCAAACGATAGAGGCATGAATGAATAATTCTTTGAATTCGATGTGATGCCTTAGGGATTTTGCATCCCTGCCGAGACTTGACCCAGCTCAAGGATTCCACAGCTGCCGGGAAGACATGTACGATCACGGTAGCACGACCATGACGTCTATGGATAATGGGCGTTTTTTGTTGCCAGGATTGAACGGCATCATGCTCGGTAAAACCGCAACGGGGCGGTTGGTTGGTAGAAGTAGGCGAAGCGTTGAAAAAGCCTCACCTAACGGCAGGAACACTTTGCTACCATGGCTAAGTGTTCCTTCCCACTAGAGCAAGAAATACAATGAAGATTATTTATAACATTTAGCTGATCCTGAAGAAAAAGACTAGGCCCACTATCCAGTATCACCCCCACGTCAAGTCCAACCACGGAGCGTATTTTCCAGTCCTTACTTCGTACAAGCGATTTCGAGTTTATGCACCCCAGGCAAGAATTCTGCAATGATCCAGTCGAAACAAAACGTCAAACAGACGTACTGGATGAACGTGCTTCGTCTGCATGATGACAACTCCAAATCAATCTATCAAAACGGGGTACATGAGCGCACAGACATACGGGACTTCGCGAGAGCGGCGGTTAGCGCGGCCGCAAAAGCAGCGTTGCCCAGACCTCTAAGTGAAGATTGCAGGGGGTGGCTTAAAATCTGCCTATCAACGGGACCCATTTTATGGCTCAGGAAAGACCCTTGGATATTGTCAGCCAGTCATTTCGGACAATATTGACAGATTGGGATGGCTATGTTCAATAATCAACTAACTTCACAGGTTGCTGCCTCAGCCTGACCTTTTAGATGCAATATCTTACCGCTGGACACTTCTTACTATTCGCAATGGATTCTAGCTCTTGTGTTAAAGACTAGAAAGAATCCGATGATGTACCGCTTTCATGAGATGATCTTTTGAGGGGCAGTTAAAATTGCCGATTATTTAGGGGGGTTCAAGGTCTAGAACCTGACGATCTGTATACCGAGTGGATTGTTTTTCAAGTACGGATTGAGACATCGCTTATGACTGTTACAAGATAGGCAGGTGGAAGCCACACTATGAGGGGTGGTGGAGGCTGATATTCTCCCGAATGGGTAACTTCAATGTATGATAGCCCCGCGAATTACAACGACGAAAAAGGAAAAGAGACGTTTAAATGCCCGAATACAGGGTTCTTTTCACGTAGTTCCTTTTCCTTCTTCCGCAGATCGTTTACGGAGTAGAACGATAGCAGTAGTCTGTCTGAGATACGAATACAGTCTGCCGTAATCGGGTGACCTCGGGAAATTCTGTATGATTACGGTGAGAGCGGGCGATCCTGTCGAAAAAATAAAACTAACGATACTTTCTACAATATGGGGTATAGTTGCCGTAAATTATTTGCAGATGCTATAATTCTCCATCCTAGAAACTTATCGAAACAAAGATTCCGGATGACTTCCGAGACGAGAAGTGCCTTTGCTTGGACCCTTTATAATGCAGGATTCAGCGAGTCAACGGCATGGCTATCTCCAGGATGGCATCTATCCAATGTCTTGCCCAAGATCCTAGACGAAATCCTACCCAACCACTGATTTAATCAGTTTGGGTACTAACCGACAGGGCCAACCAACTCGTCTGAAGCCTCACTTATTGGCCATGTTATTAGTGTTTGAAGTTGAAAGCCTGAGGCTCGGGACGGTGAAGGGACGGCCCATAGCCCAAAATCTGACCGATTCCTCTCTGCCGACTGTCCCTCAATTAGTAAGGTGAGAGGCCTCATGATTGCCTAAGACGCAACAGGCCAACGGCGGGTTTCGAAAGGCCACTGGTGAGGGGTTTATGGGCTGAGCATTAGAGCATGAGGATTTCTCGGCAGTCTTTTGCAAGGCATTATTGATTCGAGAGAAAGAATTCGAGGCGATGAAGCAAAGCTTCCAGGGGGACGCACAAGGTGCTTCTGCAGCGATTACTGTACCTTACAAGTCACAATACCACAATCCGTACCAAGAGAGACAGTCCGCATAGTTAGTGACTTGCCTTCTGCCCTTATCTGCAAGTTCGGCCCACGAGGATCTGATCTGATCCGATTCTGGTACTCCCCGTGCCCAGGGCATGCGTGCTGACATGGCATGGTCTTAAAATTCAGCGTTGCCCGTACGCTACGGTACGGATCTCGTCTGGTTTGAACGTCGATGGACAGACAAACAAACTGCAACTCAACTGCTATTATGCATACGGAGTAGGGCGGCAGGGCCCTCTGGTGCAAGCCCCCAAATTCTTTCGCAATAACGCGCCAATCCTCTCCTATCCTCTCTAGAGTCTAGCTGGGTCTAGTACTTACTCCCGCTGCGGCGCACTTTGCTTGATGCGTGTTGGTCGCAGAGCCGGTGCTATCAAGCTTCCCCTGCTGAACCTGGCCCTGAAAGCCTCAGTGCAGACTGCCACACCAAGGCTTGCGTGCAGCGTGAGGAGGTGAGGCCACAAACTGGCCCCCGTACCAATAGCCCCCGTACCCGCGTTCGTGAACCTTGAAGATCCGTCAAGAGCTTGACTCGGCATCCATGACAATTGGGCCAGTAAGTAAAGCCACAGCTTCTCCGCACAAGTAGCTTCTCCGTTTCCGTTTCCCAGGCCCGCTGCCCTTCCCTGCCCAAACCTAACCTCCCGTACACATACCATCTCTACCCTCACTTTCGGTTCCAGATTCCTGCTCAAAGCGCCTGTTCTACTTGCTTTAAGCTGTTTGCGCGTGGAAGCAGCTTTTCGCGCTCGATTCCATTCGACCCGTTCAACTTGACTCCGCACGAATTGCCCTTCCTTCAACGCTGCTGCAGCTGAGCAAGCAGGGTTCCTTTCTCGACGCCGCTGCCAGGAACCATTGCTTATCATGCATGCAGTCTGCCGTTCTTGAAGACTGCCTTAGCCAGGAACACCACCAACATCGACGGACTCGTCTTGCTCGGGCACGAACAACCTCGCAATCGATGCGCAATCACAATTGCAATCGCATTGACATTTGGAATTGCGCATCGCATTCCAACAGACAATGCACGATTCAATGATGGCTCAGATCGGGATGGACCAGGAGCATCATGGGGGAAACGATAACGGTTTTGGTGGCAGTGATGGGTGGGTCGATATAAGTCACAGTTATAATTCTTCGCAACATCAATCGCCTATATACGAACATGGAGGTTTTGGGTTTCCCATGCAGCCAATGCAGAATAATGGGCTTCCGACTGAAGCGTCGTTCCATGTTCCACGAGTATCGCAACCACCTCATTCTTTACCAACGCACCAACAACTACTCCCTCTCATCATGCCCAGCCATCCAACATGGCCCAGCATGTTGACAAATCCAGCAAATTATTCGGCGCCCCCAGTTGCAATCCCTCCTGCCTCGGCCCCTGTTGTCAGAGGAAGCATTACAAAGTTACCAGCAATACATACAGCTCCTACTCCTCGGAAAACACTCACTGATAATGATCGAAGACGCATGTGTCAATATCATGAAGAAAATCCGTCTGTGAAACAAACGGAGATAGGAGGTAAGCAAAATTTGAGAACATGTGAGGCATTTTTGCTAACAAGTTCCCAGCAATGTTTGGTGTTGAAAGAAGGTATATTAAAAAATCAAGACTCTTACGTGCAATTACTAAGATGGAAATTTCAGTACTGTGTCGAAAGTTCTCCGACAAAGAGAGAAGTACCTGTATCCAGAAGACAGGAGTTTGTCACCAGTGAAGCGATCCAAGGGGAAATTTCCTGATATTGAACGAGCGCTTTCAAACTGGGTCAGAAATAACCAGAAAAAGGGTATTCCCTTAACAGATGCTACTATTAAGGAGAAGGCTCGTTTCTTTGCTACTACTGTTGGTAATGATGAGAGTCATTTGAAGACAAATAGCTCAAGTTGGCTTGAAAAGTTCAAGCAGAAGAATGGCATCGGATCAGGAAGGCTGTCACGAAGAGCTTCAGAGACAAATATTTCGGATAGTGGATCACTTGCTCCGGATTCAGCAGGACCCTCAGCTTCTCAGACGCCTAACGGGATATCTCCTACTTCTCCTGGGGCACTGCCTTCGCCCTCGCCGTTGTCTGCGACTAAAAGTAGTGACGATCTAAGATCCGAAAGCCTTAATGGATACATCGATTTTGGCCAGGGAAATGGTGGCTACAAGCACTCAAACTCTCAGAGTACGACTTCACTGTCTAGTAATTTTACAGACCCCCAACCATCGTTCTCAGGAGGCCCTACCAGTCCATCCACTCCATTTGCTTTCTCACCGGATAACAACTCTGCTTCCTGGCTACCATCGCAGCAAGCGCGACTCCCGCCCGCGGGGAATAATTTCCAGAGGCCACGAAGTCAGACATTTCCAATGCTTGGTATCGATCCATCTTTCATTTCGTCCCAGTCTGAGCCCCTGACACCCAAATACAACCTGCCTGGGACAGAACCATCTTCAGCGATAGAATCTCCAATCCACGAGATGCCTCCCTTCGGAATGGACTCTGCGATTTCCTCGCCTCCACTGCACCATAGCAGCAGCAATGGGTCCATGGCGCCTCCCTCATCCAGTACGCCGATCACAGGCCTACAATCACCACCGGGGTCCTCAGCGCCTAGCTCTCCTACGCAAGACGACGCACGACGAGCCCTCGATACGTTACTCAACTTTTTCCAACAGGCCCCAAATGGCCTAGTAGACCAAAACGAGTACATGACCGTCTTGAAGCTGACCGAAAAGCTGCGACTTCAAGGAGGCGGACCCCAAACCCTTCCAGGCGGTCTTCATCGAATCGTAGAACAAGACCCAGAGATCCATCATGTGCCGGCGCCCAAGATGGAACAGTCCATGAGTGCAGGCTGCTAAAGCTCAACTCCAAGCATATTTTCCTTTGCCTCTGTCTTTACATGCCTCATCCGCATCATCTAACGGCGTTATCCGCTATTTCATCATCATCATCACACAAACATTGTACAGCGGCGTTCTCAGCGCCAAACCCAGCACTTACTTCATTTCAAGCCATATCCGCTCTTGTTTTCACTTCGTAACATATACCTACACATCGCTCTTCTCGGTCGGGGGTGCAGGCTGGCACCCGGAAAACAACCCATATACCCATTGTATACACCTCCCGCTCACGCGAACGTATCTTCAAGCCTGTCCATTTTCCATCTACTTTACATTTTCCTGTCCATTTTTATCACATCTTTTTATCTACATTTTTTTCTTCTTTTTGGCTTCAAAGCACGGTTTCCTTTCTCGGTTTTTTGTGCATCTAAAGTGACCATCGGGTCTGGTTCGAGCTCGGTAAACTGGCGGGAGCTACGACGGGTGGTTTCACAGCTTGGATAAGGGCTTTTGGATTGTGTTGTACTTATTGGGGAAAGGAATAGGGAGGGATGGGAGGTCCTGGATTTAAGGGACTGGAAATAGGGTTATGGATGGATGGATGGTACCTCAGTCGGCAGTCTAGTCTTTTCAATATTAGGCGGCCCATCTGAATTTTGGGAGGCCCCTCTTGAACAAAAGCTTTGTCTAGGTCCACGAACAAGTGATTATTTGAAAAGTCTTATTATTGGCTCTGGCTTCTAACTAGCTCAATCTCTCCTCCAGAAGCTCATCCACCCCTTTATGGTCCAGTTCGGGTATTAAGCGAACTACGATTAACTCCACGACACCGTAAAGGAGATGTTTATTGCAATAGCTGTCACTGAAAACATTAAGCACCTCCTCAATCTCCCCAACCCTCCGCTCTATACCAGCGCCGAAATATATGTCCTGGATCTTGGCCGGCAAGAGCGATAAGATGGCTTCGGCGCATCGGCGTCGAATGAGGAGTTGTTCGGCGGAAGAGGGTATTGTGCGTGAGGGCGCTAGAGTATTGTTGGGGAAGAGCGCTGAGCGAGCGGTCCGCAGCAGTAGTGGCAAGAGCGAAGGATCTAGGACATGTGTCTGGACTGCATGGGAGAGTATTCTGGGGTTACACATTAGTTAGTCCTTTGACGGCCTTTACACCGGCAGTGCAGTGCAGAATTCTATGCATGGCATGACGGTTGAAATGGTTTTGGTGCAAATGTTGGAAGTTTTGAAGCAAAGAAAGCCTCATTGATGGTTCGACCAAACATGGGGCGGGGTCAATGCTGGGCCCAACGTCCAGTCCAGACCCTCGCCCAAGGCAGCATGCAAAACTCGTGTGAGCTTGAGGCGGGGAATGAAACGAGTGGACGAGAAGTGACGTCTGCACGGGAGGGAGGTGCGGTACGACGCGAGGCCGCCGGGTGAGGAGCCCCTGCAAATAACGCCGGGCGCGTAAAGAAGGCTGTCGTAAGGCTCGCTCGCTTGCTTGATTTTATCCCCCCAACACGACCTTCAAACTATTGCAAGGCCAGGACGAGGAGATGAAACCTATCTGGATAATGCGGCCGTGGAACTGCATTAATGACGATAAGAGTTTCATGGGTTGTTTCCATAGCCATGTTGCCATTCCACTACTGCAACCCATACTCATGCGATAGACAGATGAAGACGCCAACTCGGCTTCTAACAACAGATCGACCACGATTTCATACTTTTCCCGCAGCCAGTAAGCCTTAGCCTGTGTATCTGACAGGCATTTTATGCATAACGATAAAAAGGGAGTGCATGACTTGCGAGAATGAAACAATTTGGTTCTTTGCAAGCTGACTCGGTTGATCCGAAGTCAAGTGATTGAAATTTCATGCGGTGTGACGCTGGTCTCAAGCGCTTGAACACGGAGAGGCTTTTGGAATATGAGTACTCACTTATCAAGCATCCCATCAATATTCCCCACTTCCCCAGGACCAGCAAGTGCGCCCCATTGAAGTATCGATACCATCCCGTAAAGCCACGGCATCCGAAAATCGAGATCAAATAGGCTAGAGAAACAAGACCATAGCTTCATCTTGATGATAGGCCGTTTTACTGGTCGGTTCGAGCCATCTGACACTCTGTCAGTGGTCAACTTCGGCTCTCCCGTATGCTCTTGAGATTGTATCAAGCTAGGCGGCTTATTCGTGGCTGTAATACGAGACGGGAGCGAGGGTGATGTCGCAATGGTAATAATCAAAAAGCGTATAGTCGTGAATGTGAGAAACGCATATTGGAGGATTAGCCAAAACGTCCTCTGGATAGACGTTCCAATTCTCCATCTCTTCTCGGTACCTCCAGTAACATCCACGGGCGGCTGGCTCAAGGATTGCGATTTTGACCTGTCATGACGAACTTTGGCCTTTGACTTTGGCAGATGGTCTTGGATGACCTCCGAAACTTTCGTAATACCTTCCCATAATAGCCACGGCTCAGAAGCTTTCCCGCCAATACCGCCACCCAATATCATTTCAGAGACTATTTGTCCTACTAACGTGGTCAAGCAATCATTTTCCAGATCTTCAGTTGGCAATAGGACGGCTAGTATTCCATGTACCAGTAATTGCCTATAGTGCGCCTCATTGTTCAGTTGTTGCTGTACGAAGGCATTATCGTCCGGAACTGGCGCCAACGCAGGAAAAGGCCATAGGGAGTGATATATTTTCCGCGGTTCTCCTCCAAGCGGCGATGGATGTGTAGAGTAATTCGCAGTTCGATATGCTAGTACTCCGCATCAGCGAAAGTTCAATATACCGAAGAGATATAGCTATAAATACCTTGCACATGTGTCTCTAACAAATCCGGCAGCTCATCGAACAGTAAACTTTCCAGATCAACTTTCCTAAGCCTCTGCTCCAAAGCTCTTGTGCAATGTGCTATTATCTTCACAACCTCCTCCACGAAGTATGGATCCGGTGTAATCTTTGAATACCACGTCTGCACAAATTCCCTGACTATGATAGCTATGAAAGCGTAAAGCTCTACATCCACCTCATTGCTACTCGTGAGCGGTGGTAGTATCTCATTAATTGGCGCTGGGGTGCTACGGCCCTTATCACCCAAGTGTGTACATAGGGTACGGCGGATTAGGAAGAGCGTCGCACGCTGCGAGACTGGATCTGCTGGCTCCCGACCGCCGGTCGGCCGGGAGGTTGGGGACTCGGCTTTTAAGAAGGGGTCTTTCGATATTGAGGGTCCAGGTGTAGATGAGGCCGAGGCAGGTGTTAGATTCGATGTCGCGACGGCCTTGGGGCGCGGCTGAAGTCGCGGCATGAGGCTCTCGTGTTGAGGGGTACTATATGAGCCCGGATCTCCCTATTTCCGTGAATATTGCGCCCGGACTCGTTGAGGGACCTCAGCTTGGGGAACAGTCCAATGTCATGGTTGTTGTAGGTGAAGATAGAGATGCTAACGTCTGTAGATGTGAGACTGTTGATAAAAGATGCATTTCAAGCTTAACCGGAAGTGGAGCACGTACAGCCTTGCGCGGCAGCCTCGTCCTCACTGAAAGCAATCAAGTTCATTATTTTCACCTGAATTATTCTCCTACATGATATAAAATGTCCTAAATCAATGAGGTACTTTAAGATCTTGAATCTGATGAAACAAAAGGGGTCAAGAACGATGTAGAACTTTATCAAACATCCCATATTCCAAGTTTCGTAAAGTTGATTATGTTTAACACCAGTGTCAGATCCATCCAATCCTTTGGTCTAATAGACATAAACTCCATGAATGCTAACCCGGCCTAAGATGTGCCAGCCCAGGCCAATCTAGCAGCATCATCCCCACATAAAAACCCTCAGCTCTAGATCCGCGACCCTTATTCTTTTTACCTCAAAGTCAAGCAGTCCTCAGGACATAGCAGGGCTTCCTTTACGCTCATGGTAGACAACTTGCTTCTTCTCTACAAAGGCGCCAAAGGCAACAGTGCCCAAGATGATCACCTCCAAAGGAATAAGCATAACCGTAAGGTACAGCGCCACTTTACTCTCCTTGCACAAAGTGCTCCAGTGTGGTTTAACGTCCATGTTGACCGACGACCATTGGCAGCTCCAGCTCTGCAATGATGATACAGAGTTGGAAGAGTTGACGCCGTAGAAGAAGGATGTGCCGACGAGACCGGCGATCAGGCAAACTGTTGGGGCGAGGAAGGAGATCGAGCTGTGGACAAGAGGTTTGTTTCGTACCTGAAGAGGGAGGTATCAGTATCCTGTGCATGTGTTGAGGAGGAAGGGGCTAGACTTACTGCTGATATCTTGCTCGCAGCCACGGAGAGGGCACTAGCAGCGACAACAATTGCAGAGCAGACAACCAGCGCAACAGTCGGCCTCAGATCGAACTTCGCAGGCCATAATGAAAGGATAGAGTTGTTCCTAAAGTGCGTTGTATTGAAGACGGATAAAGTATCGCCAGAGGTCCCTAGGATAATAATGGAAGAGCAGAGAGCCAAAGACGTCAAAGCAAGGCGGGCAGACTCGACTAGACGAGCAGTTTTGGCGTTCTTCTGGTGTCCAGCATCAGGAGCCTCGAACTCATTGAACTCGGAGGTAAAACCAGGCTTGAAGGCGGCCATAGTGTCGTGAGGTATGTGATTAAATAAGAGAATATAATAGAATTAAGATATTTTGGGCAAGGTGGAATATGAGGAAGAGAAACGCTGGATCAACAGACTGATGGAGTGGATGTTACTGAAGGTTTATTGAGGAAACGAAACATATAAGTACTTCTTGTATCGTTCAGATAGACGCTGACATAGAGACATAAATAGGAAAGAAGCTCCTGTACTCTGCACCTCGTCTCCCAGTATGTATGGTAAAGTATTGTTAGACCCTCAACCCCTCGACGCACTGCGGCATCCCGGTGCTAGACGCTCCTGGTCAGATCTATTTCCTTCTTCTCCAAGATCTAGTTCCCCGAGATTCCCAAGATAGCGATTGCGATGCGCTGGTGGTGGTGAAAAGGCCCAGTCAGATTGCAAGACATGCATAAGAGGTGATAGGATTGGTGGTTGAAGATGCTCGCTTGGAAGCACGTCGCCATCAGGAGGAGCTGATTGGGTGTGTGGCGGGGGTTTATTTTGGGGGGTTGGCGCTTGGATGCATCTTTTCCCCTGGGCGCTTATGAAGCTTTGAATAGCATCAATACAACAGCACCTCGGGGTAGATGCATCGTGTTGGCTGGAAGTATCAGTATCGATGGCTCTTCTGCAGTCTGCAGTCTGCAGTCTGCACAGTCTGCACAGTCTGCGGCATTTGGAGCACCAGCATTGCTATCTGATCTCCCTCCTGTGCCGCTGTACGGCAGCCTCAGTGCCAGTGTTGGTTGAATCATACTCAGACAGGCAAGAGTTTGGGAAGACTTATCCCTTGTGCCTCATGGGCTTTTTATCCGGGGTAGTTTTCAAACCTCTTGTAATATGTGAGATATTGAGGACATGTCGAGGCTGCGAGGCATCCCATCCAACAAAAGGGGTCTGTGGTACACCTGTGGTCATTTTCTTGAGGCTTCGTACCCTCTCATTCTCTCCCTGCATGACAATGTCGTCTTTTCAATTGAGCTTGTCTTCTATTCGAAAGCACGCTAAAGCTGCCCTATATTGCGTCCAGGCAGACCCCAAGTTGGCTGGTCACACCGCAGCTCGTTGGTTCATGATATTGTTCTATAGGAAGAAGTTATAGATGTGGGTTATTCTTTTCATCGCTATTGAGAGGTTGAGATCGAGTTTTCAATGTTGTCCAATATTCGTGAAGTTTATCACAATTTTGGTCCCCCTCACTTCGAGGCTGTCTTACTTCCACATTTTCCGCGACGAGCTTTCCCTACTTGGGACTCAACAGATATGTAAACATGGAATTTAAACAGCAAGGCGAAATGATGGGTGGTGTGATCTGGCCTCTCTGGAGAGAAAATGTCCTGATAGCCCGATAATAAACTTTAAGTTTCTTTATCCTCACCACTTATCCGTCAACTTAATTCTCTGTTTTGTGTTTATCCAGATTCAAATTCCTTCCAGTGAGTATGGCAGATCTGCGAAGCATACACTGCTGACGGTCTCCGCTGTCGAGCATCAAAATAAGTGGCATTTAGCATGAGCTTATTATCAGGCACACCATCGACGTTGTTGACGGGTCATACACCTGCACGGTGGTATCACTTTCGCCCTCGAACTATTGTCTTGATACTGTTGCCTTTATTGTCGTTCGGGGGGGCTTGTGGAACTTGGGGTCTCGCGAGGAGTAACGGTCTCTTGGCAGCTATTCCAGCGCTGTTCGCGGAGGATATACCGGAGCTCCCTGGAACAAATGCGCCTCTATTGCTGAGGTATACGGGGTTTAAGGCAGTCGACTACCGACTTTCGACCCTAGTCGTATTCTCTGCGCCCGTCTTGGACTTGAGCCATGGCGATTTGACGTTATTCGGCCTCCACGGGTTTGGGCAATTTGGGGCGGCCTGGACTCTCATGATGATGGAGAGCATGAGAGTGGGGAATCGTTTCAGGGCAGGAAGCTAGTAAGAGACTCATCGCCTTGCAAACAGAATTGGTATTCAGCAACTAATTCTTACCAGCATCGGCACAGTCGGAGTACTCTTCCAGCAACTAACACTCATCAGCATCAGCACAGTTGGAGCACTTTTCCAGAATCTCTCATTTGCAGTCGTGGTCCCACTATGGCTATTCTTGCATATCCTCATGTCCCCGGTAGCCAAGCCTTTCCCTGGAACCCATGCGAATAGAGTCCTTTTAGTTCCGTCCTGGGATCTGAGAATCCTTCCATTTTCGATAACCCTTGGTTACATCGTTCCCTCGCTGTTAATGGCACTGCCATCACCAAAAATCGTCGATCCATCTTTTCATCAAATTTATATAGCCTTTTGGCACGCGTTTCCAATTTGGACGGTCGGTATACACGCAATAACTATACGCACGTCTCAGTGGATAATCAAGAAGATGTGGGACAAGACAAACGGACAGCCCCCAAAGCCACAGGGAACCTCGTATCTGAATAATGTAAAACACGTGTACAGATTTGTGCTGGCATTGTGTATCACTACTCATATACCAGTGGTTGTCATTGCCTTGTTGCCATCATGGGTCATTCCTGCGTCAGCAAAAACTCTGGCATCTTTGGGGAAGAACAATATCCTCAATATTTTCGTTCCTTACTTCCCAAAGCCCAATTACCAGGTGCAGCTCCTGGCCGAAGGCGTTCACACCTTCTTGATGTGGGATTTATATATCGGAGCAGCAGCATTCTTGGCCTGGGCTGTCCTGTTATATCGCAACGCCACTAGCGAAAAAGCTATTGTGGATCCCAACAAGAGCCTGCCAATATACGGGGAGTTATTCTTGGGCAATAGACCTGAGGATGTGCCACTGTGGAGGAAACTGTTCCCGAAGATCGCGCTTTGGACTTTGGTGTCGGGACCGATAGGGGCTTTGGCAATTTTGCTCTGGGAACGGGACGCAATTGTGAGGCAGAAGATAAAGCAAGGGCTTTGAAAAGGTGTGGCGAAGAGTGAGAAGCTGTAAGAAAGTAAAAGTGATCGCAATAGTTGGAGTACAATATAATAACACGTCCCTAGATTTATTGGCTAGCGCAGTGTTTGATGGAGAGATTGTGGTAATGTTCTCTTAAAGCCGACGCAACCTGAAAATTTGAGAATGACCAGACCAATCAAGTTTTCACTACTGAAGAACAGAAGGCTTCAATGCTTCTTGGTACACTTGAACTCCCACTAGGCTACTAAATGTAGTATCTTCATTGTCTACTCGGTGAACGTGAAGTATCAGGATACCCAGTTTAGCTCACTGGCCCTTTTTAACTTATAACAAGCAGATAGTATCTACACGCCAAATTGGAGTTAGGTACTGTACCGGAAAATTATGTTTCTAATATAACAAATTGATTCTCGTCAACACCTGCTCAGTACCAGTACCCCCCGCAAAAAGCCAACCAATGGGTTCAGAATCGGAGAATTTGACGGGCGTCCAACTTTGGCATGATTTCCGGTGAGTTTGCATAGGGCATGCGATTCTGGGCTCGACTGCTTCTCCGGCGAGTCATTGTTTAGGGAGAATTTTTCGAGGAAAGAGCCATGCATGGCGCTGCGCTGGGGAAAGATATTAGGCCCACTGCTTGCTTTAATAGTCTTCTCTCGAGCCTTCAATTCGAAGCAGATCCAACAAAGTCCATCTTCTTTTCTTCCTTTACTACCACAAGTGCGGCAGCATGGGTATGGTATGGTATGCTTAAGTTATTTGCATGACATTCTAGGAAGTGAATCCGTGATTCAATCATCTTTCGTGGCATAATCAACCAAATCGGATCAACCTCTGGTGTGGGCGCGCAGTACCGCCTGCTGTCCTACAGTACACAGCAGTCGTCTTTGTTTCATGTCCGGCATACATATTCATACCCGCGCACATTTAATTCTACGAAATCCAATGTGCTAATACGCGTTTCGAAAGCCCACTGAAGGTCGTGCAGCCCAACGCTCAGTCGATACAGCATCTACCCCATTACCCTCTCCCAAAAAACCTCACTGTACCGATACGGCTCAGCATCTAAGCCCTGGAACCAAAACGCTGTCTCGCACATCGATTTACTCCTGTCACCAACGATGCCTGACGCGAGCCTTTCTCCCAGCCTCTCCACCGAAACCGTAGAAATCACAAGAGAACTTGGTCGCGGCACACCTGGGGAGCAGGTGATTTCATCTTCGGAGCGCAAGACACCCGATCAGCAGGAGCTGGCAAGACGCAAGTCGCAGTACTATGAGGAGGCCTTTGCAACTCGAGAGCCCACGTCTTCCGCCCGTCAAGTAATTTCTAACGAGTCTATGGTTCTAGCAGATGTCAGGACAAACGTCATTGTAAGATTTTCCTACCCAAGCTGAGACATTTTGCTAATATATTCAAGATCTCAGATGAGTACACATTCATTACCGACTTATCTTATGCACTGTCGACGCGATACCAACGCTCCGAGAACTCGATAATTGTCACAGTGCTCCACTCCGCCTGCTTATTGTACGGGGGTAATTTCGACCCAGCCTACACACTCACAATAAGCGCAATCCCCTCCCTGTTACAGCCCGTGACCAATAAGAGAAACGCTATTCTCCTTCAAAAAGCTATGGATGAGGGTTTAGGTGTTCCACCTGATCGCGGCCTCATAAAATTTATACCAATAGCTGAAGAGAATCTGGCAACGGGTGGGAAGACCGTATTAGGGGCGATTGAAGAACTCGAGAAAGAGACTGCTTTCAAGAATTTGGGTCTCATCAGAACCCTATCACGTGCGGCTACGAGAAGAACGAGTATGAAATCGCCACCCAGAGGCCAGCTTCCAACACACGACGAGAACGTAACACCTTTCAAGAGTAATGGTAATAGCCCGTCTCCATCGGTACTACCAAATGAAAGCGCAATCATCCGCCGGCCTGAAGGGATTCAAAAAATGGGACGAAGGAAGAGCTTCATGCTTGCTGTGTTTGGTGGCAAATCAAAGGAGGGTTTATGAACGCTCTTGGGATTACGACTTCATGACTGATAACCCAATTGACGCATCTATGCCCTACTTGCATGCTTAGCGTGGAGTTTGGGAGTCTATATGCTGGGGGTTGGATATGGGCTTTTGGGAAGAGAGTCTTGTATAGAGGTGAGGTGAGGTTCTGTATGAATGGGGGGAAAGAGTCTCAAGATGACCATTGCATCAGAGCAGCTTAATAAATAACAGCATTGAAGATTCTACAGAAGTGTGTTATGGGGAAGAGTCGTACAACGTGGTCCAGACCCGCAAGATAAGATGACTTGCAGACGCAGAGTGAGTAACCAGTTGTTGTAACCTGATCACGACATAGGTAACCTCTGGATGGCACCCCAATCTACCGAGAGATTGATGTCTCGGTACTTGGGATCAGGACTAGGACTGACTGCTTCGGATTCGTAGCTAAACTAATGGTCCAAAAGCTCGGTATCATGAATTACCCAGTTTTCTAGCTTGAAGAATATTATAGATACCTAGGTAAATATAAAAGCAATTGATTCTGGCTAGAACATAAGGTATCATTTATTGCATTGGTTTGAATAAAGTGCAAGTCGAGCCCTGGTGCCATCCCATCCCATTACGTACCAAAACTAGCTAATCCGATCTAAGCGACCAAGTCTCCGCAAATTTTGCGGGGAGCACAGAGATGAACAGCCTAACTAGCCGCAACAGCAGACTCCAATCGGAATCACAGAATCTTCCCGCTCCTCTCATCCTTCACCTATCAACCACCAGACAGACAACCCACCTCAAACATTGGATTGAGTACCGTACTCACTGAATAGAGGCTGCCTCGACCCAGCATCAATTCTTCACGATAAGTGCAGAGCAGAGCAGAGCAGAGCAGAGCAGAGCAGAGCAGACAGAGCAGAACCGTCAAAACCAAGCAGCGCCCCTCCCCGTATGTGACAAGTCGTCCCCAATCGGACTCACCCAACGAGCGAGATTTTATAAAGCCGGAGGAAGAAAGAGATATATTGACAGCTCAGTACCAGCATCAGGATAAGCTTCACTTTGCCGGGAGCGAAAGTCGTTGGAGACGGATAGGAGGTGCAAACAGAAACGGCAACGGCATCACGAGACAAAAGGGAGGACCGAGGATCGGCTGAGTTGGTCGAGGCAAGAGGTCAGCTTGCACAATGGAGGTACGAGATGTGTTTTATTTCCTGCTTCGGATATTAGCTTGCCCTTGACTTGGCTTTGGTTTCTGCATTGCGTCTGCCTTTTACAATTCTGCATCTATTTGGCTACGAGATTCTGCATCCTTGGGACCGTTGTTCTGGGTCCTGCATTCAGTACCGGATATCAAGTTTTTGGACCGCGACTATGCTTTCTGGAATGAATGATTGAAGAAAGAGATCCGGGCCTACCACGGGATACCTGGATCGACTGATGGGTTTCGTGGTACCAATATATGATTCGAGATAAGCCAGACAAAGCAGAACCACTCGTTGCTGTCTGACGCTAGGTCACATTATCTATATCAGCGGCATGGGTGTGGTGTTTGCTAGAAACTGCATCGATAGAGCTGGAGTCCTTTTGCGATACCAGATGTTTGGGATCGTCTGAAATGCTTCCTGCGAGATACCGAAATCCTGCTTCATCTACCCGCCGCCGAGTCTTCGGAATCGGTCGTCGTCCGAGACTTGATATACACCTGCAATTGTTGTTACGCAAAAGATGAGTAAGACGGAAAGTACTGTCTCTGTTACTGCTGGGGTGATTTCACCGTCGTCGTGGGTTTAGCAGTCAGTCAGTCACTCACGTCACAATTCAATCTCAATCTCAAATATCTGAAATCCGTTCTCAATTACACGCAAGTTGCGTCACGACTAGTATCCACGCTGTCCACGCTGCCCACATTTATTTCATGATTCTCCGTTTCTTCAACTGCCATGCCTGTGCTTCATACAGGCCGTAGACGCACCAAGCTGGATCGCTCATACAATGGGCCTCCTCGTCAGGGGCCTGTCCGCCATATCAGTCCAGCTCAGCTAAATCTTGAACGTGTCTATGAACAGAACCGCATCAATATTCAAAAGAAAGATGCAACCAAAGCTCCGGAGCCAGCTCCGGGCCCTGCGGCAAAGGGAAAACCGAGGTTACTGCTGATGGGTCAGCGAAGGTATGTAGATACTCTGCTCAAGCACCGATTGTTGTACTCACAGATTGTAGGAGCGGAAAGTCATCTATTTCAAGTGTCGTCTTCCACAAGATGCCTCCAAACGAGACTTTATTCCTAGAGTCTACTGCTAGGATTCAAAAGGATTCCATGCAGTTAGTTCCTTGTTTGTACTCAAATGACAGAACTAACCGTTGTAGTTCCTTTATGGACTTCCAAGTTTGGGACTTGCCTGGTCAACTTGACTTTATGGATCCTTCATTTGACCTCGATGCCATCTTCTGCGAAATCGGCGCCCTCATCTGGGTAATCGATGCGCAAGATGACTACATCGAAGCAATCAACCGTCTGAACAGCACCATCCTCAATCTCCAACCCAGCTACCAAAACGTAAACATCGAAGTCTTCATCCACAAAGTTGACGGTCTCTCTGATGACTACAAACTCGACATCCAACGAGACATCATGCAACGCATCCAGGATGAGCTCTCGGATCACGGAGTAGAAAACGCCCCTATCACCTTCCACCTAACCTCAATCTACAATCACTCCATCTTCGAAGCCTTCAGCAAAGTCATCCAGAAACTAATCCCCCACCTTGCAACCCTAGAAGCCCTCCTCAACGACCTCTGCCGCTCCTGCCGCTTCGAAAAAGCCTACCTCTTCGACGTCCTCTCTAAAATCTACATCGCCACCGATTCCTCACCCGTCGACATGCCCTCATACGAGATCTGCAGCGACTACATCGACGTCATCGTCGACGTATCGGAAATCTACGGCTGGGAGCGTCCAAAAGAGTATATCGAGTTCCTGGAAGGCCCGCCGTGGAACAAGAAGCTGGACGATCAAGTGGCATGCAAGAACGCGGAAAGCGTCATCGTGTTGACGGATATGAAGCGCCCGATTATGTTGCGTGAGGTGAATCAGTATCTGGCGCTGGTGGCTATTATGTGCGAGGGGAGTCACGAGAAGATGCCGAGCGTCACGATGAATGTGGAGGCGACGGTGACGGGGTTGAGCGAGGTGTTTGAGATTACCAAGCATAGGAAGTAGGGTGTGTGTCTTTGCTTGCTTGTATCATGTGCTACAGGGTTGATATACTGGGGCGTTTTGCGTTTCTAGAGGACTTACTAGGAAAGCTGGCTGGCAGCCATATTTTTTCTTAGCTGTATGAAACTTCCGGTTTATACTGTTTCCTTTCGTAACTACTGATAATATAATCTTCTACAACACATAATACAAACAGGGCGCAACGAGCAACCTATCCCAGAACTATAAAGCTAGTGAGCCCAACACCTTTCTTCGCCCCTGCCATCCCTTCCTTATAGTATAACCTGGAAGCCGTGAAAAGCACCGATGACTCTTGTACACTATACTTTGGCACATATATGCTGCAAACCCCCTCCCTTATAACTTCTTAAAAGGACTCTTGCTTATTCTCAGCTTCAACACCAGTACCAGTAGCGCAGCGCCCAACGCCATAGATCCCGCGTAGATCATAGCAGGATGATACGCCTTCAACGTACTATGCGGCCCCCCGTACGCCGCGAGGAGATACCGGGCAATCGGAGCGCCCTACAGCCATCTCAATAAGCCACTAATCCATTTCGAACATGATATCAATAATCAGGGATTCAGGAGGCAGAACTAACCATCAAATACCCTCCACCCCATCCCGTAACAATCATACCCATAGCAACGCCCACTCTCCTGGAGCCAAATACACTGCCTACCACAGTAGGCATGCACGAAAAGAAACCGCCATTTGCCGCGCCGTTGATGATCACGAATACGATGAGCGAGCCTAGGGAGCTTGACACGGGCCAGATAGCGAGCATGCTTAAAGCGCTTAGGAATAATGAGAGGAGGAGAGTGTTGACGGGTCCCATGAAGTCGCATAGGAAGCCGCAGCAGAGACGGCCGACGGCGGAGGAGAAGTTGAAGCCGACTACTAGACCGGCGCCGGCTGAGGGGGAGAGACCGAGGGAGGCGCTGTATAGTGGGAGGAAGAAGGGTGGGACGAAGAGGGGGAAGGTTGCGATCTGTGGGGGGTTAGTTTAGTTCTCCCGAATAAACTCGAACCCAAGGGGTTTGGAAGAGGTAGTAGCGCTTACAGCACCAGCAAAGAACAGCGTAGTAAACTGGACGTTCTTGAACAGCGACCTGTTACAAAGTCAGACGTAAGAGCAAACCGATAGAGCTAGGTAGAAGGACAAACCATTCGACGAAAGTGGCTGTCGTAATAGGCAGGCGCTCCTTAATCAACCACGCAGCCGGAAAGCTAGTCGCGAGCGTGACCAAACCAAGAATCCTGAACGTCCATTCTGGTCCAAGGGAATTGATCAATCCGTTCACAGCAAACGAGATAACAGTGCCACCTAATCCGCCTCCAGCATAGACGAATCCATTTACTATGCCTCGCTTTTTGTTGAAATACTGAGGGGTAATCGTAGAGACCAAAGGAAAAATATGATGGTGTCTTGGGCTTCATACCATAAACAACAAACTATAATCCACCACATATTAGCAAAATTGCCCCCAACACTTCCCACTCAAAAAAGAAAGGAAAACATACCTACACCCAATCCCCATCACAACACCCGCGGTAAAAAACAGCGCTCCAACATTCCTCGTCGAGAACCCACTCAGAATCTCCCCCAACCCCAGACACCCCACGCCAATCAGCGCCGTCATCCTAGCCCCCAACTTCCGAATAGTCCTCGCATTGACTAGCGCCAAGATGGAGATACTCGCACAGGCCAAGCTGCCTACGAAACTGATGGTAGACGGACTGGACAAGTTGCGCTCGACGAGTGCGGCCTGGATGATGCCCCAGGAGTAGGTGGTGCCTACGAACCAGAAGGTTAGAGCGCTGCAGGCGGCTATAACGACCTTTTGGGTGAGTTTTATTAGTAGTCTTCAGTAGAAGGCGAGAACGATATTGATATTCAGGTATTTGTAGAACTCTTGAGACGTTGAAGAAAATTGAAGCCTCGAATATGTCTAAATCGGGGTACACGATGAGTAGAGGAAGTAACTTACCCAGCCATATCCTCCATCAGGGACTTCGGCATCGGCAAGGCGGGATGCGGCAACGATGGCATCGAGGTTTGTGGGTTCGAAGTTCAAGCTGGATAATGAGCCCTCAGGGATTGGTGTGGAAGTCTTTGATATGTTTGGATCACGGGGTAGAGCCTCGAGGGAGAATGTTCTTGTGGAAGTGGAAGACATGGGTGCTTTCCAGGGTATATCAACTAAATCTGGTCCAAGAATATTCAGAATAGAGAATGGCTTCAAGGGTACAGTTTGAATATAAATGTGAAATAGACAGAATCTATCTGGTGTGGTAGTTCAGCTAGTAGCAATCGTCCCGTACTCCGCCGCGGCCGAAAAGTAAGTCGATTGAAAATCAAGCAAGCTTCTGTGTCTAAATACTATTCCTCGCTACTTCATTATTAGGTGAACAGGGTGTGCACTGTAATTTTCGGTCGCGCGGAGTAGACAACTTTTCTCGCTTCAGACGCCATTGCGCCTTTCGATGTCAAAAGGATTTGCGCTTGGCTGAATTTAAGCTAGCACAGAAAAACGAGCTATCATCACGTGCGGGTTGTGGAGTAGTCTGAGAAAGCTTAATAATGTTCAGTATACCCTGGAACTATCCTGTTGACAGAGAACTCATATGACTCTATATCCTGGAGGCCGTAATCCCCATTATGTCGTCTGCTATATTCTGTCTCGAAACAGGGAGTGCTTCTTGCTTTACTGCTTTGGCGGTGCTAGCAGCACTTGCTGTTCTAGCTTCTAGGGGCTCTTGGATACGAAGGGTTTATGCGATGTAGAACTCGTTTTCTCATGAATTCGCAGGTAATGTTTCACTTAATGATGCCCCGGATATCCGCTTTAGACCTCAATCAAGGGTACAGGTGCTGCCGGCGCCTGCTCACCTTGAGGCTGGTTCTCTGGACCTTGTTGATTCTCCCCCGTATTCTCGCCTTCAGCCCTGGTTACTTCTTCCGTACCTTCTGGGTTTTCTGCTGCGGCAGCAATAGCTTCGGCAGCCGCGATACGACGTTGTCTCTCTGCTTCGGCGGCATTCGCTTCTGCCTCCCTGTGGGCGATATGTCGTTCGCCGACACCTGGCACCAAGCTCGCAAAAAACAAAAGTAACGCATGTTCGACACGTCGAACCTGAGACATAACCCAGCCTCCGTTAGCCTCCCTATGTTGTCGAACCAATCTTTCGGCGGCTTGAGCTGGATCGGGCTCGGGCTCGCCATCTGTGGTGGTCGGAGTCTGTTCATTTCCGGCAGGAAGGATTGGCGCTGCTTCGGGTTGTGGTATTGCTGCATTCACCGCAGGAACCAAGGCGGCCTCGGGTCCAGCCATTGGAAGTCTATTCTCAAAATAACGTATGATAGGGCGAAATAGCTCGTTCAAGGCCGTACCATTCAAGGCCCCAACATTAAAGAGAAAAATAATAAAGCTGACTCCGCCGATCAGGAACCAACGTGTCCAGCTGCTATGGCCCGAAAAAAGCCAGAGCATTCCAATAAATCGGATCAACGTCCAAACAGCTTGCCAAACTCGGACGCCAATGACTCCTTGGGGAGGATTGGCATGACCACCATTTATTTGTTCAGCTTGGTCGATTTGAACACGTCGATTGCGTCGAGGTCGATCTGCCGGTCTGTTACGATATTCTGGAAGGCCGAACGTTTCTCCTACCTGAGCCTGTTCTTGATTCGTAGCAGCAAAGTCCATTCTGTGGCGTCTTGAATGTTGTCTAGGCGTGAAGAACGTCTCTGAATTGCTCACTAGAAGTGCTCGAGGTCCTTGGGGCGACGACACGAGGTATACCGTTGGCTCGGTGGAAGTAGAAGTAACATTAGTGCTGGAACCTTGAGTGATTGCTTGCGTAGGTGGGTTCACGATCGTAGACGCGGAAGGAGAGCCATTGGTTGTGAGAGGAGTAGTACTTGATCCCGGCATGCCTGGCAGCGCAGCTGCTGGGCCTATATTGGATGGGCCAGCTTGTGTAAAAGTTGAGGCTTCGGGATTGGAAGCACTTCCCATCATATTGTTCTGGGCCGATAAGTACCGGTCTGCATTTCGTAAAACTGCCTGGATATCAGGACCAGGGTTTAGAGGGGGGTGTTGATGGTGGCCTGTCGAATGCAAGTGAGGCTGGGGAATTGGAAGTGTCGTAGTTGTCTCATTCACAGTCATATGCCACCTTTCTCCATTGGGACCAATACCTTCACGGGTATAGGTCGTGGTGTGATCAGGTCGACGAACGCTAGGACTTGCTCTACCAGATGCAGTCTGTGTAGGGCTAGTAGCTCTGTTGCCTGTAGCATCTTGAACTCCAACCCTACCTTCTGCAGCTCGATCTCGTTGCTGCTGCGCTATCAGATTCTGCACGGCGGGTGGAATGGCTTGGGGCGGCCTATAACCGAATGGTAGGTTTGCTGAAAAGGCTTGCGGAACTGGTAGAGGGTGGGCAATTGGCGCCGCATGTTCGCCATTAGCTATGCCGTCAGTTACAGCTGCCTGCGCGGCACGATGTCGTTGTTCAATCGCGCCCATCTCCCTCTGCAAGCGTTGTGTCTCGTGTTGGAGCTGTAGCAGTCTCTGGGTCATAATATTATGATATTGTTCGGCCTGGTGGAGGACTTGATGATACTGTTGAGCCTGCTGGGGTGAAGGACGGGGTTGTTGTGCTTGCATGCCTTGAGCAGGTGCTATAGGATTGGCTTGGCTAGGCGGTGTTGGATCGTCTACATCTCGTAGGACAAGATGTATGGTCTGTGATTCCGAGTTCCCGAGCTGAGAGTAGCAATTATCAGTAAGTAGCTAATAGATCAAAGGACTTTTGCTTACAGTTTCCTGGCCGAATACTTCCAGCATAGTCTCCGCTTCTCGACCAAGCAACCGACCGCGATAGATCAGCCTTTGGCGATCATTCGAAGGTTTTGAAGGGGTAGAGTCTCGAATCTTGGCTTTGAGCTGCCGGACGGTCGTAGTTGCGGGGAGAGAAGCAAAGGTGAGAGGGCTGCTGACTCCAACTGACGGGGAAACAACGATGAGCGTGAAGGACAGAGGGTTTGGCTGCTCCCTATCTCTTGTTGAAGCTTCATTGCCAGCTGGTACGGCAGAGAGTTGAGACATTTTGCAATCGCAGCAGGAGTATGGTATGTGGAACTTTGTATAGTACCGGGGGTGAAGTAAATGAGTTGGAGGGGAGAGCGGTTGTACAAGACAGGGAATTTCAGATGATCATCCGATCATAAAGGTAAAGGTCGCACACATAGCATAGCGGAATCAGAGATTCAAGGCGAGGTTGGGGAGAACCCTAAGTTGGGAATCAGGAATGATTTCTTCTAGAAACGTATGTAGTAATCCTAGGTTAGGTAAGGGGTACTTATTTTGGCTAGAGGAAGCAGAAGCTCTTAAAGATACGTGGTTGTTCGGATCAGCGCAGCGCAGCGCAGTGCAGCTCCATACGAGTACAAGACCAGGATAAGCGTGTCCTGGCCTGGATAGGATCGAAAAAGCGGCACTGACTTTCAATGTTCCAAGCTATAAAAAGCTTACCATATCAAGTGCCGCTTTTGTATCCACAGACTCCCCGGAAAAAGGTGCGGATCAACTTTAGTGCGGAGTAAGCGAAGCGACTTTCAAAAATTCGCGAAGCTTTCCCAAGTCAGAGAAAGGCTGTCAATCCATTCTTCCACCCCCCCTTCAATGATTGTCAACTGAGCTGTGAAAGCTGCCTTGCCAGCTCTGTCCAGCTTCGGTATCTACTTCGACAACTGGAAGGCTATTCTTGTCGTTGTCTGAGAAACCACACCATTCAGTTGCGCAGGTTTTCTGCACCCCCGCCATTTCAAGATGGCTACCACTTCTACTATGTTCATGTACAGCTTGACTGTCCAACCTCCCACTGCCATCACCCAAGCTATACTTGGACAGTTCGCGGGAACAAAAGAGCAGCAGATAGTTACAGCTTCTGGATCGCGTCTCACGCTCCACCGACCAGATCCCTCCCAGGGCAAGATCCTCACCGCGCTTTCCCACGATGTCTTTGGAATAATAAGGGCTATCGCAGCTTTCAGGCTCGCTGGGAGCAATAAGGGTAAGTCCTTCTATCACACCATTTTGAGCTTCACTTAGTGATAGAAAGCATGGATGGCAGCACGAGAAATACCACCATGGTTCGTCACCAGCAAAATAGAGGGAGCTGTAGGGGGGGTTTTTTTTTTTGTAGAACTGAGCTAAAGAAGTATCTAGATTACATTATAATTACGTCCGACTCGGGACGAATTACCATCGTCGAGTTCCTTCCGGCACAGAATAGATTCAGCCGTTTACACTTAGAGACATTTGGAAAGTCTGGAGTGCGCCGAGTCATTCCTGGCCAATACCTGGCTGTGGACCCTAAAGGCAGAGCATGCCTGATAGCTTCTGCGGAGAAGAACAAGCTAGTTTATGTGCTCAACCGTAATTCACAAGCCGAGCTCACAATCTCCTCTCCTCTAGAAGCCCACAAAGCCCAGACCTTGGTGTTTGCGTTAGTGGCATTGGATGTGGCGTTTTCGAATCCAGTTTTTGCCGCCCTCGAAGTCGATTATGGAGAATCAGATCAAGATCCAACCGGTCAGGCATATGAGGAAATCGAAAAGACTTTGGTTTACTATGAGCTTGACCTCGGATTGAACCATGTGGTTAGGAAGTGGGCAGACCCTGTAGATCGAACCGCCACTATATTATTCCAAGTCCCAGGTGGTCAAGATGGCCCTAGTGGAGTTTTGGTCTGTGGGGAGGACAATATCACGTATCGACATTCGAATCAGGAAGCATTCCGTGTTGCTATTCCTCGACGGCGTGGTGCGACCGAGGACCCCCAGAGAAAGCGCTCGATTGTGGCTGGAGTTATGCACAAGCTGAAGGGTGCAGCTGGTGCATTCTTTTTTCTTCTCCAAACCGAAGATGGCGATCTTTTCAAAGTCACTATCGAGATGGCAGAGGATGACGATGGAGCTCCTACTGGGGAAGTACAACGCTTGAAGATCAAGTACTTTGACACCGTCCCAGTTTCTTCAAGTCTGTGCATCTTGAAAAGTGGATTTTTATTCGTTGCTAGCGAGTTTGGAAATCACCAGTTCTACCAATTTGAAAAGCTTGGGGATGATGACGAGGAAATAGAATTTACCAGCGACGACTTTCCAGTTGACGCGACGGAACCTTATACGCCTGTCTATTTCCACCCTCGGCCGGCTGAGAATTTGAGTTTAGTTCAGAGCGTTGACTCTATGAATCCCTTGATGGACTGCAAAGTAGCCAATCTCACAGACGAGGATGCTCCCCAGATCTACTCGATATGTGGTACAGGAGCTCGAAGCACATTTAGAACTTTGAAGCATGGGCTGGAAGTCAACGAAATCGTAGAATCAGAATTGCCCGGGGTGCCTTCAGCTGTCTGGACCACAAAACTTACCCGAGATGACACTTTTGATGCTTACATCATTTTAACTTTCACCAATGCTACCCTCGTCCTTAGCATTGGAGAAACCGTCGAAGAGGTGACTGATACTGGCTTTCTATCATCCGCGTCCACCCTTGCAGTACAGCAGCTTGGCGAAGATGGGTTGATCCAAGTTCACCCGAAAGGAATTCGGCATATTAGAGCGGACCGCCGCGTCAACGAATGGGCTGCACCTCAGCATCGGTCTATTGTCGCTGCTACGACTAATGAACGACAAGTGGCTGTTGCCCTCAGTTCTGGCGAGATCGTCTACTTTGAGATGGATTCGGATGGGTCGCTTGCAGAGTACGATGAAAAGAAAGAGATGACTGGGACGGTAACATGTCTGAGTCTTGGAGAGGTCCCCGAAGGTCGTGTTCGAAGTAATTTCTTGGCCGTAGGCTGCGACGATTCTACTGTTCGTATTCTGAGTCTCGACCCGGATTCGACACTGGAAAACAAATCAGTTCAAGCCTTGACCTCGGCTCCTTCTGCTTTATCGATTATGGCTATGGCGGACTCTTCATCTGGAGGCTCTACCCTTTACCTTCACATCGGACTCTACTCCGGCGTTTACCTTCGAACAGTGCTAGACGAAGTCACTGGTGAACTCTCCGACACGCGAACCCGTTTCCTCGGCCCCAAGCCGGCAAAGCTTTTCCGTGTCTCTGTACAAGGACAAACTGCAGTACTTGCTTTGAGCTCAAGGCCATGGCTTGGATACTCGGATCCTGTTACAAAAGCTTTCATGCTTACTCCTCTGAACTATCCTGGTCTCGAGTGGGGTTGGAACTTCAGCAGCGAGCAATGCACCGAGGGTATGGTTGGTATCCAAGGACAGAATCTAAGGTACGTCAAGAACATTTTTTACTTTCACTTTTGAGATACCATGATGATTTTCTTATCGTTAAACTGTCTTATGTCCTCGTGACTTTGAGGATTAAACATTAAAATCCAATTGTTCCTTCTGATATATCTCTATTACAACTCACATAACATCGTCCGAACTTCGACAGCAGAGGCTAATATTGTTCAGGATCTTCTCCATCGAGAAGCTCACCGACAACCTTCTCCAAGAATCAATCCCTCTAACCTACACACCCCGCCAATTCGTGCGACACCCTGAACATCCATACTTCTATACCATCGAATCCGAAAACAACGCCTTATCACCTGCAACAAAGGCTAAGTTGCTCGAGGACCCTGCCATTGTTAATGGCGATGCTGCAGTGCTTCCTCCTGAGGAGTTTGGCTATCCCCGAGGACGAGGTCACTGGGCCTCTTGCATCTCCATCGTAGACCCTATAACCGAAAAGAGCGTCCTCCAAAAGGTGGATCTTGATGACAATGAAGCAGCAGTCAGCATGGCCACTGTCTCATTTGCAAGTCAAGAAGATGAGGTTTTCCTAGTTGTTGGAACGGGTAAAGATATGATTGTTAGTCCACGAAGTTCAACGGCAGGATTTATCCACGTTTATAGATTCCACGAAGATGGCAAGGAAATCGAATTTATTCACAAGACAAAAGTTGAAGAACCACCAATGGCACTTCTGGGTTTCCAGGGCCGATTGCTAGCTGGCGTTGGCAAAGACTTGAGGATATACGACCTTGGTATGCGCCAGCTTCTGCGGAAATCACAAACAGAGGTTGTCCCTAATCTGATCGTCGGATTACAAACGCAGGGAAGTCGTATTGTCGTGAGCGATGTTCAAGAAAGCGTCACAATGGTCGTATACAAGTTTCAAGAAAACAAGCTCATCCCATTCGTCGACGACACCATTGCTCGTTGGACATCCTGCACAACCATGGTAGACTACGAGACTGTTGCTGGTGGCGACAAATTCGGCAATCTTTGGCTTCTCCGATGTCCTACAAAGGCAAGTGAGGAAGCTGATGAGGAAGGATCGGGAGCGCACTTACTTCATGAACGACAATACCTTCAAGGAGCACCTCACCGATTAGCATTGATGGCTCATTTCTACCCCCAAGATATCCCCATGAGCATCCAGAAGACTAATCTGGTAGCCGGTGGGCGCGATTGTCTGCTATGGGCTGGTCTCCAAGGCACACTTGGTATCCTTATCCCATTCGTAGGCCGAGAAGACGTAGATTTCTTCCAGACCTTGGAGCAACATATGAGATCTGAAGATGCGCCACTAGCAGGAAGGGATCACCTCATCTACCGAAGTTATTATGTACCGGTCAAAGGTGTCATTGATGGTGATTTGTGCGAACGATATACCCTGTTGCCGACGGATAAGAAGCAGATGATTGCGGGGGAGTTAGATAGGTCTGTTAGGGAGATTGAGCGGAAGATTTCTGTAAGTCTGCCCCTTGCAATCTTATGAGTGATGACTTACTAATTATGTAAATAGGATATCCGAACGAGGTCAGCATACTAATTGTCATTGGCGCGCATTACGGAGGTTGGTGTTGGTTAGGATGTTGATGCTATATGTACACTAGAAGCGCTCTAAGCTCGCACCCAATCAAAAATTCATGATCATGTTAAAGTATACACCTCCCTCTACCTCAACCCAGTAAACCTCCGCCTCCCCACATCCCACCCCTTCTGTTTCCCCTTCCCCTTCAGCGGGTTCTCCCCCTCCCACCTCTCATCATCCTCAAACACACTCACAGCCATATCAAAATCATACCCCGCGTTCTCCAAATACAACACCGCAACATCATACTCGCTAACCTTACACCTGACCATCCACTTCCTCACCGTCCCCTTCCGCCGCTCCTCTTCTTCTCCCTCTATAGGCTGCGGACTCAGGGACACTCCTCCTTTATAGAATTCACCGGGGATGAGTAGCGTGCGCCGTGCGCGCAAAAGGTGGTCGGCTGTGAGGTTGTTGGTTTTTCGGAGTGCGGGGATGGGCACGTTGTAGCGTAGAGAGAGGGATGGGAGGGTGTCTGTGTCGTGGTTTAGGAAATGGAGGACGTCTTCTGCGGGTTGTGTGTTTGCGTTTGTATTTGGATTTTGCTTCTCAGAGGTGGTAATAAATTGGGGCGTTGTGTTTAAGGAGGAATATGTAGGTAGCTCGTCTGAATATGCGGGTGGGTTTATGGGTAATGAGGCATTGGTGTCTTTCGAGGTCGATGTAGCTGGTGTATAGGAGGGAGGATCCTTCAAGCCTTGCGGGAGAGGAGTCGGCGTTGTGGAAATCTGACAAAAGGGACCTTTAATCACGCATACCTGTTAGCCAGTATCTCTCTCTCACCTCTTTATAAATTACTTCGGCGTCCAAGGCTTCTTAACTTACAATATGTAGCGAATCTCGAATTGCTCTATGAATCAAGAACACAGCATTGTTAGAATGTATTCTATTTGCCACTTGAAAAATAACAGGGAGTAATATATACAAGTATACAGTTTCCACATATAACCCGCCCGCAGCAATCTAGAGTCCTGTCTTGTGTCTTGGGCTTCTCGCTCTTCTCGTCGTATTGGGGGGTTATGGTGTTGAGGTATCGCGCGCATGTTGCGCAGGACTCGTCTAAGGTCGCCATTTTGTAATAGGGGATGCTGGAAGGAAGGGCGGGAAGAGAAGATTCTATCCTAGAATGGGCGGGAACAGCCAGCTTTGAAATATAAGGTTCTGTAATTGTATTCTGTGTATGTTTGTGTAGCTCTGAGGAGACGTGAAGTGCTGTGAAGTGATGCGTACATTTCTTTATCTAATCGCAATCCGCCCCACCACTGGCAACCCACATTGGCACGTGCGCCGCGTTTGTTATTATAGAAGGAGCATAGGGTATTTGGACAGAAGCTGAGATAGTAGAGGTTGAAACGGTCAGTTTAAAGCTCCTCGTTGTAAAGGATCACCAGGGAAAGTCCTGCCAAGGTCAGGATATAGCATTTCTTTCTGTATTGCCACTCCATTCAAGCTTTTACATCTTGGTATCTATGTAAATACACTTATAAACTACATTGGCTATGTGGTCTTACATATGGTACATCATACCTCTAACATGTGCAACTCCCTAGCCAGAGCCCAGAACTCGTGCTGCCCATCCTTCCCTCGCTCAGAAGCTGGAAGCGGTCCTCCACGATCGATTCTTGTATTCTGCACCAACGTCCTCGCAAGATCCAACTCCTGATTTTGAACCAAGGCAACTAGCAACGTCCTCAGCGTATAATAACTAGCCTCATTCGCCTTATCATTAAGTTTCCCAAGTATCCGCAACGCTGAAGCCGTATCGCCAGCCCTAGCATAACCCTCAATAACACGATCCCAGAACACGTTATCCGTGCTACCGGCTCTGAGACGGGCGGCGTCGACCAGGTTCCTGACGGCGTCGAGGTTAGGTGGCTGTAGGCTAAAATGATGCTCTATGAGCATGGTGTAGATGTGAGGTGAGGCCTGCAGGCCTTGCTTGGCCATCCGTTCGAGAACGGCGTTCACAGCTGTCATGTCTTCCTGCACTATTTGCAACAGCTGGTAGATAACTCTGCTGTAAGTGTGCAGACTTGCTTCGATGCCTACACTCGACATCTCTGAGAAGATCCCAGATACGATCTCAACTAGTCGTTCAGGGCTTTGATCGCCAATGTTACGAAATGTCTCTTCCAGAATGACAGTGAAAGTCGTCGTGTCAGCAGGGATGCCCAAGCTGTGCATTTGCTGCAGAAGCGCCTTGACTTCTTGGGATCGGCCATCTCGAATTAAGGGACGAAGAAGGATGTTAAAGGTAGCGGCATCAGGACGAATATCTAGTTTGTTGGCCCAATCAAGTACCCGGGAGGCTGCCTCATCCTTCCGCTTTCGTAGAAGACCAGAGATTGCTGCGTTGATAGTCTCAATCGTAGGCTTTACAGCATCTTGCAGAGCGACGGGCAATACCTCTGGCTTCTTGTTCCCTTTCTTTCTTCTATTTGCCGCCATCCATAAATGACCCATTTCGCTCAGAGCTTCCAGTCCTGCCTCTGGTCGGCCGAGATCTATGAGTCCACTGATACGCGCGGTCCAACACGGAACGTCAGGCTTAACCTGTGACTTTTGCATCCTTTCCCATATAGATTCAAGTGCGTTTTTATCTCTTGCGACTTTGCATCCAGAAAGCATCGAGGTCCAAGTTTTAACATTTGGAGTCAACCCATTGCCAACCATGTGATTCCATACATCGATAGCACGATTTGGCTTCCGGAGCCCCATATAGGCCATGATGAAGAAATTGTACAATTTCGGAGATAAAGTCTTCATTCCCTTATCGATGTCAGTGGAAGAGGCATCATCTTGTTTGGAATCCTGAGAAACTGGTAATTCCATGGCATTTGCCCATAGCCTGTCGACTTGGGGGCCATCTCGCAGTTTGAAAGCATTCTCTAGTCGCTTGTATAAATCAAGTTCCATGTAAGGCTTAGCGGAAAGATTGTCCTGTGCTATTTCCGAAGCAGGTGCGGATACTTTCTGGGGTTCTGTCTTCTTCAAAACCGTATCCCTTACCATAGGCCACTCTCGAACGACGAAGTCCGAAACAGCTTCCACACCCGGGCCATGTGCAGCCTCAAATAGTTGACTAACATCATACCCAGAGCCTCCAAGTGCATTTCGTAATGCAGATAGAAAGGGAGCAGCGTCCAAAATAGTGCTTTTGTCAAGAGTAAGGTCTTTTTCGAGCAGGACGAATGTTGCAACAGTGATCAGAGGGATGCTGTTCAGCTGGCGGAACGGAAATGACGGAGCTAGGAGAGCGAAAGGAGCTAAAGCTCCACCCAGAGTACCGCGCTTTCGTTCTGTCTGGACCACGTCGTTTTTGGAGATATGAGGTACACTCGACCAATTGTATGAAGTGGGATCATCAGGCGATGGGGATAAGGAAGGGAGGTCGGACTGCCGGCAGATAACGTTCCAGGCTCCGAGAAGATCCATAAGAATCCGTTCTTCTCTGGCGAGGTCTTTTAAGGACTCTCGTCTCAAGATTATGATATTTTCAATCAAAATGAAGACCAAATCTGCCCAATCTTGACCGTGAAGCAACCCCAATTTCAAGTATGCCCAAGACAATTCCGAGACGGTTGGAAGGGTTTTAGAGAATGGATCGCGAGATTTTGCTTGAGTGAGTTGTCTCAAAAGTAGCCTTGCTGGAGTATTCACGTAGGATGGCATAGTCTGTCGGTTTTGGAGCCAAATGTCTGGGCCGAAATGCTCCATGAAGAAATGCCAGGAATCCCCCACCGAACTATTCTCTTCAAGCATTTTCTTAAGGGTTTCGGCATTCTGGTAGGGCTCTAGAGAGAATTGAGGTTGGAGAGAGCCATCTTCTGTGGATTTCGGTGAGAGAGTTTGTTCAAAAAGCGATTCGAGGATGTCTCCTTGTTTGTTCTCCACAGCCCTGGGTATTCGTCTCCTGGGAAGGGGGTTCCAGCTAGAGCTCCTCTCCTTCGTGGCCCCTTCTTCCTCTCCCTGTGCCGATGCATTATCACCGGTTTTGGTCGTCTCATCTATCGTGATTCGTGGCTTGTTGCTGTTGAAAGATATAAATGTGGCTCGGAAGATCCATTGCGAAGGGTTGAGGGGTCGAATTTTGGTCAGTCTTCGGCGACATGCTGTACAGATATGGTACGAGTTCATCCCCGTGGATTTGGTGTTGTGCTGTCAATCATTTACACGGCTTGAAGAGAAGAGAATGGACGGGAAATATTGGTACAGTAGAAGCTCCAAAAGTTTACTGTAGGCGCAAATAAAGTTTGGACCCCCTGTCAAACCCCGGAATACGGCCACGGTACGGTAACTCCTAGGTGTTGCTCTGGACCACCTACCCAACCAAGTACGACACAACCTTCGAGTAGCTTGAGATAGCAGAGAATCTGGTGGTATTACTTTCCGGAAGGGCAAGGAATAATAAATTGTTACAGCCATGACTACTCTTCAACCTCGCAAACCTTACTCCCAAGAGGAGCTTAAAGCGCTCTACCCAGAAAACTTACAGCTACAACTCGTCCAGATCCTCCTCCGCCACGGTGAGCGCTCACCAGTATCAGCACGTTTCCAAAATGCAGGGCTTGGTGCCTTCTGGCCGTACTGTGCAATTGCAAGGCAGATGGTCAGCGCGACTATGGAGCCTGGCAAATGGACACCTCTGACCTGGAGAAGGCGTTTGGAAACATTTGGCATTGATGATGGTCCTGTAATAGCGACTGGGCCAAATGGGGAGGTCGATTCAGTCTGTAACTTGGGAGAGTTGACTGATAAGGGAAGAGCGACGACCTACGCTCTGGGAGAGAGGATACGCCATTTATACGTTGATCAATTGGGATTCATGCCCTCTACGATTCAGGATGCTGATATGATCTACCTACGAGCGACTCCCATCCCACGAGCATTAGAGTCTCTGCAGCAGACGTTCTGGGGGCTGTATCCTTCACAGTATCGATCTCAATCGTTACCGCCAGTCACAATCATCACTCGGGCGCCAGCAGACGAGACACTTTTCCCAAACGATTCGAACTGCAGACGTTTCGCTGCTTTGTCGAGGGCTTTTGCACAGAGGACTAGTGATAGATGGAATAGCACAAGTGAAATGGAGTATCTCAATAAACTGATCGGCGAATGGATGCCAGAGAATAGCAAACGAGTTGCGGTGGACTCCCACCCCAGACTTTCTGGTATTATGGACACCATAAACTCTACTCTGGCTCACGGTCCTGAGACGAGGCTACCGAAAGAATTCTATGACGCCAAAGGAAGAGCTATTATCGAAAAGATCGGAGTAGAGGAGTGGTTCAGTGGATACAAAGAGTCCGAGGAATATCGGATGTTGGGTATTGGTGGTTTGATGGGAGACGTAGTAGCTCGCATGGCTGCCAGCGCTGAAGGAAGTGCAGAGGATGGATCTAGTGAAATTGGAGGCAAAGATGGCCAAACTGGAGTCGGAAGGGGTGGTGAAAAGGCAATTAAACTCGGCCTCAGCGGATGTCATGATACAACTCTTGCGTCAGTGCTCTCATCACTTGGAGCTTTCGATGGGGAGCCATGGCCTCCATACACTAGTCACATTGCTTTTGAGCTGTTCAAGAAGACAGGCACACCAGTTAGACAGGCTCCCGCGAACCGTACCCCTATCTCTCCTTCGACGGGATCGGAGACTACAAGCTGGTTCGGCAGGATATTCGGCGGCAGCCCAATTGCCAGTCAAGGCCCAGTTGGAATTGCCCGAAAAAAGGTCAAGGACCTCCAAGAATCCGATCGTTCAAAATTAGACGGCTATTACGTTCGACTACGATATAACGACAAAGTCATGACAGTACCAGGCTGCAAGCCAGCTGGCAAGCATTTGGAAGGCGACCCATCGTTCTGCACGCTTGAGCAATTTAAGACCATTGTTGATAAATATACACCTGCACATTGGAAGAAAGATTGTCATAGCAATATGGAGGTCTCGCCGTTTCCGCAGAAGCCGGAGCCGGCGGGGTATTAGAGAAGACAGATTTATATTTCTGGGAGAGCATGGCGTTTTGTAAATTGTAGATAGATTGAGCACGCCTAGACAAACGAGATTCATCGTTGAGCATACTTGCAGAAGCACATGTTTTTGCCTTAATTTGAAATTTGTGACAGCACATTTCATTACTTTGCAACCAAAGCCATTCTCTCCCCATCATGATGATAATACAATCGCAGCATCCAACCAAGAGCCGTATAGTATCCATTTTACACCCTCTCGTGCTGCAAAGGTCGGCACTCATTATCATCGACTTTGGGTTTCACACTCCGCCTGACACATTATAGATTGATGCCGTTTTTTCAGTCCGCCGGGAGCCCCTATTCCACATTGCCTCCTGGTATATTCCAGAACGCCAAACTCCAAAGTACAAACCCTACGGCAAACACTACGAACCCTCATCCATAGGCTCCCCAGGATCCTCACCAGCGACCATCCCCACAACTCTCTCCAAATCCTCAACTTCCTGCTTCCCAAGCTTCCTCCCCTCACCCTGCCACTCCCCATCCCTCACCTCCCCCATATCCCCTAGTTCAAGCCCCCTCACACTCTCAAGATGCCTCTTCGTCTGCTTCTCCACAAACTCCAACCTCTCCCTCCTCCAGCTCTTCTCCTCCTCTCCCACCAACCCCGCCTTCCCATTCCCATTCGCCAGCACATCCAACCTGGGCTTCAAATCTTGCAGTAACGCCTTCAGCGCTGGAAGCTGGGAAATCGTAAAGGAAGCCGTCGTCGTAATGGGGTGTTTCCCATCTCCCGTCAACTCGCCCCTATCCTGCAGGAATCCAAATGCCGGATATATCGCCTCGGTTCCCTCGCCTTCTACTTCTTCCTTCTTGGTTTCTTGACTACTCTTCCCGAGTAAAGCCTTTAAGGCCGCAATCGTAGCATCATTCTTCGCCGTCTCACTAACGAGCAATGCATGCAATTTCAACGTCTCCCTTACCCTCCTCCTCTGGACCTCCACACTCTCTACACTCGGCCCATCCCCCTCCCTCATGCCCCCAAAATCTAAGCCCTCATAATGACTCAAGCGCACCCAGTCCCTCACCTCGGGTGGCACAGACAAGATATTCCTCAAGGTCCAGAGTTCCAACTTGTCGAAATTCTTGTCGATTTTCGCCTCCAGCAGAGTTTCTAATTGGTGTACGCCATTTTCGATCTCGTGTTTTATCTTGGAGTGCAGTACGTCGGTTTCTGCTGCGGTGGCTGAGGAAGGGATCTTGAATCCTAGGTCTGATGGGGAGGCGCGCGTGAGGCCGGCTTCGACGGCGTCGATTGCTCGGAAGGCGAGGATATTGATGCTGTTTACTATGTCGTCGATTAGGGCCTGTGGGGTTGGAGAGGTTAGCTACTGAGAACAAGACGCGTCACGTTGGGTTATGTATGCATACGGCTGGTCTGTAGGTTAGGTGCTCTGTCAACAGAGCCACATCTGAGTTGATTGATGCGCTCATTGTCGTGATGGAGAGGGTTTCGATAGATGCGGATGCAGTTTGCGCCAAGGTGGCTTGCTCCAATTTGAATTATCGCAGGATGTTGGTCTTGATAGGAATTTATTACAAGGTTTGCGTAGCTAGGCCTTATAAAATAAAGTGCTCGAATAGGTAAGAGGCTGATGAATTGTATTGATTTTTATTGTTTACTTGGACCCCTCATCTCTCGAAGTCTACAAGTACGGAGTAACGCGTCCAACGGTAGTCTGTTTGCGCCATAGATGCACTTTTGCCCTTTTTGTTTCTCACTCGCAGTCTCATCCTCCACTTCCACCTCCATTTCCTTTGTCATTTGCGTCAGACTCCTTAATGTGAATTAATTGTCAAGTGATATCCTCACAGATAACAAAGGTGAAGACCCTCAATAGAGCAGAAATCTCCCGCGTATCAATTCTCAAGTCGCACCTGCCTTGCAAGGACCGTCGAACTTCAGTTAGCAAGCCGTTAAGTATATATGGCAAGTTATGAAGATGTAGCGGAGAGCTCAGGGGCATGTTCATGTCAAAGTATCCTTCAAGAATATGCGGCGATGCTTGCCCCTGATTTAAGCGAGCGTCTTCATTTGGCCGTACCACAACATTGCAATTACGCCCAGTGGTCACATCTAGACATATAATTAAAGCCATGTCCTCTGGCAGCATCGTGCTGGTCTCGTCCTATGCAACGCATGTTTTTACCCTATAGCTAAAGGCTTTTTGCTAAATGACCGACAAGAACCTTGGATTTGGCCGAAGCGCGATGTGTATAGTTACGTACGGCATGAGAGGATATTCGAGGTTAGATTCTGATAAGATGAAAGAAGAAACGTGCGATGCCACCGAAATATCCAGCAAATGGAGAGATCAGCAGTAGACAAGCATTGAAAGGATGTTCCTGAAAGGGGTTCAAACATGTAAGAACAATGATGATTGAGCAGCGCTGTCTCGAAGGCGGCCTGCAAAGAAGGCTAGGACTTCAACGCCAACAAAATCTGCTCGCTATCATTACAAATAATATGTATTTCTCAACCTGAAATCATCCGGGATGCCTTTGAAACTGATTATGATGCCTGACTACTTGTTTGTAGGACCTGGATGCACGCGAGTATGGCTTGGCTTGGACAGTACCCAAAACAATACCAGCGCATCCAACGATTGCCACGGGCCAAAACGTCCAGTACTGCACCGTATCTCTTCGACGAAGAAGGTTTCTCTAAGACTTCGGCCAATCTTTCCACTCGTGTTCCCAGCACAAGAAAGTCTCTCGCTGTAACATACACCGGCCGGTCCGGGGGAACAAACGGATGAGCGTAGTGCAGGTCTAAGAATAGTAGACGCAATAGAGGATCAGGATTACTGAACAGTACTGAGTTTGATCTTAGCATATTTCGGAAGAAGCGTTTTGTAGCTTTAGTCTAGCCGAAGAACATAAGAGAGCAGAATCTTGCGGAGGAAATAGGTACTTTCTTCTGAAGTGGCGCGCGGGTCCACAGGATATGCCTCTGTGCTAGCAAAAGAGTACATGGCGCCTTTGGATTGCAGCATAGCGATACAGAATGAGGGATGTCGGAAATGGAGAGAGATCTTGTTGATTTGTCGTAGTAACAGGTGGAGAAAAGGTACATCTACCCAGCGGGTATTGACTTGAAGCAGGTTGTGTAGAAGATATGTATTAACATCCGATGAGCTCAGGGATGTCCAAGAGGTAAATCGTTTCGCCAGCTCACTGGCTACTTTTTCTGCTGAGCGAGAGCGAACTGGGTTGAGATTCCCGTACGCTTTCAGAAGAATGACGAGTGGACAGTTTGTTAAGTTTATTGAATTACTGTATGCATCGAATACAAGGCCTGAATCAAACTCCCTAGGCTCGCGGTTGATGGTAAGATCAGAGGACCCGTCGGTATCAGTTGTTGGAAGGAAGAGAATGAACTGCCAGCCCAAGACAGCAAATACGAGACATCGCTGAGCTATAATAATATCAGATGTCCCTGAATCCGGGTCAAGTATTCCCTCTTTACTGAGACTTTCTACAATCTCGTCGATGCTAAGATTGTTTTGGGAACGGATTAGTCAGTTGATAGCCAGGAATATTTTATGAAACTGAGGGTTTCTCCGGTATGTTTTATATCGAAATCGTGTCTTTGGTGAAGAGAGATACAAAATCAATAAATCGACTGGGGTGTTAAATTCCAGGAGACTGCAAGAGAGATACGAGGCATGGTTCAAGACAAAAAGACGGTAGATGAGGATACGGACGAGTCCTTTTCAAAGCTTGAAGGATACATGCTTTGGTAAAGGATGCAGTTCACCCTGCAAAATGAAAGAATGCAATACATTAGGGTACTTTTATTCATCTAGCTGTGAGATATTGACTATGGCGCTTCTTAGTGTAGAACCACACTGAAAACCAATGCTCTGATCGCTGTAAAATGCGGGCTGCTGCAAGGCTGTGGGGACATCACATCTCATGCTGGACAAAAAAAAGCGGCACCAATTCTACTGTTCAAAGGCCTCAAAAGATACTATATCAAGTGCCGCTTTTTCTGTCTGGGGCAAGCCATATTGACCTTACCACACTTGAACAACTCTTCCCCTCTTCCCCGCTTCCCCTCTTCATCATGAACCGACAGCGTCAGATTCTGTCCAAACGTACCCTCACAACTGTTGCAATCATCAGCTTGGTCGCTTTATTTGCCCTTTTCAACTTCCCGTCCATCAATCCGAGTCGTCCGAACCTCGAGAAATCATATCTCTCAAACTCCAACATGGGCAAAATTGTGCATATCGTAATGTTTGAGTTCAAGGAGGAAGTAAGCGCCGAAACAGTGAAGGATGTAAGAATACCTCTTTACACCGCCTCTTTAAAGCAAACAGAGGAACTCGAAAGACTTCGTACTAATTCAATACCAGGTCTGCAATCGCCTGCTAGCACTCAAAGACCAATGTTTACATCCTACCACAAACACGCCGTATGTCAAGGCCGGAATGGGAGGAAAGCAGAACAGCCCAGAGGACCTGTCCGTAAGTAACATGAGATAGATACCCCGTTTTCCAACCAGGCTGACGAATTTCACAGGGCGGCCTTACTCATATCTTTGTGCTCGAGTTCGCAAACCGAGCCGACGAGATGTATTATTTAGAGAAAGATCCAGCACACCTCGCTTTTGTGAAGAGTATTGACGGGCTGGTGAAGAGGGCGCAGGTGGTGGATTTTATTCCTGGCCTCTTGTAAAAATTTGTTGAGAACTTTGTTTCTGCTCTGTGCATTGCAAATCTATGAAAGAGTATAGATGTGGTTATGAGAATCGTAACTCGTTATTCAATTAAGCATATAACCTTTGTACGCGTTCAAATCCACGCGTTAGAATTTGTGGTGAAATTGTGAAGCTACGTCCCATAAATATGACTTTTCAAAAAGGCATAATCAAAGCCAAAAAGTTAGGGCCGTGTATATCTTTGAAATACAAATTTCATGCCTGTTGTATTGCGAAATAGGAAGCTCGTCTCGAGTAAGAAGGATGAAAGTCCGGGGATTGGCAGGGATTACAAAGTAGCACCGCTAACCGCGGTTTGACACCTCTCAAACTTCAGCAACATCCATACAACCCTTATTACGCCTACGAGCTGGTAACATAGCTGGTGTAGCTACCTCCATTGCTATTCGATCTGATGATTCTCTCCTCGGCAGCGTAAACACAATGGCGGACTTCGCAGACGCAGCCTTGCGAGAGGCAGCCCAAAATGATGGGCCAACTTCAGTTCAAGAAGAGGACAACAAATTCCAGAAGGCGATTTCGGCATGGCGGAGTACGTGTTGATATTCTACAGCTCCTAGTACCTTCTAACGGTCTTGCAGATATCGATTTAACCTCCATGATCCCGAGCTTGGATAGTACCGCTTCGGAGATTGTTCAATATCAGCGTGACTCGACGGTCCAGCGCAAGGATTTGGCACAGAAGACGAAGGATTTTAGGAAGCTGGATGATTCGGGGAAGCTGGGTGAGATCAAGGGGTTACTTAAGGGTAGGTGGTCTACGGAAGTCAAAGATGTTCAAAGCTCAATTCTATCCTAGCATACCAGACCTTCATCGACCTTCTTACAAATCACTCCAAGTCAACAAATTCGGCATTTTTATCGGTTTACTCTTCATTATCCGAAGCACCAGATCCATACCCACTTCTAGAAGCCTCAGTCGATTCCCTACTCTTGTCGGAAGATACACTACCTAAGGTCGCGCAAGAAAACGAACATCTGCAGAAGAGCGTCAGTAAGCTCACCACACAATTGGAAGAGACCGAAACGAGATGGGAGACTGAAAGGGCTGCTCGGAAGAAGCTAGAAGAAGGGCTTGAAACAAAAGTCAAAGATGTCGAGACGTCCTGGTCAGCAGTGGTAGAAGAGAAAAGGGGGAATTGGGAAGCTAAAGAGAAGCTCCTTGAGGAGAAAGTAGAGAACCAGGAGCGACTGCTGAATGAAATCAAGGCTAGCTACGAAGTCACACAACGACTTGGACAGTCAGAAAGCGATGAAAACAATACTGGCCGTGGCCATGTAACAAGCGCAGAATTGGAGATGGTAAACTCGGACCTGGAGCGGACAAGCGTACGATTGGCAGAAGTCGAGGCCCGGAACGAACAACTACGTGTAGAATTGGCGCAATCAGCATCGCAGGTCCCGAGCCATCCAGCGTTGAATTTGGAGGATGATCCTGGATATATGCGAATGCGCTCTGAGAATTCATCGCTCATGAGAAAAATGGACGCCGCCCGAGTTGAAAGAGATGCAAAAAAGCGGGAGCTAGATGGCAGACTAAGATCTCTTGAACGGGAGATTGGAATGCTCAAGGAAGAGCGAGATTCTCTCAAAACAAAGGTCCAGAAATGGAGCGACTACGAAGATGTGAAGCAGGAGCTTGAGGTTCTGAAGAGTATTGAATTCTCAACTGGGGATGATGATGACCAGGATATTCCGGATTCCGTAGCTTCTCACAAAGGAGTAGAGAACGGGGCATCGAAAGGGAAGGGCGACACGTTGGAGCAGCTGCTTCTTGCTCGAAACAAGAAGCTTAGTGATGAGTTAACCATTCTAAGGGTATCTCACCAAGACTTGCAAAGTCGACTCCAGTCGATGCAAGAGGATCTTTCAAAGACCAATGCAGACCTTGAAAAGGCACAACATCTGAATTCAACTCTGGAGAACGACCTCGCTAATGTTCAATCCGAGGCAGCTACTGCCTATCCATCAGCAGCCTCTGTAGCCGGAACCTATGCGAGCCGCTATCCCCAGTCCTCGGCCGTAGGAGCCGGACGTAAAGGTCGTATCTCCCCAACCTCATCAATCATATCTGGGTTCGATCCAAGATCCGCTTCGTTGGGTACAACATCGCTAGAGCAGCTGAGATCGGGTGAGCCGGTTGGTGGAGGCTCGGGTATACTGCCGATGATTACGGCTCAGCGTGATCGGTTCAAGAAGCGGAATACTCAACTCGAGAACGAACTATCAGAGAGTCATCGTACACTCTCGTCCCTACGGCAAGAAGTTGCATCTCTGCAGAAGGACAACCTCAATCTATACGAGAAAACAAGATATGTCTCGACTTTTAACCGCGCAGCGCCAACAACAACTTCTGCATCTTCATATGCCACAAACCCCAATCCTTCCACTATCCAGATGTCCTCATCAACATCATCCGGGCTCGCTCTAGATCGGTACCGCTCCGCGTACGAATCTAACATATCACCCTTCGCCGCCTTTCGAGGCCGCGAATCAGCTCGTGCTTACAAGCGCATGAGTCTCCCCGAGAGGATAGTCTTCTCGATAACGCGGATGGTTTTGGCTACCCGAACAAGCCGGAACCTATTTGCAGGATATTGCGTCGCGTTACACGTATTAGTTTTCTTTTCCCTGTATTGGCTTGGGACGGCAGATGTTGAGCAGCACGGGAGTCATTTGGGACAAGGTGTCGTGGCAGCTGCTGGGGGGACGCTTGCTGGCCAGAGCGAGTCGGATTGGAACCCAGAAGGGTTCAATGATAAGGCATCGTGAGGTGGGGAGGGGAGTCTAGGAGATCTTGTATTATTAATTCAATACTAAACATGGTCATAGAGCCAAATTTCTAGAGTGTCGGGCTTAATATTTGCATCGGTTCTTACTTTCATTGGATACATTGGTCGATTATAAATGGGACGTCTCTACATGAACATTGAACAGACAATTCCTGATTGTCACCTTCTGCCTTGAGCGATGGAGACAAGGCTCCTTTCCTTTCCCTGCTCACTTTACTCATTAGAAAGTAAACATCCCATGTCATTCCGGTATGTATGACACGATAATACTACAATCGGAGAAACCTTCCTCTTAATCAATACTCGTTCCGAACATTTCAATCAATAGTGGAGGATAAAGTGGAAAATGGATTGATTGGCCTCGCTGGGATAGAGCCGCATCCATTTTCTAATATTGCGCAACAGGACGCCAAGAAATCCAAAAATAACCTAGTACTGCACTGTACGTAGCGGAGAAATAACCGCCGGGAGGGATCTAAAGATAGATAGATTTCAGACCGATATCTTCTATCAGCCAATCGATGGAAGGTTACTAATTTGATGAAAGGCTTCTAGTGAACAAGTATCGCGCGTCTATTGCTTTCGAACTTAATTTACCTTCCGGATCGTGTTGCGAGAGTCTTGGTATGGCATGTTAGATTGATATCGATATGCCTTGCTGGAGGGATGCGGGGAGCGAATGGAGAAGAGGAAGGCAGGCGTAAGGTATGGTATGGGATGGTGTTACTGTAGACGCAGCCGCGAGATGGGGTTATGAATAGATGGATTAATGGTTAGATGAGTAAGTGGTGAGTGGTGAGTGGTGAGTGGTGAGTGGTGAGTTCTTTAATAGAAATACCTAATGTCTTAAAACACCAACACCAACTCCAACATCTTCACCAAACACCAACAATCTAACCCGCCAACCCTTGTTGTGTTTATGAAGTATAGAGTTCTGAGATCCTAATCATTGAGTTTGAGTTTTCTTGATCAATGTTTCCGGGGTCTCATGAGAAGCCTTTGATAAGAACAACCAGGCTGAATTAATCTGCCACATGCTCTTGGATGGAATCACTTAGAGGAGGGGTAGAATGCTTTACGCGTAGTGTTTCTATCGCCAAAGTCTCCTACAGTACACCTTCCCCTCTGCCCCTCTTTTTCTGTGTTGGCTGCAAACCCACGCTCTATACCCCTCCCCTTCCCTCAATGATTCCATCCAGGATTTGCTTAACAAGCGGGCCGACCTCAGCGCGGCCACAGCGTTTATCCTATTACCCTTGTCTCGGTAGGGTTAGACAAAGTCTGGAATGGCTTCTGAATGGATACAGACAGTTTGGAGCCAAGCTTCAAGCGCCCCTGGCAAACGAGACCAGACCAGCCGACCTATATGTAGATCTGCAGATGCAAGCATGCTTCACGCCCACTCACAGGCTCTCTTTCTTTCTCACTACTGAATTCCAGCCAATCAGCGCTTCCATACGGCCATCTTTAGACCTCGTGCGGAACACTAATGTCCCCGTTTTTAGAACCCCTACCTTACTACTACTACTGCAACCCTGTCTCCCGCTTCGTTGCCGCCATTGAACCTGCTAATCAACCTTCCCAACCTTCTCTTCTACCGCTACCAGTATCAGTTACAGGATTAGATCAACTTTGCATGCGCGCAGACGCTCAAATGTATAAGACGTTTGAACCTCCATGGTAAGTATCCAACTCATCATCTGTGCGTCTGTCAATCATCTCGACCTTCCCTATATCAACCTTACCTCCCCCGGCCATCCCATTTATCTCTCGAGTGCACATTATCTTCTCTTTATGTTCATTTGTTTCCTTTTCCTACTTCAGCGTCTTTCCTCTTCTTCTTAATTATCGATTAATACTTTCTATCATCCATCCATCCAACCTTCACCATGTTATGCAACTTATGGGTAGCGTCTGCGCTGTGCGCCGTTGCTCTATCTGCTCCAACAATCCCATACTCTTCAGCCGCTGCCGAACGGCCTACTGAGATGAAGGTTCTGTCCGAGTACTTCAACATGTTGGGTTCGAAAGTTCAAGCTGGGAATCAGATGGCAGAGGCGCCGGTTTGTGATTTAAGCAATGCAGTCCTACCTACAGCTTGTAAGTCTTCCAGTATGGCATGTTCTATACAGAGACTAACACATATACTGCAGCCCCAACAGCACTCCCCAAACCATCCGAAGGGCTGGTCCTGAAGCATGTAGCTATTGGCAGAGGAACACAAAACTACTCCTGCTCAACCGGAAACGCCACCGCACCCCCAGCCGCCGTTGGCGCTATCGCAACCCTCTACAACGCATCATGCGTAGCATCCACCTACCCAGACCTCCTCAACCTCCTCCCCAGCGTCGCGCTGCAATTCAACCTGAGCTCCGTCTCGCAAACAAGCCTCACGCCCTCCAACCTAGCCATCAGCGGACACCACCTCTTCACCAACACCACCACGCCCTTCTTCACCCTCAACACAGACGCCATGCAACTCGGCGTTGCGCCCTGCGCCAAGAACAACTCTGTCAGTGCGCCGACTAGCGCCGTCAAGGGACAGTACGATCAGGGCTTCGGCGCTGTGGCGTGGCTGAAGCTCACGGCGAGGAGTGGTGCAACGGGGAACCTAGAAGAGGTGTACAGGGTTAATACTGCGGGGGGCAATCCGCCTGCTACTTGTGCGGGGATGCCGGCTACGTTTGAAGTGCAGTATGCTGCTGAGTATTGGTTTTACGAAAGCGCATAGATACGACGATACTATCGATAGAAACATGTTCTTCTCTTGCCCCCGCGCCAGAATTTGGGATGGGCGTTCAGGGGCTCCTAGAAACGGCGGTTTGGGTTATTGGTATTGGTTTTGGTATTGGTTTAGGAAATTGGTATACAGCGGGGCAAGTTCAAGTAATGCTTAACTTAAAATACACTATATTCGCGTTTCAATCTTGGCTTTTTATTCATCATACTATTCTTGTCATAATTATAACCCGTGATGTGACTGACCTCTTATAAAAGCGGCCCAGGAGATTGTTCGCAGAGCCGACTCGCTCAACTCTAACTTTCATCAGCAGTGCCTTCCAGAGTCATTAAAATCCTGGCGTGAATGTGCACAATCTATGTTTAAAGTCAATCGCCGCGTCGCGTGCTTAGAAAACAAAGGACTCGACAGAAAATGAAATAATAAACTCATCATTGTTGATCAACACGGCCAAGAAACCCCTCCTAGCCGTCAACGCCCATCCATCCATCGCCATCGTCATCTTCATCTTCATCCACATCCCCATCTCCCTCCATCAACCTCCTTATCAACTCCTCATTCGCCTCTTCAAAATCTAAACGTTCTTGTTCCTCGCCCGCAGCTGCTAAATGTCTTGCCATAGCTTGATCAGCTGCGTCTATCGCTGCGTGATCGTCGAGCATTAGACGGGCGGCTAGTTGGCGACTTAGCTCGGAGTCTGAGTCTGAGTCTGGGGGTTGGGCTAGGGATATTTCGCGATCGGGGGGTATGGGTATGGGAATGTTTGTACTGCCGAAGCTGTTAGGGGGTGGATGTGGATGTGGATATGGGCTGGTTGTAGAGGATGCTTGATGGGTGGCGAGTGCTGCGTTTACTGGCCAGCATGTTTTGCTTATAGAGTCTGCTGTGTAAACGGAAACTGCGCTGTTTAGTGGCATGCGTGAGCGGGCGCGACGCGCTTCTTCTACTTCTTCTTGATGCTGTCGTTGGCGCTGTCTATTGCTTGGTTGCTTTGGCTGGGTTCGTTCGCGGCGAGTCCGATCTTCTCGAGCCCTTGTTTCGCCCGCTACTGCTCTGCGATTCCGAGAATTTGCTTCAGCGCCTGTCTCTCCTCTACGTCGACGGTTCCTTGCCTGTCTTTGCAACTGGGCTGGGGCTGCTGGCCGATCGCGGGTAGCTCTACCAAGATGACGGGTTGCCTCTTCTTGGGCCGCTTGAGTGGCGATTCGAAGTCGACGGGCATGTGTTTCCTGAACTCTCTGGGCTACTCTTTCGGCTTGGAAACGATATGCTTCTGCTTCGAGAGTAAGTACTCGAGTGGGGTCATACCGTCCTTGTTTGATTCCTCCCATGGCCATAAATGGAATGATTCCCCATCTCGCTGCTTCCTCGTGCGTAGCCTGCCAGTGCGCATCCGTCATGTCGTATCGCACACTAGACTGTAAGCCGACATCTACGGGCCAGTCTACGATATCCTGGAGCCCTTGTCCTATCCCCAGCATGGCATTCGCCCAAGCCGGGCCATGCCCATTCGACCCAGCACCCCCATTGCTAGCGTCGAAGCTTGCCCTACAAGCTCGGCACTCACAGGTATAGTAATACAGGAACGCATGCAGCATCTCGTGAAGCAGAGTCGAAATATAACAATGTTCTATACGGCCAGTATACTCATCTCGCTCGATATTCAGCATAATAGTTATACGCCCCACCGCCCCTCTACAGCCATGGAAATGGCCTTCCCGCGTCTCATCATGCCCCAGCCGGATATTCTCCCTCAGTGGCTTCAAGCCCCCACCAAAGAACGCCGCGTTAAAGATATCGAACCACGTCTTCAGCATGCGCAGAATGGCGCGCTCGTCGCCGTTGCAGCGCGGGACGCTTGCCTTGAGGGTTTGCACCTGCTCTGGGAGGAGGTTCCTGAGTACGTTTGCGCTCGCAGCGGTGCAGAGGGTTTCGACGAGGTGGGTTTCTTTGAATCGGCCTGCGGGCGTGTCTCTGGCTAGATCGCGGGAGAAGCGAGAGGGGTCGATGGTGGGGTGGACGCGGTTGGATGTGAGGTAGAAGGGGGATATGACGCCGAGGATCCTACCGCGTGAGTTGCTTCCAAAGGGGTTGAATGAGTTTATGAGGGACATTTTGCGGGCTGAAGGATGGATGAGTTGGAGAGGCGTTAGTTATTATTAAGTTCTAAATGTCCTTTCTCTAAGAGCCAACTGACTTCGATATATAATACAAAAATTTCATGTTTCCCAACAATAGTCTTATAGTACGACAAAGAGAACAGCTACCTTAATAGCCTAGGAAGCACTGAACCTTTTTTTTTCTTTATCATATACCAGTACTAAGTCTTCAAGACAATGCTCCTGTTCTCGAAAGTACTTTACCTAAATGGTAATCAATGCCTTGCCCCGCGGCCTTTGTAATGAGATAGTAAATCGCTGTTGACCAAAAAAAAAAAAGGGGGGGGGGGGGGGGTACTACTAATTGATACTATTTGTTAATCACTCAGCCTTGTGGTTGGATTGACTTGGTAGTACTGTACTTGACAAGTAATAGATGTGTTTAAACAGATGATACAACATAACATGACATGGCATGATATAATATCACTAATTAACCAATACCAACGCACTTGCACACTTGCACCTATAACTCAAAAGACATACGTCTCACAATAGCATTCACCAAGTACAACATACAAAGAGTGGAAAATCTTATGACATGCCAAAGCTTCATTCATACACGGCGTGCGTGTATGCATGTGTATAATCAATTCATGAATCAAATGTCTATACATGAAATAAAAATTACCTTAAAAGTTGTATATCATCCAAATCAAATCCTAATACCCAATTCCTAAGTAAAACGCCTCGTATCCTAAATCCAATTCTTTGTGGGTATAGACGCCTCTTTTCAAATCCAACCACTCGATTCAATTCGCTTATATGTAACAGTCCTCCTCTTATATACTTGACCTCTCTGGGCACTTATTTCCTCATCCATCCAAATTTACCTATAGCAGCCAGATCGCGACAACCAAGACTAAGACCAGCATCCCTGTATGACTGCTTGATAGGGATTCGGCACCGGATGATTTTATAGGGGCCGCTAGACTCGCATTGACGAATGTCGGGCCGCATATCGCATTAACCTGCGTCGCAGCCTCTACATAATCACTCGCGAGCGCACCCGTGCGATCAGAACTCGCCGCCTCGAAAACAGCCATTGTCTGCTGCAGACAAGTATTGCACGTCGGCATACTACCGCCAGGTAGCGTGACGTTGAGCGGGAGGTGGTAGATGAAGCTATCGGAAGGGTTCGAGGAGTTGGTGATGGCTTCTGCGAAGCAGTATGCGCTTGTGCTGGGGTTGCGCAGGCAGGAGGCTGTGTACATTGGTTTGTAGGCTAGGAGACCCAGTTGCGCGGATACGATGAGGGGGTTCTTGGATGTGAGATCGGAGCTGCAGCCGGAGGTGGAGGTGATGTTGGAAGCGAAGGAGGTCATGGTTTTTGTGCAGGATGTTACGTTGGCTGCGCATGTCACGTCGAGGGTTTGGGACATTTTGGTGATGCTTTTTGCGGCTTGGAAGAAGGATAGGGAGTTCTGGGAAGGAGAGAGAGGTTAGAAGCTATAGATAGGTATGCAGCAGGTCTAAGTGAAAGAGCTTACTTCAAGTAGGAGAGAGAATGGCAGACATGATTTGAATGCCGCATTCGCAAGCATATCATTCATAAATGACGAGCAAGTGGTTGTGATATTCGAACTAAACCCACTGTCGAAAGGGGTTGGTACTGAACTCATGCTGGCCGATGTAGCTGTCGCGATGCCAGCTGCCGCCGACGTTGTAGTCGTCGGCGAAGATGAAGATTGCGCGATCGATTCTACTGAAGCAGAAGAGGAAGTAGAATCATCGCCAACCAGATCGTCACGACGACGAAGATCGTTTGCCGAAACGCCGTAGTCAGATGCAGCGTCTAACGGGGGGGGATACGGGGATTGATCAACCAGAAGAACTCCAGACTTGGCTAAGCGCTCCAGTGCTGATCCGATGGACTCTTGAACGTCTAGATCTTCGCTGGGCTCGACCAGTCGTTCTTCTATCTCTGAATACAAAGAAGCCGAGCAGAGCGGGAGACAAGATATGAAAAGTGTAAGCAAAATTAAATGGTATGACAAGACTGAGCGACGCCGGAGAAAACGTGAACGTGGATGTTTGTTTCTAGATAACGGGGTGGACGAATGGTGCGACACCGGTTGTATTGCGGTTGTGGTACGAACTGGTGATCTCGACGAGCAGGTGAAAGAACCATGTTGCGATTGCCTTTCCTCCTCCATCTTGATACAGTTTGGAGGAGATCAGATAGCGCCTGTCGAAGTTTTGTGTGTTTCTACAATCGTGGTTCCAGCATTACTCCGCCGGCAGTCCTGCTTCCCAATCTATCTCGAACTCGTAGAGTGGATGAGGCAGGTCCTGGTGGTCCAGATCTTCAAGACAATCTTCCCCCGAATGACCAGACCAACGTCTTCTTCCCGTCCGTCTTCCCTTGGGTCTTTTCTTCCGTGGTCGTGGGACAGTTCATATAAATAAAGTAGTTGTATAATCAGATTTATTTCTGGTCGCCAGTCGTGGATATAAATAGAAGGAACGTGTTGCGGAGAACCAAAGACAGGAACGAGTGACTGTAGTTGGTATGGGCGGAGTAGTCGATGCAAGGTATATACTATCTGGATTAAAAGGATGATCTGTCGAGAAGAGTTACAGTAAAGGCAGAAGAGCCATACACATAGGTAGCGTACATTAAAGAAGCATACAATAAATACACCACGGCACCAGAGAGATGTTCTCGGGGCCGGGCAACCTTTTGTCTGTGGTTGTCTGTGGTGCCTGTGGTCCCTTGTCAATCTTAGCCCCAGGACCCCAGGAACGGGCGCCTTTTACCAGCGTTTGACTGTTGCTGACCAGTGACCACATGTTACTGACTGTACCACCTGGGCCTAATCACCAAACGGTCCTGGCGCCACGATGCAGCCCAAGTATTGAAATTGAACGCCTGCCGTCTCAACGAGGAAGGCCATAGAGAATAGCCAAATGGTGATATAGCCGGGTAATGGTTTTGGTATACCGTACTTGGAGACAGTGTGGGTAAAAGTCTCATTCCTCACCAAAGTTACTTTGTCTCTCTCTCTCTATCTTTCTTCTTGTCTGTTTGTCTTTCTGTCCTTCTTCTACTTCCTCACTACTGTTGCAACTGGTGCGACTCTTTCAGGAATAAGAGCAGGCACACACGCACGATCCTAGCCCATCACAAACCGCACTTGGCGTTTTACCCCTGTCAGCCCTCCAGATCTAGACCGTGTTCTGTGCCCCGCCCCCCCCAAATGGCCTCCGCCTACATGCAGCATAGCGTACAAGAGCCGCGTGCCCTGGTATCGCTTTGCCGAGATGAAGTCAATGGAACCAGCCCAGCGTCAAAGAAAAGGCAAGAAATAACAATAGAGGTCTATATTTGGGAGCCTTTGTTAATAATTGCGCTTTGATTTTTCCCTTTCTTTCTTTCTTTCTCTCTCTCACAAAATGCCACAAAATCTCTCACCGTGCGGAGTCCGGAACATTTCGAAGCAAGGCAAGGGACAAGAAGAGAAGCAGAAGCATAAACGGCGCATCCGCATTCCATTCCACGACATTTTCACACTAACCACATTAAACAATCAGACATTGCTTACATATATATCTGCACAAAGCATACCATACCCAATAAGGCTGAGATATCATAACTCTATGCATTATTTATGCCCTCCTATTCACTCGCTCTATCCTTCGTACTTGGTATACAGTATCTTGGGCCCAATCCAAAGCCTTTCTTTGCAAGAACACAACACGCGGCAGGAGCAGAGTCGCAGGCGCGACGTGAATATCCCTTGCTACGCGCCAAAAACAAACGCCACCAATATTTCTCCCTTCGATAGTGTGGTAACTCCCAAGCCTACTGTACCGTCACCGAAGGCTTACTCCATATATACCTAGGTAATTATGGATAAACAATCATAGGTAAATGAATGCTGCGATAATTATCAGGTGAAGACCAGATTTTTAGGGAGGCGGAGGCGTTGTCCCTTTAGATAAGGTCCATGACGCGGCCCCATACCAAAATACAAGGCCTTCTTCCAAAATGTCATTGTGTGCAAGTCAAGGATACCTGTATAGTATACGGCACAACGGAAAATCAATTTCTTACTGCTCAACTTGAACCAGATTGAAGTCGACATTACGTCTCCACTAGGAACTTCTCAGAAGCAAAAGAAAAATACCGTACACCGTCTTCCTCTCTCTATGCAAAGTTGCAACTTGCAAGAGGTCCGTGATCAATCAGTCAATCATATAACTCCCCCCCCCCCCCCAACCAACATCTCAAGAACTCCCTTGCTTCTAAATTTGAACTTTCTCACAAACTCCAATCTCCATGTTCCTGAGCTTATTTCAGGTACAGGACAAGAACCAGGGTCAGAACCGAAACTCTATTTTCCGGAACGCACGGGTAGGGCATGTTCCTTGTCCTTGTTTTGTGAAGTGAGGTAGGTATAAACCTGGTTTCTCTCTTAAATACCTTCCTTCCCTCACGCCTCCCCTTCTACTTCCACTTGGACCCCTCGACCCATCCCTCAAACCCTACAAAGATAGCCGGCAAGGCCGACTCTTCCATGCATTTGGTCTGAGATTCCGCACTCAGGCCCAGGCTATGTATATGTAGTAGGTAGGCACGGGATCTCCGGATGTTCGAAGACGAGCCACAAGCGGACTTTGAATCAGTCAATGTGTATGCATCGAATTGGAAGAAGAGTAGCTTGTCATGCATGTGGAGAGGAGATCTAGATCAAAAATGACATGCCGTGGCAGGAAGATACTCGAATGGGTTGGCGGTAGATGCATTATGAGGTACAGTAGCTTTAGATGGGAGGACTACTGACATATGGTGGGTGCACTTGCAACAAGAGAGACCCAGGGGTGAAGGCCCATAGTTTGAATCATTCGAATAGTCGCTATACACACATATATGTCCTACACCTAAACGCCAAATCCACACACACATCTCTCATCACCCATCTAAACACTGGCAATCGCCCACCACGCCCCCTCTCCCCATCCCACTCAACAGACTGGGACACTTAGCCGCCACCCGCCCATCAGTAGCACACTGCATCAGCAAGCCCCAAACCCGCTCCACCGTAAACCCAAAATATGGGTTATCCGGCCCATCCCGCGCCCCGCCCACATACGTCTGATTATGAATCCACCCGTCCTTACTCGTAATCATGTCCAGCAGGTCGCCATATATATTCTTGCTAATCCCCCTGATCCGTCTCGCGCTGGCGATGAACTGGCCTTTGTAGGAGAGCAAGATGGGTGCAGAGGGGGAGCAAGAATCGCCGTAGACCTTCTCGTACAGCGCGGGGATGGCGTCGTATTTGTCCTCCCAGCCCCAGCGGTCGCCGCACGTCTCGCAGTCGCATTCCACGCCTGTGAAACCAAGGCTCAGCATGCCTGTTTCGGGGACTAGGTAGTCGTCGATCCGTGGTATGAGTTCGCGCATGTTGTGGGCGTGCGCTTGGATGAACATTGTTTGTTCAGCTAAGCTGTCCCATTCATGCACGATGTGGTGGAGATATGTAGCTCCTTCTCGGCCTAGGTTTTCGAGGAATTCGACGGTATTGGCCCCGGTGCTTTCTTTGAGCTTGGGCAAGTCCGCGGTCTTGTCTTTGGTGTAGATTATAACGTTTGGTTTTAGGTTTTTGAGCATGGCGGTGCCTTTGACGGCTTCGAGCATTCCTTTGACTATTTCGGGGTCTTCGTCGTACATGCTTACGACGATGTCGAAACGTCTTTCGGGTGTGTAGGCTAGGTCGAAGGTGCTGGGTAGGCTTTGGTTGACCGAGTTGACGGATGTAGATGCTAGGAACGAGATGAAGCCCGAAGAGAGAATAACTGCTACAAGTAATACGAGTCCGCTGAAGACGCCGGTCGGTTTTCGAATCTCAGAACTTGGTGACTTCGAGAGTTCCTTTGAGGCATCTGTAGCCTTTACGACATAGCCGTGGATCCCGCTCGCTCCAGCTAGCACAAAAGATGCGCTTAAATACGCAGCTATCTGTATCCGGGAAATTACTGGCACTTGATTTGAGTATATAGATGCCAACAGAACGAGGATGCTGGATAGAAAAGATACTATATGTTCAGTGCTGTGCAAGGGGATATTTGAAAAACGAGCCTTTGAATCTTGAAAAGATATTGGCGAATATGCCAACAGACTGGTTCCAGAAAAGATTGCACCAACGATGGATGAAATTTGGACGACTATCAACGAAATAGTACCCGATGAAGTTGGGTAGATAGACTCAATATGCTCAAGGAAGTATCCAGAGATTCCACTGAATAGCATTCCGAATAGAAGAGTCATGCTAATGAATCCATGGTAGGCTTTGAGCTTTGCCTGAACGGCAAGATCTGAGCCGGATCTCTCAGAGCCAATAATGAAGCACCCTCGAGCGAGGCCGATAAAAAGAATGCCCAAGACGCCCCAAATCAGGCCCGGAACCATAAGACGATATTCGTTGTAAAGGACTACGGCAGATGCTCCCATCGATATCAGAGCCTCCCACGGAAACCAACTTTGAGACCGGGATTGCGAACAGCATGTGAAGAGGACTAGAGATTCTGCTGCATATGTTAAAGGCTAGTGTGATTAGCTGCAATTCCTACTTGATGGCATGCGCTACCACTCACAAAAAGCATAACTAGAACTGGAAGACTAGGCATGTGAAGTAGCCCTTCGAGCAGCATAGGCAATGAAGCCGCAGCTGCTACCGCCGCAGGTATCATCACGGGGCAATGAAAGCTCAATACAGAGCCATTACCGCTTGGTTTCCGTATGCCTTGCAATATCCTTGCCTTATTCGCAGTGGTAGTAGAGGAGTCTGAGCCCATTCGCAGGGCAATGATGTATACAACTCCCAACACCACATAAGATTGGAACGCAATCGTGAGGGCTATATGTAGTCAGGAAATGTTCGAAGGAAAATTTTCATTGGTTTTACGTACGGTAGTCTGCGAAGTGTTAGTACAACTCGACAACTGGAGGTGATATTCTTACGGTATACATGACTGATCATAAGTCGTTTCGTTGTATAGATCGCGGTAGCAGAGCATATCGTCCAAATGCTGTATGGTTAGACTTATTAGCCCCGTCCAGATGAAATCCTCAAATCTGTTTTTCACCTACAAAGCTCTCATAGGACTTGGTTCACTTCTTTCCAGGTCCTCCATTTCGTCGCTATGATAAACATTCTGGGCTTCCGCGTCAAATCCGCGTAAAGGAGCGAGTTCTCTCGTTCGCGATTCAGCGGATGTCATCGTTCATGTTGCCATCTGTTTGTTGCTCGCCATGAATTCGTGTCAAGAATAGAATCCATCCTCGCGGCATTGACTGCGTCGTGGCGCTGCGGGAGGCGCAATCTAGCGGTCGATCCTTGTAGTTATGAGCCCCGCCTTTTCCACTGAGTACAGTGAAGATTCACGGTGAGAATTGAGTGATCTGCTATGTCTAAGTACATGATTGGTTTAGGTGAACGAGTTGTGCTGTTGTGTGCGATGTTTGAAGCGCAGCCTTGACAGCCTACTTCGTAAAAAGTAATCAAATGACTTTTACGCCGCACGTAGTAACCTCAGCACCCCACCACAAGTCACCACTAAACTCGTCAACCTACATTTTGTTTTCAGTAAATCCATAACACTTTCACCCTTTAACTTCCCAAGACTATGTGTCTAGTCCTTGTTTCTATGAGGCCAGCAAGTGTATCTTCTTTGATCTAGCTTTATTGTTTGCAATGCTTGGGTTTTGCAGTTATATCGAGAAGCATAGTCACACGCTAAAATGTGGACCGTGCCGTGCCTACTAGCTGTTTTCAAGGGAGCCTGATAGTGGAGACTAGCTTTACCCCACAATTATATACTCCGCGCCACTTAGAGAGCCTACATCCGACGAAATACTCCGTACAAGGCTCTCTTACCTTGAGATTGCTTTTACGAGTGCTTTAGTCATCATCTTTCTTGCTGTTCTGCGGATTTACACTAGGGTAAAGAGCAGTACGCAGGATTCATTCGTTCCACGCTAAACAGTCTCCACTATTAGACTTAAAACAAGAGCGAGTACTTTACTCCTTACTTATATAGCCACCTGATATATTCTAGTAAACTTATAGATATCTTCACCCTTATATAATAAATTCTATATACTACTTACTATGCATATAGTAAGCGTACTTTAGGGTTTTAAGTACCAAAATTACATCCAGCTAAGGAGTGGTTGTTTTAATCATGTGATCCGAAAATCTCAAAAATAACAGGTTGGCGTTTAACAGACCAAAAAGTAAAGAAGGCAGCCGCGCCCCACCTTTCCGGATTATATAACTTTTGCACCGCCTTATTAACATCAATTTAATAAAAAAAAAGTTGGGCACTGTTTATTAGCTTCATATGCATATATTTGATTGATACGAATAAAATTATAATTGTGTTGTGGTGGTTGTGTCGGGATTGCAAAAGGGAGGCTTATTTGCGGGCTTTGGGTGTCACCCACTCACTGTACAGTAGTATAAAGTAGGTATTGAGGAAGATGGCGCTTAAAGATGAACATTACCTTTCTATACCATCTTAATCTCTATCAAGCACTGCCTCGAGAAGAGCTATCCTAAAGCACGAATATATTACTATAAATTATGATGATTACTATACTTATTCGAAGAATCAAATGCCCTTAAAGTCTCTCAACCTAGTGGAGCTAGTCCTGTGTGTGCCCCGCAAAGCTCGCCGGGGAACGACATCAACGTCCCCTCCCCGCATCACAGCTTCACATTGAGCTTCTATACGCAACACAAACCCCCGAAATTGCCTACGATCCGCTCCGAAATACCTACCTCAGCTTCTCCTGTCTTTATGGCTTCCTAGGACCATTTTACTCGCATGGTACGGCGTCAACAACAACTTCAAATCCCCACCTTCAAAGGACGATGCTGCAGAGAGTCAAGACGGGCCTTGCAGACATGAAATGCTCCAACCCTTTTGCGTTCGCCCCTGTGGCAGTAACGATTATTACCGCCGTTGTATACCTCGGTATCCTCATTCCACTTCTCGTAATTCACGAGACTGTCCCACCCGCTCCCCAAAACCCAACACTCTACGCCGGCCTCAACCTCAGCGAAGCTTGGCTTGACTTGGCCGAATTAAGCAACGGCTATCATCCCTTCAATAGTCGCAGAAACGATGAGGTTAGAAATTGGTTGTTGTTGAGGGTAGAGGGCATATTGAAGAGCAACGATGTTAGCTGGCAGGCATATGACGAAGCAGGCCTCACAGCGGGAGATGGCCTTTACGATACAGAGTCAACGGATCATGTCGAAGTCTCCCCACTTTACACCGCGGATTCGATTGAAAACCAGCCTAAGTCATCCCTCGATTCGATCCACGAAGACCTCCGAGCACGCTCTACGTCGCTAGCAGTAACCATCTTCAATGATCTCGTTGCCAATTACACAAGTACTGCCCTTACAAGTATAGGAGTTAGTGGACGAAAAGCTGGAATCAGTACCTATTTCGAGGGTAGCAATATCATTGTCTACATTCGAGGAACTGAGGATGAGGAAGGTGAGTGGTGGAACTCGGTATCGCATGGGTCAGCCTCAATGCACGGAAAAGGAGGAGTCATGGTCAACGCGCATTTCGACAGTGTTTCGACCGGATATGGAACTACAGATGATGGTATGGGTGTAATTACTACTCTACAGTTGATCAAGTATTTCACGACCGAGGGAAACACCCCAAAGAAAGGAGTAGTCGCACTTTTCAACAACGGCGAAGAAGATGGGCTCTATGGTGCCAAGGCCTTTCTCTCACATCCAATGGCAAAATTCGTCCATACATTTCTCAACCTTGAGGGAGCAGGAGCCGGAGGAAGGGCAACGCTTTTTAGAAGTACAGACACCGAGGTGACTCGAGCTTACGGCAAATCTCGGCATCCATTTGGTACGGTCGTCAGTGCCGACGGATTCGCTTCAGGGTTCGTAAGGAGCCAGACGGACTACATCGTGTTCCGTGCTGAGGGCTTCCGTGGACTTGATGTCGCTTTCTGGGAGCCTAGAACTAGGTATCATACCGATCAAGATGATATAAAGCACGCTTCTAAAGACTCCCTCTGGCACATGTTGTCAGCATCAGTCGAAACGGTCAAATATCTAGCCTCAGATACTAGCAGTAAATTCGCTGGGCCCCGTGGAGATGGTGCAAACGGAAAAGTCGAGAATGGAAAGGGGAGTGATGGAGTGTGGTTCGATCTATTCGGTCGTGCCTTTGCTGTCTTCGGTCTGCGAACACTTTTCGCCTGGTCCTTGACTTTGCTCATCGCCACGCCTCTGATATTGCTGTTGATCTCATTCCTCGTGGTTCGAAAGGACAAGATGTATTTGTTTACTGGATCAGTGAAATTTTCAGGGCACGAAATCGAAGCTGTTTCCCTTCAAGGATGGCGAGGTGCATTCCGGTTCCCAATTTCTCTCGTCGTCTCTGCCGCCATTACCGTGGGAGCTGCGTTCTTGATTAGGAAAATAAACCCTTTGATCATTTACTCATCTCAATACACAGTATGGGCTATGTCATTCAGCTTGTTTTTCTGCGTCCATTGGTTCATTATGGCTGGTTGCAACTTTATAAGGCCATCTGCGCTTCACAGGACCTATGCTCTTCTTTGGATGTTTCTACTCGGTTGGGCAGTGCTTGTCGCATCTACCGTCTTTGAAGACCGCTACAAAATCAGCGGAGGCTACATGTTCGTTTTTTACGAGGCGGCAATATTCCTCGCAGCATTTGTCGGCCTCTGCGAGTTATTTGCCCTTCCGACCAAGTCTTCGGTGGTCGAAGAAGCCCATGATGAGCACGAGACCAGGGAAGGACTCGATGCTGTGCCAAACTCGGAGGCTATTGCTCCTCAGCATACAGATGCGGGGGATAATGAAACGGCACCTGAGGATGCAACTGAGACTACCCCTCTTGTCGGTGGTAATGGTCATCGCACTGCCTTGGGAGCCACATTTGCAAGTGGCTATCGTAGATCATTGCAAGAGACGATGGATGGGGCCAGCGACGATCATAAAAAGCATCACACCTTTGGTGCTGAACAAAGCTGGTCAGGCGATATGCCTACATGGACTTGGCTTATCCAGTTCATTCTTCTCGGTCCTTTCATCGTTGTCATTATTGGACAAGTCGGCCTTCTTCTCGTCACGGCAACAGCTCAAACTGGTACTGACGGTAGTCCTCTTCTTCTGCCATATCTTGTTGTAGCGCTATTCTCGATTTTGGTCATCCTTCCTCTCGGGCCATTCATGCATCGCATCACGCATCACATTCCAACCTTCCTGTTCCTGGTCTTTATCGGGACCCTAATCTATAATCTTGTTGCCTTCCCCTTCTCGCCTCAGAATAGATACAAGGCCTACTTTCAACAAACAGTCGATCTTGACAGCGGTTTGAATCGTGTCACGTTGGTTGGACTCGAACAGTATATCCGTGACATCATTTCCGACATACCTTCTGCCGCTGGTCAGGCTATGGATTGCACAACCAACTCATTGATCCGCAGTGGCTTGAGCTTTTGCTCATATGAAGGTCTTGCACCACAAGTAGTTGAGAAGCTCCCAACTGGAGTACCACCCGAGAAAGAATACGACAGCTGGTTGACATACAACGTCTCCCGAGTGCCCGGCCAAAACAAGGCCACATTCCACATCAAGGGCGAGGAGACCAAGGCTTGTATCCTCCGCTTCGACGACCCATTTTCTGGCTTCGCAGTCCAGGGTGCCGCGAGCAACAATGGCAAATGGGATAACGTTCCAGAAAGCGGCAGTGACCAGATTAAACTCTGGCACAGAGATTGGGACCGTGAATGGGTTGTGGACGTTGAGTGGCCCGTCAGTGAGGGGAAGAACGAAGGCGATGAGGGACGAACTGGAAGGGTGGTTTGTTTCTGGAGTGATCACAACATGCCTGGAACCATCCCGGCGTTGGATGAAGCTCAGAGAGCTGCGCCGGGGTGGACGAGTATTGTGAAATTAATGGATGGCTTGGTTGAGGGTAGTAAGGCGTTTGTGATTTAATGCTTTGGTGTATGGATGTCGGTGTCGGTATCGGTCAAGCATGGCTGGTTTACGGTGCATAAAGTTTGTAGACTGCTGAGTACCCACCGGTTGGGATGCTGTATTGACCTTATTGCTAATCATCTGCACATGCCCCATTTAGTGAAAATTGAAAACCTTTTTATGTCTAATAAGTTCTGCTACAGTAGCTTCAAAAAACTTTCCAAGTAGTGCCTGCTTCTTTTTCGATGTCTCCCGATTTCTGGGTTTGGCAGGAGCAATGCTGCTTTCGCGCTTTCAATTTGTCAGTTTTCCCTTGGCGTTTTACTTTCGCTCTTTCCCTGTTGACGAGTTGTAGTTTCTAGATAATCCCTATAAGAGATAGGAGTCAGGGAATATTCGGCATGCTAGTTTCATTCTCCGTTTTCTGAAACGCCGTCTTGTTGCTATTTTCATTTTACTTGGGAGTCGAATGCTATTATAACGTTTCATTCTGATTATAGCCTTGAAAGAAACATATGCCCCCCCTCGGCGCGGCTCTTTCCACTTCCGTCTCATTTTCCCTCCTTTTTTTAGGCTGTTCTTCTATTTCTAGCAATATAATGTCGGAGCGGGAGATAGAAATCCGAGGACAACGAGTGCAACTTTTTGTGTTCAGCACGAGGGAGCCCCGTGGGGTGCCCTGTTCACGACCGTCGGCTACAATAACTTTGAAAACACAGTCTTGTACGAACACGCTCGATGGTCGAAGCTGTGTGTGACAACAACATCCTAGTGCTGTGAGGACTTGAGTTGTGTGCTTTCCTAGAAAATGTGATATACTTGCCCACCTATGAGCGTCCCATTTGTACGTCAAAAGTTTCTCGCATCCCGTCAAATCCTTCCAGCAGCTTCTCCTCCATAGGCTCAAGGACCTGCTCTCGCCACTGTTCTCTCCTCGCCTCAAATTCATCTTTCCTAAACTCACTGCCCCAACCGCAAAGCAGATATAGCTCCCTCAGCGTTCGTTCTGTCTCGTATCTTTCTCGTTCCAGGAACCACCATTTCTGCCCCTGTTCCTCCCAATCACTAGGAGGCCCTACAAGATCCCCACCTTCGCGAACAAAGCTAATGTCGCCATATAGATCTAAAGGAAGCCACTCAAGCTGAAGATACTTTGCAGTCCAGTCACCGAAGAAGTCTTCAGGTGAGAATGTTGGGAGGTTCGGTCTTATGCCTTCATAGTCATCAGCCATGGGCTCCCAGGGAATGACTCTCGCTGGAAAGGATTAGCAAAGCAATAGCTTGAACGAGAAGCTAAAGCAGTTACCTGTTTGAACGTCGTAGACTACGAAAGTCCCATATACTTGCCCCCAAGTCAGCACGAGCATGTGAGACGGAACTGTTCGTCGCCCTTGGAACAAATCTCGAGCGTCTTCAAACACCCCATCTTCATCGTCTGATTGTCGTAAGTAGCTGAGCTTCGTTGTATTAGACGCTAGTTGGATATCTGAAGCTTCTTCGGACAGATATGGAAGATGATACATTAGGTCAATGACCGTGCTGTTATAACCTGTGCTTTGCGCACGACTCGAATCAATGGCCTCAGTGACGTGCATCCCTGTTTGTGAAGAGGGAGAGATAATATCCGAAGGAGTGATATAAGAGAGATCAGAGAGGGTGCGGTAGAAGTTGGTAAGGGCTGTGACAAGGGGTTGATGAAGGTACGGCCCGGAGGAACCATCTCCCGCTAATGCCATCTTGAGAAAAGTTGAAAATTACGGCAAGGGTGATAATGTAATGATATGGAGAACGAATCCCTCGGGTGAACGTGGAAAAAAAAGCGAAATCAAAAAGATAGCTAGCGTTTGAGCCTCAGGCTTTCACAATTCCTGGCTCTCAGCTGCAGTTCTTCCACACTTGTGGTAAAACAGTAACATCAAGTGCTCCCAGGCCACGAAGGCAGAATGGACAAGAAGGCGTTTGCGATATGCATGCTATGAAAAGTCCCACAACTATTTCAATTTCCCGCGATAGATGGGATTGGCATTATATACGTTTGCCCCCAAGATATCTCTCTTGACGCCCAGCAATGCAACAAACCCCTATATTCCTGGCGCCAATACGCCCCCAAGTCTTCCTTTTAAAATCTGCAACGAGTTAGCTATGCTAGATGACAAACCTCGAAAGCAAAGTGAACATACCGTATCTCATAAGAACCAGCTCTGGTCATATACCTCACCCACTTGACACTCGAGTAATTACTCTTCTCAAAAACCTTCAAATATCTGACCAACAACCCAGAACTCGTAAACATCAGCAAACTAAAGTTTAAGCTCAAAGGTGGCCTTGACCATGCCTTCTGATTCGTCATGCTTGTCAAAGTCGCCTCGGCACTCAACACGAATTCGTTCTGTCCCGTAAACCGTGGAATTTTCCATACAATGTTGTTCTCACTGGGCTCATATTTAGCCTTTCCTTGCGTACAGCGTTCTGTAATTCGAGCCGTGTTTAGTGGTGTAGGTACCCGCACAACAACGTTGGTAGCAAACAGCTTACTGCCGTAATTCGCTCTGATGGCGATGCTGTATTCCACCTTCGTCGTGCCCATTTCCTTGACAATAGCATGTACCTTGAACGGCAGGTTAACATTCTCCGTGGCACGATAACGCATGAGTTCGAACTCGCCGTCTGGAGGAATGAACGAAATAATACGGTCCGTATCGAACTTGCCCAGCTTGACACATTGGTGAAATTGGCAGTCCTCTAGGGTGACGCTTCCCGCTGCTGCTTTGGTGGCTTTGGTGCCCATTCGATTCCCAGACGGTAAGGAAGAAAGACTGTCGCCGTCGAGTAGCAAGCGGTCGTTGAGCCCAAATTTGCATTCTGGAGTTCCGGAGAGATAGGCGCGCATGACGATCTGGCCATTGACATCTGCGCGCAGGACTGTACCGGTAGCGGACATTAGGAGGTTGACGTCCTCAATGACATCGACGAAGGCTTCGTTCTTACGGTACTTGACGTCTGCTTTTCGCCACGATAGTGCGCCTGTTGCTTGCATTGTAATTTTCGCCGAGTCTTCCATTGTCCGTTCCGACTTGACTCCTTCTGTCGTGATGTACATCTTAAGGGTGTCTGTCTCGGTATTCTGGGGGTATCCAAAGTCCAGGATTTCTACCAAAAAATCAGCGCACATTCCCATGCAAAGCCTCTATAGATGTTGCGCTATCCATGACTGACCGTCTAAAAGCTCATAAACAAGCACAAAATTGTTCTTCACGGCCTCCTCATCGAATTTCCCAAAATATCCCTTCCCAAGCGCAATCAACCTGTACAGGAACTCAAACACCAGCGCGGCATTGGCATTGCTCTTCGTGATCGCGACCAAATAAATATTTTCGTGCTTGACATGGCTGAACGTCGTACTTCCTAGTGTAAGGATAGGGGACCGGACTTGGGCATTGGAGATGACTTGGATGCGAAAGACGTCTGCGAGGCGTGGCCGACAGTCGTTGCGGAAGGCGCGGAATATGAGGTTCTCGCCCTTTTGGTTGAAGATGAGGATGCCGGACAGCATCTTGAATCTTGATTGTTGGCGGAGGAGGTGGTGGGATTATAGGTTGGTTGATTTGGTGTTGTTTTAGGAGGGGGCGTGGAGTGAAGCTTCTATGTAGCTCGGCAGAGCTGCCGCTTGACAACTTACCTATTGTTCCGGGATCGACTCAGGGGCCATGCAACTGGTCAAAACATTTTGCAGTTGGGACTCTGTCTCTCGACTTATCCTTTTCGTGAAAGTCTCTAAACAAAGTATACAATAATCATCATCTGGCATCTAGAGAAGCATATCACTGTGCGAGACCTCGAAATCTTAAAAGGGTAATCTGCTAGCTGTACAGTACAATGAGGAGGTATTGACTAGAGAACCCTCAAACAAAATGCATTAACACTCCCATATGCAACTTCCCCGTCTATTTCACAACCATCCCTCAAATCATATCCTTTCGTACAAACTCAGCATGCAACGTCTTTCCAAGCATAGCCGGACTTCGTTCTACGATAACACCGGCAGCCTCAAGAGCTGAGATCTTGGAATCAGCTCCTCCCTTTCCACCGCTAACGATAGCACCTAGTTGGAAGTGTCAGTGGAATCCCAGAACTATACTTTAGGGGAACATACCGGCGTGACCCATTCTCCGTCCTGGTGGAGCAGAGATACCAGCGATAAAGCTGACAACTGGTTTTTGTGCCGTGTTGTACTCCTTCAAGAATTCGGCAGCATCTTCTTCGGCAGATCCTCCAATCTCACCAATCATGATGATACCATCCGTCTCCTCATCTTCCAAGAAAACCTTTAAGCAGTCAATGAAGTTTGTTCCGGAGAAAGGATCACCACCGATTCCAACGACGAGCGATTGGCCAAGCCCTGCTTGTGTAGTTTGGTTGACAGCTTCATAGGTCAAGGTTCCAGAGCGAGAGACGATCCCGATACGACCCCTCTTGTGGATGAACCCAGGCATAATACCAATCTTACATTGTCCTGGTGCAATGATACCGGGGCAGTTGGGTCCAACCAAACGAGTCTTTCCTTGTGTCTTCAAAATATCCGTGATACGAACCATATCTGCCTTTTGTTAGAATCTCAAGTGTATATTCGACATCATCAGACGAACCGTGTTGTGGGATACCCTCGGTGATACTGATCCTGTTAGCAAGTTCTCATCACATGTAAATTGTGTAATACGTACCATACTACCAACGGAATCTCAGCAGCGATAGCTTCTTCAATACCCGCTGCAGCAACAGGAGGACTAGCAGATTATCTGTCAACAGCTGTCCTTTTTATACTTCATATCGAGGTAATCCTTACGGCACAAAGATGGCTGAGGCAGTAGCTCCAGATAGCCTCACAGCGTCTGCAACATTTGCAAAGACTGGAAGACCAAGATGTGTTTGTCCAGCCTTCTTAGGATTCGTTCCTCCAACTACTTGAGTACCTAGATTTCCTATCAGACATGCTTTATCTCATTGCGCTTGGGCGACACGTACCGTATGCGATAGCTTGTTCGGCATGGAAACTGTAGCAATCTGATCAGCAAAGAGGTCCAGACTCGATCTCCTATACCATCAAATAGCACACCTTCCCTGCTTGCCGGTGAAGCCTTGGTAGATAACCTTGGTATCCTTAGTGATTCGAAGGTTTTCGGCCGTCGAGGTGTATGCTGCGGAAGCAGTTGCGTAACCTTGTCGGCGCACTGCAGCCTGCATTAAAGGCCGGGCGCATCTTGAAAGGGCCGACATCGTGTCAGGGACAATTGATGTCAGAGAGGTAGAGCTGAGAATAATGGATTGAGGAGGTTTGTTTTGGGAGTTGTCGACACCTTGAAAAGAGAACTTGAAGCTCTAAACACGGGTCTCGGAAGCGGATCAATCACGCGGAATCTTCCGAGAACCCCAAAAATATTTCGTTCAGGTTACATTCAAAATTACCCCACTATTTCGACACAGTATTTTCCAACAACACGTCTGCGATCTACGAATTTCCTTGGAGCTGGAGTTTGGTTTGTTGTTGAGTAAACGGAAGGCAAAACATTACACTATGGCGACAATGACCGAAGTCATGACGGCGGAGGAGAGGCAGAGGAAGCCCAGAGATCCAAACCTACCCCCAGAGAACGAACGATTTATACGAGCTTGTTCAGATATTGTAAGCTTTCTGGTTCAAGACCATGAAGCTCAACAGGATTCATCCAAGCCCCGGAAAGATGTTAACTTGAATGCTCTGCGATCCAAGATGTCCAAGAAGCACCGACTGAGCAATATTCCACCACTTACTGCAATTATTGCTGCTATACCCGAACACTACAAGAAATATATCTTGCCAAAACTAATCGCAAAGCCAATCAGTAAGCCCTCGATCTTGTGCCTACACTGTAAGATTCTAACATGTTGTAGGAAGCGCTTCAGGTATTGCTGTAGTAGCTGTTATGTGCAAACCCCACCGGTGCCCCCACATTGCATACACTGGCAACATCTGCGTATACTGCCCAGGAGGTCCCGATTCCGATTTCGAATACTCTACTCAATCATACACCGGCTATGAGCCTACTTCCATGCGAGCCATTCGAGCGCGATACGATCCCTTCGAACAGGCACGAGGTCGCGTAGACCAGATCAAGTCTCTGGGTCATAGCGTGGACAAGGTCGAATATATTATAATGGGAGGAACGTTTATGTCTCTATCGGAGAGTTATAGGGATGGATTTATTTCACAATTACACAATGCGCTCAGTGGATACCAGGGGAACAATGTGGATGAAGCTGTTCAAGCTGGAGAAATGAGTAATATCAAGTGCGTTGGAATCACAATCGAAACTCGTCCAGATTACTGCTTGCAACCACACTTATCGGCAATGCTACGGTATGGCTGTACGCGACTTGAAATTGGAGTTCAATCTCTTTACGAGGATGTTGCACGAGATACAAACAGAGGGCATACAGTTGCATCTGTTGCCGAGACTTTTTGTCTGGCAAAGGACGCAGGTTTCAAAGTCGTCAGTCATATGATGCCAGATCTGCCAAATGTTGGGATGGAGAGAGATTTAGATCAGTTCAAGGAATATTTTGAGAATCCAGCATTCAGAACAGATGGATTGAAGATATACCCGACGCTTGTCATTCGAGGCACGGGACTGTACGAGCTATGGCGGACGGGACGATACAAGAACTACACGCCAAACGCTTTGATTGATATCGTTGCCCGAATCCTAGCTCTCGTTCCACCGTGGACTCGTATTTACCGCGTTCAGAGAGATATTCCAATGCCATTGGTCACATCTGGAGTCGAGAATGGAAATTTGCGAGAGTTGGCTTTGAGTAGGATGAAGGATTTTGGAACAACTTGTCGAGACGTCAGGACTCGAGAAGTAGGAATCAACGAGGTTAAGCACAAGATCAGACCATCTCAAGTCGAACTCGTCCGCCGAGATTACGCGGCCAATGCTGGTTGGGAGACCTTCTTGGCTTATGAAGACCCAAAACAAGACATCCTTATTGGTCTCCTACGCCTACGAAAGTGTTCAAAGACCCATACCTTCCGCCCAGAGCTCACCGGACAACCTACTAGTCTTGTTAGGGAGCTCCATGTTTATGGAAATGCAGTACCAATCCATGCTCGTGATCCCCGGAAGTTCCAGCACCAGGGCTTTGGTACCTTACTGATGGAGGAAGCCGAGAGGATCGCGAGAGACGAGCACGGTAGCAAGAAGCTAAGTGTTATTTCCGGAGTTGGTACCAGAGATTATTATAGGAAGTTGGGGTATTGGCTTGATGGTTTGTTGTTGCTAGCTCCTCCGACTATTTTCCTCAAGTTAATGTGAAATAGGGCCATATATGAGCAAGATGTTGAAGCCTAGGGACGACGATGATAGCGATGATGACTTCTGAAATCAGCAGCAGTTCACATCGACCTCAGCGTAAGATACGTTCTATGACAAGACGCGCTTAGTCTAAAATCCCCCAATAGAGACCAAAAACCAATTACTGGCCCGATAGATATCTGGAGGCTCCGCAAAGGATAGCAAAGGCGATTTTGCCTTTATTTTCAAGCTTGTATGCTTCGGATACACCAAGCTGGCCTGATCAATGCGGACGCCACGAGAGATGCCAACGATCCACCTACGCTTGACATATGAAAGTCAATGCTTTGGAGAAAATATTCTGCCAAACAATCCGACCTCAGGTGGACTAGTGGGATGGGCACGAAAAGAAGTAGAGTACCGTGGCAGGTTTAAATGAGAAGTAGAACCTATTCTCAGGTCTGAATATAATCGCCATGCAGCGTACTTTCTTTCTGTTTCCGAAATTGTTAGCATCGTATTTTGGATTTGCTTATTGCAGCAATGTCTGTAACAACTATATTTTCGAAACATGTTAGCCAACATAGTGGCTATTTCTACTTCATTATTGATACATGTCTAGCATATACCCCTAGCATGAGGTGTGCCATCTTCCTTCCGTAGTCGCTGCATGAGGTTGATAACTAGGGGTTTTGCGTTGCGTTGCCTGTTTACATTGAAAGTCGTTCCCGTTCTGCCAAGCTTAATACTTTTCAGTTTGGTTTCGTCTTCAGCATAGCGCGTTAACTTTATCGAGAAAACCGAATTATCGCAGTGGGGAGAAAGGGGTGAGCAGAAAGCAGAAGGGAGGTGAATAGATGGGTAACGAGATGGAATACAGCGCGAGAAAGGCATCGGTCTATAATGTGCCAGGCAATAACAACGATCATGACAAATGGGAATGGCAATGGTGGGAAGGTAGATGAAAAGAGAAGTATCATTTGCAAAATACAAGGGATTATGATCGGTGAGGAGGAAATCCATACTGTACTCGCAATGTGGAGAAAGCGAGACCATCTGTTCGCTCGCACAACAATGTACTCCTGGAGGGACGAGTGCACCTAGCTGGAATATTGAAATCCCCTATCTCTTAGAGGATCTTACACCCTCCAATTGCTCTAACACTAGCAGCTTTACTCGTACAAATACCCCCAGTTCACCAGTTCAAGTCTTGAGTCAATAATCACGTGCGCTTAAATTACTCGAGTAGTGTGGGGGCGGCGGAACAGAGTTTCATCTCGTGCTTCCTTCAGCCAGCCTTCTTTTATATCCACCAACCACCCTCGATTCTCTCTCACAATAAAACACTGCTTGAAATTTTCCCCATATATACTTCATGATTAACAGGACCAGCCCCATACAACTTTAGAGTGCAAGATGCATTATTTGATGGTGGATGACTTCGTATCGAAATTTTTGGCGCGGCCTGCAGCTGGTGGGCCCTCGAGTTCGATTTCACGAGACACGCGCGAACTACAACCTCAAATCTTATAACCTTCGACACTTAAGCTTCTGCATCAAGGCTCACATTCATCATGGAGGAAGATGGAAATCCTAAAACGCAACATGACTTGCCGCATGAGACATATGCAAGTAACCTGGGGTTTGCCTCGGAATATATGGAAGCTGCTCGAAAGAAGTATGATCCTCCAGAAGACGCCGCATCTGACTTCGTAGCGCCTTCTTATTATGGCGCAGGACGATCACCGTCTAGATCACTGACGCCGGAGACGCCAAAAGAGCCTGCGAATGTTGCGTCCATTGAAAAGATTTTCGTTGCACGGCGAAAAACAGGAGCAATACTTGATTATTATGAAAAATTTAGAGATGTCAATGATGCAAATTGCAAACGCATGTGTGGCGTAGCTTCCGAGCTTGAATGGACGCTGTTCTATTTGGCTCGTGACCTGTCCTGGGATTTCACTAGCGAAGGCGATCCTACTTTTGGTAGCATGATTTTGGAATTGCAACAATTCAAAGTACGGCTCGAAAAGCTACTACAACAAGTCTTGAAAGAAAACTCTACTGGCATTGCAAGTAGAGCTAGCAGACCAGCATCAGTCGTCTATAGCGTAAGGGCGAATGGGGAACGCAGGGCATCATGGACATGTTCTTTTCGGCAACATATAAGCTTGAAAGTTATGCACTCGATTGAAGAGCTCAAACATCAAATTGAATCTATCATAGATGTTCTGCATTCGTATGTCTCCTGTAGTTTTCCTGTGACCCTTCACAAAATCTGCAAGCTAATTTCACTTCTCAAATACAGAGATCTTGACAAATCCGGGCTAGAGAATCTTCCTGGAAACCAATACAAGAGCCGTCAAAACGAGAAAGCATATCTCAATGCTACATCGTTCTCGCAAGACTTTGGTTCCTCCAAGATATGCGATGACTGTTCGAAAATGTTTGACCTCCGGGAGACGTGGCACATCAATTTAAAAAGACACGAGTTCTCACCCAAGATTCGGTCAGATACCAGCGTCAAGAAGCTCTATGAGGCGACCAAGAATGGTTGTCAATTCTGTAGAATTCACCACGCCAGACTGCTGTCGTCCCCATCAAATTATATTTGGAAGATCGCCCATGCGAAAGTCAACTGGTGGAAGTTCTGGGCTGAAAATGGTACACACCAGAAAGAAGACGACTGCAGCTCATTTTCATTAAGTAAGGATTTTGGGGTTACTTATTATAGTTCAAGTGGGACTAGGTACCCAAATAACCTTTTTGTCACCAAAGATGTCTCAAAACAGGAAGCAGGTACGTCAATCATATTATTGAACGCAACCCGCCTTCACCCCCTCAGCGAGCTAAATGCAGGACAGCTCGAGCTATAGCGCCTTGTACAAATTCGAAAGAGAGTTTAGCTATTGCAAAGTCATGGATACGGAATTGTCTAGGCAATCATGAGATATGCAACCGTATAGCAATCAAAGACATATACATACCTTCACGCCTCATTTTCCTCGGCGTTGACGATACGGCTAGACCCAGGGTCATGGAAAAAGCGCAAATCCCACTAGGAGTCAAATACATGACACTCTCACATATTTGGGGGAAATCTCGTCTCATATCTCTCACTACAGATAACTACAAAGAATACACTCGTCAGATCGCCAAGACTTCATTTCCGAAGACGTTTCTCGACGCTATGGAAGTGGCTCGCCACTTCGGCGTATTTTACCTATGGATAGACTGCCTTTGTATCATACAAGATTCCGTGGATGATTGGCAAGCGGAATCTTCTCTGATGTCTAATGTGTATAGTGGCTCTTGGTGCAATATTGCTGCTACATGCGCGGAGGATGGTGACTCTGGCTTGGTAGGCTTATTTCGATTCAAAAACGCTGCTGTTCTCTAGAAGCTGAGGAGCCGGGGGTAGTTTTGGGAGCCCATATACCAGCTCCCGAGACAGATTCCTGGCTCCTCGGCTCTCTCCAAGCCCTTGACTTCTTACTACGCTAACCGTCAGATTAGTACGCTGAGAGAGATCCGTCCGATATTCGAGGCTGCGTCGTGAAGAACCCAAAGTCGGGAAGTATGTTCAAGGTTGAGGGTGCCTCCTATGGTTCAGATGAATGGGAACAAGCCATCTCGAAGTCTCCGCTGATGGGACGCGGTTGGGTCTTACAAGAAACCACTCTAGCACCGAGGACACTTCATTTTGGTCGCGATCGACTCTATTGGCAATGCCCAACACAAAAGGCGTCGGAAGAATACCCTTTGGACCTACATTTCAATCGGATGCGCTATGATAGAGCCATTTTCCCGGGAGCCGAAGACGACGACAAAAGTTTCTTTGGCCCTCCCGGCTGGGCTTCTATAGTACACAAGTACTCAAGATGCGACCTGACCTTTCCGGCCAAAGACAAACTTGTCGCCATATCAGCTATTGCAAAGAAGTACGGGATTGAAGATGATTATCTCGCCGGCCTCTGGCGACAAGATTTGCTACTTCAGCTTACCTGGAGGGCCTTTACAGGTATAGCTTTCAAAGACACAGAAAGACCCTGGAAATACCAAGCTCCATCGTGGTCATGGGCATCTATTAATAAAGAAATCAAATATGGCTGGCGCGACAGCACGTTGACACGGATCCAAAAAGTCGCAAAAATCATTAGCACCAACGTTGAGCCAGTATCTGAAGATATGTTTGGCCAAGTATCGGACGGCGAAATTCGAATCCAAGGGTCCTTAGCAAAGTTTCAGTACAATGTACAATCTGTTCCTCGTGAAGGCAACGAATGGACGGTTTTTTTCGGAGGTCGGACGTGGCCTGATTTACACAGCACTTCAGAGCTCAACGCAATACCAGAGGACCGGAAAGTTCCCTGTGACATGGATTTTCCAGAATATCTTGATGATGGGGATATATTATACTGTATGCCTATATATTATGAACGCGATAATTCTTTGGGTTCTCAGAGTACTGTCCACGGCTGTATGCAAATCCCCCGGGCGGTTTATTTCCCTATTTGAGGTGTTTTCGCGGTTCAGGCTCCCAAAGCTCTCTTTTTAGATATCTCGGGAGTTCTGAAGCCTGAAATTTTCCTGGACCCCCAAAATGTTTCATAATTAGACAATGCTGACTCTAGAAACCTGCAGTGATTCTTGAACCGACTGGAATCAATGATGGCGAGTTCTACCGGAGAGGGACGGTTTTATGGGGGGGGAAACAGATGGGAGGGTCGGCAACTGTGTTGATCTTAGAAGATTGCTGTCGCGATGCTGAGAAAGAAATACCTTCGGAGTGTTATCAGTCGAGGGATAGGTGGAAGCATGGCATGCCGATGTACTCGATTACTTTGGTCTGAGGACTCATTTTCTTGGGTACCTCGAGAGTCAGAATGTTGTCCACACCCCACATTTGGAGTTCGATCTCTTTTGAGACTTCACTTATATATAGCACTGGCGAAAAAATATGGTCTTGGTAAGAGTGGGGAAAGTCTCATGGAATCGCATTCGCACAAGAGCGAACATTGGACGACCGCCGAAGGGGAGGAAATGACAAGAAAACACCCCGGAGTGAGATTCTGGACTCGAGCCTCGATAATAGCAAGGTTTCTTCGTCTTCTAACACTCTAGATCCAGAACACCCTTCCTAAGCTTCCACGCTGGCTGACATACCGAATATAAAATCACGCTTCGCTAATCTTCTTCACTTCCCCGGAATTTCCCTCTCCATCTACTCGAAGCCCCTGACTTTTCATCCTTGTCCTTAACATGGGCCACGGATCCCCACTCTACGCAACACAAGCTGCTCAGCTTTTACGCTTCGTACCTCCAGCTTTGCGGTACAGACATACATTTTTCTTTGGTTCTTCGATGGCGGTGTCCTTTTAAGATATTTTCATAGACGAAAATGAGGTATTCAAGCATGAAGTGGGTTCATTGGAGGAGAGAGTTGTTTCATTATTTGTCGACGATATCTTTGTATTCTTTCTGTAATTTTTCTGTGAGGTTTATGATATGATAAGATTGTTACCTGTATTTGTACTTTTCTTTTGCTTTAAATGAGGCTTACTGGAGAGGGCGTTTCCTTACTTGTCGATAAAATATTTGTGGTGTTTCAAGGAGGTTTATGGTATGATAAAATTGTTATGTGTATTTGTACCTTTTGTTTCGAGTAAGGAGTGTAGATATTAAGATAATTTTAATTCTTTGACGGGTATGATGATTCATTTGGATCTGAGCGATCTATGTCTATATGTCTGTCTATTTACGACTTGGAAATTGAGATGCTGAGTCTAGTGACTTAACTCGATGCATGAATGATGTCTGCAGATTTGGTCATAGGACTATCCAAGTCCTTAATAAACCCCTTTCCTCACCCTCCATAATTCGCACTAAATATCATGGCCTGTCCCTCCTCCTCACACATCCTACACTTCTCCCCACATCCCCAGACTCCGCACGCGATGCAGTTGTAGTCATCATTCTTAGGCTTGATGGACTTATCAAAGTCCTTCCATTTCTCGGGATCACATTTCCCGAGATCGTTACGTACGTCGCAGAAGGGGCAGGGGGCGTTGCGGTTTGTGTAGTAGTCTGTGGGGTATTTTGGGACTGTTGTCATGGTGTAAGTTGGGCTGTTAAAGGTTGACATAGTGCGCGTTTTTGGGGAGGTCAGAAGGGTCGTGGGTTTCTGGCTCTGTCTTGGGTTTTGATGGTTCTGGAGGCTTAGTTAGGTTTTATTGCTTTCCGGGATTCGGAAGGGGGGGTATTGGTAGAAGTTGCTGGGGTGGTGTGGCAGAGAATGGATTGCCAGGTAGGTATGGGGCTCTTTTATGCTGTAGCCAAGGAAGCTATGTTGTCACTGGAATTTTGCGACCGGCTGTTACTGCTGGCAGAATCACACAATGAATGTGATGTGGTATCAAGGCGAGAACGGACTGGCAAAATGGTGCAAAATGGTGAGTAAATGGTGAGGGGATATCTCGCTGTGAATGGGGGAATGTTGGGTTAGATGTGAATCTTAGTCTTCTTGATTCAACATCGATTGAAACAAGAACTGGTTTGCTGCAAATGGGAAAGCAACGGGGAAATATGGCGGCCTAGAGAGCCTTGAACGCGGGCACGCATCGATCCTGAATCACTTACCGCGATGGACGGTTCGCTGAATGAATACATGTGAAAAAGAGTGGGATACTCTGTACTTCTCTTGACATGAAATGAGCTTTAGGATCATCACTTGGTTCTGTGAGTCCAGAGTCATTCGCACTTGTACGAACCCTGGCCTGGGGAGAAGAATCACGTGTCGTGGTGCCCTTTTCCAGCTTGTATTCCGAGCTTCTTAAGTGAAGATATTGATGACTAGAGTAGCTGCTAACATTATCCATATCTGAGAACATGGATGTTAGTCTCTTCAGTTAACCTTTTAGGTTTAAGATAGTAGGACTGTCAAGCTCTGGACATAGGATTTTCAATATAACGGTCAGATTTAGTTTTGTTGCTATATTAGACGCATCGCTAAAGTGTGAGAACTTAGAACTATGGATTTTGATGGAAGAAAAATTGAAAAGACAAACTTCATAGATTTTATAAAGAGGATGATGTACCTTAGTAAGCATATAGTTATATCGGGTCACCTGATAGCTCGATTCATGCTAGTTATCGCGTTCAACCTTCTTAATTCCCTACCCACTTACGACCACTTGACGGGAAGAGTGTCATGTAGAACTAGCGCCTACAATAGTCATATCAAGCAGAGAGGACGGGCGAAGTGAGGGGGACTTTTGTATTTGCAAACACAGTTTCCAAGCTAGCGAGGACCCTGGGTATTTTGCAGACGTTCTTGGAGACGGGGCTGAGCATCGACAGGAGAAACAAGCACGTGTAATCTGTGTCACGTGGGCTAGTAGGCATAAAATCTCTGCTTGTGCAGCTCCTAGCTAGCTTCCTAATCAACACAATTGGGACCTTCTGACACTTTAACCGTATAGCATTTCACGTGTCTTGCCGCAGTACTCCGTTTGGTCTTGCCTATGGGAGATCTTCGTGATCGACGCGTCGGAAGAAGTCGTCCTTTGGTGTGGGTGAACCTTCGAGCATCAAGTAGGGTCACTACAAGGGTGCAAAATTTGATGCAGGGTTGCATATGAGTAGAAGTACGGAGTATGGAGTAGAAACAATTACTGATCGACAATGTTCCGGTTTCACTTGCGATAAGCTTTCACCAATATAGCCGATTTTCAGGGGAAAGGGGCTAGATAATCAGGGGCTTGCTTCAGGGGGATCTTAAATACTCCGCACATCTAAATACTCCGTAGATGGAATCCCGCGCCTATGATAGCCTTGACAGGTTCATTACTACCGCAAAATCAAGCTAGCTTTAAAGTCAGATTACTAAGTTGGAGCCTTGACAAGCCTTGGACTTATTTAAATTTAAGATCTTTAAGTGGCGCAGAATATATAATTATAGGGAAAATATTATGAGAGTATTAAATTTATATAAGCGAATTATTATAAAAGAAAGGAGAAGATCATCGGATGTTTCCTGTTTCGTCTGGGGAGGGTCGGCTTAGTTACCTTATTTCTGTGATCCTTGACCAAAACTTAGGACGTCCTCGAATCAGCGCTCGGCTGGGCATGACGACGCCCCCAGGATCTGGTGTGTAGGACCATTGCTGCTCGTAGGTAAATTTAGGAAGCTGGCCCCCTATTAAGAATACTCCGTACTAGCAGATTTATTTATTAATTGCTATTTTAAATTTCTACTATCAATCGTCAAGTAAGAATAGAGTGTTCTGGGATAAATTAGCGGCCAGATGTATAATATTTTAATACGGAGTACCGCAACTTGTAGTCTTGCTGCTATCCAGTGATTCGTAGTCGAGTTCTTCATGTCTCTACCCTTGCAAGCCTCAACGCAACCCTGCCTGTGCTTTCCGGGGACCTGCGTTAAGCTCTAACGGCTCTAAAACAGCCTGGATGTGCGTTGCGACACTTGAGGAGACTATTTTTAGTCGTTTTTTCAAGTGAAGATGTTTGCGATGAGAATTCCATATCTAACTTCTCCTAGCCGTTTTTTTATGTTTATTGGCATTTGCAAGTTTTCATCGCTTCGATTATATCAAAGGAATTAAGAGGTAGAGCAGTCGATTACGATCAACAGTGCCCCTTATACTCCACCCCCGTCTTGTGGATCAAGACCTTATCGGCCCTTGTACCGCTTCCAGCATTGCGGCAATTGTTAATTTCCTGCACGTTCATATATCATCGATGGGCGCCAAAAACTTTGGAAAGCTTTCTCCAACCCTCTATTCTCAACCAACGATGGGCGCACTTTCGGTCTTCGCATTGTCTCGGAGCAGGAGAAGCCTCTCCCTCGTTTCCTTGGCTCTCTGTATCCTTGCCACACTGGTACTATTGCAACACGATGAACAAGGAAGCTTTCTTCGCCCAGCAAGATGGGATTTACATGACATCTTACGCCCCCAACCAGAATCAAAGACTCAGAGTTTCGGTACCAAAAAACCTACTCAGCCAGATGCGCAGCGCGAGCCGGTGCCAGAGCCACAAACTCAACCCCAGATCATGGATCTTACCCATCTCGCGAAGTACGAATTGACGCCTAGCTTCACTTATAGCAGACGAACTATCATCCCGAAAGCCTCCAACGGCAAACGTGAAACGCTCACCAAAATGGAAGGAGAATACCTGTTTAATACCCCGCAGGTTCTAAATGAGCAAGCAGTGTGGAACAGAAGCACAAGCATTGATAGCTTTCCGCCGTTGACACTCCATGTCCCTTCTTCCCCAGAGGTCGACACTTCGATAATATCCTTCGGCATAGCAACCAGTGCCTCCCGTGTGCCCGAAGCATTCCCCAACCTTGAACACTGGCTCTCCAACACCTCTAGTTCCATCTATGTTGCCGTCTCGGACCCTCAAGAGAACGAGCTAACCGAACTACAATCACAACTTGAACACTTGAATATAAAAGCTACTCTCGCCAATTCTTCACTCTTCTTCTCAAACGCGTATTTCTCACTCATCAAGGAACTTTACGACGCTCGCACCGAGAAGACTGAATGGCTTGTCCTAATAGACGACGATACATTCATCCCTTCTCTCCCTACCCTCCTTACGCACCTGAATAACGCTTACGACTCATCCCAAGAACTCATCATCTCAGCCGCATCAGACAACATGGACCAAATCCGCATCTTCGGCATCCAACCATACGGCGGTGGCGGAATCTTCATCTCTGTGCCACTCGCTCGCATCCTCACCCAGCCTGAGGTTTGGGACTCGTGCATGAGCTCAGAGAGCGAACAAGGTGATCAAATTGTCAATGAGTGTTTGGACGCTCATTCGCCTGTCCGGCCGACTTTCGATTTGGGGCTTAATCAGATGGATATCCATGGTGATTTCGCTGAGCCGGCAGGTTATTTCGAGAATGGGAGACAGATGCTTACGATTCATCATTGGAGGTCTTGGTTTCATATTGATATGCCGGCTGTTGCTACAGTGTCCAAGGCGTGTGGAGATGAGGGCATTCTGATGAGGTGGCTATTTGAGGGTGATGTGGTGTTGAGTAATGGATATTCGATTGCTGAGTATCCCAGGGGCATAAGCGAGACAGATCTGCAGAGTGTTGAGCTGACATGGTCGGATGATGTGTGGAAATTTATGCATCACATTGGGCCATTGAGGGAAAAGATGGGGAGGGATCAAAAGAGGTCGTTTGGGATGGTGGAGACTGTCGTGCTAGAGGAAGGAGTGCGACAGACTTACCTCGAAAAGGCCGAAGAGATAGGAATGAAGAAGGTGGGCATGGATCGGGTTGTGGAGTTATTGTGGTTGTTCGATTGATCTTAATTGCTGCGTGGTTTCGTGGATGGGGTCTATCTGGGGTATAATAATTCTACTGGTATGCATCCTTCCTTTGGTAAAAAGCCGGTAATTTAACAAAAGGGACAGATTCACGCACCCACGACGGGTGCTTTCATCAATTCGAGAAGAGCAACATTCAGTTCGTGGTCATCACAACTTTCCGTGATGGAGCTTGTGACATTGTACGGCTCAAATGGGGTCAGGTCTGGCTCGCAGACTGTGTCTGGGGCGGGCAGTGTTCCATTTTGGAAGTATGCTCGAATGATCTTCGCGGTGCATTTGGAAGGCGCCGAGAGGGACGTGTGCTATATTTTGACTTAGCAGCTGCAGAAGGCAAACTGAGGAAAATAGAAGACGGGGAATGCCGGCCTACCCCGTATCCATTCTGCACCAGGATTATGGAATCTGGAAATCCCTTCGCATTCATTTGAGCACTCCGAAGAGGAGTTACGTTATCTGCTCTGTTGGCGATGAAAAGGATTGGGTGGCTTGTGTTGCCTTCAAAAGGTCCTGTTTTCGTCAGCTGCGAGACGCGTGTTCAGTGGGTCCTCGGGTCAAACCATCAAACTTCCACTTTGCCTGCACACTCCAATGCACGCATTCTAACCTCATTTCCGCCATGATCGCACCGACACTCTTACTCCTTATCATCAACCCATCAACATACGATCCAAATTCATCAACGGTATCATTCATCCAACCACCATCTGAGCAAAGGATCGTGGTTCCAGCATCCTCGCTTGCCTCGGCTTCTGGCGTCTCAGGGGTGGGATCTGTTGGGTCCCCGCCCTCTTGTACGCTGTACCGTGTTTCACAAAGCAATGGATCATCGAGCTTCTGGGTGGCGAGTTCCAAGAAAACTGTTCCATCCCCCTTTTCAAGAGCAGCAAGGGCGTCGGCAAGAGCAGGGAACATGACAAGCGGCCGATAAAGCGTGCTGCCAATCATCCTCTTCACCTTCGAGTATGAGACGATCTGTGGCCTCCCGCTCGAAGACGCCGTGCCTGGCACAACAACAGGATTTTTCCTGATATGTTCTAGCAATTGTGCAAGCCTGGTCTCAATATCTTTCTCTGAATCTAGATAAAAGGCGCACAGCTCCAGACCACCAACGTGACAGAAGTGGTAGAAAGCAGCCATGATTTTATCAGCATCCTGGATGAAATGGATTCCACGTCCAGCAGAATATTCCACGGCATCTACGTTCCCATCGTTTACCATTCTGCCGACTTTGTCCGGAAACATAGCAGCAAACGTCGCTCCCAAGTACGTCCCATAGCTGAAGCCCCAGTATTTCAACTTTTCTTCACCAACTTTCGTCATGATCTCAAGCATATCCCTTGCCACCGATGCAGTGGAGACGAAACTTCCAACCCCCAAATCAGATTCTGTGGAAGGTTGGAGAATAGAAGCACACTGCTGTGAGGATGCTGCAGCATGAGCGTATGCATCATACAGACTTCCTGGATGAGCGTCAAGCACGTCTACATCTTTAAAATTCCATATTTTAGAATCTTGAATGTCTTCCCAGCATGAAATGCGAGGGGTTGAGGCGCCGACTATGAGAATTAGTCGCGTGTATATATCGGGAGAGGGGTTACTTACCACCACGAGGATCGAAACTGATGATGTCCTGAGACTTGTCAGTTTGGATATCGCGGATATGAAAGGGTCATAAATACTCACATGGTTCTTGCCGACAACAGATTGGTAGTAAGGACCCAAGTGCTTCACAAACCAGATACCAGATCCACCTGGCCCACCTAATTTTCTTCCGTTAATATAATATTTGTATATAATTATTAGAAGTACATACCTGGATTGATAAATACAGGGCCCTTGTAATCCTTTCTATCTGTAGCATTGAAGCGCAAAATTGCAATCGCAGCCCGACGCTTCTCACTTGGATCTAGCCAATCCAGCGGAACCTTATCTATCAATCAAGCACTCTTCCTCGAAACGTTACAGGGCTCGACTACTCACATCAAGCTTCGCACAATCATACTTCTCATAGCAAGGTTGCCATTTAACTTCTGTCTTAGCCTCCACCTACTTCCCATTAGCTTCCGCATCCGCCTCCTCACTTTACCCCACAATCAATCAATCACTCACTTCGCTCCATCTCCACCCGCTCTTCACCAGCACTACCTCACCTCCCCCCTTATTCCTACCCAACTTCTCGTCATACCCCCATAGCCACAGACACACAGCCAAGACGATAGCGATAGCGATCTTAGACACGTGCTCTACGATTATGTGTAGCGGTAGCAGCCGCAGCCGCAGCCGCATCCGCAATTCCGGCTCACGTATACGGTGCCGCGGATCAACGCCCGCCTGCTGCTGCGAGCTAGAGGTCTTTTCATGCATCGTGAATCATGAATTCGTAAGTTTTACAGTAAGGGAAGAGCAAATGTGATCAAAAAAAGAATGTTGTGTTGTGTTTTGTATGAATAAGGCGGGGCGGTCAGAGGTGGGATGGGGATGGGGTTCGAGATAAGCTCACGTGATGGCGATCGCAGCATGAGAGGCTGTTTTATGGGACTCTGTGGATGCGGGAGTTTGCAGGGATCCTATGGTGGGTGAAGATAAGGGCAAAGGCTTAGTAGAGCTATTGTGGTGAGATTGGGAGGGAAGTGATGGTTTAACGCTAGGTTTATTTGCTAAAGACATCTACAATTTAGGATTGACCATGGCCCCCATGTCAGTATAATGTTTCGTAGAGCAATTTTGTTGGTTGTTAACGAAGATCGATATCTTGTTTGTATCATGACTTGGGCGAAGTAACGACACATCTAGTGAGCAAAGCGTCATTTTGTCATTTAGACATACTAAGTAACAAGCCAGCTTAAGATTAGTCAGAGAAGTCTGGGTTTTCACAAACACAGTTTTCAATCACGGTACTATTATTATCAACTTAGATGCTACTAGGACTGAGGATATAAGCTGTGTCTCGCATTTGCGAGACGACGAATGATTCAGTAATGTTATAAAGAATGGCTAAATTTCGAACTTTCACTCATCTATTTTAGGGTTAAACATTATAGAATAGTATGCTACCCTCAAGTTCTAACTTGGATCGAATGTGATGAAAGATAGCATACAGAGGCTCACAGGTTTACGATTCATTCGAAATAAACGCTTTTATCTATCCCGCTATTCTATCTTGACAACTTCTTCCTCATCAGCAGCAGATAGTTCGCAAACCGCAAGTGGTATACACTCAGTATTGTATATGAGACATAGGATCCATAGCGGGAAGATGTCTATTGCCACCGGAAAAATCCACAGACATGTTTTTGGACGGACGCACGCATGCTGATTGAACATACTGGCGCACTCTTCTCACTGGAGTACAATACATTATTCTTTCAGTCGTTGTTTTCTTCCGTATGCCATCACTGTGTTCATTTTGTCCTGAATCGTGATTGAGAAACAGTGGCTGCAGCGGAATGCTAGGCAGGCTAAAATCATCACAAAGATTGAAATAAACTGGCATTCGGGGGAACTGGGCAGGAGAATAGTGTTGAGAACCTTCCAGAAATGCCGATAATACCTTCATCCGTGGAGGAGCGCGGGCTCTAGCTTGATGTAGGCCTTCCTTCACCAGTCTTTCTGGCATCCCACGATGCAGACTGGCAGCCGTGAAAGGTAGCCGTGTGTTAAGGCCAAGTCTGTATTCGAGCTCTTGCAGAAGAGTCTCGGTGAATGCGAGGATTGCACCGTGAGGGCTCGGTGCCGTTCCCGTATAAGGACACGCTGCTATTATCTCCGTCCTTCCCCTTGAGCTAGAGCCTTGAGAGGATAGAATAGTACTGCCTGAGTGGCAAGAGTCGATCAATATCAAGACATCGGAGTTCATGGCCTGCAGTTTGACCTGGATATAGCTCCAATCAAGAAATGGCGGGGGCGACTGTTTTCCCCTAAGAGTCCAAGAATTTGTGTTAACGAAATCAGCTTTAAGTTTGACTGGCGGTAAGAGGAAGTCAACTCACAAACCATCTGCGTGAATCAAAAATCGCATGTTGTCCAGACGTATATTGCCATGACCCATGTAGTAAAAGAGGAGAAGGTCATTTGGTCCGAAATCCTGGAATTGAGACAAGGTATAATTCACTGCCACTTCTGGGGATAAATTGGTTAGAGACAATTCCAAACGGGTGGTGGTAAATCGATACCCCTCTTCGAATACAGAGGCAAGTTTGCTAACGAGGTATTCGAATTCTGGAGGCCCGAAGGTCATGAGGATGGCGTGAACTCGATTATGTATTGCCATAGCTAGAAATCAAAAGCTTTAATTGAAGAATCTAATAACTGTTTGTAAGTGTTCTAGATATTGAAGCTGAAAATCTGCCCTACTACAACTTTTTCGGTTAGAAACACTTAGACGCAGTCATAGTGACTCTTACTGACATAACGTAACGCAGTGACCTTTTGTACATCATATAATCATAGAACAAAATGACTGACTCGGTGATACACGAAGACACTGTAGCGTTTTAAGCTTATACCATCCGACAACACCTCATGTACTCTCACTCAACTAAACGGAGTTTGAAAAATAATGTTAGCCTGCAAAAATATATTTGCAAGTCCAAATAATTTCTAGCCAGTCTTCGAACATACGACTTAGGAAAGACCCAGAATGCCACCAAACGTGATTTGACACTTGTCTCCCTTGATGTAGGAAATAACTGGGATGTTGCAATATTGCATGTCATGGTAGAAAGGAAGGCGTTGGGGGTTATCGTGGCCCAGGAATCTCAGTGTTAAACAAAGTGAAGTTAAAAAATAATAAAGATGATATGAACTCAACACTTATTAACAAGGCCGTACTGAATAGTATCGCAAAATTTACCCTCATGATATTTATTGTACACAGAAGCTTGCTGTCCTCCATCGAACATACAACACAGCAAACAGATATGTTTACGACGAAGTACAACAAACAATGTACTTATCAACACATCAGTACAACAATTTCCTATCAAAAGCTACATACTGTCATGAAGCGTGGATTTGCCAGCGTTGCCATGGCTAGGAACAATCCAAAAGGTCGACGACTGGTGGTAAACCGCGATGCGTACAATTTGAATCATACGTGTCGGGTTGTGTAATCTTAGTTGAATGGTTTTGCGCCTGCATGATCAACCATTGCCTTGAAGGCTCTAGTCAGGAGGTAAAATCCGACGGTTGAATATGTGGGTACTCCGTTCAGTTCAATCGACATCAGAACCATCCGGTCTCGCTGAGCTAGACCTCTTGAATACGCACTGGCAATCATGGTATCCTGCTCGTAAGGTTTCCAAAAGCGCGCAATAACTTCTTTACGACCATCCCACACCTTTCGTTAAAGACTCCAAGAACCTGGTTTGCAGGCCCTCTTCTCCAATACAAGCCACCAGCAACATTTTCTGGAACCCTTCTACATCGCCACCATCCCATATAAGAACAAAGTCGTGATAAGTTATTACATCCGGCTGGCTCCCATGCGTAGCCAGCATCCAGTCGCTTTCTGACTTAGCCTCCCACAATTCGCCTTTGACCGTTAGAGGTAGACCCTGCATTGCGGGCACTTGGTCACAAAAGCCGTTCTTAATAGCGTAGTAAATCCCCTTGAGGAAAATGGACATTAGTACGGTTCGCCGCACGCTTTCGATGAATAGCCAGTCCCGATATGGCGACGATTGATTCGAGAGGGGAATTTCGAATTCGCCCCGCTGACGCAGACTCATTGCCCATGAGTCCAGGATCTGGAACTGTGCCTCTGCGATGCCTCGCTGGCGTATATCACCATCGAAGAGGCGAATGATCTGATACATGATAAGTGCTTGCACAGAAGCTAGCTCATCTTCAATAGAGCAATATTGGCGCTTTGAAACCAGCTCGGCTAACTTGCTGGAAATGATACCGAAAATTAACCTCTCATTTGCTGCGGTTTTGGCAAGGTAGGAAGCGCAACCACAGTACGCATCTTGTAGGGAGGGAGGTAAGTCGTCATTGTAGACGTGCTGGTTGATAAACGGAGTTTGCCCGTGCTGGACAAAGTCTGTGAGATAGTTCTTAAAATATTGGACACAATAGTCGAGTTTCTCTTTTTTTAGGTATACATTCTTTGAAGGAATCAGGGACGGGTCGATCAAATCATCGAATTGATAGATGGGAATGGGGTCGGTAGTGTTGCTGTAGGGTGGATATAGGTATTCAAACGCCATGTCAAAGAACCCATGTTGAGGAGTCTCTATCTCTACGCCACTGGCCGTGGAGTTGATTGCAGGCTTGCTCAGATGAGTGTTAGCCACTTATTAGCCACTTAGACATCATCCCAGCTACTTCCATCTGTCTCGAGGTCAAGAATCAGACTTACCCCAAGATAGTTACAAAGCACACCTCGAGTGCTGCAGCGAGTGCAGAATGGTCTCTGCAAATCACACCGTCGCTTGGCCTTAACGCAAGCAACGCATGATTTGCGACGAGTGGATATTTGTTGTGATGAACAACTCTCCATCATACATGAAGCTCTGGTGTGTTGTGACCGGAGGGAAGAGATGCGTAGTAATCTGATGTAGATTGCCAAGGCCAAGTCCGCAGTCTAAGCCCAATCAAGTAATAATGTCTCCGTAAGCAGCGGATTTCTTTTGCATTAGCGAGTGGAACTCCACGCTCAGCCCTATAGGTACGTAAATATACGCCTACGTACTTCATCAAGTCCATCATATCACAGCTTTCATTAATTAGTAATCGACAAGGAGTTGATCATAAGCCAGAAAGAAATCTTAAATACATGGGTATAGCCATGAACTTCCTCCAAACTTCAAATGTTCTCTCCTCGAACCACCTCGCTTACTCTTGCCAACCTTGCACTTCGTAACTTTAAACTATCACTTCCACTCACCAAGACAATGCCATTCACAGAACTTGTTCTTCCAAATCTAAAGGCTGGCCCTGAAGTAAAGGTTTCCTTCGCCGCGTCACTGCCGACCTCACTCAAATTCCTTGTTTCCCAAGAAAATTTAATTCGCGGATTTGCTGGATCTGTGATCAGGGAAAATGACATTAGTACTGAAGAGGAGACTAAGCCAGTTATTGTCCTTGGTGCGAGAAACTCACCTTGCGCGACTGGCCAATGCTAACGTGGTTGGTCTTTAGAATGGACCTCAGAAGCAGCTTTCAAGTCCTTCCTCGCCTCAGAGGAATTTGCCGCGTTCGTCGGCCCAATCAAGCCGCTTGCGGCTGGCCCTCCCGAACTTCAGCTCTTCGACACTCATGTAGGACCTTTGGATGTCGTATCGGTGCCGTTGACTGAGATAATTCGTATTCAACTCGAGAATGAGGCAGAGTCCACAGTCAGGGCTAAAGACGCCTGGTCAACTTTGGTAAAATCCATGGGTGGTGATGTTCCCGTTACTAGTGGGACAAGTGTAAATCTGAAGGACGGGGTCTTCATGGGAGCAATTGGATGGAATAATTTTGAGGTATGTTGAATAGAAATACCTGGGTTTTACAATCACTGAGTCTTCTTCTAGGTCCGAAAAAGTGCACTCGAAGCTTACCCGGTTCTCACGGCATTGTCAAAGCTTCGAGGGGTGGGTAAATTCTCTTCTATTGTAATCAAGGTCGAGGCTTTCAAGACGACGTAAGAGTGGGAAGGTATGCTTAGAAGAAAGTAGTGTATTATATATTGAAAACATCTCTCCTCATTTTATCAATCAACTTATAAACCTTTCAAATCTTGTCTAACGTGATGATCATTGTTTAGTTCACACAGCAACGCAACCGTCCAAGGCCATCTGCAACCCGAAAATTGATAGGCGTGTAATCAGACTGCTGCCAACTACTTCAGAATATATTGAATTCTTTGAATGAATTACTTCAAATAATAGGTAGGCAGTGCATACATCTAGAAGCTTTACTCACTTAAGATATGCTGGATAGCGACTTTGTTTCATACTTATCAAACGCGTCCATAATGTAGCTCTGCCACTTGGACAATAATCAAATCGCCTTGACAGTGCTGGAAAACATAGTGGCCCGTCTTGCGTTTTTCAAAATAAGCACCGCGGTCATCGTCCCGGGGGTGGAATGACAACAAAAGTTTGTACTTTGACGCTAGTCTGTGGAATTCCACTTCGACATTGCTAGAATGAGCGGAGTGGCAAGGCGCCACCCAGCCCTGTCGATCCACTTGATGATATGAAATCAATGCTTACAAAAAGCCCGTAGCATGGTATACTGCTAGTATATAAACCCCGCCCTTGTACCTACTGCGTTATTGCATTCCACAGAGATAAACATCGTCTATCAATCACTTTCAACTAATTTCTCTCCTACAACACTCACTTGATGAAATTTAAGAACACATCATAATGAGTGCACAACTGAAGTCAAGTCTTCCGCAGAAGCTCGTCGTGGTCGTCGGCGCGACTGGCGGACAGGGAGGATCTGTGATAAACAGTCTCCTCGCCGATGGATCCTACCGTCTTCGAGGAATAACTCGCAGCCCACAGAGCAGGAACTCTCAAGCTCTGACCGCAAAGGGAGTTGAGATGATCACAGCTGACCTCAACGATGCGGAGTCTGCCATAGTTGCTTTCAAGGTGAAGTAACCACAAAAATCGTGCTAAACTAGAGCTGATCATGTTTCAGGACGCTAACATTGTTTTCGCCGTCACAAACTATTTCGAAACTTTCGCGACTTCTGGACCAGAGGAAGCCATGAAGGTTGAGTATGCTCAAGGTGTCAACATGGCCAAAGCCGCGTCAGTGACAACAGGCTTGGAGCATTTCATCTGGAGTACGCTCCCTAATAGAAAAGCTATCTCCAATGGGAAATGCCCAGTCCCGCATTGTGACGCCAAAGCCCAAGTTGATGCCTTCATCAAGAAAGACAAGGCGTTGCTTGCAAAGACAACTTTCTTGTGGACTGGTTTTTTTGCGGAGACAATGCACCATCCGATGCTTTTGCCTAATTTGCTGGTATGTAGCTCTCTGCTTGTCTCGTACCTTCAGATTAGTTAAAGAATTCGAGTACGCTGACGTGTGTTGATAGCAATCCGCTGGTAAACATGTCTGGTTGCAGCCTTGCCCTGCCTCCACCCTCGTTTTTACCATTGGAGACCATACCATCAACATCGGCCATTTCGTGCACGCCATAATCAAGCAGCCAAAGCTGACTCTCCACGGGAATTATGTATTTGCTACTACAGAGGTTACCACTATGGGGAAACTCTTGGAGCATTGGAGCGAGGTTACCGGTAAGGAAACGGAGTACTTGCACATTACGTTGGAGGAGTACAATCGTCTCTGGCCAATGTGGGGACTGGAGGTCGGAATCGACCTGAAGTGCTGGGACGAGTTCGGGGCGGAGAGTTGGGCGAGTGAGAAGTGGATTGGGAGGGAGGAGTTGGGGTTGGGACAAGAGTTGGTAGGGTTTCGTGATGCGCTTGTGACTCTATTGAAGAGCCCGCACGACTGATCCTATGTTTCCATGACGGTAGCTTAGACAACAAAGATCTAGAAATCCACTAGAGTTTTAATAAAGTGCCTTGAGAGTTGAAAACAAGCGGTACCTAGGAAGTGCAAAAAGTTTGCACCCTGGTCTTTAGGGCTAACTTAGAAAAGTAACCGCTTGAATTATTTGCGTTAGATTTATGATACTTCTAGCTTCGTTAAGTAACAGCTTGACTTCTCTAGGATTAGTCTCAAAGACCAGGATGCAAACTTTTTGCACCCCACTGTGGGTAAAGCATTGGCATTTCGTACGAAGTAAAAGAGACGTCTTACCCCGCTATGTCATATCGCTTAAATTAGGGGGCCGCTTCCTACTGTACTGGTTTAGCTTACCATCGTACTATACTATAAGGGTAGAGGACCCGAGCCTCTGGAGATTACCTAGCGACGGATCGCTAATTTTTAGGGTTAGAAAGACGCTAAAAGCAGTGAATACAGTGCTGTACTAATTCTCTAGTTTCAGGGTCACACTCTAAATTTAGCCGCCGAAGAACGCGTCACGGCAGGATCAATCTAGTTCGTTTGTGACATTGTGTGATGCTTACTGTACTTTAAGGGGCCCTGTCTTATAACAGCGCAGAAACTAAGCTTAGATGCGACACCGTTGGGCCTAAGCTCAGGATACAATCTCATAAGTTGCCTACAGTATGTAGATAATCACTTGAGTACAGGTACGGTATTACGTTTCGCCGTTTTGAAAATTGGTGGAATACCCTACCTACCTAGGTACCTTACGCATAGTCTGACTTGGGAGACTCCTGCTTACACTGTAGGAGTCCACATAGTCAATTACACCATAGGATGAGATGAGATACCTTAATCCATTGTATACTCTCCGACTTATCAGTTTACTCCGTATTGGAGCGGTATTTGCAGCATGTGTCCCCAAAACTTTCAGCCCCCGATTTCTATATTTGGTTGGATCCGAGTTAACGGTTCCACCTTCGAGCTACAGGGGACTCTGCATTGACATCTAACCGTATGATGCCTAAATGCCAAGCCCTTATGCGGTGTATTTGTACCTTGCAGGAAACGTGGTTTTCATTGCGGCGTAGTCGTCTGCATTGACCCAATCTAGAGTGACTAGCACACGCAAACAGAATCCTTAAATGAGCCCTATCGGCCATTTTCATCATTTCGGAATGCGCCCCGTCAACTTGTGTTGGGAGTTTGAAGTTGGTTTTCACAGTCTTTTTCGCCGGAAATGTTGTTTCTTTTGACTCTTTTGGCAGCTGGCGCCAACGCCGCAGCGCTGTACACCAACTCAACGAGGCCAACTTCGACCTCGCAGACTTCGACCTTGACATCGGGGCAAACCGGCCCATCACCATGGTCTGACCCTTACTTCAGGAATCCTTTCGACATTCTGGTTTTGGATTCTATACCGGTAGCCAATGGCACTGATCCTGAAAATCTGAGTAATCCCGCTGTCAGTCAGATGGAAAGCGATTATGCATATTGCTCAACATTATGGGACTCTGCAGTCTCAATCTGGGCAAAGACAGCCTATTATTCCCCAGAGATTATCACAAAACGAGCTATCGCGACGCCTTCACCTGTCATTCTGACTACTGCGTCAGCAGTTTCGGTTTCTTCAAATAATACTGTAGCAACTCAGGTTGTTGGGGAAGCTGAACTTGCAGATCCAAAAACATATACACAGACACTATCCGGAGAACAGAGAGTTTTCACGTGGACGGCATCTGAGCCATGCTGTCGGGCATGTTCAATATATGGTGGAAGCGTTCAGGTCTTCTACTGGCCCACTGCCACACAGAACCCTCCCGTCTCAACGCTGATCGACTCCAAAGGCTTCATTTTGTAGGTTCCTCGACCGAAAGCATCGGCTGCATACTAATGATCACAGTACCTCACCATCCGTCTATGTTGCCTTCCAATCTGTACAAGCCTCCAACTTCTGTGGAAACATTGGGTTGAGAAACAATGCCCCCACACTTGCTTTTAATCCGGAGGAGTTATCAACATCCGAGGGTTTCTTTTACGATGCGGCAAAATACACTGCAACCCCAATAACTCCCTCTCCTGCGCAATACACAGAAGCAAATTGGGGGGATGCGTAAGTCGCGAATCCTCGCATCCTTTGATATTGACTAACAATGGGTAAAGAACGAGTTGTGGATGGACGACTACAACCTTCTGGCAATTACATGGTTATCAAACGAAATATTCGGATTTTGCGGCAGCTTCATCTGCCGCAGTTTCATACTCCGCGAGATATTCTACCGAGATCTTGCCAACTTATGCATCAAACCTGAGGGTCTCAGAGCTTGTTGAACAATATACCGTTTCGCACGACCCCTGTTTCCCAACAGTAACTATACCTAGCTCAAGCTTCACCTTGACGAACAAGGAAAACGGCCAATTGACTTACTGCGGAGGTGCTTTTGGTTTCTATGATCCGCCTTCTGTTTTGACCCGAGGGACAGGCTTTTCTACAGAAGCGACAACCACATCGGCAGCAGCTAACGTAAACGGCAAATTAAGCCCTGCTACTTCATCAGTACAACCAGGGGTTTCACCCGTCCCAACTACAGCAGCTATAACAAGTTCGTCGCCGGCCGCAACTGAAAGTATAATGGCGTCCTCTTCTGGCACGGCGGCCACTTCTGCAGCAAGTGACCCTGCCACACTTTCAGCCACGGTCAACACTCCCGCATCAGATAATTCGCCAATTACATCGAGTACAAGCTCTCTGGTGGCTGTTAATAACTCACCAGCTACTTCGAGTACAAGCACTCCAGTGACTGTCAATAACTCACCAACTACATCGAGTACAAGCACCCTAGTGGCTGTTAATAACTCACCAGCTACTTCGAGTACAAGCACTCCAGTGACTGTCAATAACTCACCAACTACATCGAGTACAAGCATCCTAGTGGCTGTCAATAACGCCCCAGCTACTTCGGTGGTAAGCAATCCCTCACTTACAAGCAATACTCCAGCACCAGTAACAACCCCACAAAACCCAATCCTCCTCACTCCAGTCCCACAAGCAGCACCAACCACCAATACTCCAGCACAAATCACCATAAGCAGCTCGACAATAGTTGCCGGCCCGTCATCAGCCCTTGTGATCGCTTCTCAAACACTTACAGCAGGCGGCCAAATGACTTACTCCAACTCAATCTATTCACTCGCCACGAACGGTGGTAGTCTCGTTGTCGCTGGAAGCAGTACGCAAATCCTCGCGGACCCTGCAGCTCCGGCTACCACTCTAGCAAAGATCACAGTAGGGAGCTCGACCATCACTGCGAACCCTTCGTCAGCTTTTGTCATTGCCTCTCAGACCCTCACCCCTGGAGGACAAATCACGCATTCCGACACTGTATACTCCCTTGCATCCAACGGCGCCAGCCTTGTCGTTGCATCAAGCACCACGCAGAACCTCGCTGTTTCCTCACCAGTACCTGCAGCGCCTTCTGCATACATCATCGGCTCGCAGACCCTCGTGCCCGGTGCTGCAGCCACGGTGTCAGGAACGGTGGTGAGTCTACAAGCAGACGGGTCAAGCGTCGTAGTAGCAGGCTCTACAGCGCCTTTGAGCCAATACCTAGCCGTGCCCACCAGCGTCATCGTTGGCGGCCAAACACAAGCATTGAGTGCATTCCTCGCGGATATAAGCGGGCCATTGAGTCTTGTATCAGGGGGCACGACACAAGCTATTAGTCTGGCTCAAGGAGCATCGTCTGGTGTTTCTCCCAGCGTCGTGGTGGGAGGAAGCACAACGGTCGCTCTGACGCAGTTTTTGGCCAGTGCAACGGGCGATGCGAGTGTGGTTGTTGGAGGAAGCAAGACGCTAGCTCTAAACTCGTACTTCGCGGCTGTCACTGGCGGGGCGACCGTGGTAGTAGGGAGCGAAACCGAGACGCTAACTTCTTTGCTCGCGCAAGCGACGGGCAGTAATGGGGTTGCTGGCATCATTGCTAGTTTTGGGGGCTTCACAACGCCGAGTCCGAAGACGACCAGTTCCGTGCAAGTTGGAACGAATGGAACGTATAATGGAACTGTGTTTGTGGGAAGTGCGGCAGTCTTCGACGGGGGCATAAGGAGAGCGGCATGCGTGGCGGTATTAGGGATTGTGGGGGTTTTAATGCTGTAACACAGAAGATAGAATAATGTTTAAACCTAAATCATGAAGAAATGCAGCTCAGCTTACGACGATATCCTTCCTCCCGATCGTGCAAATAAGTGGACATAATTCGATGGTTAAGTGAGAAAGAACTTGAGAAGTAAATTGACATTGCTACATTGTGTTTCAGAGCAGTCCTATCATAGTCCCACCAAACATAAACCTTGTTAAATCCTAACCCGAAATCCTAAGCCAGCTATCACCCACTAAGCACTCTTCCCAGTCTTCAAATCTCGGAACCCACTGCTCTTCTCCAACCAAGTTCCGAAATCCTGTAGTTCAGGGTACTCCCTCTTCGCAGCCGGGATATCAACCGCATACCCAGCAGTCTCAAACCACTTAAACATGGAACCAATATCCTTCATAGCAAACTTCAGCACACTCCCCACAGCACAAAAAGTAGTCGGCATCTCCACCCCAACGACCTCCTTAAACTTCTCACACGCCTCTTCAAAATTTAACTCATCCCCGGCAATGCCCACACACTTCCCCTTGAAGCGTTCCGGCTCCAACAGCGCCTTCGCAGCAAAGATCCCAATATCACTCGCAGCGACAACTTGGATCCTCCGCTTCCCAACCTGCCGCCACATAGCCGCAAAGCCCTTGCCGGCAAAATCCGGCGTCAAATTATCCATAAAAGTCACGGGCCGCAAGATCGTCCACTCCATGGCCGTTCCCCTCGTTTTCTCTCTCAGATAAATCTCAATGTGATGCTTACTCGCAATATGCGGCGCAGGCGTGGGAGTAGTATCAGACACCACGTCACCGCCACGGTCAGCAGACGTGAAGACGAAATGCTTCACGCCGTGAGCCAGACTGGCGTTGATAAGACCCTGGGCTTGGGCTTCTTCAGCGCCTTCGGGCCCGTGCACTGTGACGCAGAAAACGCCGTCAATGGGCGTGTTGGCTGCGGAGAAGATGGCTTCGGGTGCTGTGGGGTCGCCGGGGAGGAGTCTGATTCTCGGGTCTGAAGATGCGAGGGATTGCGCGCGCTTTGAGGTTGGATCGCGGGTCAGAGCAAGTATTTTGATGGGCGTGGTGGTGCTGGAGAGGAGGGCCTTCACGACTGAGCTTCCTTGGGTGCCTGTTGCGCCGACTACGAGGAAGGTTTGAGTGGCCATTTTGAGTTTGCTGTGATTGTACTTGTAATTGCAATTGTAGTTATAGGAGTTTGAGTATGAGATGAAACGGGATGAAGCAGATGAGGGATGGAGATGTTGTTATTGATTGTCTCCATCTCGAAGGAGAATGGAGGTTGATATAAGAATATCTAAACATAAACATCTTCAGCCCGACCAACTCTTGATCCGCAGCGCTACTCCGAGTATTGTCATGCGGCCGTAGATTGTACTGCAACGGCATGTGGTTTTGGACCGGGCGGACTCGATGATCCTTTGGAAAAAACCAATAGGAAGTTGTGCTGCGCAGGATGGATGATAATGGATGTTAGATGCGATGCCACAGGAAGATTGTTTCCCCAGCCCCGATTATCCAGTCATGTTAAGTCCGTACACTGATGGGATTATTATGTAATCGGGATGATAATTGTCCGATGCGGCTGGAGTTCATCCATCCATCCTTTAAAATCCATTGCACAGCCCAGATTTATTCCCTGGTTGCGAGGCCTTAACGGCTGGGAAGGAACGTTAGGTTGAATTGCCCCCTTTTCTATCAAGAGGATGATGAGGACAAGGACTTTGATCTACCTTCGTTAATTGTACCCGTCTCCAAGTGGGGGCGATAACATCTCGTGATCAGCATGGTGCGCCTTCTATCCATCCATCAAATATTATATACCTACAGTGGGTCGCAGCCTGTCTCATCTATCTCTTTGTCCCCAAGATATGTATGGCCTAGATTCGAGTTGATTTTTTGCTCCTATTGCCTCGGTAAGTGGTCTTGCGATCACAGCCACGAGCCACGAGTCTCTACAGCGCTTTGCATCTCATCTAAAAATGGCCAGACACGGTCTCCAATACATGGGTCTTGAAACTCGAAATCCATATGCGATCAAAAGTCTTCTAGAAGTAGTTTACTTTCTTCGGTATCGGGAGCTGTATCTCGCATGACTTCGATCTCCCCGCCTTTGCGAAATATTCATATAAATCTAACACTAGCGGTATCCCAACTACCCCTCGGTACTGTACTGCGAGTCTCAAACTCCCAATGCGATTGGATGCCTCTTGCATATATCTGCTAGTAGCCTGCAGGATCTCACGCCATAATTGTATAGTTGTCGGGACCACCCTCGTCTACAGATGCATATACCAGTATTCGAAACTTCCTTTGTTACGAAAAGGTGCTCTGGTCTACTCGTCCGTCTGGAAACAAATTCTCGCGTGCATCAGAGCGATGCGATTGGATATACAAGTGCCGGCTCTTCATCGTATTCCAGTAGTCAACCAGTGGTCAACATTGGGATTCTTCGATTCTTGATATTCTGGTACATCAGATCTTAATTGTAGGCGATAGATTATGGAGATAACTGTCCTTGGCGATTTGACGCCGAGGTATAGTTTTCTTCTCACTGAAGACTTTGGAAGTTATATAAACAAGTGTTTCGCTGCCCAAATTTGACCTCTTCATCCCCATTTTACATTCGTTCTTTATTCTACAGTCATTCCTTACCACACAGTCAATATGCACTCCCTTTCTATTCTCGCGCTGGGCCTCAGCCTCTCCAACATCTGCTCAGCAGCACCTCAAGGTCTTTCCCTCCCAAGCTTCTCCCTTCCAAGCTTCTCCATACCAAGTCTAGCACTCCCGAGTCTAGCACTCCCAAGTCTGGGGTCAGGAGGCTTAGGCTCAGGCTCAGGTCTCAGCTCAGGTCTCGCACTTCCAACAGCACTCCCAAGTCTGGGTTCAGGTCTCGGAGGCTTAGCCTCGGGCTCAGGCTTCGCCCTCCCAACAGCAGCATCCATCTCGACCCCAACAGTCCCAACCGGCTTTGTCAAAAGACAATCAGCCACAGGCGCCTGCGCAACTGGTATACACATGATCGTGGCCCGAGGAAGCACGGAAGCAGCAGGCCAAGGACTCATCGGGCAGGTGGCAACAGCAGTACAGAACGCCGTCCCAGGTTCCGACTCGGAAGCCGTCGACTATCCTGCTTCCCTTACCGATTACCTAGGTTCCGAGGCGTCGGGCGTGGCTGATATGACTAAGTTGATCCAGGCGTACGCGGCCAAGTGCCCGGATTCGAAGATTGGGCTTTTGGGTTACTCTCAGGTAAGTGATTGTCTAACTGGCTGATGTTGATGGATGTATATTTGCTGTTGCTGACATATGATTGTTTGTTTTTAGGGTGGTCAAATCGTAGGAGACGTCTTGTGCGGGACTAGTGAGGTTGGCTTGACTGCCTCTTCAGCGATCGACGCTTCCCTCTTGTCGAAAGGTATATCCCTCCCATTCCCACACCCCATTTCCCCCAATTTTTACTAACACAATCCCCAGTCGTTGCAGCCGTACAATACGGAGACCCCAGCCACGTCGTCGGCCAGCCGCAGAACGTCGGTACCAGCACACATAACGGAATCCTCCCGAGAGGCAAAGCCTGTGGGGCTATCACGTCTGTCATGAAGAGTTTCTGTACTTCCGGTGACCCGTTCTGTGATAGTGGATCAGATATTGCTGTTCATTTAGGATACTTTACGGCAAATGATGCAGCGGCAGCGTCGTTCATTGAGAGTCAGGTGAATGGAGTGAATGCGACAGCATAGTGGTGCCATAAGGATGGGCAGAAGGTCAACAGGTTGACTTTTTATTCTTCTCGTGGAGGAGAGTCTTTTTGTTTGCCCAGAAGCACTCTTTTCTGGGAAAGGTTTTGATAACTTGAAATTTGGAAAGATGGGGGAGGGCCCACTGGTTTGGATTTATATTCTTTTCTTGGGGGATGTATTTTCGATGTATTTCCGATGGATTAACTAGGATCCTTGTATGAATCAACATTTCCTATGCACAGAACTTTCTATCCTAACCAGAAGCCCGAAAACGTTGCTGGTCGGGTTAGAACCAGAACGTGAGAGGGGAGTATGGACAGTGTTAGACTGAGCATCACAACGTGATACAACATGTCAGAGGTATGAAGAGTAGCTCTTGAGTGTAAGCATTTGATTTGGTTTACAGGGTATCGTGGCTTATAGGTATAAGATATAGTACAGGTAATATACAACGATATACAATTACATGATTTGTGCTTTCGAACCCTTTCAGCATTCAAGTCTTATAAGATATCCGCGCTTTGTTCGAGTGTCTAGCCCTCTTCTGAGATATTCTCCTGGTAATGACCCTCTACCCATAGCGCGATGCAGCACCTCCGTCATAAGAATCGACATGACAATCTCCGCGCCCAGTTAAATCTACCTTGATCAGTCCTTTTTACTAATAAACACCCCCAGGCGTTTGGAATAGGTTATATGATATTGTTCCTAGAGAACTTTATTAAAGCCCAGGGCATTTTTGAATTGGGCTTGCAGAAGTCCTTCAAACGGCTATCATGGTTAGTAAGTTGATTTATGATACCGGGACTTAGAACTGAGCTCCCAATGCTTGAACCATTCATGTTACAGTTTCTAGACAACACCTGAAGCATCCTCGAATCGAACGTTGCTCTGATTAAGCAGACTCGGTAATGCGGCAACCTTACCATCAATCTTTAAAAGGATGTGATACATCTGCATGTTGGTTCGGATGATTGTTTGCAGAAGCTTAGGACTATCAACCGGGAAGTTTCGAAGAAATGCCAACATCTAAGACCCAGTATCCTGAAGGCTAACGGTAGAATCCTGGTCGAGGATGTTCCTAATGATACGGATGACATGCTCTGCGCTAGCTTTATATCTCGAGATGGCGTCAAGTTTAGAATGTACATCGGTGCCTAAGTTCTTCAATTCTGCAGCGATAGTTTGGTGACTTTAAACAACTTCATCTTTCACCTCTCCAACTTATCTTGAAATCCCATGAAGTCTCGAGCGGTGTTCCTCGATGTTTCTCGGTAGTTCGCTATGATAGGTCTTCCCCCGAGACTCCAATTTTGATATCGTCTCCGTAGTATGCATAGCCAGCAGCAGATTGATGCTGATTGTCTTCACGGATACCAAAGCCCGTATTTTCTTCACCTCTTCCATCGCAAATACTGCCCATTTTGCCTTGTGGCCCACGCCGCGCAATAAGGTCCTCGCAAACGGCCCTATTGTCTTCTTATATTTCTCGACATTTGAGAATAATTTTGTAATGGAAGCTGGCATGTAAGTGCCATTCCGCGGATGACGTTTGCATGGTTGATATTGCTGTCGTTGGGCTCAAGGCTTGCAAAGCACGAGGGTGCATTCTGCAGCGCAGTAAGTTCGAGGGTGACATGTTGATAGTCTGCTGAAGTTCCGACTGCAGCATTCTTCAATGCCTTCGGGACTTTATCGCAGAGCTCTGTGATTTCTCGACTTAGTATTTGCGCCAAAATAGCGAGGGGCGACGAACTAGTCGCACTGATGAACCCCCTCACCGAGAAGCTAAACGCCGGTGTCATTTTGGGAACAGCTGAGTCAATAACATGATTTGGGCAAAGCACTATCTCTCTTGCTTCATTAATCAAGAACAGATGCTCAGCATATGTAAGTCATGACGCAAGACGGTGAAGCTGTTGAGATGTTGGCCAGGCTGTGAATTCGCAGGCAGCCCCCCATTCTGCCTCTCCAAGAACCCCGCATATTCATCTGCAAATGGGGTCGAGATTTTTCAGGGGTAGATATTGCACACGAGAGCCTGCGCGGATAAGTAAGGTCCAGCCAGTAAGAAAGGAAGGAGTGATTCTTGCTTATATTCCCACTTAGGTGCGAGATATTACCATTAGAGCCTCTCACTTTGGGAATTCTTCGAAACTTAGTATTTGGAGGAGTCCTACTATATGAGCTTATTGCCAAATAAACGTTCATTGCATGTCTTATTACAGTGGCAGCGAAATATAGATATTTGGCCGATGATACTCCTCTCTGTGCAATGAATGTAGAGAAGTACTACATCACACCGATAATTTCCCCTACGATACTCTTAAAAATGCCCTTGGGATCAAATTTCTCTCGGACCGCTTTGAACCTCGCAAGGTGCTAAATGAATTTTAGCTCTGGACTGCAACAACTCCCTAATGATGTTATATTCACACTCACATCTGGCTCCAAATTCTTCACTGATTGTGTCAAAACATCACGAGTATTCTTAGTCCAATGTGGTCGACAGGGAAATTCGTTAATAATTGTTGTCGCAAGATTGTGATCTGGGAAGACAAGTTAGTAACCTCCAGCGGCATCCAGCAGCATCCAGCATCTTCACCCAGACCCTAAAACATAAGGATTGAATGCTTACAGAACGGCTCGTTAAATCTCAAATTATCCCCAACTGTCGGTCTGAAAGCCGGGAAATCAAACATAATTGCCCCTTTGCTCCAATCTGCTCCAGGAGCAGGATGCACCTGTCCCAGAAGATCATTATACGGTCTCCCGAACTTGATGTTGATCCCGCTCCTATATGTAGCTGTCATAACAATACCCTTAGCCAACTCGGCATCGAAAAGAGCCCTGACCCTCTTCAACAATGCATTTGCTAGCGTCACAGGAATCGCCAATTCAAGAGTGTAAGCAGCGAGATGGTAATCCCATTCTGGTAATTGATCCGGGTACAAGCCCCCAATGAGGACATCGTAATTCCAGCCGTAGACAGGCCATTTGGTGATAGCCGTATCAGTCGTTTTGTCGTGGAAGTTGGGAGCCTCCCATATCCCAAAAAAGAGATTTTCCGCGAGCATATTGGACGTAGCCAGATACTTCCCACTGTTCAAAAGGCCCAACGCAGTATTGGCCTCAATGCTGGTAATGGAAAAGGTGGACTGAAATCCTGTTTGGCCACTGGTGTTTGTAGGCACAATATCGTAATAACGGTGATGGAACTTTCGCGTATACGGCCACCACTTAGGAAACTTAGCAAGATCCCCGAGGTTGGTCGGATATTTCAATACTTGCCCAAAGATTCGCTGTAGCATAGGGCGCGATAAGACCGTAAATGTCTCCATCCAAGACATCTGATTCTGAAAGCCTAGACGCTTTTTAGTGATAATTTTAACAGGTGGGGATCCACTCACGTCTTTTGCTGTGCATATACTTTGAAGTCTGGGTATATCTGAAATTTGACCCTCGCAATAGGACCAAGCAAGCCCAAGGATGTTGATGCAGCAAGCCAATCATCATTATTGTCATCCCTGACAATTTCTTGAATAGTTCCACTTCCATCAATAATGTGTATTTCCAAAGCGCCAGCTGCAACCATGGAGGCTTCCCTTAAGGACGACCGATGTGCTCCCATCGCAATAGCTCCAGCAATAGTCATATTCCAGTTCACCAACGCATAACCTATCGATGCACCATTCGCATGCAAATAGTCGGCAAGTTCAAAGAACGTAACGCCGGCTTCGATCATCACCGAACCCCCGACTAGATCGAAGTCGGTTATACCATGGACACCTTCAGTTTGCATTATGATAGTCGACGGGTCATCAGAACACATTGTATCATACCACATGTGACTTTTACCGCTCGCTCGGAGGGGGGTGTCGGAACTTGCGGCAGACTTGACGATATCGACCATTTCGTCAACCGATGAGGGCTGGACGATCGCAGACACATTATGGCAGGCTGGGAAACCTTCACCATCGAAAGTGTTATATGGTATCGCAATAGCCTGAGTTAACAATAATGTCAGAAATACTACTTTCATAATTTGGAACGCCATTCTCTCGAAATACCAGTACAGTCGAGGTCTAAATTCTTGCAGGCGAAAAGCATTGTAGACTTCGTTGATTAAATAAGAGAATTTTTGAAGCATATGCACATTATTGAGGAAATTGACTGGTCATAAGGATTTATTTTTCCATGTGATGCCGAAGTTAATTTATATTCTAAACAGTAAAGATTCGAGGGCATGAGGACAACTCGCAATTTGTTTCTTATAATCCTGGAACGGTGAACCTTTGATGGCGAATACCAAGATTCAAGCTAGTCACGCTCCCTCCTCAGCTTGAGGAGAACCCGGTACTTCGCGGTGAAGCGTGGATGTTGCAACCAAATAGGCAAGAGTAAACATACCCGATCATATGATTGAAAACTTTCCGTTTCAAGGATTTAAATAGAAGAAAGACAGCGAAACTCGCAAGGACAGGTTGCGGTCGCACCTTCTCAGTCGGGCCATCGAAGCTATATTTCACGACCACCTGAAGTAGACTCCACCATAGATTCATGCCTCGTGAGCAACTTTGGCAACTTATTATACAGGGAAAAAAATGTGGCGATGCTGGGTTGAAGAAGGAAGAAGCTGCCGGATCCCTTGCGATGCGACAGATGACCAAGAAACCACGTGATGAATAACCTAAGTTTGGACTACATTTGTATTTACCTTCATCTATAAGGCTTACTAATATCCATGCAGTAATTTTTTGGAGTCATTGCCACGGCACCTACCAAACAAGCACTTGGCATACCAGTTTCGTCTAATAGTACTACTATAACGGGCTGCCTGCGACTCGTAGCCAAAGCACAACCTGTAAACAGACATGGTTTGAACATGTGTTTGAACAAGCCAAGACGCTGGTAGAAAAAGGGGGTTTGCTAGGCTCTAGAATTGGGTAAGGTGTGCATACGTATTTGCACTTGCAAACCGCGTATTGACAAATCCTTACGAGCATTTCAAACACTAAAAGGAGATCGTGCTATGATTTGAAAATATTGAGTATCGGTTTTCGAATGGTATCTCATTGCTATACATCCCTATGATTAAACAGGCAACCCTCTGGCCCTCCTCTCCTCTTCCTCCTTCTTCCTCTCCACCCGAGCCAAAAACTCCTGCCTCGCCTTGAACGCCCCCTTCGCCTTACCCGCTGCATCAAGCTCATCCGCAATCCCCTCTTTATCCACAAAGCCCGCCCAATCCATCGCGCTCTTCTCCACCGTATTAAGTTTCTTACCTCCGTCTTTCACCCCTCCTACGCCGATTGCCCCTCTAGCTTGAGCTTGAGCGCCGAAATGGAGGTCGGTTCGGAGGGGCAGGTCTATGATGGGTTCGAAGATCGATTTGCGGGCTTTTTTGGTTGGGCGTTTGGGTTTCGTGAAGGGACTGGGTTGCGTGGTTGAGGCGGGGTCTGTTGATGTGGATGAGGGGTCGGGGTTTGAAGAAAGAAATAGTTTTGCTTCTGCTGAGGAGCGCGGGACGAGCTTTTCTTCCGTGTGGGCCTTTCCGGCGAAGGTGTAGGTTCGTTTTATCATTATCATTGTATCGGGCCCATCATTCAGCGTAGTCGTCGGCTCTTCTTCCGCATCTTCTTTTTCTGCTACTTCCCGTATATTTGGTTCATTGGTGTCGTTGGTGATGGGTTCGGTGGGTGCTGGTATAGGCGTATAAGCTTTACCAGACATCATATCTTCCCACAGCGCATCGACATCCACAGTGGCTTTCGAGGTATCGACTAGTACTGTTTTCTTCTCTACTTTCCTATACAGTTTCAATCAGCACCATATCATATACACTGGAAGACAGACATACTCTGCAGCCCTCATACTTCTCGTCTTAACCAAACCCCCTTCACCCCCCTCATCATCCGCTTCCACCTCCACCTCATCACTTTTCTTCCCCTTTCCCTTCTTCCTCTGCCTCTTCAAGCCCCGTTCAATAATCGCCTCATCGCCCGAGTTCTCAAACCCCGCATCCTCTGCATCTTCCTGATTTGCCTGCCCTCTTTTCCTTTTCGCGGGTTTCTTTACTGCTTCTTCTACCACATCTTGCTCATCGTCTGAAGACTCCGCTCCACCTGCGTCATCTACCGGTGCGGCATCGGGCGCAAAGTCAGAGTCTTCTGAGGATGCGTAGTCCGATTCGTCGGGTATGAGTTCTGGCGGCATGGTGAAGTGAGGTGGAGGTTATGGTTGGTAGTGTAGACTTGGGAGGTTTTCGCGATCAGACGAGGCTGAAGATATTACGCGTGGCGCTAGTTAGATAATCAATGCAAGGCTTCAGAGAGTGGGGCGATTGATTGTACAGAGAACACTCCGGAAGAAAACTTGAGATTCCTCAGCCTCGTCACCGAGGGGCGTTTAAGCGGTGTACCAGGATTAATTGCATTCTAATCTATTCAATCTAAAACTTCCAATCTATAACAAATTTGTTTTCATCCGATTTGTATTCCCCGCTTTGCGTCAGCCTCAACAAATTTATTTGTAGTTTTATGATCAAAGACTGAGGTGGGGGCCATCGCAGCTTCTCGGTCTTTCAATTGCAATCAACTGCCCCAAACCTTCGTTATCGGATCGTCATAGCCCAACTCAAACAACAGATTAAGGGAGCTCGGGGAGTAAGGGATCTGCTCCTAAAATTGCAACTCCCGATAAAGGATGGCAGGATTGCCTTCAAAATTGGGTACGGAGTACACCTCGGACACTCTGGGGTAAAAAAAAGCCGTACGAATACGTACTTTTTATATCATATTTCCGGCACAAAGAATTCGGCAAAAAGGCCATACGATTTACCGTATATACGGCGTACGAAACAAAAGCAGACTTGTGATCCATTTGTACATGTATGTACTTGAGTATTGATGCCATACTTGTACGTAGCTTTATGTAGGTTGTTATGCATATGGAAGGTCAGAGGAATGAGAGTGAGGGGTTAAATCTTATTTTCGTCTGATTGGATGGAGGATCTGGAATTAAGATCGAAGATCGCCAAGACATTGGTAATATAACACTAAGCTTTCCATGCGGTAACGCGCTGGGCTCTTGAAAGCCCCCTTTTTTAAAACCCCAGAGTTCAAACGAATAATAATATACTTTCTTGAGGCTTGAGGCTTGAGGCTTAAGGTGGTGGGTGGACAATTTCCGGAGTTGTGCCCGTCCGTCGATAGTTTATTTGAAAGATTTTTTGTATGAAGTATAATGATAGAGGCGTATTTTGAAGGGTTGGATTCGTGGACGGGCAGATTATCGTGGGATAATAATTGATTTAAGCTTGGGTAGACAGGCGTTTATGCATTGTGGTGGCGGTGGTGATGATGTTTTCCCGAAGGACTCAGAAACCCCAGAACCCCAATTTTCAGGATCGGTTCCCGATTGCAAGGTATAACCTCTTTTGAAGAGAGAAATCGCTCGGGTTTATGTCGATAATGTTTAGTAGCTGCACAGCATCGTTGTTTCAAAGTGTTCTAGCAAAATTCCTGTATCTTTTAGAAACGTCAAATCTTCATATAAAATAAGGTTTAAATGTTAGATCTGACACCCAACGAATCGAAGTAAAGTTACCTTGTCAAATCTTGTATTACATGTCTGCGGCTCGGCGACCCTGAATTAAGGGGTGTAGGACCAAGTGTCTGGAAGTGACTGCTCTGAAGCTCTAGGATGATGCTGGTTATCTAACACAAGATCAGGTGTACTGACTCCTGAGGAGTACCAGACGCTCGGTACTCTGAGTGAGGCTGTCATTATCTATTTTCTCCCTCTTATGGTATGCAGGTAGCTTCTTGAATAGATAGGACAGCTTGTAGGTGGATGGTTTATTCTGCGTGCTTCTATTTTAATACAATTATCCCGTACCCCGCCAAGTCCACCGACTCTAATGTAAATTGCTTTCTGAGAAGTAGCCGCTTGAAAAGAATGCATATTTGAGAGGCAAATCAGCCGCCAATAATTGCGAGGTTCCTCGACGGAGAGAGAAAAATATGCAGGTCTTATGCACATGGGTTTCCCCTCATGTCTACATATGTACCTAGGTATATATGAGCAGTGGGTCGGAACTGGTAGCGTGGGATGTTTGGTGAGCTTGATGTTGTGTCCATGGAGCAATCAAGCTTGAATTGAGGGCATCATATCGAAATGTGGATCCTAGGAAAAGCGTCTTTATTTCTGCGGGATTGATTGTTGCGGCTTGCTTATTTGACATTTCTACACGCGTCTCACAGCGCATGCGTTTCAGAAGGAGATACCTGTTCGGGATCAATGCCATGCTTCTCCAGGCTTCGGGCAGAGTACCATATGCTGTTAACCGTTGAATGTGCGAGCCGAAATGCATCGTTGTCGGTGTACGTCCAGCGAGTCGGAATCTGGAATTTGTGTCTCTTGGAAACCGGAAGACTGAAGACTGGAAGTCCCCTGAAAACTACATACGGTACAAATACTACCTACTCCGTACCTACCTACCTGCAGTGCCATCCAGCACTCTGGGCCACCGGGAACGTCGGACTGGTACGGCGAATGGAGAGCAGTGGTCGAGTCCGCCGTAACATCCAACAATTTAACCCCCATATAGCAGGTCTTTCATAATCATTGCATATAGTGGGTTGGGAACTGCCGGAACAAGGAATGGGAGGGATAACAGCATCGCTTCCCTCATTAGACGAAAGACAAAAGGGGAAGATGAGTGAGAACCAAATACCGTTCAGTAGGTAGCTGTAGCGTAGGTATATACTGGATCAGACAAAACTAAGATATTATCTATGGAGGAAATTTCGCAATTGAGCAGGAATAAATAGTGAGAATCAAGCCCGAGTTGCTGCTGTCGAAAACACAACCAAGAGCAGCAGACTCGAGCAGAGTATCCCAGGTTATTTATATACTACCCCCCCTGCCCCCTCAAACTCCTCGTATGGCATGATGAATGATGTTCTAACGCCCTCTTATGTACTGTTTTATGCTCTTTTTGTGGGTATATTTCCCTCTAACAAGCGCTCTAGCGCACCCTCCCAAAGCGCCCCTGTTGCGTGCAGACGGCCGGCGTACGGTAGGGTAGGGTAGGGATCGTAGGGTAGCAGTAGAGGAGTACGAAGCCATCCATCCAATCAGGCCATCCCCATCCAACCAGTGCATCGATCCAACTCCTCTGGATTCTTACAATCTTCCGTCCTCGTTTCTCATCCAGGCACTCTCTCTGTCAATAATCCGTCCTCCCCGTTCTCTTCCATTGCTGAGGACACCCGCTCGGCCCATCGTCCAATTCGACTTCTCTTGTGTTGTCCTTCGAACTGCTTCTGCTTCTGCTTCTTGTTCTGTTTCTATTTCCCCTGTCCTTCGTTGTGCCCCTATCCTATCTCCTTTCGACATCACGAACATTCCTCGCCTCGCCTCGCCTCATTCCTCCCCCACGACTTTCGCTTCTTCTCAGAAAACGCCTCCAATCGAATCCATACACACCCGCAGAGAACAGCTTGTCTCAATAGAGGTTGGCAGTTCTCTCCGCACATATCTTGTTCGTTTCTTTGCTCATCGTGGCCTTGTGATAGACTGTTGCAGCAGCAGGAAAAGCATCCGGAGCACACGGTGAAAGTGTGTTTCTGCCCTGTCTGTACACAGACGCGAGGCGAACGACCGAGAACTCATCTACCCTATCTTCCTGGCCGCCGGCGTCCGCCCTTCAATTCCCTTGTCGACCCGTTGATTCGCGTTGAATTCCTCTCTACAATCTTCGTAATAATTGCTCCTCCTTGGGATCTTTTGATTGAAGGTTCGTGATGACAGACAACTCAATCCAATCCAACCCCGGTACCCGGCACAACCTCCCATCCAGCAACACAACGCGCTCGTGAATATAACTTGAACCTTATACTCGTTAAATCAACATGCTTCTGCAACACTTTGGAACAACTTCACAAACATGTTGACTGATATTCATTGACTACAGGTTCCTCGTTTCCTCCTGCCTCTCCCACGACGAACCATTTCACAAATACGAATGAAGTGCTAAGTCTCGCAATAAAAAGCAACTGCGGCTTTTCCGATCCTAAAGACTCTGTCACGCCACAGCATGGCTGCTCTCGTTCAATCATACCCCCAATCGTCCAGCACCGTTACCATGCTTCAGACCCGTCCTTCTTCTGCCTCCGGTATACTCCAGAACTCCTCGCCGAGCCAGTCTCACCACCAATACCCAACGAATACGTCACACGTGCAACGAAATAGCTTCCACGGACTGAACAACGGGATGGGGGTGTCAAACTATCGTGGGCAAACAGCGGTAGCACCGATTGCACCGTATGCCTTCACCAGCACGCCTAGTTTGTCTGTGCTGGGGCAGAGATCCCAGAGTGCTCCTCATCTCCAACCACAGCAGCGGACCTCTTCAGCCCCTATAATTCCAACAGTACAGCAGCCCGAGTCTAGTAACAACAACGCTCCTAGATCTCGGTATCCTGCTGCTGCTTCAGTATCTACAACATCCTCCGGATCTTCTGAACTCTCTACAGCGAGTCAAAAGTCCGGGTCGAGGGATGATTCGGGCATCGTTGGCACCGCTCGTGTTGCATCAGGGGCCGGTCGACCCCTATCAACCGTGATAACATCTTCCAGCGGCAACCTGGCCCCTCCTGGTGCGGCGTCCCCAGTGAAGACTACTCCTGATCGGTACCGTCGACCAAACAATCGTCGGGCAGACTCCGCTACGACTAGTTCACCATCAACTTCCCAAACCCCACCAGCTGCCACATCTTCAGCAATGCCGAATGTCATGCAGTTTTATGGAGGCAGTACACAACCGGCGATTCCAAGCATGAGTTCATTTGATTTGCAAATGCCACAATTTTCAAAACCAGCTGGAACCCTCGGAACCGCTGCGGATGATATGCAATTGCACCGAATCAGCAGTTCAGACCAAGCCAAGAGGTATCGCCGAAGGAGCATTCATACAATTGATGTAGGCGGATTTTCTCAAGGACCGACGGGTTCCTCGCTAGGATTCTTGCAGCAAGGATCAAGAGAAGTTAGCAGTGCCGATGGTAGGATTGACCAGCAAGGGCATCCTTTACGCAGCTCACCTATTGTCACGATTCGACCGGCATCCTCGCAGGGACTCAACGGCAGCTCAGAGAGTGTCAACTCCACTCGTAGCAGCCAGCATTCACGACCAAGTTCGGTAAGTGGTTTATTTATATTATTATCCTCCTTATTCACACGTGCATATCCATTGCTCACCGCAACTATGCCTCGCATGATGAAATGTCACACCTGCCGTTCTGGCATTTATCCCTCCCACATCCAAACCAATCAAAATGCATTTCGGGGTCATTTCGTTACCGTGCTAACTATTTCAGGCCAACAAGCGAGAATCCAACATATCCATGGCGCCTGCGAACCCCGCCTCCGCTTCTGCCTCTACTCCAACAAAGAACCTCGCCGCCAATGTTCCCAAAGATGACACCCCCAAACTTGTAAACATTCCTCCTCGGGGTTCGTCAGCCGATGCTGGGAAACGAATTGGCAAGTCTTCTCCTTTGTCCAAGCCGATGACCATGAGCCCCGAGCCCTCGGCTTCCAAGGACTCATTTGCATCGGCGGTTAACGCAGCCCTGCAACAACCAGCCAAACCAACATATGCGCAGGTCGTGAATGGTGCAAATGCCAACAGTCCTGCTGCGCAGCAATTGGCTGCCTTGAATGATAAGGATAGCAAAAAGAGCAAAACTTCGCGATTACGAAGAGCATTTTCGTTTGGTAGTGCAGCGGAATTACGTAGGGCATCCGCAGAGAATAGCGCGGCCAACAATGCAGCATCTGCGAATGCAGCGGAGCGTGCGAAATTACGAAAAGACAAATACCAAGATGAGCAAGATGCTGAGCAGGCTAGAATTGCGGAGCAGCAAGAGGCTGGCGGTATCGGATCGGGAATATACTCTGGGCAAGGCAGGTTCTTCAGCGGCTCGACAGATAACCTCTCCATTTCCTCGACTGCGTCATCAGCCTCCGTTATGATAAGGAAGATGGGCAAGGGAATGAAAAAATCCACACGATCTCTTGTTGGGCTCTTTAGACCAAAATCTGTTATCGGTGTTCCTGCGGCTGACTCTGCTTTGCCAGAAGTCAGTCAGGCTCAGGTATCGATGGTAACAGTCGAAGCGGAGAGAGAGAAGGTCAACATTAACGCAAGCCCTCACGATCAAGTTGGAGGAGGCACTGGGTTTCCCAGACTAGAGAGAAACTCTCTTGATGCTGTCACCAGTGCCGGTATCCCTGATCGCTTAGGGAGCTCTTCAACCAATGACTCGGCGGCTCGACCCAGCATCGTAGGAGGAGAGAAGGAGCGTGCTGAAGTGCTAGCGGCAGTGAAGAAAGGCATTCTAAAGCGTCAGTCACCAAGTGCAAATCCATTGACATTTCTGACAAATAAAATAGGCACTGGCACAGACTCTGGCAACTCCTCTCCTGTTATTCGGCCCCTCGATCAGAAGTCTCCTAACTTCCAATTACCGCAAATCCCGAACGTGAACGAATCCCCAAACTCATCCGCCCCCAGCACACCAAATGACGAGAATCAAGGACACCGACGAACTGGTTCGGTGACGTTGGGTGGAGAGGATTATTTCATGTCTGCACTGCGGTTCCGTGGTGATTCAAAGAGCGTGCCCAATACTCCTCAAGGTGTCAGCAAACGAAATGCTACATTCAGTCCCCGTATCCAGTTTCATGACACATGGCCAAGCGGCGAATACGATAGACGAGGTGAGATTGCTACCTGCAACCGATTAACGCCAATGCTGGCTCAGCAAATCAAAGAAGAGCTCAACACTTTCAAGATGGTATGTCCCATTTTCTTATCGTCCTTGACATCAATGTTAACATGAATTAGGAAATGGAAGTTCACGAGAACTCTAAAATATACACACATTTTTTCTAACGACACACGAATATGGCCGGTAACTCGGCCCACGAATAAACACATCCTCCTCTCGCATAGCAGGCATATTACAAAAGTAGCTTTGCAAAAACACAGACTTCCAAGGCGTTCATTAGGGTCGCATTATATGGTGTACAGGAGTAACTTCACATCTGAGCGATTTGGTTGACACTTCATCTTTTCATTAGAATGGCGTCGGCCGTCTCTTTTACGAAACATACAGGGGGGAAGCCAGCGATAGGTGGATAAGAATCAATGGGTTCGAGGAGCGAGAATGTACTGCTGCAAGGCTTTTCCAGAAATGGGGAGACGGGCCTAGCAGACTTGGCTACTTGGGATGGCAATCTGATTTCCTTGCTCGCAAAGATGACGATGGGCAAACCGTCCTTTCCGAAAAGTTTCCTAATACTGGGTTGTATCTTCGTGGTCTCTTGGGTCATTATTCTGGGGCTGAGGAATGCATTTGGTCAGATCTCATGCTTCTCGTTTTCCTTTTTCGCCTGGGATCAGTCGACGGCTTTTGTTAACATTGCATCGTGCCGTACTTCAGCGTTGTGTCTACATGTTTGTGGGATAGCTTAGGAGACAAGGGGTAGTCAGCGTAATCAATGATACTCTTCATGAGCTGAGAAAAGATGGATCAATACTGCTTTGTGAAGAACTTTTATCCGGACGATATATAGTCCTATCTTTGCCGTTGTATTTACTTATTTCAATTTTTCCACCAAGAAAGTAGAGAATACTTATCTTCACCCCCATGTTTTGGCGGGTCCGTGGGTTACAGATACATCAATAATCAATTTAAATTAAGTTATCGTAGTCTCAGCTTGAAACCCCGCGTATGTAGGTCTAGTTCTATTTCTGCAAGGGACCGCTAATCAACTTCCAATCGTCTGCGCCTGGCATACTGTAATAGATTGCAATCCATGCCATGCCATGTCAAACCCAGTTTTTCGAAATCAGCCTTGTCTTGGCACAGCCTTGTGGCCCGAGGCACGCTAAAATATTTTCTTGAACCTCATTGAGCCCATCCACCTCCAAGCTTCACTTACGAATAGTCACAACAAAGACCCTCACTCACTCGCTCTTAATCTGGCTCTGTTCTTGAAAACCCTCAGACTGTGGGCTGGCACCCGGTATACAGTCGCTCCAGCAACTCGTACTATAATGACGATCTCTCATTCAGAAGCTACCTCGACGGCAGACAACAATGGCGTCCCTGCTTCGGTGCGAAAGCTACATGGTCGAGCTTTTTATGAAAGTATTGGGAGTCCGAAATTCATACTCGCTCCTATGGTTGACCAATCGGAATTCGTTCGTCTTGCCCCCTCTCCATCCCCATTGAAGTTAAAAGTACACAGCTAAATAACTTATAGGCCTGGCGGATGCTAACCCGCTCCTTCATGCCTACCTCCTCCCCTAAGGACCTCTTAGCATACACGCCCATGCTCCACGCGCGCCTCTTCGCGCAAACCCCCAAATTCCGATACAACCACTTCCAACCCCTCCGACAACCCCTCGAATCCCCCTCACTTCCACCGGCTCCATCCCCATCATCCGGCTCCTCACCCTACCTAGACGGGAACCCGTCTCTAGACCGCCCCCTGTTCGTGCAATTTTGCGCTAATGATCCAGAGGAGTTATTGGAAGCTGCGAGATACGTGGCGCCGTATTGTGATGCTGTGGATTTGAATTTGGGGTGCCCGCAAGGTATTGCGAGGAAAGGGAAATATGGGGCGTTTTTACAGGAGGATCAAGACCTTATTTTTGCCCTGGTCAATAAATTACATCTTGAGCTCTCAGTGCCTGTTACGGCGAAGATCCGGATCTTGGATACGCGCGAAGAGACGTTGGCTTATGCGCGGAAAGTGGTTCAGGCGGGGGCTAGTATACTTACTGTGCATGGACGCACGAGGGAGATGAAGGGCCATAAAACAGGACTTGCTGATTGGGCTGTTATCAAATTCTTGAGGGAGCAGTTGCCGAGGGATACGGTGTTGTTTGCTAATGGGAATGTACTGCAAAAGGGGGATGTGGACCGGTGTTTAGAAGAGACGGGCGTTGATGGCGTGATGAGTGCCGAGGGGAATCTATACGATCCTGCTATTTTTGCTACCCCGCCACCGGTCGGGGAAGAAGGCCGTGAATACTGGAGGGGTAGGAATGGGCACGGGGATGGGTGGAGAATGGATGCCGTGGTAAGGAGGTATATGGATATCCTCTACACCCATGTCTTGGAAGTCCCCGTGCCGGAACGGAAACCGCTATACTTGCCTTCGGATCAGGTACTAGCGACAGAGGTAAAAGTCGAAACAAACGCCAATGTTGCTATTAATGGCAATAACAAAAGAGGCGCTGAGGGGGATGGGGATAAGCCGGCTAAGAAACAGAAAAATGGAGAAAGGCGTGAGAAAACATCCAACCCAAACCTCCTAGCCATGCAACCCCACCTCTTCCACCTCCTGCGCCCCCTCGTCGCAAAACACCACAACGTGCGCGATGCGCTCGCTCGATCGCGAGCCGGCGACATCGCTGCTTTTGAAAATGTGCTGCAGCTTACTGAGCTGGCTGTTGCCGAAGGACTTAAACAGTATGAGGGGACGGGTGGAAGGAGTTGGGAGGAGGAACTTGAGGGGGATGAACGGTTGAGGGCAAATGGGGTGAAGAGAGAGGATGGGGAGGAGATGGAGGAGAGTAGTGTTGAGGCTGCGAGGAGGTGCAAGAGGCCATGGTGGGTTGTGCAGGCTTATGTGCGTCCACTGCCCGTTGAGGCGTTGAAGAAGGGCAGTTTGACATTGAGTAAAAAGGATCGCGCGAAGCTTGAGGCCGAGGAACATCAGCGGAAGTTGAATGGGGTATCTAATGGGAAGATTGAGGTCAAGAAGTTGGACAGTGGGAGTTCGGAGAAAGTCGAGGTTCCGAAAGAGGGAATGGTTTGTGGGTGAGCTCGGTGCGTAAAGCAAAGGGGGAGTGGGGAGAATAGAGGCGAGTGCTCAAGAGCTGATCACTTGCGTATATATTGACTAGAAGTGATCTCAAGTTATTAACTCACATATGTTTATGAAGTGGAATTTCTGCACATTCGTCGTTTATTGTTGTTCTCTACAGTACTTGAAACTCTCACTGCTACTTACTACTTTCTTCTTTCCTTCTCGCTTCCCCCTTTGAAAATATCATACTTGATTTCCCAGATTCAACCCCTCTAAGTCGCGTCAAGCCTTCATTTAACTGATAACAAGTCCAAACAAATCTTGTCGTTGCGGTACAGTACTCGTAATGTTTTATGTCTGCAATAGGCTCAGCGCTACTTCTCGGCTAGGCTAGCTAACACGTTCACGTTCACCTAAGAATACTGATCTTATCACACTTCGAATTGATTCACTTATTCCTCGAGAAACACTCTTTTCTATTTGGCTCACATCATTGCTCTTCTAACAAACTCATTTCGCTTGGGCTCTTAGCTAGCGCGCTCTCATTCACACAGAGGCATTCTAGAAGGGTCACTACCGTATTCATCAGCTCGATCAAGAAGCGCTAGCTTAGACACTGTGTTTGCCAAATACAAAAGTCCCCCTCACTTCGCCCGTCCTCTGTGCTTGATGTGACTATTTTAGGCGCTAGTTCTACATGATTTTTCGGCACGTCGTATCAGGTAGGACTAGTTGCTATATATAGCCCCATGCAGCGAAAGGGGGTTCCTTGGGGGCCTCTGCCCGAGACTGCAGAAAACAGGCCAAGATGATAAGGTATCCTGTCTACAGCTTACGGTGAATCTTTTAGGTGTGGAAGTGCCAACAGATGTCCTCAGGGGAAGGTTGCTGCAAAGAACCATTATGTAAGCTCACATATCCAAATAATACTTCTTATTCAGTACTTGAAACAGGAAACTCACCACAAAATATCGGTGCATGCAACAAGATGGCAAGCCCTGGCTGGGATTTCCCTCACACGTATAATGAACAGGATCCGATGCCTTAGGGGTCTCTGGGAGTAGGCGGGTAGCGTTCTGGCCTTTTGATGAGTTGATGTGTTAGTAAAAGTACGTGGGGGCAAAAACAGAAAGCAAGGTATACTTATACATACAAGAAGCTCCTGCGCGGGGTTTAGAACGAATCCCAAGGCAGCATGCTTCGTAGACCTTCACTCCGAGTCGGGAAGTCTGCGGACAAGCGAATATCGAATTGTTGGTTTCACTGGAGGCAATGACGGAAACAACACTAAGTGCCAGAAGCGTTGTCAAGAGATGCATGATGGTGTTGGATGTTTCTTTGCTCCTGGTTTGTGTAGCTGTTTTGTGTCTGGTTGAGTTGAATCCTCTTGAAGGAGCTCCATGATTTATATTTCTATTTTATTAACATACTCTAGTAGTGGGCCTTAACGGTCACTAAGGTGTACCTTTCCTTTGGTGGGTAGACGCAAAGTGTTAGGCATTTGTGGTATGGGTCTACTAAAAAGTAGTAACCAGAATTGGGATTTTCTTTGCTAATAAAAGTTTACCTCTGGAAGCAAATGATTGGGAGTAACTGTCTATAAATACCTCTAGAGCTTTTAGCCTAGTTGCCGCCTGAGGCTTGGTTACACAGGCTAAGTGACACAGCTGCTTCCCCACCCAACTCATCTCTTCCTCCCAAAGCAGCGTGTCAACCTCAGCTTCAGAGACTCTCATCACCAGCATTCATGGCTTCTCATGACGAAATGTGGCGACCAGCTGTAGGCACAACTTGGCAAATCATCCTCTCAGCCCCCATCAAGCTAGGGAACACATCACTCACGATAACCCCAAACGTCCAAGTTTTCGACATCGACCTCTTTGAGAATCCCAAATCCACAATAGAAGCTATTCATAGATTAGGAAAGAGAGCGATAGCGTATTTCAGTGCCGGATCATACGAGCCAGATCGTCCAGATTCAGCAGACTTCAGATCCAGCGATCTGGGGAAGAAGATGGATGGATGGCCGAAAGAGAAGTGGGTGGATATCAGGAGTCAAGATATAAGGAATATCATGGGCAGAAGGATTGAACTTGCTGCGCAAAAGGGTTTTGATGGAATAGATCCTGATAATATCGATGGATATGTCAGTTACTGCCCTGGTTCAACTTGATGTACATCTAACGATCACAAATAGGATAATAAGAATGGTCTTGGGCTCTCCAAAGCAGACTCGGTTGACTTTATGCGGTTCCTAGCTGCCAAAGCGCATGAGCTCAATTTATCAATTGGTCTCAAGAACGGTGGCGATATCATTCCTGCCGTCTTGCCCTTTGTGGACTTTTCAGTCAACGAGCAATGCGTTCAATATGATGAAGTGGAATCATTTTCTGTTTTTATCCAGGCTGGAAAGCCGGTCTTCCATATCGAGTATCCGGAAGAGATGAAGTCCAAGAACATCAAGCATCTCCGAGCTAAAACTGGTATTGCGCTGGGTGCGGTGGATTTCAGCACTGTGTTGAAGAAGATGGATCTTGATGGTTGGGTGGAGTTTTGTGATGGACGGACTGCGACCACAGAGATTGATTTGTCGTAACTGGGAATTAGGGAAACTCGACTTGAATCGTACAGTGTTATTGACCGAGGCTAGGTGGACAACAATCCTTGAGACCGTAGGTATTTAAGATCTCTACAGACCAAGTCAAAGAAGAAAAGCGTGAACGTTGAAACATTATTTCAACCGTCTGCCATGTTACAGCACGCGGCCCAGTGTGAAAAGACGGAATAATGACTTGAAAGGAAATAACATGTATAAGAATTAGCCTCAATTCGTGATAACATATAGACAGCATCGAATCTGTAAACTCCCCTGGTGCTAGAAATCCGGCCCCTCCCTAGTTTCTTACCACCCCACTGCCCCAAATATTGTTAATGTCAAACAGCTTACAATCTTTCAATATGTTCCTAGAAAAGATCCGCGTATTTTGGTGGGTTGTATTTTAGTGTTTCGTGAGACCCGCTGTCACCTCAAATCCTGATTCCTGCTAGACAGGGAAAATAAAGGAGATCATACATAATCATTGCGATCATTTCGTAAACAATTCACAGATGCAAATATGAAGCATTGAGATCTGCAAACTACTCCGAAAAAGCAGTGCAAGGTGCTTGCTATAAAGAATCTGCTGCGATGTGACAGAAACAAACAGCAATCGCAGAACTCCGGATCTTTCCATCTCAATCGATCATCACCACAACGCCCATTTAAGATTAGCAGACTGCCAAGCCTTGCCTATTCCCGTTGGCTCAGGGTTTCAACCAAAACACTCAGCCCCAAAGGCTTCCTCATCTCATCTCATCTCATGTCACTCAGGGGCTGCCAGCCTACACTGCATCGGTCACGGCAGTGCCAAGGCCCCGCGACTGACGCAAACCCACGGATACTGTACCGTACCGTGCTCCGTACTGCGACAAGACATGCCCCCATAAATAATTCCTGCTGACTATATATATATACATATATCACAGAGTCCAGTCCTGACTGATTTTTCAAATCCATCTTCCTGTAATAAAAAGCGACCAAAAAAGAAAAGAAAAATTCTCAAAAGGAGAAAGGCAAAAACTTGGGTTTTAGGGAAAAGAGAAAGGAAAATGGCAAGCATGCAATTCAGGGGTAGCGCTACCACCGGCAATATGAGATCTAGAGATATACGTTCCGCGCTCACAACGTTCATTCTCTGCGCGATATCTTACGGTATCTTCGTAACTCTGCTCCGGTCCTGTTATTTGGGGTTCTTCGGTGCGGGTGCGGATACGGGTGGTGGTGGGGGTGGTGTATTGGGGAGTTTGGTGGGGAGGAGGATGCTTGGCCATAGTGGGGGGGAGTATTGAGTTTGTGTGTGTGTATGTATGTGTATGTGTTCTTGGATTGTGAGTATTCCTCGATACCCTCCATCGACATTAAGGCTATTGGGCTAATATTCTATTCTATATAGGATTCAGTCGTACGTGGCAGAGCTATAGAGCAACATGGTTTGCTCCAGCATCATGCACCGGACACATATCACCCTTTTCAACGCCGTAAAAATCCTGCATGATTTCTGTTATACCGGGCCCTGGCTCTCCAACTTTTGGAAAAGAAAGACATTCATTCATTCGTGGAGAATGGTTTCCGGGGGCCATTGTTCTCGTATTAAGCTGAGCTTGAAGCCATCCGGTCTAACAGTTACCTTACCTCAACTCCTTCTCGTCATATATCAAGGCCCCAGCCGCTGGTACGGAAAAATCCCAAGCCTTCTATCCACACACGGTGTTTCGGGACGAGGAGACAAACCCTGCCACGACCCCTCATTTACATCGTTCAGTCTGATGCCAATACCGACAGTACCAGGGGTGCTGAAAGTTTCTTCGTCAGATAACGTTGTGCCCCCTAGCGTCATGTCGGACGAAAGGATACTATCATGTATACTAGCGCTACGTTCTCGGGCTTCTCGGGGCCCCCAAGGCTCTATCCACACTTCTACAAATGCCGATACAGGCTATTAGAGTATTGAGTGGTGGTCGTTGTTGTATGTTGAGGGAAGTAAACAGGGTCTTGGATGATGCGTCTTTCGTATACAGATCTATGTTTTTTTTGAATGGCGACTAGGCGGCAGTCGACGGATTGATGTGGAGGTCGGGTACATGGATGGCTTGGACGTATTTGTTGAGGCGGTGTTATTGTGGCCAAAGGCAGAGGGGAATAAGTGGCATATGAAGATGCATGTGAAGGGAAGGCAAGCGCAGATTATTGCGATGCAAATCTCGACACAAGACCAGATAGCGGGTATCACATTATTCCCTGATACAATTCGCAAACATCCAAATTGGGGCCAACTTTCGCGGTGATATTGTGAGAATTTCAAGTATTCTTTTTTGGAAGGACTTGTAAGTTTGATCAACGCTAGTTCCAAGTTTATGATGTATATGAGACGAATGATGTCTGTTGTGCAAGCACTGGGTATTATTGTCAGCCAAGTCCAAATCCAGATTGTTGATGGGTATTACACGCCGCCCAGAACAAATATGAAGCTTATGCCGAGCTTCTTCCTTGTATTCACATGCAATTCGATGCATTTCGGTATTGGTAGGATGAGTATAACCACGTCAAGAGCGACTGCAATGACGCCGGCTGTATAAGCAAGCAGGTTGAGATTGACGCATTTCGAGGCATTTGATTTGTCCCATACCCCAGATACAGTCGATCTACACATGGTCAGATTATATGAAAGAGGCAACTTTGAAGCTGGCATACCGAGCATTGGGAGAGGCTGACATTCGCTGAACCCGCAGCTACTGTTATGAAGACATATAGAAGAGTTTGATAGAATAGCATTATGAGTTTACAAAGAAAACACGCCACATATTGACGTTTGGAGCAGGAATCAACAAGTGAAAAAGATACAAGGACCATACTACTTAATGTACTGTTCAGATTTGACTTCAGCGCGGAACTAAGGGAAGAGTGAAATAACTTTCTAGTTAGAAGCACAGCTGAAAGAAAGCAATGACGAAGAGCGTAATGAAGCTGTAGCCATCATCCAGGATGGATGTCTCTGCTTTAAGAATCAATGCGCGCCTGGGCCAGCCAAATATTTGAAGGAGTATTAACCAATGTTTCATAGATGCCAATGAAAAGACAAGGTAGGCCTATAAGGGTGTAATACTGACCATTTTGACTTTGATGCCAAAGGTTAGAGGTGGCAGTGCAAGCCGAAGTAATTCCCCAGACAGATGAATGAACATGGCCAGCCAGACGCTACCTACCATAGGTACTATTTCGCTTCTTCCGGTCATGACTGGGGGCTATTCAAGCATGCAGTCGTGAGCAGAGCAAGCTGAGAAGGATGAGATGGCCGACTATTACCAAGTATGAAGACAGACAGCGACAGCCTTGACTTGAAGACTTTTCTGTCTCCAAACATAGAACATTAGCAACGCTTTACCGAATCGAGTGATCTTCGTCAGAGATCTAGGATGTGTACAGAGAGCTACTTAAAGATGCGGGTTCGGTCCGGTTACGGTTACAGTAACGCAAGGATCTCTATTTTCACCGTGCCATGCCTGGTGAGATGATGAAACAAATGACCGTGGCTTTGATGGCTGCACGCTAAAAGCTTCTAGAGTACGAGCAGCGTGGATCTCCCGTGGAGAGCAAGATGAAGCTTTTCATCTGATACGAATGAAGAAGACGAAGAGAACCGAGGGAGTCGGCGACTGGAGTACTTGGTAGAAAACACGTGGTGCTCTCCTTTTCCATCCTGTTTCTTATGAGTAACAACATCGGTGCTTCTTTCACTCTCCCCACCACAGGCCAAAATGAGTGGGGCTAGCAGAAAGGCGTTTCTCCAGTTCGGCGTCTGACGGCACTTCCCGTTGGTCTTCATCCCACCTTCACATGGCTACCCCACTATCGTCATATCACTCACGTACGACTTTTCGTGGGAAGATCAACAGTTGTTGAAGCAGCAACTACAAAGCTCTTTCTCTTTCTCTCCCTTTTCTCTCCCTTCTTTCTCTCCCTTCTTTCTCCCCCTGTCTTCCCCTCTATCTATATTTCTCTTTTCACTCCCTTCTCCATCGTCTCATTCACGACCAAGCAGAATAATCATCAACAATGGCAGCAAAAACCTACAACGTAGGCGTGATAGGCTATGGGTACGTTCCTCCCTCTTTCCAACCCCTCATCCACGAACTCAATAACTGATGCGCATTCATTCATCAGCATGTCGGCCAAAGTCTTCCACATCCCCCTAATCCAAGTCACCCCCTCCTTCACCCTCCACTCCATCGTCCAACGAACCCCCAAACCCACTGACGATGCCTCCAAAGACCACCCCACCGCCAAAATCTACCACTCAGCCCCCGAGCTCATCGCCGACCCCTCCCTCGACATCATCGTCATAACGACAACCCCCGATTCACACTTCGCATTCACAAAATCCGCCCTCGAAGCCGGCAAACACGTAATTGTGGAAAAGCCCTTCGTGCCCACCGCGTCCGAAGCACAGCAGCTAGTAGACATCTCGGCCAAGACCGGGAAGCTGATCTGCGTGTACCAGAACCGACGCTGGGACAGCGATTTCTTGACGGTGAAGAAGCTGTTGGATGAGGGTACGATTGGACGATGCGTCGAGTTCGAGTCGCATTTCGATAGATATAAGCCCGTGCGCCCGGAGACGTGGAAGGGGACCTTGGGGATGGCGCAGGCGGGGGGTGTGGTTTATGATTTGGGCACGCATTTGCTGGATCAGGCTTATGTGTTATTTGGGTTGCCGGAGAGCGTGAATGCTGTTTTTGCGAACCAGAGGAATGATGGGGCCGAGGAGCCCGATAGTCTTACTATTCTCTTGAGATATGGGAATGGTGGTCCGCTAGTTACCGCCAAGGCTGGGGTGATGAGTGTGGAGACGAAGCAGTTGAGGTATTGGGTTAGGGGAACCAAGGGCAGCTTTAAGAAGTTTCATTTGGATGTCCAGGAAGATCAGTTGAAGGCTGGATTGAAGCCTGGAGATGGAGGATTTGGTGTTGAGAGTGAGGACTTCTCAGGAGAGTTGGTGGTGCTTGAAGGGGATAAGCCGAGGGGAAGTGTGCTGAAGAACATTGAGCCGTTGACTTATGCGACGCTTTATAGTGAGTTTGCAAAGGCGATTGGAGGGGCTGGGGAGTCTGCTGTGCCTGTCAAAGCTAGTCAGGCGCGGGATGTGTTGAGGATCATAGAAGCTGCCAAGGAAAGTGCTAAGAGTGAAAAGACGGTCAAGTTGTAGCTGGGTAGTTCGATGTCTTGAGTGTAGAAAGAAGGGTATTGGACAAAGGTTTGGATATAAAAGTTAACAAATATATGAACAAATATATGCTGTAAATTATATGACTGTCTTTTTCTCAATAATAAGCTTTCCTGTCCATATCCTGAAACTCAATACCTTACACCTCAAAGAATCTGCTTCAAAGCCTCCTCCCTCGTAAAGTTAGTATTTCGCCATCTCGAAACATAATCATCCCGATTGACTTTGAAAAAATCAGCACAACCCTTGATTCAACAGCAGAGAAAGACTTACTATAACCACCACAGATCCTTCTCTTCCCCGTAAAACTAGACCTCCCATGCAGCACCCTCCAGTTATCAAAAATCAGCGCTCGCCCGGGCTCCAACTGCGCCCAGTACGCCATATCCGGCCTCCTCAGCGTCTCGTCCCACTTCCGCGCTGCATTGTACCACATCTCTGCTCCCATGCCGTCGATTTCTCCAAGAGCCACGACACCCCTATCATCGTTATTCCAGCGCACTTGCTGCAATTCTGGAGTCCCTCCCTCGGCAGTATCGCCGTAATTGAGCACGGGGAATTTCTTACAGGGCGTGATGGTTATGCCGTCGTTGCCGGACGCGTGCCAGGTGATGGGCGTACGGGAGAGCGCGAAGTGCGCGAGGGGGTCTTGCTCCTTTAGTTCTGCGGCCGCGTGGAAGCCGTCGACGAGGAGCGAGGCCCCACCTGTGCCGTCTGTGTGGGAGAGTAGGTGGAACATTTGCAGGCCGGCGGGGTCGGTGAAATATGTCGTGTCGGTGTGTGCGGGGAGCGCGAGGGTGGTGTAGGCTGTGTCTTTCATGGTTAGGTCTGAAGTGAAGTCGTAGAAGCCACCGTAGTGCGTTACGCGGATGAAGGCGATGCGTTGGAGCAGATCTTCGGTCGCTTTGGGGTCGATAGGACAGCCGTCTACGTAGCAGAATCCGTATTGGCGCTGAGATGATCAGCGACTGCCTTTCGGGGAGTTTGGTGATCCCTTACGATTTTCTCCGTCCATTGACCAACACCCTTGTCATTAGCCATAACCTCATCGTATTCAACGATCGGTGGGTTGGCTGAGATTTCAGATCCCCAATGTACAATTCTGCTTTTGTCAGTGTTTGAAAATTTTGGGCGGCGCTTCAACGTACGGAGCTGGTTCGTCTTTTGGGACAGGTAAGCCTTCTTTGTCAAGAAGAGCTCCAGATTTGGTTCTGTGTTTCAAAATCCAATCCCAAGTATACAAGCTCGTATGACCGTCATCGTTCCCTGAAGATCTTAGTATTGATGAGTGGTTCGTATGAATCAACCTTACACTTTATACGCAGTCCTGCTTCCTCGGTGACTACTTCACTCGGCATTATGTCCTGTGGTATCTACCCAGAAATTTAGAAAGAATCCCAAGGCTGACATTCAGCTAAACACTCACGGAGAATGTATCGAGTGCTCTCTGCATCGTATCCTGGTTTACACATTGTGTGCATCTACAATTGTCTCTGAAGGAAATCAGTCACGTGAAGCCAGGTGCAACAATAGCATTGATCACCTCAACCAGAAGTTTGGCCTTGAGTCACAATTAGCATCCATTTAGTGATAATCTGACCAAGAAAACTCACATCGAGTAAGTAGAGGGTTCTACAGTCCTAATCTCCAACGGCACTCCCCATTCTCCCCACAATGGCAAGCCCCTATCGCTCGTCCGATCGTCAGGGCCCGTGGAACGAGGAATCACTCCTCCAACATCATAGACATCCGAAAGGGCCCAATGAACCTTTGAGGGTGCTTGAGCCGGGGGCTGCGGCATCGATGTTCCTTTCATGCCAATGGACTCATGTCTCGGCTTCTTAAATTTCTTTGGTGGGGGTGCCGCAGGAGGGGTACCTCTACTACTTGGGACCGCTTGATTCTTTTTGCACTCTGACGAAAAGCAACGTCTGGTTATGCTACATGACACTTTCTGCGCCCCGAAGGATCGCAAGACACGTACATTCATCATTGCTGGTTGTTTGCACTTAAGGTTGGATGTTGTTTGCACTTGAAGAGGTTTCCACTCGGCCTCGGCTGATGTTATTCTGTTCGGTTGCCGAATCAGATTAAGCCCCGCCCCCTTTTTCGGCAAAACGACGGCTATTTTCATTGATGCCAGGCTGCTCAACTTTCATCACGCAGACTCTGGAACTAACCATGCAATATTATTAGATTTTTAAGTCATAGGTTTACCCATCTATCAACAAGGTAGTAACGCTGGTAGCCTACGACAAGAACAATAAACTCCCGCTTATTCCAACAGCATGCCCCGCAATCAAGGACTCTAAACGGCCTGTGAAAAGTACTCGTGACCAAGCCGGAGAACTAACTTTTGACATATAACGTGCTTTGTATTACTTCATGATTCATATATACATTAAAAGTACCCCCTTCCGAAACCTACGAATAAATACCAAGCACATTAGTACTATTTTTATAATCCGGCATACAAACAGCCCCATACTCCCCCACAACTTTTGCCCTCGTATCCAACCAATCACTCATATCACTATCCCTACAACTCTCCCCCGGTCCATACGAGCACCCATTCAAGCTCTGCGGCGCATCATTCACAAGAACGCGGTAGTAGGTCCCAGCATCGAAGCCGAAACTGTTGCAGTCCATTTTCTCAATGGCGATGTTGGTGAGGAATGGCAAGATGTTGCTGGATTTCCAGGCGCGGCGATGGTTGATAGAATCTGTGGGCATAGTGCCGTTAATGTTGTTTGTGCCTGAGAAGGCGGAGTTGTTGAATAGATCTAATGCTACGAGGACTGTGGGGGGTAGTTCTCGGTGTGTGAAAGAGATGTAGAGGTCTTGGTCTGTAGTGGCGTTGGACATGTTGTTCTGGGTTGCCGACAAGGTGTTAAACGTAGCGTTAACCCAGGGGAATCCTATAGCTCCGCTGGCTTGGGAACCGTAACCAGTGTTGTAATGGTACATGATGTCATTTGTGTATTCGAAGCCGAGCCATTCGTTAGGAGTGAGGAGTTCGAGGTTGCAGAATGGTGAGAACCTCTGATAACGGTCTCATAACCACAGAGAAGAGACATCGCGTACACATCGGTAGCAGTGAAATTGAAGATTGGAGCGGCGGCATTAAAGCGTCCGATAGCTGGCTTAGTGTATACGTTCAAAAATGACTGGAACAGTTAGATATGACCATCTGTCAACGGGGGGGGTTTACTTACAGTCGCCTGTTTGCTGCCGGCACTCCCGCTATATGCCGGGCAGCTTTCGTATGGAGTCAACGAGTTTGCCCCTTCTTCCTCACCCTCGGAAACCTCGACCACCTCAATGTCGGAACCATCATCCGTAATTCCAGTGTTGAAGGCCTTCGCCGACTTGACCGTTCTCTCTGCAGTCGAGGTCCATATCTTCTTTGGCGTCCGCAGACTCTGGTATCTCTGTGCAACATCTACACCCAGTTTTGTAGCTTCCAACTTCCCCGCCCTTGTCAACATTTCCTGCTCGGCATCCGTGATAGGATTCTCCCACGACGAAAGGAAGGACAGAACCGGGACTTTCGTCCAATCAACAGTGGTATTTGAGAGCTTCTGGACGAAGGGTTCAATGTAAGATTCGTAGTCAAAATCATTGGCGTAGATGGCAGCGTGTCTCACGAGGTATGCGGCTCGAGTGACATTGCAGCCTTGTGGAGGAGTAGGATCGAGCGGGGGGTCTTGAGGGTCAAACGGCGGCGCAGTGCCAGCTAGATGATGCAAAGGATCAAACTTGTATGAATTTGGAGTGTGGGAGAGAACTCCTGTTGCACAGAGGGCAATAGAGAGGAGAGGGAGAGCTGGATACATGGCGAATCAAGAAGAGAAAGAGAAAGAGAAAGAGAAATCAAACTCGTGGAGTGAAGAATATCAGGACTTACGATGTTTGCTTACGATTATAATTTATACGTCTGCAATAAAAATTGTCGTCACTGGTGTTCGTTGTCCAAGCCAAGGCACAAACTGCATTTGTATGCTTGAGGTTTAGACCTTGACATCGCACTGTCGCTTCTCCGCGCCTTGACGTGGGCCAAGGCTATGCACGTGATTTAAATCCAGGAACCGCAAATTGGAATTGACTAAAACTCGTACCTAGCCTAGCCTAGGTAGGTATAGAGGACAAAAAGGTGGACTAATTGTTCTAAGACTCGTTTCTCTCCGCCACAAGCGCCACTCTTTTTCTATTACTTTGTACACGGAGAGAACGTTTAAAAGGAAGCATCATCCCAGATGCTTCATCTCGGTTTTTTCTGGTGCCCGCTGTTCTTAGACTTTTATGGCTTGGCTTGAGGTACAGTACCTCCCTCAGATACTACTTCTCAACCCCGCCAACGGCCCAAAAACACCCTCATACCCACTCTCATACCTTGCCTCAAGCACCTTCCAATTAGTAATCTTCCAGATCCCCTTCGCATACGATGCCTTATCATTCAAATACTGCAAATAATACGCATGTTCCCAAAAGTCCACTCCTAGAATCGGCTTCTTGCCCACCGGCACAATATCCTGATCCCTACTCGTCGTAAGCTCCAAGTTCCCCGTCTCAGTATCCTGCACCAGCCATCCCCACCCACTGCCCTTGAGGCCCAGCAGCATAGCAGTGAACTTCTCCTGGAACTTCTCTAGGGAGCCGAAGTGCGCTGTGAGCGCTGCTGCGAGCTTGGGCGCGGCGGTGGGCTGGGCGTTGGGGGAGGATGCAGGGACGAGGTTCTCCCAGAAGAGAGTGTGGTTGATGTGGCCGCCTGCGTTGAAGTTCAGCGCGTTTTGCAGGTGCAAAGATGCGACGATGTCCTGCTTGGATGTGGCGGTGGCTTGCGAGGCGAGGGTTGCGTTGAGGTTGTTGATGTAGGTTTGGTGGTGCTTTGTGTGGTGCAGTGTCATGATTTGAGCTGAGATACTCGGCTCCAGGGCCTGGGGGGTAGTTAGTACTTCTGATTGTTAACATGCCGTGGGAGAGCTTACGTCGTATGCATACGGAAGAGGAGGGAGAGAGTACTTTGCTGAAGCCATTGTGGTTGTTGCAGACAAGTTTGCTAAAGGTCTTTTTGAGTAACTTCAAATGTCAAGGAGGGTGAGAGATTTTGAGGAAGGGTAAGCAGATGAGCTTCAACCTAGCTGAGTATGCGTACATATACATATGGCTTAGCATCATCAAAACTTGCCAATTGCGTGATGAGGTCTTTTATTAGTCTCACGTTGCGCTAGATTGAGAGAATTAAACGTCAAGTGCTACCTATTAGGAGCTGAATCTCCACACATTCCCGACTTTTAAAGGTTTTAATTGGCCACTCATCGTAGAAAACTGGACATGCTTCTTAAAGGGTGAAAATCCTTTTACTCTGTATCTTCAAAATACTTCATGGTGCTAGTCCTTATCAGATGGTTTGCTTCAACGCAAGAATGAGCGGTCCCTCGGCAAGCTTCTACCGCTGAGCGCCTTCTGATGATAGATATGCCGAAGTACAAGATGGATGTATCAATGTATGTGAACTCTTCAAATACAAGCTGTGCAATTTAACGTCCGCAGCCAGCTGCAAATACGTCGAATCTGGCCTTGGCGATCCCCTCACTTTATCGCTGATAAGTTCCGTCGATACGTATTTTATCCGCTGAAATGCTGAGGAGTTCAACAGGCTCTGCTTCAATGGAAACCAATGGAGACTTTAGTAACGGTATTGCTGGATGCCGCTCGAAAATACTCGGAGGCAAACCCCCCCTTCCCCCGGTTTTACACACCGAGACCTTGAGGTGATAATAGATGACCTCGAATGACCAAAATGTTCAGAACTTATATCTTGAATGAACTCGTCGGCCTAATAGCCACGCCAGCTTTCACATACGCCGCATCGATAGCCTTCATCTGGTGGATCGAATACTCCCCATCGACCCAGACGCCCGAGCCATCTCGTCCTTTGATCCTGTTGATAAATTGCTCCAACATATATCGATACGTACTCCAATACGGCTCTCCTTCCTTTCCGCTCTCTGTCCCCCTACCATTCCAGACGTAAGCCTTCTTAGTTTCCTTCTCCGTCCAACGTTTCAATACTTGTCCATCACTAGCACGTTTCCTCACATTCACATCCACAACTCCAATACTGTGGTGATACATCGCGCCCGGAAAGCCCCAAATCGTCACAGTCCGCTTGCGCGTCTGAATTTCTCCTTCAGGCGCTCCCTCCACTTCTACTTTCATTTCCCTCTGCTGCACCACCACCCTTGGGATCGAGACACCCGGCAATCCCCAAACACTGGTCTTATTGATATCCGCATCGATAAACCCTACCCCTCCATTCGGAAACCTGAACCCCGCCTTCAACCCCTCCTCCACATCCCCCCACTTGGCCGCCCTCGCCACCGCACTCTCTACCCGCACCGGCTCCGCCCCAAAAACATCGCGCAAGCACGAGACCGTATACGACCCGATATCCATCATCGCGCCGCCCGCAAGATCAAACCTCCACCTAATATCCCCCTTCGCGAAAAATCCCGACGGCGCGTTGAACTTAACATCTACTTTCTCCACGTGAGGCGAGGAGATCAGGGATAGGAACTCGGACCAGGCGGGGTGGAAGCGCGGGTGTATGGCTTCGAGGAGGACGGGCCGGGGCGTGGGGAGCGAGGAGTGATAGGCAAAGAGGGACTCGGCTTCCAGGGTATTAGACACGGATGGCTTTTCCAGCAGGACGTGTTTACCGGCCTTCAAGGCACGTAGGCTCCATTCATAGTGCTCGCTGTTGGGCAGCGGGTTGTAGATTGCGTCGATGGCGGGGTCGTCGAGCATATCTACAGCAGACGACCTATCTCAGAGTCTGAGGTTCAAAAGCGCGAATCACACACAATACTTACGCTGATACGATCCATACGCGATGGGGACATTGAACTTCCGGGCATATGCTTCAGCTCTCGTCTTGTCCCGACTGGCTACAGCTGCGATGATCACATCCGGGTGGGATTTCGCCGGTGTAATCAACGCACGGGATCTAAACAAACACATTTATTCAATGCGCTCTAGTATGCGTTGCTTTACTTACGCTATCCATCCTGTTCCGAGAATACCTATTTTGATTGCTTCACGGGACTTTGGGGGTTCGGGTGGGTGGTCAACGGTCCAGCAACGGACTAGCAGGCTCAGAAATGCGCCCATGACTTTCAGAGGGTTATACTGTAATAACACGTAGTTTGGTGGATTGCACTTGAGTATTGAGGGTGTCGTGCTCTAAGTAGAACAATATAGATACAGAGACGTTCTGCTTTGGGTTTGAGGAAGATTAGGACTTGGTGTAGAAGTTAGAGCGGCTTCGAACCGGGGGAAGCGCGTTGCGGGGTGCAATTCCCCGTCCCCTTTACTAGCCTCTCTTGTCGCAACAAGACCAACCCCTCTATCTAACAAAAAGAATACCTTAGAACACGTGGCAAGATTATTCAATCCTAAATATAATATTTCCTTACATCCATCTCTCACCCCTTTATTCCACTCCAAAAAGGCACGCTGTAAATACAAACCATCACGTGGTCAGTCGGCAAGTCACGAGTCACGCCCCACAAGTGATCATGCGGATACCCCTTTTTCTAAATGCAGGAACGTATCACGAGGACAACTCTCGAAACTGACAACCGCTCGTGAGCCCTCACATCCTCTACCAAAGATCCAGGTATGATCTGATCACCTGCATTAGCGTGCTGATGCGGCGGAACCAGCTGCTATGAAACGAAAAGTGGCAATAGACATCTATTGTGGATCTAAGCTCACTCACACTGACGCTTGACGTTTAAAAGAAGAGCGGCTGCATCTGCTTGTACCTGATGGCCTTAGAACGCGTCCCTTCAAAAACTTATCATGGGAGCGAGTCTTCGCATTTCAGAAGTGAGGACTTTGGCAAATGACTTTGAGGGTTTCCTGGGTTGCCTCAGCAGACTCGTCTGTAGATGATCAGCTATGTAATACATATAGGTCTGATACTTAAAAGACCAATGACCACCTTCATGCATCCATCTCTCAAACTTCTCCAATACTGCCAATACACGTATCGAGTCTTCACTCTTGACTCTCGAAACTCCCTTGTCCAAAACCTGAATCCAAGCAGCTCACCGAGCAATCAAGCAAGAGCAAGCAAGCAAACAAGTGAACCAGCAAAGATGCATGGTCCACATCGCTACTCCTTCTCGCCCGATGCCTTTTCTCTACGCGCTCAGTACCAGCTAGGTACATTCTCGTCGTCCAAGAAACATCAGCATCAGCGAGAACGTCCCTACCACTCAGGCCGAAAACACCACCACAGTCACCACCATCGGGAGCGCGAGCAACCGGCCCCAAATTACTATAATCCTGCTGGTGCGTACCCCTTCCTCCCCCTCCCCTTCCCTATTCTACCTCTCTCCATCCCATCCCATCCCATCTCATCTCAATCTCTCCCACCTCCCTCCCAACTCCCAACCCAACCCAACTCACACTCACCCACCACAGCACCCCAAACCCCCCACCTCTCGCAACTCCCCCCAGAACTAAAACTCCTAATCCACGAGTCCCTGGACCCAGTAACCTCAACCTGCCTGGGCCTCAGCTCCCGGGAATTCTACCCCGTGCACCGCTCCCTTCACAAGAAAGTCGGGCTGTACGACCGTGGGGACCGCCTTCCCCTATGCATGTATTTGAAGGAATGGACGCCCGATAACTATGGGCTGGATTGGAGGACGGAGCGGTTCGTGGCAGGTGGTGGGTCGGATAGGTATGGGAATGGGATGGATAGATATGGGAATGGTAGGGAAGGCAAGAGGAGGGATAGGGAAAGAGAGTATCATGGAGGACGGTTAAGGAGGAGTCGGAAGTATGAGAGGTTGGATGTTGCGAGTTGTAGGTGGTGGAGGTAAGACGAGAAGCGCGGTGCGGTGCGGTGCATTTCAAATGAATGGGAGTTGTTTGGTTGTAATGTGGAGTTTAGTCCGGGGGTTCGGGTGGCGTTGCGCGTTGTGCTTTTGCTGGAGGTGTAGTCGATTCTTGTGATTTTTGCACTGGGTCTGCTGCGATTTGGATGTTAGCAACTGATTCGTGCTGAGATACTCAGTATGCTATTGCATCAATGCATTCGCTATTGAGTTGCTATGTATTGTATCGTATTGTTACGAAGCGAGCAACGAGTGTGTACAAGCGAGGAAATCTAGGTGGTGAACATCGCAATCCGAATAATTGAGGAAACCCTATAACAGAAGCCAATATAGCTAGATATCCGGGAGTACACAGTTCCATCCTCAAGGTTATTTGACTGCCTTGTTGCTGGGAAGAACTTCAAAGTGGTGGTACCTGTACACTCACCTTACATTGTACTAATCTTTCATGTCTCCCTCCTGCTTCCCCATACCCTATCAAATCACAAGCCTCATCTCTGATTCCACGACGACACAATATCCCAACTTCCTTCCGTAACAACCAGTCCGCCATTGATAACAGTCTGGCGTCCCCCAGATCTGCTCTTCGACCCCGCAACCCGCTTAGCGACTTCATTGGCTTCAAGCAAGCTTACAAGTCTCCTCTTTCTCATACCATCGCTTGCTTCCTCGTCAGCCTTAGCACAAATTTCCCAAGTGCGCTTCGCGCTGTCTCCTAGCCTATCTACGTCCTTCTTGACAAAATCGGAAGCCGATCTTTGAATCAGAGTGTAGTGAGCGTGTGGGTTACGGACGGAAATCGAAGGCGGGTTCTCGGCGCAGGAGGCGATCCACTTGTCTCGAGACATTTCGAGGGGTGTACGGCCGGTTGAATTCTCGCGGTACAGTAGAGATGGGTTGAGGGAGAGGAGATATGAAGTCATTGTGCTCCAGCCTTGTTTAACCGCCTGCTATCTGTCAGTTATGCTCAGGTCATGTAAATCGCAAAATTACCACATGCAAAGGTAAGTCTCCTTCTCCATTGACCATCTCGAGATCCTCGCTCGAAGAATGCTTAGCCAGGATAGGAATGAAGTATGGGTCCTTGGACCATCCTGTTCCAGCTCTAGCCATCCAATATGCAAGAGGAGTCAACGCTCCAGGAGTTTCGTTGCAGCGCTCCAGAAGCATCTCCTTTACGGCGGCTTTATCGAAGAGTTCGAGCAGTTTTGGGAGTGTCTCTTTGACCTTCTCAATTGGAAAGTAGACAGGAGGCTTGACCATGTTGTGGATCATGTTGCGGCCAATTCTATCACGAGAGCGCTGGAGAAGATCGAGAAGTTAGTATTGTTCCACGAGGAATATCTCAAACCTTATGTGAGAATAGAAAAAGAATATCCAGGAATTAGAAATTTCTAAAGAAAACTCTAGCCATATCAAATGGCAACAGCACCGCACTCTATTTACTCACCTGGTTTGCTCCAACAGAGATCAGATAAGAAACAACTTCTTCCTGATACTGACAAACGGCAAGATGTAGTGGCGTCCATCCATCAGATGATTTCTGCTCTAAGGTTTCCGGCATAACGGAAACGAGGTGCTTGATAAGCGCAAGATATGTATCTTTGAGTTCGGCGCATGGTGCCCAAAGTATGGCACAGTGAAGTGTCAGTTCGCCTAGAGTGGTTAGCATGATCAGCATAGGGAATAAGTGGAATTTCCAAAAGAATTTACTTTTCGTGTCCAACCATTTGCCAATAGTCTTGCCAAACCCTTTGTCTGACTCTGTTAGAGACTTAATTCTCTTGTCCTTTTCGTTTTGCTCTGCAAACTCCTTGTAACGTCGCATTGGGGCATCGCTCATGAACCACTCCACAGACTCGATACTGCCCGCGTGAGCAGCCAGGAGCAAGGGGGGGATTTTGTTTTCAGCAACTGCGACATTACCACCGGGAGCTTGCGCCCAATCTGCACGCTTTTTCCCACCAACACTGAGACCCTGATAATATTTAGGTTTATCATTGATCTCGACGCCACTCTTCTGGATGAGATCATTCAAGGGAATCCCAACACCGGTAGCTTTGATCATTTCAGCCAGCATTGAGGTTTGACCACGCTGAATTGCTCGTTGAAACACATCCGTACCAATTGTGTATGCCTTTCGATCCTCTGGTTCTTCGGCGCGAAGGGCTTGTTGTTCGGCGCCGAGGTCGAGCATGAATTTCAAAAGATCCATATCATCCGAGTCAACGGCGTCGGCCAAGAGATTCCCTCGAGACCCAAGGCCGGTATAGTTGTCCGCAAATCTCTCAAATGGGCAATTCCATTCGATCATTGTCAGCGGTAGCACATGGCTCTTGACAACATTCGACACTTCTCCCAGATTGTCAACAGTGAATTTATCGCTGATCAGCTCTGAAAATATCGGAGGGAGCTCGTTAATATTGTCTTCATCGTCGCTATCATCTGTTCTCAAATTCCAGCGCTCGCGATGAGTCTTATTGTCGTCCTCGTGATATTGAGTAACGCAGATCTCCACAATCTTTCGGGCAAGTTCGCGGTGTCCTCTCTTCACTGCAATAGAGAACGGACTAAAGCCATTACCATCCTGAACAGCAATCTGTAGTGGGGGGTTAGAAATTTCGTCTTTCCCCCTAGCCCAGGGCGCAAGAGTTATTGCCTTGATAGTTTCTAGATCATTGGACCACGCTGCTTCAAAGAGTTTGAAGTAACCTTCTTTCTTGACATCTGTTAGATCTGGTACGCGGATGGTAAATTTCGTATCGTAAGGCTCTGACTTGCGCCCGAAATGTTGAGATGGATAATGGTTGTTCTGGAGCTTCGGTATCTCGGGAAACATTTCATAGAATGGCTTAGCACCAACATCAAGCAACGACTTCTCAGTAACCTCGAGCTCTTGTATCAATTTAGCGATTGCGGCTTTCTTTTCACTCACACCATTTTCATCCTTGGTTGAAAGTGAATCCTGGTACTCTAACCACTGTCTTTGGTTGGATCGTTTCATCTCCTGAAAGTCACTCGTAGCACTCCAATGTCGATAAGTTCCGTCAGTAAGCCCGCTAGTATAATGCTCCTCTGACTTGAGAGTTTCTGGTTTTTTCGGACTATTATCTGGCTCCCTATAGTTGCGTAGTGCTTCTAACTTGATCTGAATGATGTCTAACAGGCTTTTTCCGGTGTCATAATGGCTCCTGCTTGGATTCTGAACAAGGTGCCAACTTGATTGTTGAAGAGTGGCAGGGTCTGCACCATGGCGAAGAAGGTCCATGACAGTCTCTCCCATCTCCATGTCAGCGGCCGTAATGATAGGCTGAGAGACTGAATGCCGAAAAGAGTTCATGTTTGACTCTGAGGACTGCGTTTTTGCCCAATCATTCTTGGCCAAGTACGCCTTAATCCAAACTTCAAATGATACCGATGGATTCGCGCCGAGCTTCAATAGCTTTTCAACCAAGTCTTTGTTCCTATTCTGAACTGCGGTGGTCAGTGGCGACACAGTGTTGTTGCCCCAATGATCCATGAACCCCATATTGTTGAGAACACTAAGTGCAGCAGGACGATCGTTGGATAGCAGGACGTCCAGAATATCACTATTATCCTGAGAGACAACATAATGAAAGGCTGAATTTTGTTGCATATCTCCTTGAGCAGATGTAGCTCCGAGTTCAAGAAGTTTCTTCACGACCTTTTTGGCTTTCTCCGTGGGAAGAAACATGGCAAGAACGATAGTCATGATTGCTGCTCGTGCATTGCTGGTACCAGGATCAACAAGCTTGACAGGAAGGAGCACATCGGCCCCATACTCGGATACAAGAAGATCAATAATTTCCAGGTGTCCGTTGAGAATGGCAAGATGGAGGGGAGAGAGACCGTAATCCCAGGCGATGACATCGATATCATAAACATCTGGGTCTTCCATGGAATCGTCCTCAAGAACCTCCTATATTTAGTGTGTCAGATAGTCAAATATTTGTATGGCCTTTAATGCTTACCTCGTCTTTTTTATCTTTGTCGATTTTGACAAATGATCCCATAGTCATTGAGTCCGAATCTTCGCTCTCCAAGGTAATTTCTGAGGCCTCGGAATTCGCATCATCACCTTCGTCATCTCCGTCTTTATTGTCGCTGTCTGTGGACTCGCCTTCGGCGGCATGCTCCGCGCGTCTAGCATCGCGACGAGCCTCCTTCATTTCTTCTTCGTCCTCCTCATTCTCCAAGCTTCTGTTCATGAGTGCTTTGACCATCTGTGCATTGCCACGACCAGCAGCAATATGCAACGCAGTTCTTCCATCGACGAGTCTAGCGACCATGCGTGCGCCATTGTCAATCAGGCACTGAACAATCTCTGCAGTAGATGCCATAGCAGCGAGCTGCAGTGGCGTACGACCAGTGTAGTCTCGGCGGTTAACCTGTAAGAAATGGGTGGTTAGTTTCAGTATTGTTTCATGACTCGGGAGATAGCTCAGAAACCAGTAGCACTTACATCAACATCTTCCTGACAACACCAATCTTGAACATGCTCAAGATCTTCATCCACAATCGCTTGGCAGAGGCGAGCAGTATCGCCCACGTAGGCCATAGTAGTCCACTCGTCATCGGTGATTGGATTGAAAGAGCCAATTTCCTGGCGTCCTGGATCATCCATGACGAATTTTAGCTCACCAGATACGTAGGTCTTACTCTCCTCTTCAGCAACCTCAATTTCTTCATCAGTCTTGGGAATCGGACAATAACCGCAACAGTCCTGAATAACTTCCTCAGCAGTACCAAAGAAGCAGGGGTGTCGATGAAGGTAAACCTCGCGATCTTTTGGCAAATTCCATTCAGCGTTAAGAAGGAGGTCCTTGGCGTAAAGAAGTCGATTGATCTTGCTGGCATGGTACTTTTCTCCATAAGGAACAGTCATTGTATGATAAGAAGCAACTTCCGACTCATCGACCCACTCGGCGACCTCGTCTTCTTCCTGATCTTTGACGTTGCCTCCTATGCCATACGTGTTGCGATAGCCACGGTTCAAGGCAGGTCTGCCGCGCTCGGCACGGCGCTGGTCCATATAACTATCTCGGTCGGCAATCTTGGGAAGTTTTTCCAGAATCAGAAGTCGAGCAAGTCCTTGGATACGACCGAAGGTACGCTCAAAGATGGTGGGGTCAATTCGGTTCCGGTCCAGAAGCGGCCAGTGAACCTCAAACCCACGGTGGCTATACTTTGATAGGCGGTTCTCATACGAAGGAGACCGTCTGGTGAGGTCTATGGTGTTGCATTGCGTCACAAAGGCAGCGAGTGCTCTCGGAGCAGCATAAACTTGCTTGCCATCGTAAGCAGCACAAGCACAGTCGACATCAAATCCCGTGATAATCTGAGAGATAGAATCATACAGCCGGAGGACAATCTGAACGTGGCGAGTTGGATATTGGCTGACAATGGTGATGGCATTCTTGGATCGAATTGTCGTAACTTCGTGGAGGATACTGTCCTTGATGCTTCTCTCAATCTGCTTGATCTTCTCGAGAGCTTGCTCCTCGTTGAGACCATACAGGAAGAGGTCAACGTCGCTAGCTGGCGCAAGGTGTTGGTGATAGTACTCGCGAAGGGATTTTTTGCTGCCAGCCCACTTCTCTGGAACGGGTAGCAGAGACGTGGTGACTGCGCTTCCGGCTGCAACAACATTGCGCCAATCAACTTCTGTAAGGGACGACTCGGAAAAGAGATTGAAGTTCCGCTGGAAATCCTTGAAAGAGGACACGACAGCGGGAGATCCGCTTGGCTTGCGGTCCTCATCCTTCAATTCCATAATGTACTTGGAAGATTCTCCCTCAGATTCAGTAACCAAAGATCGAGCCCGGATCTTCAGTTCCTGCTCATGTCCATCAAACACTGGAACCAAATTGACAGCTCCATCCTTGACAGCATCGTGGGTTGGTTGCTGAGCATATACTTTGCGGAGTTCACCCTCGAAAGCTTTGTATGGCTCAAGGATCTCTTCCATAGACTTGTCGGGGTTCTTGGACATATAGGGGATGAACTCCTTGACAGATCCGGATGGTAGCTGGGGTATCTGGATCGGATCCCTGGATTCTGCAAGTGTCGCCATGTTTGAAGTTGTTTCGAAAGAGAAAGAAGAAGGCTTGAAAACAGTGATAAATAGAGGATTGGCAGGCAATTGAATCAATGCTTGATTGATGTGAGACCGGGTACTGCAGCTGCAGTTTCTGGTAGATTGAATGTACTGTGGGAAGATACGGGTGGAAAGGAAGGAAAAGAAAAGAAAGTAAAAACACGGAAATCAGATGCTTTTAACTATGAGAAGCTCAAGTCGAGTCCAAGCTCTATCTCTCAACAGGCACTTGGTCGCGTCATGAAGATTTACTTACTCACGCGTCGTGCTTGACACCATTTCTTGTGATCCTCAAGGCAACATTCTATTTTTGGTGCTGCCGCCTTGCACCAATATTTTGCCGAGCTGCACGTGATTTCAGCCACTTTTTGATTGCCACTAAACTCGACGTAGTGACAGGAAGTGGAGCTCGATGCCTTGAGCTATGCAAATTGCTGTAGAGCATAGGTAGGTAAGGCAAGGCAGAAATCCAAGCAAAATGGAAAGCTACCTAGGTAAGTCATACTCCGGAGTACTGGAATAACCTTCAAGTGGCGACTCATGCAGGATGGTAACATATGACCAAGCCAGGGAGAAAGGAGTGAGCGACGACGGGGGAAGCATCTTGCTGTCACGTTGTGAGACTATGCCTTGAAAGAGCTTTGATATGGTTAACATTGTAACCAAAATTGCAGCACAGCAATGTAGATCTATGAAAGCAAAGTACTATTTTCAGGGAGAGGGTATTCGCAATTTGTTCACTTGTTCAAACAAAAGACTCAACGAAAGCAGTGCATAATCGCTTTACACAGAATTTGTATCATCTTGAAGTCTCTCTCTCCACCCAGTCTGCCCATCTTCGGATAATCTCATCGACAGCTGCAACGCCATCTCGACTCGCATCGACCTCGAACCACTCTCGATGTTCTTTGCCACACGTCCCGCATTTACCGCTACTTTGTGCCTTTTTTCCAGCCAGCTCAATATGAATCAGCCTTTCCACCCTATTGACATTCGGGACCTTCCTCGGCGTTCTCGGCAGCTCATTCACACTCGTGCCTGAGGGACTCGGGTCGTAGGGATAGTAGCGGATGAGTGACACATTGTAGCCGCATTGCCGTGTCCATTGATTCAGCCGCCGCTGTACGTTCTGCGCTCTGCCAATTTTTAGGAGCATTGTTTTCTTGTTCGAACTATTGGGGACTGTCGAGGCGAAGGTGTTGAGGACATCTGAAGTTCGTCTGTGGCCGGGGATGGGTCTCGATGGAGGTGCGAGCAGAGTAGAAGCTGCTCTGGAAGGAGGTTCTGCTGGGAGAGCTTCAGGTGTAAGCCAGAACATGTATATATAGCCTTCATCGTCGAGTTCGGAAAACGGTTTGGCTAGCTCGGCAAGGAGTAGACTGGCGGTCTGGGGAGGAGTTGATGGGGGTATGAGCGACATGAGTTCTCCTGTTCGGGAGGAGGGGTCTCGGGCAATTGATGGTCGATGTAGTCTCTGTTTATGCTGGACGTTTGTTGGTATGGTGGAGCGTTTCTGCGGAGGCCCGCCATTGCTCTTAACGGGCCTGGGTGCTTTTGTATTCTCAGGCGGGGTTGCGAAGCAGCAGAATGGCGCAAGACTGCTCTGCTTCGGATGTGGTTTCCGTTGCTCATCAGGCCGCCGTTTTTCTGTTCGAGTCTTTGGATTCTTCTCTGCTCCAGGCTGAGATGTGCGGCGTGTCCCCTTCTTCTCTTGAACCTCTAGCAAATTCAATCTATCAACTAATGTATCAATGCTTGACCGTTCTCGAATTGCCCCCGGCCTCTGTGGAGAGGGTATATCTATTGATGCCTGACCTCTATGCTGCCAGCAGAACGCTTCTGCGCTCGATGGTCGCGGACTTGGACTCGGTGAGGATTGTGGTGTCCGAGAAAGTGCTCTTCGGCATGGTCGTCCATTTGAAGTGAGCCCTCCACATGTAAACGCGGGATTCTTGGAATCGGATCGAGGAAGGAGAGACTCGGGGGTATGTGGTATGAAAGGCATTTCTGTATTGATAATGTAGGAAACTTCACAAACCTGGATGAGGGTATTTCTACACCTGGGGACCTTAAAACGTGGCAGTTGTTTTGTCAGTGCATCAGTGCCAGTGATTCATTGGAGATGTTGGAAGAAGGCTGGGTTGTGTGGCTGGGAGTTAGCGCGCAAGGGAACTTGAGGGACTAGTCTGAGTGGTAATGAAAATTGGGGTTTTGGGGTCACGATTTAAGTTTCAACCAGTGTTCTGCAGAAAGGAGTATTTATGGAAATGCATGAATTAGTGATTCAAAGAAGATGAGGAAGTTGTCTAACTATAATGCGCTCTAAGAAACCAAGCACAATACCCACCAATCCTGCCATCACCGAAGCCAGTGTTGACTGGATCAGCAGTGTTATCATCCGTATTCTCAGCGACTTCGGCCTCAGCAGTCTCAGCTACCCTTCGAGCCTAATACACTCGGCCTACCCGGAGGGCTATTCAATCCTACCGCCGTTTGTGCTATGAAGTATCTGGTCGATAACTACCTGAGAGATCAATAAAGCAGGTCCCGTGATTTTCAGTGTGATAGGGAAGAGGATGTATTCGTATTCCAGCAGCATGAGGATGCTTAATATTGATTTCTATAAAGAGATTTATATGCTTATATTTAAAGCTTTTATCTAGGATAGTAAAAAGAGTGAATAATTTGCAGAAAGGTATATATAACTATAGTTAAGTAATACTTCCGCCACGTTAAGAAAGGATAGGTCGGGTAATTCATAGCACTAAAGTGAGAAAGTTAGATAGTGAAATAAGTAATTACTATACAACAAACATCTTATGGGCTTGTGGTTTAGTGGTATAATTTTCCCTTAGCAAAGCTGTCAAGCCTGTTATTTACAAGATCTACATCTTTAAATAAACTTGGGGTAAGATATAAAATTCAAGATCTTATTTAATAATAACTAACTTCTATAAAAGAAAGGTCCAGGGTTCGATTCCCTGCAAGTCCAATGCAGAGATATTTAATTTTTATTAATTTTTTATTACTCTAGATAACGCTTAATTAAAACGGACGCTAGTGCTATATTTTTTACCGTCGGTCCTCCAATTCGCCACTCTAATACACTTCGGTTAACTATTTCGCTACGCTGATACTTCCGTGATACTAATTAGCTATAGGTGATTCACTCTTTATATATAATCATATATAACCTTAAGTAGCTATATTAATCCCTTTTTATAAATTTAAACTAATCCTTTTTATAGCTAATTATTATTAGTATCACAGGTGTTAATATCATGATCACTTCTCTACTACGTAGTATAAGGTTGTCACGGTTCTAGTCACATGATATATCACGTGACGTTGGCACATCGGCGTGGCCTCTCGCTTAACCAGCTACCTTTCCCAGCCACCTACTAATTAGCCGAGCGCATACATATTCGCTCCTATAATCTGCATGCTAGACTTTCTTTCTTTTCTCTTTAGCTTAGAATTACATTTGATTCAACCTTATACTAGGCTATTCCCTCCAGGATTCGTGATTGTGACAAAGGTATATAGACTTGATTTTGGTTAATATTGCTTCGTTTTCGTATTCCCTATACTAAGCTGTAAGCGAAGAGGTTATGCCTCTTCGCTAAGCTGCTTAGTCATTATGTGCTAAGTCACGTGGTATACGTGATATATACATCGCAATAATAACTTAATTTTAACTTTATTAGGATTATATTATAATATAGTAATAGTAAAGTTACTATACTACTTAATCCTTAAGATAAGTATACTTATATACTTATCTATAAGTTTATAAAAGGAGCCGCTTATAAGTATTAAGTCTTCGCTTTCCTAGATTAGGTGAATGCATGCACCCTTTACATATAATAGTATTACAATTCTAGGTTCATATCTAGCGCTGTATATAGATAAGAATCCCTCTTCGCTAACCCTCGACCACATGACATAAGCATGCTAGTAGCTACATATGCTGTCCTATTAAAGCTTTCATATTTAATAATTTTATCTTTTTCTAAGATATCTTCAACTGCCTATAATGGTTTCCTATACAGAAATCCAAGCTTCTAATGCGCGTATTAACGATGCAACAGCCCCACATCAGGCATCGGAAAATTCACGATTAGAGCCTTAGTCGCCACGGGTGCGAGCGTGCGAATCTACCTAGTTGGCCGCAAGAGTTCTGAAGAGCGCATGCATGCTTTCATCCAGGAGTTGCAGGCCATCAACTCCAAGGCGGAAGTCATTTGGACCGAAGGCGAGATCGCGCTCCTCTCGGAAACAAAGAGAGTATGCGAGACCATCAAAAGTAAGGAGTCACACATCGACTTACTATTCCTCTCCGCGGGCTACGCACCATTCGGCACACGCCAGGAGACTGCAGAGGGCTTAGAAATCGCTCAGAGTCTGGAGTACTACTCGCGAATCCTATTCGTTCTACATCTTCTCCCCCTCCTAGACAAGGCGGAAGCCCCCAGGGTCGTCAGTGTTTTAGCCGGTGGGATGGAGTGGGCGACTATAGACTTGGACGACTTGGATCTCAAGAAGCCTGGGAGGCTTGGCAGGGGATTCAAGGCTCAGACGCAATACACGGCTATGAACACGATGACTTTGGAGAAGCTGGCCAACGACAATCCTAATGTGACGTTCATCCACTCCTGGCCCGGGCCGGTCAACACCGGAAATGTAAATAGGGGTTTAGAGCCGAATTCGATCATGGCCTGGTTCATCTGGCTTGTCGCCGAGCCCCTCATTGGCCTGTTTGCGTTTAGCGACGAGGAGTCTGGACAAAGGCATTTGTTCCAATGTACTAGCGCTGCTTTTGGAGGTCGTGGTGTTCTATGGAAGGGCAAGCCAGGTATCAATTCGATGGAGAAGCCTGCGAATGGCCTATTTCTCGTCAATTACAGGTGCGACTGTACTCCAAATGCGAAGGTCGTGCCTTTGCTTCGAGAGAAGGCGCTAGGAAAGATTTGGGACCATACGCAGGAGGTTCTCCGACTTTATATGTAGACTGGGAACTATCCGTCACTATCTAGTGCTAGCAATATCATTTGGTGGATGAATTCATCTAATATTAACGAATATATGACCTGGTTTAGTCACGAGATAAGAAGCCACTTCCCGGCACCGCTTGTCGCATACAGGCTTCGAATAGACTATCGAAAACCAGTCGATTGAAGGTTAGGTGGTTGGGCGGAGAATGCCTACTTTTTGACTTTATGATCCTTTCCCCTATGACTCTTGTGTTGAAACTTCCTAGCTAGTGGTTTCCGACTCCATCCTGCTCCTAAGAATGACCATGGCAACGCTGCATTGCCCTCATGTGGATTGATCACATCTAGGCATTTCCTAGCCGTTTTGCACCACGTACTTATGTTTGTATAGTGCTTCTGATTCTTTGCATACCTCCGGGGGTGGCTGACCAGCTGATTTTATTCATCTCTGCTCCAAGTATCCCTGTAAAACAACAACCGACCATCTTCCTCTTCTATGTCTGCAACGCCTTTCATATTATCAATTGCGAACAACTTCCGGTGCAGTTCCGCCCACCTGTTGGCGCTCCTGGCGCTTATGCTATAATCCTCCATCATTTTTATAGCAGAAAGTACCTGTTTCTTGGAGGGAGGTATGCCTTTACTTGAACACAAGCAGAGCACATAGATTTCGGGACGCTCTGGATCTTTCTCTGCTTCGTACAATCGTAACCAGTGTTGTTATAGAAGTCGCAAAGCAGGGTTAGGCGATGGCAATATCGCAGTGTGCATAGTGTTTGTTATCAGACATTTCCTTGCCTCGAGAGTCATCCTCGCCAATATATTGACGATCCGGGGCAAGATGGTTGGACGATGGTAGAAAGGACCATTTTTCCATTTTGGATCCCGCGCATTTATGGCCCACAACTTATCGGTAAGGAAGTATATCACTTGATCATTGGCCGTAGCCCTCGGGACTTGCATAGCTCTTTATATCTGGCATCGCGGTGACTATCTCGGATTATGAAACCCTCCCTTACCAACTTCCTTGCTGCACGTTTCCTTCTACATCCTACTTTCAATATATATTTCGCCTCTCGTGCTTTCTACCACGAGTATAGCACTCTCTGACTTCGGAATCGTGTACGTAATTCGCAATTTTATGTTACCAGCCTTAAGTTATGATGATATAGAGTAGTAAAAGTGCTAAATTTATCTCTTCTGTTTACTTCCATAAGTCACCCTTTCAATTCTAGCTACTATTTAATTCTTCTCCATCTCCACCATCCTCCAAAACACTCCCCCTCGTCCCTTCTTCAATAACTCTTCCGGCGCCCCGCTCTCCACCACCCTCCCTCGATCCAACACAACGACTCGATCAAATCCCGAAGCTTGATCGACGACAGACTTGAGTCGATGAGTGACCGCAATAACGGTCCATTGCGTGAACTCTTCTTGGATGAGCTGGTTCACGAGTTGTTCTATTTTTATATCGAGACTGTCATGAAAGACATCATATTAGCATGTATAAGGCCTAATCGGCTAGGACTTGAAAGCTCGATGTAAGAATGTAATAGTTAGACTTACGAGCTTGTTGCTTCATCAAGTAATAGCACCCTTCCATCCCTCAACATCACCCCTGCGAGACAGAAAAGCTGTCTCTGCCCCGCACTAAAGCCATCGACCACCAACTGTGCATCCAACCCACCCATCTCCTCCACCGTACCGCGCAGCCCAACCTTTGTAAGGACATCCCATAGTTTACCATGATTGTTGGTATGCAAGGCGTATGGGTCAAGATTGTATCTGACGGACCCGGTAAGGAAAACAGGGTCTTGGGGAAGGGCAACGATGGACTTGCGGACGGTTGGCGGTGAAATGGAGGAGATATTGTGGTCGTCAACGGTGATGCTGCCGGATGCTGGTTCGTACATTCGGAGAAACAAGCCAAGGAGACTGGATTTACCACTTCCCTAGGTCGCGATGATATTAGCACATCTTGGAGAGAATCCCGACAGCAAGTGATGGTCGCAGGAGGACCCCCTTGAAATATCCCAAAGTGCGATTAGTGAAGGATTCTCACAGTTCTACCACAAATAGCGACCTTAGATCCCGCCGCGAAGGTGAGGTTGATACCATTCAGCACCTTCTGTGCCCCGTACTCGGCAGATACATCAGACATGACAATCTGACCTCTAGGAGGCCAGTCATCTCCCACGGCATCTCCTCTCCTTGGATTATCGTCGTGGAGCTTCTCATACTCCACAGGGGTACTGATCGTGTAGTCTTTAATGCGACTCACAGCTTGCAAAGAAGTTTCTAAATTCGTCCAAAAGATGATCAAAGAAGAAAGTGTTTGACCAAGCCCCATCACGCTGACAAGTGCCACACCGAGATAGCTAGGGTCGATTTTATCGCGCAACGCGACTGCTAAGCCCACCAGCAGAGTCGCTGATGCTGCTATGATAAGATCGAGAACGAGCGTCAACCACCTTTGAAGGCAAAAAAGCAAGTAGTGGGATCGCTGCGACATATCTAGCAGTTTTGTATTTTGTTTCTCAACGGTGGATGTCCAGGAGAAGGCGCGAACAGTAGTGAGTCCTGCTGCCGTGGCTATGAAGTGACTAAAAAGGGGTGCTTTAAGCGCAAGGTCTAGGGCCCGTAGCTGCCGCGAAGTTTTGAGATACACCCGCTGGAGGATGAAGAGGATCGCCGCAAGGAATGGCACAGATATTGCAAGATAGCCAGATGCGATGCAGGTTAAAATAATATCGGCGACGGTAGCTAGAAGTCGTTCCGATGTGATGACAAAACTGATTGGGAGCGCTAGATCTATGAGGTTGAGGTCGCTGGTGAAACTGTATGCGGATTTTATGTCAGCATGGCCACATATACACTCTCTATTTGATTATTTAAGAAACGGTCGGAATGGCTTACAGGTTCACGATCACTCCTGTGTCTTCAGTTATAAAAAATGACATTGGAGCTCTGGAATCGCGATCAGTATTGATTGCTGGTGCGTATATTGTGAAAACAAACCCAAAAGCCGTGTGGAGGAGTTTGCGGTGAATGTTCTTTGCAGACCGCGCCACCAGGAACAACAAGAAATAGCTAATTAAACTCAATATTAGCCAAAAAGTACCCAAAGTTTTAAACTACCATAAGTCATTGGCAGATGAATGTGTTTAATTACTTACCCTGTTCCTAAAGCGATAAACATCACTTGTCCAAAAGCGAAAAGCATGTATATCCCGGTCCAGGTCCCAACATTCTGGTTTGGATGTTCCTTGTTCATCGCAACCCAATGCTTGAGCCACAATGCTATTTTCTTCAGTTATCTGAAAATGACTAAGGAGGTCAGGACTTACGCTGAGCTGTACTGCAGCCCGTCTGAAAGAGTACCAGAACAGCATTCCAATAGTTGCGGTCGTCGAGCTTCTTTGTCCAAGTTTCGAAGATGGGGTCTGGGTAACATCAACGACATTCTCCTTATACATTTCTTGAACGTAACTGCTTGAATTCTTCACTGCCTCTAGATCTCCTTTGGCACATATTTTCCCATCTTGGCCCAGAACAATTATCTGGTCAGCATAAGGGAGCCATTGAGCTATTTCAAGGTCAGCATTGCTTGGAGTTTCGTGGAACAATCGCAAGCATAGACATTTCGCAAGTAGAACGTACCATTGTGTGTGACCATAATTACGGCTCTTCCACCTGTCCGTAAGATACCGGCATCCCCAACAAGTGCATGAAAGCAGCGACCCGAAGTATTCGCATCGAAACCACTCAGTGTGTCGTCTAATACCGTGAGCTGTTTCTCGCTGTAAGCTGCTCTAGCCAAAGACTAACACGATCAATTAGCTTCATACGCTGCTGATTACTCAATGCGGGGACAGCTTACAATTCTCTGCCTTTGGCCACCAGATAAAGATATTCCTTTGTTTCCCGTCTGAGTGTTATCCCCTTCTGGTAATTGAAGGAAATCTTCATGGAGTTGGCAAGTCTCGACGACTTTTTGATATCGTGTCTCATCATAATCTGACACCCCGACGATATTTTGCTTTATGCTAAGGTTTAAAATCTAGGGCTGCTGGGCGCAATAAGCAATCTGCTTAGGCGAAGCACATTCCACGCTGCCGGACAGGATACATGTTTCACCTAGGAGAGATTGCAACAAAGTAGACTTCCCAGAGCCAACAGGTCCTATGACTATCGTGAGCAAAGAGCGCAAAAGCTCGAGGTTGATATTGTTCAACACCAGCTTGTTCAGATCCCACCCAAATGATCCTTTTGATATACGAGCAAGCACCTTGCTGTTTGACGATGCAATGGACTTCGTTTGGAGCGATAAGCCCTGCTTTAGTTCGAATGCGTTGCCAGCCTCAGTCTCTCCAGGATTATTCTTTGAAGTCACTATATTACGACCATCTTGCCTTCCTACAGTATTCAGATACTCTTGGATGCGATCGAGGCAACTCAATGCCGAGGCCAAATTGGTCGCTGCAGTGACAAGTTCCGCAACTGGATTGGTGAGGATCGAAATGAGGGCGAGGGACGTAAATGCAGTCTCGACCTGGAAATCTGTGCTTCCACTGACCAATTGCGCAATTGCAAAAGCCGTGAACGTGACTGCTGGAGTGATCATGCCAGGTATGTTGCCTTGACATGTTTATTTAGTATGAAGAGCCAAAGATTTTACAATTGGAATACAAACCGAGCGTAATATTCGTGATTTGCAGTTTGCGAAAGGCTCTTTGGTCCTTCATTTCTGAACCTCGAAGGTGCTGTATTTGGTCGACTACTCGTCCTGCATCACGGAGGTATTAATAGTTGCCTGAAAATTACTGTGTTTGAAGATGCCGAAACTCGCAGAGAGAGACTCTGAGGTCGGGTATCCCTCTGCTCTTATAAAGACTTACCACTTAGTCCTGACATCTTCAGTTCCTTGATACTATCTACAGATTTGGTTGTGACACCAATGCGTTTCTGTATTGCTTGCATCCAAAGTTGTTGGCGCGGAGGGATACGTTTGCCTATCTGGGAACTGGCAACACCACATACTGTCACATATTAGCGATTTGGTGTCAAGCAGACTTCATGGTCAGTGGGCGTCACGTATTGAAACCACGGCAGGGGCAATAGTCACTGCACCGAGATTAGTACCGAGAATCCACAAACCAAGGCCAACTTGCACAAGGTTAGGAACAATGCCTAAAACCCACTGCATTGTTTGCTGTATTCTTTCCATATCAGTGCTCATAAGGCTCACAGCAGCAGAAGATCCGCCGCTTTCAGAGGCTGTCAAGGTCAAACTGTGCTTGAACATCAAGCCTATCAATGAACCTCTGACCATGGTGAGCAAGCGGAAAGTCAGGTGTTGATACCAAAGAGTGGAAATCTGTGCGAGTAAGCAGTTATTCCGTGGGCGACACATGCGCATGGTAATTCTTACAGCAACACCGATATATACCAGTGCAAATTCTCCTATTAGGCCATAGCCAAATTGCAGAGGACGGTTTTCATGGTTGGTTATATATGATATGGCAGCTTTTACGAGGAACGGCTGAGCGAGTGAAAATCCAACCAAAGCCAAGCGAGGAAATTGAATCACGAGAAGCTGTTTCGAGAATGCTTTAAGGAGGGAGATAGCAAGCCTGCGTCTTGTCTTGGAACTCGTGTGATCCCAGGCAACTGCTACCTTCTCTGTGAGATTTAAGGACCCAAGATTTTTGCTGATAGTGTACAGGTTGTTTTGGGATAGCTCCCCATGGTACCCGAGAAAGAACAGTGGATTAAGCCACCAAAGTAAACTCCTGCTGAACAATCCGGCTTTATCTTCTCGGGAGAACTTATGTGCTCCTGGATCCACGATGTGGCGGTCTTTCGGGAGGGATTCGAGGATCAGCAACCCGAATTTTGCGACGAAGCCGGCACTCTGAACACCAGCAATGACTGTCGATCCAACAAGTAGCCATCGAGTTCGGAGGCGCACAACATCGAACAAGAGTGTCATCAGAAGATATGCTTGAATCACAGGAGACGGGCTTGGGGTGCGAGAATGCTCAAGTTGCGAAAGCAACGATAGGCTAGCAATGGCAAACAAGATGAATGCCGATGCAGGAATCGTGAGTGCAGAATGAGTGAGCTCATTTCGTGATGCATACAAGCTCAATTCTGTCAATTGAAGACCAACAAGCACGAAACACAGTGCCTGCAGCCCATTTCAGCACTTTTGACTCTTTGTTACCTGGTGAGGATCTGGGATGCATACCTGTTTCAGAGTCCTCCAAACAGGCACATTTACCACCTTGAAGCGTTTGAAAATGCGTCGTATCCGATGTACGATCACAGGTAAGACGAGAACGCTGGGCTCCAGAGCAAAGAACGATGCCTCGAAGGTTGCGGTAAAATCAAAGGAGCGACAGTGAGATCCAGATATGGAGGAAATGGCTGGACCAAAATTGGCATCAGCAACGCAAGCCATGATGCGAAGTAGAAGCAGAAGCCCCAAAGAACGCTGAGTTACATGTTGAAAGGAGAAAAGTGAGAGGAAACGACGGCCATTTAGATTAATCTAGCATGGCAGGAGCCGTTGGTCGTCGGAAAGATAAGGAATGTGCACCCATGTATGGTGATGCTTGTGACCCTTGAATCCAGACCGTGGATGGCTACAACGGGCTGGTCGGCTATGCTATCTGCGCTATGTGATGAGAGAAGGCTATTTGTTGGTATCGAAGACACGCTCGATGCTCACCAGACAGGTTGAAAGAAGGAAGAAGGAGTGGTAAACGACGGGAGCGACGGGATGCGACGCGTGACTCTCATTTTTCTGTCCCTGGTAGTTAGGAGAAAAAGACGCTCTGCTAATTAGATGGGGTTTGGTTGGGAAGGTTTCCTTAAACTGCATTCCGTTAAATCTAATGTCAATTATAACCGCTGTCATCTGCAATCTATTGTGTATGTTGAATCTGGAAAACCTGGAATGAAAAGTCATCTTATCAAGGTCGTTCTAGTTGCGAAGTCTATCTTTTCTCAGAGACAGTGCAGCTAGGATATCTCACTGGCAGCAGCATAAGTCCTTGAGCACTGGCATTTGCGTATCTCTCTTGTCCTACCATGTCCCGGCAGGATTTCAGTAGCTCTTGGCTCACAGTAACCATCTATCACACTCGCACCTACCATCAAGCGCGCGCTGTAACTTCCTTCACGAAAACTCGCAATGAGCCGTCATGTATCCATTTCTTACGAAAAGGTCTCCCACCGTCCCTTGCTCCACCAGCTTCCGTGAAACTCCCTCCGTCTGTGTAGGTTTCGGAAAGGGCATCTTGAACCATGCCCACAGCTCGCGGGCTAGGAATTCAGCCATCAGACCTTGATCGTGGCATTCTGAGGGCAGCCATCATAATATCAAATGTGCAATTTCTCCTGGCGGCTTCAACTGGTGTCGATCCACATTGAGTGACTTGTTGTCTGGCATGATGCTCTGGCACGCCTTGTAAGAAACAATTGGACCAGAGAATGAGGATTGTGCCGACCAGGAGGGCTGCAAGACATATAATGAGAAGATTTGGATGTAGCAGCTCGGAGCAAGCTTTGCATCTGATGGGCAACTTGTTTGGCTTGATTTCTTCGTTTTCGTCCTCGTGAAGCAGTTGATACGCTTCTTCCATATGTGCAACCATATTCGAAGGATGTGAGAGACGAAAGTTTTCAGGAACAGCTGCTCGAAGCTGCGGTCGTACGTCTATGCTTCCGCTTAGGAAACTGGTCATGTAAGAGTACATCACACCATAAACCCACAGCCTCAAAGGAATTCCTGCTTGGGGAGTTTTGCAGTTCCGACCAGTTGTGGGTACGGCGCAGCAATACAGATGACTTCGATGCTGACGTTGCATTGATCCCTACACTGTCCATGCATAACTTCCCTGAAAGCTTCAGTGCTTCCTGATTGCATGGCCAAGGAAAGATTGCGATGAAGGGTTGTAAGTATGGGTATTAAATCTAGATAGTTACTTACCGCGTCTCGCCTCTTTCCTCATATCTTAGCCCAACATCCTTCTCGGGGAGATTTCACTTACTGATCACTACAACAAACTTGAAAGATGCCGTACCCACACATGCTTGTCCTGCAACTTTCCCGAGAGCCAAATTTCGCCATGCATATCTTTCTGCTGGCACTATACTGGAAAGTCATCACGGCATATGGCGTACTTTCGCATGCATCTCTCTCGATTCTATCTCAGGTCGGAGTGGATTTTGACCCTAACACTGGCTCATTGCTCTCGCCCATCCTACAACCCCGAGTGCCAGGAACAGCTGGGTCCCAGTCTGTTCGAGCACACCTCATCAAGTATGTGGAGAATCGCTTACCAGAATGGTCGATTGAGCTCCACAACTCTACAGTCTCCGTTGCCGCGCCGCTTTTCGATCCTACTCACGATATAGCAGTACCTATTGTCAATATTGTGTTGACACGAGACCCTCCCAGCTCACTACGATTCCAAGTATGGAGTACCTCCAGATGCACAATCACACCATCAAAACCTGACGGACGGATTTGTTGGTGCCACTGACTCAGCGGCCCTTTGCGCCATCATCTTGCACGCCGCGCGGAAGATCAATCAAGCCCTCACCCGGAGATGGACATTACTCCTCCTCTTGACCTCATCATTGGCTCCGAGACGAATCCATCTACCGTACAAAGGACGATCGATTAGACCTTGCCACTATCACACTTTTCCTTGCGTACACAGGTGCTCGACCCGCTGAATATGTTCACACTGCCGGCGACTGTTTCGAGTTCGAGGATGACAGTGATGCGACTAACGAGAACCTCTTTGATGGCGACCAAGACCTTTCTGACTATGATGAGTTACACGCTGAAAGCACCCTTGACGAGCCGGCAGACGCCCACAGTATCTTGGATAGCGGGTACAGTAACGACAGAGGGGTCGATGAGCTGAGCAACCCAATCCCAGGGGGCGTTAACGGGTTAAGGGTGACGGAATCTGAGAAGATACAAAATTGGAAATTACTTTGTTACGAAGACATCTCTCTCTGGATCGTAAAGAACCCCAAGCCAGGGGAGAGGGACATGCTTGCTATGGAGGTCCTACTTAGGCACCATAAAGACGCAGACAAGAAGCCCAAACCATATGTGCCTATCCTCTTTACCCATGATCGCCACAACTAACCCTACCTCGTAGAACCATCTTCTTGCTCCGTGAGAATGTTCTCCCTATTTCATGTCCTATCTCGCATGTCGTGGCTTGTGCTATCCGGGATGATGCAGTGCTAGTCGATGGCTACACCTCCCTAAAGCCATTTTTAGCACGAACCTACGTCGGCTAGGTAAGAAGGCGATGCAAGTGAATTAGACACCTGAGTGGTTGAAGCGACCTCTTTTCTAAAAGTCTGTCCTCGTGGCGGGACAGTGGGTGAAATCGAAGACGAAGCCCATGTCTTACTCGCAGTTCAACTTTTACCTCTAGCGAGATGGAAGGGGGTGTCGGCTTAGAAGAGATTGTGACGTCGTATTGCTTCCGTAGAGCAGCGATTAATACGGCTGATGGTATGTATAACCTCTCTAATCACATTGTTTGTTGCTAAGGATAGTGTTTTAGGTATGGCCTCTGATACCAAGCACGATCAAATGGCACGCCGTGACCCCGGTCGTGGTGTCTTTAATGGTTTGTATCTGAATGAACGTTTTGACTTCAATTCTCAAGCCGCCTATCTCGAGGAAGATGTCTCTGAGGATGGCCTTACACTGGCGTTTGCCCACATGAGCCTTCGCTGCCACCCGGGTGCTCCCTCAGGAGTGCCTTCAGACTTGTTGCGTCCGCTTCTGGCAGCAGACCCCGGAAATATCTGGTGGATTGGTCCTTGAGGTTCATTTTACGAACACATTTCACTTGCTGGGGGGGATCTGAGTGAGATTGATAAAGTGAAGGATGCGATGTACTTCTTAAGTTGGTGGTAGAAGGCTTCGAGAAGGGTGCACTCTTTATTATATGGAGAGAGCCGGTCCCTGGCACGCCGTAACTTGAACACGCTAGGGCTTCGACTGCTCTAGCGTGTGTACGGAAGTAAGTGATTGCTGCTCGACGGTCACAATACATACTTTTTCCAGGCCTACAGGCTATAAATATATGTGGACCGATCAATGAGCGAGGAGGCGTTTCCGTTTCCAGTTAAGGCGGAGTCTCGAAGAATCGAAACTGGCCTTGGTCTATAGTACTAACCAACTTATAATGCATAAACCGAGATTTAGCAAGAACGCCATTTCCTCCCCCATTATAAATGTCTCTATTCCTAGACTAATAATTATATAAATTAAGTGATTCTTAGTGTTTTAGAATCGCTAGAGTTATAGCTTTCTAGGGAACTAAAATTTATTAAGTTATATTAATTTTTAAGTCTAATATTTAGTATGCTACCTATCTGCTATAATAACTATCTTAATTCTCCTCTCTATGCTCTCTTATAATTTCCTAAATAATTTATTAGGTAAATAGTCCTAGGCTGCTTATAATGCGCTCTTAAGCTATTATCTTATATGCTCTGATTCGCTCTTTTCTTTAGCTATCTTAGGAAACATCTTATAGACCTTCTTTTTTAAGTGCTACTAGTAATACTTAATTAGGTTTAAATCTAAGGAGTATAGCAGCTAATCCTCTAATATATTAATCCTCTGTAGTTTAAACCACTCTTTTATTTTGCCTATAGTATAAATTAAAGCATTATCTATTAAAAGTAGGCGAGTTAAGAGACAGAAGCTGTATATAGTTAAATAAATAAAATAAAGTAGTAGCTAGAAGCTCTATTATTATATTATTCTTATCTAAGATATTATCTTATAAAAGCTATTATATAAAGTAGTCTTTACTAAGTAACTAATACTAATTTATACGTTTTATAATAACTAAGTAATCTCTTATATAACTTATATAATAAGTTCTACTAAGATG